TGATACAGAACGTCGGAGCACTGTGCGGGGATTTCGATTCCCGCACTTGTCCAGCTTTGCGACGACTCTCAAAGAAGTCGTCGATCGCCTTGACCTTCTCTCGCGGCAGTGGCCACTGCCGCGTGACACAATACTTCGTCCCCGGCACGAGATCAATCTCGTGCTGGATGCCCTTGTCCTGCGGAAGTTCCGCACGGATCTCTTCCGGAAGTACGTCCGCGTACTCCCGTAAGATTTCGTAGTAGGGACTCGTCTTCAACGAGTCCCAGCTCCGCTCTTCAAAGCGCTCCTTCTTCGTCTTCGCACTGAGAGTGTCCTCGCTCTCAGTGGTGCTCTCCATGAAGAACTGCCTCAGTTCTTCATTCTCGCTCTTCGTTCTCTCGGCGTCCGAGAGAATGCATATTTGCTCGATGCGTCCATCGTGCAAGTCACGCGCGAAGCGCTTCCAGCTCATGACTGGAAGCGAAGTCAACTCCAACGCTTGCGTCGGAGGATTAGCGAGGGTCGTCTCCCTGTACCGGAACCCGGCACAGGTACGCGTCAAGACGTTCAACGTCTCGACGTCCGGCTTTTCAGCCTCCGTCTGTCCGGCAGACATTTCTTGTAGCGCCTCGGCCCCAGGCCGAGACTTGCGCAGCGACCTTCGCATGCGCCGTCTTCTTGCTTTGCGGAGCCCGGCTCCGCTTGGATCTTGACCTCGTCCAGGCCCAGCCGTAGACGGGTGTTCTTCTTCAGTACCGCCGGCGGGTTCATCCCGCGGGCGAGCGACTTCAAGCCCGGCTTGATCGCCCGGCGCTTCGTCGTGCAGCCCGGCTGCACGACAGCATGCAAGTTTTTCCGGTGCGGAACGTTTGCAACCGTCCGCACCGCCTGCAGCGTCGGCTCCCAGAGCCGACTCGCCATCTTCACCTCGACGCCATCTTCACCTCGACGCCTGTTATTGGCGGAGCCCTCTATTACGGAGAGTGCGTCGGCTCCCTGAGCCGACGAATCGAATTCACCCAAGCCATCGACTCCCTGAGTCGACGGCGTTTCGTCACCTTGGCTCTTATTATTGGCCAAAACTGATCCAATCAGATTCGCGTCAGCCTCCACGGCTGAGGCGTGTGACTCGCCTGCGTCATCCGTGCCCCTTGTGGTCCGAGACTCTTCCTGATTCGCTGAAAAGCGGGTGTCGATCTCCGAGATCAACACATTTTCTCCTTCAGCCGTCGGCGGCGACGCCGACGCTAGCTGCTCTTGCGCGCATGTTCGCGCGCGCCCAGGGCGCTCCGGGACAGCGGCATTTGGCGCTGTCTCGAGTGGGGAGTCGCGCGCACCTGTCGGTGCGTACGTAGCGGCAACAGGGCCATCGCTCACTGTTCCGCTGTCGCGACCGAAGCGCACGAGAGTGCGCTTCTCCCAATCGATGATCGGATCATGCCGTGCAAGCCACGGCATGCCCAATACAATGTCAAAATTATCGTCCAGATCCAGGACGATAAAGGCCTCGACAAACTCTTGATCTTCATACGTGAAGCGCACGCGTACCATGCGCTTCTCGGTCTTCACGACGGCACCCGTTGCCAGTCGTACTTCCAACATACTTCGAGGTATCTTTAAATCCTCGAAGTCAAGCCTTGATAGACTTCGCAGTCGAACAAAGTTCTTCGACGCGCCAGAATCTACCAAAGCACGAAGAGAGCTGCTTGCTCTCATCGAGTTCACGTTCAGGATGACAAGGTCAGGCTTGTCATCTTGGTTCTTGCAGCGAGAATGAATCTCACTGGGGGCTGCAGTCCTCAGTGTCGCGTGTCCAAGGTCGACACGCGGAACTGCATTACCAGTAGGGCGCCCCACGCCTACTGGCGTCCAGCGTTTTTTGTTTGGTTGCGACGGTGCCCGGCACCGCCGCGATAGCCACCCTGCTGGTGCACGGGGGCCGTGCACTCCCGAGCAAAGTGACCGACTCTACCACAACGTAGCATCGCACATTGTTTCCCTGCGACTGCTGGGGTCCAGCATTTGCAGCACTCGAGAGGTCCAGAACCCATGCCCGTCCTCACTACCGGGCGTGGCTGTGGCCTCGGCACATGTGCATGCAGCTTAGCCTGCCGCAGGCTAAACTCCTCCTGCATTACAAGAGTAATTGTAGCTTCGAGAGTACTCGGGTACTCACGGAAGAGATAGGTCTTCACAGGCCCATCTCTCAGCCCCTTCATGAACGTGACGACCTTGGTCGCCTCGTCGATCGGATTGGTCAGGATGTTCGAGACCAAGTACCGTGCTCTTTGAGCCTAAGTATGGACATCATGCTTGCCCTGCTGAAGGTCGAGGAACTCCGCCCTCGACCGGAACTCGTTTTGCGGTGGCTCAAATGCTTGTCTGAGCTCTTCCTTGAAACCCTCGTACGCTAAAGCACGTAGGATCCGAGAGTCGGCGTCCATACGCCCAACGTCTTGCACGTCCGCCAAGACATGACATGGCGAACGCAACCATCGACAACGGGTCGACGATACGTCGAGCCGCAATGGCAGTGTCGAGTTCGACAAGCCAACGGAGGAGAGGGTTGCCCTCTCTTCCAACGTAATTGCTCACGCTGAGCTTCAGCGATTGCGCGCGCGGTGTCGTCGGGGACGACACCGTGGTAGACGAAGCAGCATCACGCTGCTCCCTCATGATGAATCCCAGAGCAACACCATGTTGCTCTGTCGGCGTTAGCGTACGCAGCCTCGTAGCTACAGCCGCCTCACCAATGACTGTTGACAGTCGCTGGAGAGCTTCCCACTCTGGGTCCGACAGGTGGGGACAGTCAGCGCGTGCAACGTGAGTTGCAGGCGTAGTGGAGCTTTCCATAGACACCTCCGTATTCATGGGAAAGTTCTCAGCTCCGCGTTCGTGCGGTGACGTACGAACTCAGGTAGTCGGTCGTTGGACGGACTACAAAGTGCTACCAGGTGTAGTGGGCCTACCTTGGCTCACTACTACGGCTTACACGTATGCGCACGTGTATGAGGAAGCGTAGGTTTCTTTTAGTTGAGTTAAGTATACGAGAATACTTTAATCGAGATAAAGACTCCAAGTAGCGGATTTTGGTAAAAGATGAGAACTGCTATTTTTGTTTTATGTTCCTGACTTCCTCTGAATGTAATATTCTAAGATAGGAATCTGCCAACGGCTGGTTGGCAGAATTCCAATGCTGTGCATGTCGCTCATTGGCTAAGAGATGCTGCTCTCAGCCAATAGGAATCCTAAGCCTCTATGGACCACCCGTCGTGGTGGTCGTAAATGTATGTAGCCTTTGGTGTGTCTACACCAAGGTCGAGAAAGTCTTTCGAACCTCTAACAGACGTCGTGTCTGTTAGAGTTACAAGTGACTGTAGCCACTTGTGCGTGTAACCCTGTTACACTAAGTGCTCAACTAATACACACAAATCGTTGACAGTACATCCTGGTGCATCGTTGGTCTGGACATTGGTTCGTAAGTTGCGCTCTACAATGTTGCTTGCCATCTTGTCTCTGATCTTAGCAATGCGCTGCGAATCCGACAGGGAACTTGGGTACCGTTCTCGTAGCATATTGAGAGTCTGAGAAAAGTAGCCTAGCGCCGTAGATTTAGCCAACAATCCATCTCCCGAACGTGCGCTGTTGCTCTTTTTAGTTTGGAGGAAAATGGCGAACGCTGTTAGCAAGGAATAAAAATTCTGGGTAGGTAGGCTAGGTCCCTTGGTAAGAGAGCAGTGCATCGCATCTAGCGTTGTCGGAGTTAGCCCAGCCGACTCGAGAAACTCTGCAAAGTATTTCTCAGCTGCTTGTTCTTGACCCATTGTCCCCGTAGGCGTGTCTAGCCCTCGCGCAGCGCGCCGCATGATGGCGGTTGCTCTTCCAGATGCGTTAACTGTGAGAATGAGAGTGACGGCAGCTAGACACCGCAGTTGTAGCTATTCATAGCGTAGTGCCAGGCTGAACTAAAGAGCACTTATTCGATAACCAAACTTTGTACTTGGTTTCAGTATGGTTTATTTCACTGTAAGAAATTCAAATTCCGGACAAATCCGGAAATAAGCTGGCGCGCCTCTAACCTACCCCTAAATGCGTGTGATTCGCTATAATAGGAGGGATGGCGATCGTGATTGGCCTATTTGACGACTTATCTCGTACGGGCCGTCCAAGCAGGACTTATCCTACATTAACTGCTCATGTACCGGAGCACTCAAACTTCAGTACATGTACAGAAAGCATCCGAGGATAGTCCAGTTTGCTGTGAAGTCCGGTGGAGCTTTGGCCTTATAATAATTGTAACGAGATGGCGCAGCTTACACTATTTGTCTAAAATGCACACTTAGCATGCTGAAAGCTGCACTACAGTGCATGCTTATGTAGATATAACTGTTGATGGGCATCCACGGTTGCTGCATGTACGTGCCAAACCATAGCAATCAACAAGTTGCTAAAAGAAGGGGACTCCGTCTCCGCCGACCAAAGAGCTGGCCACGAATCGTCTCAAATCGCTTCGGGGGACACGAAAGGAAATTCCACGTGACAACCACAACATATGGCTCCAAGTGTCGTGAACACGCTGACCAAGAAGCTTACTGCCACGGCGGAGGGACCACTCTCCAATTGTACGACGAGCACTTCCATTCCGCCTTGACTTGGTTAAACTATGAGGATCAAAGTAAACGACTCAGAAAGGCACAATCGAGGATACACACACATGCAAAGCCCGCCTCTCATGCTCGCGTCCAGCCGCTTGGACAAATGTACTAAGTTTAGTGATTTTGCACCAATCGAGATGCTCGTTTTTGTTTACAGCGCAGGGTCGTTATGTCGTTATTCCGGGTATGATCACATGTACTACACGAGGTCGCAAATGGCATGTGCCACAAGCAGTTTGTGCGCAGCCCCGCGCCAACTTGCACAGCTGACCTCGGCTCATTCCTCAACACGATACCAAGCGCATACGTCAACAGCCAACCCACACCTCCATTGAAACAGTCAATCGTATCGGGTCTGCGTCAATGAATCTCCAGGAGAAGCTCGTGAAGAGCTCCAATGAGGCGCTGGCCCAGCGACGCACGTACTGGACGTTCATGCGGGCGCTGCTGTGGAAGAACTGGCTTATTAAGAACCACCAACCTGTTGCGACCGCGTGCGAGATCCTCGTGCCAACCTTCTTCATCCTGCTACTTGGGGCGCTCAAGTTGATCACCAAGACAGTCGACGTTCCTGCAGGCTGGAGTGATGACGCCGACAACACTGCGGGCACCAGCTACAACCTGTTCCAGCCCACGGGTCAAACCATCGAGTGGGTCGACGCCGATCTGCCCAAGTTCGCGCTGCACGAGTCCACCATGACCGGCCTGATGCTCAAGCTCGGGCGTCAGTCCGTTGACGACGGCCTGCGCCTGGAAGAGCTCTCTGCGTCCGCCTTCGCTGCATGCTCTACAGGAGTGATGTCTGGAGGACTGGTCGACACGAACTCGTCGTCGCCCTACAGCATTCCGACTGAATGTGGCGGCAAGGTCGTGCCCTACAAGATCGGCATCGCCCCCGACAACGCCTTCACTCGCAACTACTTCGCCGAGGCGATGGACTTGTGGTACCCGCGTGTCGATCTCCTGAACTCGACGAGCCAGTCTCTTACGGTTCCGTCATTCAAGGAAAGCATCCACTTCTTCGACTCGAACGACGCGCTGACGGAGTACGTCACGAGCGACAACTACGGCGACAACCTCGAGAACCCCAAGATCTTCGCCGCCATTTTGTTTGACTCTGCTCCGTCGGGGGACGACATCGGAACGTTTGCGTCCATCGAGTACTCGTTGCGACAAAGGGCGATGACAGGGGATCTATGTGCCCACAACGGACAGCTCTCTGGCCGATGTGGAGTCGTTCCAGAAGGACATCGTGACGGATTACTACTCGACGTATACCGTGACGGGGTTCATGACGCTGCAGACCCTCGTCACTCGCTTTGTGACCTGCATGCCCGAGTGGAGCTCGGCCAACCAGTCCACTACAGGCATTTGCCAACGTCCTCAGACTACCACCTTGCCCTCGTCCGAGCTCGATACCACGCTTCTGAATGCTTTCAGCGAGGACGGTTTGATCCTTGAGGCCATGAGTTCGTTCAGTGGAGCAAACGTTTCGAGTATTTTGGCTGGGCTCTCCAACAGCACGAAGGAAGCTTTGCTGATGCCTCTGCGCCAAGCTCCGCAGTCTGTACTGGGCGCTACCGTTGCGCCATTCCCCGTCGACGACTACACCAGCTCGCCCTTCTACGCGAATGTTGCAACGGTCTTCTCGATCGTCTTCATCATGGCGTACCTGTTCACGATCTCGCGCATCCTCGTGGTGCTCATCCAAGAGAAGGAACTGCGTCTACGCGAGTTCATGAAGATCCTTGGCGTGACCGAGAAGACTATCATCTTGACGTGGTACATCACGTACGCGGCTATCCTCTTTGTCGGCGCGGTCGTCCAGGCGCTTGCTGGTCTGGCTGGGCTCTTCCCGAACAGCTCGCTGATCGTCACCTTCCTGTTCTTCTTCCTGTTTGGACTGAGCGTCTTGGCGCTGGCGTTCCTCATCAGCACACTATTCAGCAAGGCTCGTGTGGGCGCGTTCGTGGGCATGGTGGCTTTCTTTGCTATGTACGTCATCTCACAAGGATATTCCGACGGCACGGCTGAGAGTTCAAAGCGCATAGGCTCGGTGTTTTCCCCAGTGGCGCTGTCACTTGGCGTCAATGTACTGGCGAACGCTGAGAAGACCGGGGAAGGCGTGCAGCTCTCGACGATGGACACGCTCAGCGATAACTACCGCCTGAGCACAGCAATCCTGATGTTTGCCTTCGATACGGTGCTCTACACTGTGCTTGGTCTGTACTTCTCGAAGGTGATGCCCAAGGAGTACGGCACGTCCCTCAAATGGTACTTCCCGGTGTCACCTTCGTACTGGCGGAGCCGCAAGCAGCGCCAAGTGACGATCGATGAACCGGCCGACACCCTGACGGATAACCTCCTGTTGGATTTGGATCCAAATTTCGAACCTGTGAGCTCAGACCTCCGTGATCAAAAGCATCGCGGCGAGGCGCTCACTGTGCAGCGACTTCGCAAGGTGTTCCAGGTCCCTGGAGGCGAGAAGGTGGCGGTCAAGGGACTCGATGTCACCATGTACAAGGACCAGATCACCTGTTTGCTGGGTCACAACGGTGCCGGCAAGACCACGCTGATCTCCATGCTCACTGGTATGACTGCCCCCTCCAGCGGAAACGCTACCTACCGCGGCATGTCGATCAACGAAGACATGGACGAGATGCGCCAGTCGCTCGGCATTTGCTTCCAGCACGACGTCTTGTTCCCTGAGCTGTCGGTCCAGGAGCACCTGCAGTTCTTCGGACAGATCAAGGGCTACGCGGACGAAGAGCTGCAGGCTGTGGTCGACCGTCAGATCCGCGAGGTCGGCTTGACGGAGAAGCGCAACTCGAAACCCAACGACCTGTCTGGCGGTATGAAGCGCAAGCTGTCGGTGGCTGTGTCGCTGCTCGGTGACAGCTCGCTGGTGTTCCTGGACGAGCCCACGTCTGGCATGGACCCGTACAGCCGTCGCAGCACGTGGGAAATTCTGCTGAACAACCGCAACGACCGCGTGATGGTGTTGACGACGCACTTCATGGACGAAGCTGACATCCTGGGCGACCGCATCGCCATCATGGCGGAAGGCGAGATACGCTGCTGTGGCTCGTCGCTCTTCCTGAAGAACCGCTTCGGTGCGGGCTACAACTTGACCCTCGTGAAGGACGACGCCATGTGTGACGATGATGCCGTGGCTGCTTTTGTGAATTCGTATGTCCCCTCTGCGCAGCTTCTGAGCAACGTCGGCAGCGAGATCGCGTTCCAGCTCCCGCTTCAGAGCTCCTCGAGCTTTGCCGCCATGTTTGCCGAGATGGACCGTCAGTTGCAGTTGCTGGGTCTCCTGTCTTATGGCGTGTCCGTGACTACGTTGGAGGAGGTGTTCATCAAGGTGGCGGAGCTGGCCGACGAGAACAACCAGCACACTCTGGGCAACAATGCGCGACGGGATGCATCGGACTCGGGAGAATATTATCAACCATGCGACGAGATCATCACAACGGAGTCGATGTTCCAGAGGCACCTGCGTGCTCTTGTCCTGAAGCGCTTCCGCTATGCCAAGCGTGACAAGAAGGCCATCATCTATGTCGCTGCATTGCCCGTTTTACTCATTGCTGCTGGATTGGGGATCCTCAAGGGAAGTTTGGAGATCAGTGATGACCCTCTCAAGGCTCTGATGACGGACGCATTCTCCGGAAGCGCGACGCCGACGCCCTACTTCTGCCAGGCCGGAGGTGGCGCCGGAGAATGGTGTAGCGAGGTGATGGCGTCTTCTTATTACTCCGGGGCTAGCGCGCAGTCACTGTCGATTTCGGAACCGGCATTTGACTCGGATTCCCCCACAGTATTCGGCGTCACTTACACGGATCCAACCATCAATGCGAGCGGCGCGACCGGGTACAGCGTTGCATTGGGGCAGCAGATCTACGAGCGTGGATATGGCAAGGGTGCTGATCTCGTGGAGGGGCCAGTATGGAGCTTACTTGGTGTACGGCGACAGCACGCAGAACTTGTTTGGTTACAACGTGTTCACGAACACGACGGCTTCGCACTCATCGGCGATTTTCAAGGCGTTGATGGACCAGGCTGTGTATCGCTTCTTCGCGGCAAACAGCTCGAGCGAAACGGGAACCTCGACCGTGAACCTGAAGGTGAACAATCATCCGCTGCCGTACACTGCCGCGACCGAGACTGTGCTGGGCTCCAACTCGTCCTTTACAGCGTCTCTCTTCATTTGTATCGCATTCACGTTCCTGCCGGCGTCGATTGTGGTGTTTTTGGTCAAGGAGAAGCAGGCTTCGCACAACTCGAAGCACCAGCAGCTCGTGTCCGGAGTTTCGCTACCGGCATTTTGGCTGTCCAACTACATCTGGGACTTTGTGATGTATATGGTGCCTGGCGTGTGCGCTTTGATCTTGATCGTCGTGTTCAACGTCGCTGCCCTGACGGGTCAGGACTGCGACAGCTGCTCGTCTGCCACGTTCCCTTCGGTGATCCTGTTGTTTATCCTCTTCGGCCTCGCAATCTGCCCCTTCACATACTGCCTTTCATTCCTGTTCAAGGAACACGCGTCTGCGCAAACGTACACGATCGTGCTCAACTTCATGATTGGCGTTGTGCTCATGATCACGTCCTTCATCCTGGACTTGTTTGGCTCGACTGCCGACGTCAACTCGGTCCTGAAGTTCTTCTGGCGCTTCTCTCCGCTTTTCAATCTGGGTAACGCGCTGATGAGCATGGTAACGGCGGATGTTGACAGCGTTCAGTACAGCGAATCCGGCAAGACCAGCCCGCTCAGCGGAGACGTCATGGGCTGGGAACTGCTCTACCTTGCGATGACTGCTATCGGCTACATGAGCCTCACTGTGTACATCGACTACTCTAAGACATTTGCGAAGAAGAAGCACGACACTCAAAGCCCCATCAGCTTCGAGGACGCCCAGAATATCGATGAACATGTCGAGAAGGAAGCGCAACGAGTTGCCAATGGCGAAGCCGACGGAGACGCGGTGAAGCTCATGGGACTCCGCAAGGTCTACCCTGGCGGCAAGGTAGCTGTGCGCAACCTCTCGTTTGGTTTGAAGCGCGGTGAGTGCTTCGGCTTCCTCGGTATCAACGGAGCCGGCAAAACCACAACGATGAAGATGCTCACGGGTGACGTCCAGCCGACACATGGCACAGCCACGCTCAACGGCTTCGACATCCTCTCGCAGCAGATTGAAGTGCGTCGCCAGATCGGATACTGCCCCCAGTTCGACGCCTTGTTCGACTTGCTCAGCGTCCGCGAGCACCTGGAGCTCTTCGGTGCGATCAAGGGCATTCCACGAGACTCACTGGAGCGCGTCGTGATGGAGAAGATCCAGCAGCTCAACCTCGGTGACTTCGAGCACAAGCTCGCTGGCAGTCTCAGTGGCGGCAACAAGCGCAAGCTGTCCGTGGCCATCGCCATGATCGGCAACCCGGCCATCATCTTTCTGGACGAGCCTTCCACCGGCATGGACCCGGTTAGTCGACGATTTATGTGGGACGTCATCGCGGATATTTCGACTCGCGGCAAGGAGTCGACGATCGTGCTCACCACTCACAGCATGGAGGAGTGCGAGGCGCTGTGCTCTCGCGTCGGTATCATGGTCGGTGGTCGGCTCCGCTGCTTGGGCAGTGTGCAGCACCTCAAATCTCGGTTCGGCGATGGCCTCGTGTTCGACGTGAAGCTCGACATGCCGACGGCGGACGAGTTGGAGTATCTGGTCCAGCGCATCTTCGGCACCGACAGCGAATTTGTCACTCCCATGGAACTGGAAGACAAGTGCCGCGCGTTCGGTAACGCCCAGTTCGCCGAGCGAGTCGATGCTTCTCACCCGACTGGCTACAGTCTGGCCGCCGCCATGGAGCGCGACGGGTTCGTCCGCGCCGAGGCCTTCTGCTCTTGGTGCGTCGAGGAAACGCGCTTCGACGCGCTGAACGACTACCTTGTACGGGCCTTCGGATCGGGACAAGTGCAGGTGATGGAGCGCCAGAACGACTTCGCGCGCTTCAAGGTGCGCAGCCACAACAACGAGGTAAAGCTGTCCAAGATGTTCGCGCTCGTCGAAGATGTCAAGACCAAGATGCACATCCGCGAGTACAGCGTCTCGCAGACGACACTGGAGCAGATCTTCAACTCGTTCGCGAGCCAGCAGGAGGAGGAGCAGGGCGTCGCTCGCGGTGTTTTCCAGGGCCAATGAGTGGCTCATCTCGTGTGCCCACAGTACATACACAACTGATAACTTTGAATAAAAAGTCATTTGGATCTTGATACGCCTCCCGCTTGGCTTTTAATGTGGTGCTTTTGTTTGCGTACGCTGGCACTAGAAACACCACCATTCGAGAGAAGATAAACAAGTCAGATACACATTCACGGGTAGCTTTGTCCATGAACATATCCGAATTGTGTTGGGCTCACTAACTTGCAAATGGCTTTGATGCACTGTGTACCTTCGAAATACTCGAAACCGTAAAACACTTCAACGCATGATAGACATTTCACTCGATCCACGCCCCATTGTCCAGTCGGATTATTACTGTAGTTCAAGCAGCCTGGCATTGAGGATATCCCAGTTAAAGCGCCTGCTGCTTGGTACGTCGCGGAGCGGCTTTAGCGTGATGCTCGGACTCATGACAACCACGTGGATTGAAAACACGTCAGCAAAAAGGCCCTCAATTTGTGCCATCGACAATACCTCTCTTGAAAATATCGCGTCCATGCTGGAGTGTCGCTCCGCCACCATCAATGCCTTCGCAATAGGCGATGAAAACGTCAACCATACTCCGTTTTCATGTGCAAGATACAGCCGAATTTCCCCAGCATCTACACCAGCGAACTCTTCAGCCGCCTCCTCCTTGATTGCTTTCTTCAGATCGTTGATGTGCATGATCGCGTCTAGATTGATGCCAAAAGGACGACACCCGGGGATACTGCAGCGTAACATTGGTTTCACCACGATTACGTGGATTGAGTTTGCAAGCGGCTGCGGTGTACCTTTGAGTACATCCTTTACTTGCCTGTTCGACGTTATTGGCCTCACCAGTAAATCACGCACGCTGGAGCAATCCCCACGCTCGATACGGTCAATATCCTCCGAGTTCCTGGAAAGCCACTCCTTTTCCCTCTTTGCGAGATATAGCAAGATTGAGGTGGAAGGCGCGTCGTCAACAAAATACTCAGGCCTCTCCTCTCGAACCACTTGCTTCAGCTCGTCGATAGTCGAGATCAAACCTGTGTCGATTTCAAATGGACGAGTGCCAGGAGCAATGCAGCGGATAGTTCCATGCTTGAGCTTCGGTTGAGCCTCCAACAGCGCGGGTTTCTCGATAAGTGACAATTGACTGCGCGCCTTCTCCACGTCGACCACAGAACATTTCGTGGCCAGAACATCCACGACCGTCTTTTCTCCTACCGCGGCAGCTTGCAACAACGCCTCCGTGACAGCTTCAGCGCTGCACTCCTGGTACAATGCTTTCACCACGTCCCATCGTCCAGCACTCACTGCCTGGTTGAATGCCTCGAGAACATTGTTCGAGTCCTTGTAGCACACATTTGCCAGCAGCTTTATTGCCGCCCAGTTCTCATGCCTGAGTGCCTCCGCCACCGCCTTCTCAGCATCGTAGCACCTGCATCGCTTGTACAGCAGATCGAGCAGCGCACGCCCTTCCTCCTTCTCTACCAGGCCCAGCGCCCGCTCACAGCCTGGTATCTGCAGCTTCTCACCGAGCAACTTGACCACGTCCCATTGACGCTGCAATGCAGCCAATCTCAGCGCGTCCTTCACGCTCTTCTCCCCGCACAGAGGGAGCAGCAGCTCCACCATTTCCCTGTTGACAGCGGCAGTCGCACACGTCAGCGCAACGCCCAACTCTTTCGCATCGGAACTCGTGTGCTTGTACAGGGCCTTGACCACTTCCCAACGCGCGCCCTTCGCCGCGTCCTGCAGCGCCCCCGCCACATCTTTGGCCCAGCAACTTGGCCACACGAGCTGCACGACGTCCTCCCGCCCCGCCCTGGCGGCGGCTCTCAGCACTTCCCCGCCTGCGGCGAAGCCCGCGCCCCCTCTCCTGTATAGGACCTCCACGACGTCCCAGTGGCCGTTCCTCGTCGCGTAGCTCAGCGCTCGGCTCACCGCGTCGTCGCTGCAGTCGCGGACCAGCAGCTGCGCCGCCTCGCCGTCGCCCTGCTCGGCCGCCCGCTTCAAGGCTTGGTTCGTGACCATGGACTGGGGCGCCAGCTTGCCGAGGCGTAGGAGCCCGTGTACGAATGAAAAGTGGCCGTTCGTCACCGCCGCGAGCATGGCCGACGTGGAGCAGGGCTTCCCCCTGAAGCGCGTCAGCACGTCCACGCAGCCGAGACGCGCCGCGTTGTCGAGCGTCAGCGGCATCACGAAGGCGGTGACGGCGTCGTGGACGTGGGCCAGGTGCTTGACGCTCTCGGGCAGCGCCACCTCCACGCACGTGAGCTTCTTCATGGCGGGCGGCGCACAATGCGGAATGGTGAACCGAGGTGCTGATTGGTGGGAAGATTGAAGCTAACAACCAATCAGATCAGATGAGATGCAAATGATTGCACCAAATGTCACGAAATGATTGCACCTCTTCAGACAACGATTTTTCATAGCTCGTCAAGCCTAAGACCGTGTGAGGCTCAAATGGCGCTGTTGCGAGCGTCCGCCAAGCTGCTGCCGTCGGGGCCGCGCCTCTCGCGCCGCCTGTCCGCGCTGTCGTTCGTGCCGCAGCTGCGCGCGTCCATCCCGGAGTCGCTGCCGGCCATCCACCGGCTCGTGGAGCGCTACGAGCGCGACGTGCAGACGTTCCGCCCCAGCGAGAGCATCCAGTCGGACGTCGTGTTCGCCAACAACCACCTGCGGCTCTCGGGCATCGACGTCGTGGGTTTCGGTGCGTGCGCTGGCAATTGTTGCTAAGTTTGTGCTGTAATTATTTATGTATAATCATTCCATGTATTATTGTAAGACTATGACTACACGCTGTGCCACTACACGGAGGAGCTGCAGCACCTCATCTACGCCATGGCCAGAGACTACATGGTTGTCATTTTACTATTCTGATAAGTTTGCTCGATGCATTCCAAATTACTAACGAAATATTTAATTGCTATTGGTATGCAGGTGGGCAAGCTGCGGTACCCGGAGGGCGTGTCCGTGCTGCAGTACGACCCGAGCTTCGCTATCCGCGGTCTGACCATCGATAAGCAGAAGGGGTTACTGTGCAAGATCAGCTCGCACCAGAAGCTGTCCAACACGGCGGTCTTTCGGGGCCGTCAGCGGCTCTCGCGGGACGAGATCATGGAGCTCTACGGGGGCTCGAGGCACATCCCCGTGCACGACCGCGACTACAATATGGAGCCACTCAACGACTTGTTCAGTGTCGCGCACGCCTGTCTCTTTGCCGACGTCGTGCAGTACATGATCGACCGCGACATCGAGTACGAGCCGATCGCGCTGGTGGAGGACGTGAACCAAGCCATCACCAATGTTCACCTTAGTGGCGACATGCACAAGGAGGTGGCGCTCGACCTGCCCAAGTACATCGAGCCCAACCCGACGTTGAGGCCGTTGCTGGAGCGCATCCGGGTGAGCAAATGGGCTGGATTGATTGTTCTGTGGTATTGGAGGGGACACTCTAACGCATTTGATGTATTTTCTTGTAGAGCTCTGGCAAGAAGAGCTTTTTGTGCACGAATAGCTCGTTCCTGTACATCAACGCTGGCTTGAAGTACATGCTGGGAGATGACTGGCGAGAGGTAGGCGAGCTCTCAACTTGCAGTGCGGTTATACACCTGTGCTTATCCTCTCTGCCTGTGACGATTGCTTCTAGCTCTTTGATGTGGTTAGCGTCAGTGCGCGGAAGCCAAAGTTCTACACTCGCCAGCGCTCGTTCCGCATGCTGGACATTGGACACAAACAAGTGCAGGTAAAGCGAGACTGCTTGTCGGCTGCTGGTTATGTGGAAAAATGCTGACCCGTGTTATTATTGAATGTGTTTATGTACAGTGGCACGCGGTGCGAGAACTGCGCAGGGGTGAGGTGTACACGCAGGGCAGTGTTTATCAATTGTCAAAGTTGACGGGATGGGTCGGTAGTCGAGTGCTGTACATTGGGTGCGTTTGCTTTCATCTGCTGATGCTGTTGCAATTGTGTTGCCGGGTCGGGTTGCTGATTTTTTTTACGGGATTTTCATTACAGCGATAACCTGTTCTCGGATTTGGTGGAACCTTCTCGGGCAAATGGCTGGCGGACGGGTGCGATCATCCGGTACGCACATTTTTTCGGTCCAATACTTCTAGCATACATCTCATTCGCCGTGACATTATTCGCAGTGAACTGGAAGATGAAATGCGAGTGCAGCGAACGTCAGAATATCAGAAGCTGGCCTTCCAGGTACGCAAGCAAAGAAAGCGTTATTGTGTATATTGAAATGGACATGAGAGCTAACGATGTGTACTCTGGCGTACAGATCAACAAGATCGAAGAGTTGATGCGCAACTTTCAGAACGAGTTGCGCTCGGAGGCGATTCCACAGGTAAGCCTATGAGTGTCTGCAAACTTGTCAGCAAAAATCTAACTATCCCTTTTCTTTTCAGAACCATGCCTTCGTGGACCAGCTTGTCAACGTCCACGAAGCAGTTCAGATGGAGATGGAGAACCTGATCAACGTTAACTTTGGATCAGTGTTCCGAGCTGATACCTACCCATCCCAGTTTGCATTCGTCGTCCAGCGCTACGTGGACATTTATTCGGCGCGGCTCGAGAATCTGCTGGAGTACCCGTCCAACCACACGTTCTACCCTGAGCGAATCGCCATGCCACACGAGCACCCTGCAGGGGCTCCACGGTACGAGTAGAACAGGAGCAGCAACGTTTGACATTGACGTGGATTATGGTGGAAATGCAAACATTTAGACTTGCTTCTCCTCCTCTACAAACTCACGACTTATTGCTCTGATAGACACGTGGCACTGAACATCGGCTTCAGCTTGGTCTCAATCAAATGGTTCAGTAATCCAGGAGCTTGCTTCTTGATGGTGGAGATGACAGTTTTGTAAATGGTGCCCCTGTTGTTGATCGACTTGGCAGAGTAATCCGACAGCAGCCCCGAGATCGAAGACAGAATGAAGCTGGAGCTGTCGAAGCTGACGTCGAACTCAGACACGGAATCGAAATCCACCGCGGCCGACTTCACGGACGCACTCTGGAACTTCATGAGCACCTCCTTCAAGATGCTTTTCAAATTTCCGAACACTGCTGCCTTGACGACCTCAACCTTTGTGCACAACGAAGTCGACACGCTAGGGGCACACGCAAACATGTTCGCTTCGACAGTCGCTTGGAAGGGCGGCTTCTTCATGCCGAACGTCAGCTCCGCCTTACCTGATGCGTCTAAGATGTTGATGGCGATTTTCAGCGAGGCTTCGATCGAGACGTGGCCAGTGGAGTAGGCGCTAATATCCACCGTATTGGACGAGGTGACGTTCACGTGCTCCGGAATGACGGTGCTGAGGCCGGTGACGTTCATTGTCTCGATGGTTGGCGTGAACGTCAAGTGCTGGCCCAGAACACTGTAGTTGAACCCGGACAGCTTGACGTTGCGGAGGACCAGGGGGTCGTACTTCTTGAGCAAGGAACTGAGCACGTTGGCAGACTTGACGAGACCGATCGCACTGCTCAAGCTCTCGAACTCGGATGCAGTTGATGCAGCCTCAAAGTCGATTAGAACGCAGCCATCTTTGACAGAGACGGCGCTGGATCCAGCGAGAGCAGCAAATTCGGCCGCGATAGCGAGGGTGAAGAGCCTGGACATTTCAGTTACTGGCCGGACGATTTCAAGTGCTCTAAACAACGGAAACGAAACAATGAGAAAGAATTTCAAGGAACCGGGACGACCTGAACAGGAGGTTGTCGTAGGTTTGAACTGGAGCCTGTATTGTGGAAACCAATTAAATTGTCTAATTGGAAAATAAATCGGTTGATTAAGCAGATGATTAAGCTTAATCGAGTCGGATTTAGCAAATCCGACCTCCTAATTAGATCGACAGCCTAAGATTTGTACTCTGATTTGACAGAGCAGTCTGTTGTGCCTACATCGCCATGTGGCAAGCTGATTTAGCTACTCCACGACTTACAAAGCCTTGGGCGGCTGATTTGCATGCTAATCAGCCCAAATGTCCGACACCCACTCGGCATTCGGCGGCCGATTTAAAGTAAAACCGACAAACGCTAATGCTGACGAGAAATGACAGCGCAAATACATGACTTCACAACTTGATAAATAGATAGCAGTACATATCGACTGCTCACAGCAGCGTATTTAATGCACGCGATGCTATTCCTCGTTAGTAGGTGCGCGAAACATTAGCTCGTGGCGGTAAGTGGTCGTTCCTCGCATTGCAGGCGGTAATGAGGCAACCCATATTATATTAACCTTACACCGATTTATACCCTTACCGATGCCATATGAAATCATAGGAATCCTCGATTTACTACTAGTGAAATCTCTCATAAACGCTGCTTTATCAGCTAATCCGCTCGGACAATCTAATCGGTTTCCACAATACATGTATGACATCAATGAAAATTGCAACCGAGGCAAATCGGATGCAGAACAAGCTCTACAGCGCATTGTATAGGGTACGGGATACAGTAGAAGAAAAGTCCGAGTTGGTAGACCAAGTCTTGAAAGCGAGTTAATTTACGGTTGTAAGGTTGAATGTGACGTTTTTACTTCACTCGAGAAGTACTCGAGATTGCACTACTGTCAGACGTTGGTCCTCAGCAAACGTCCAACTTGCCTATTGCTCCGATGCAAGTGTATTTTCGACAAGGGAAGTGACGTAACCACTGTCGCAGTGAAAACGTCCGATAACAATTTGTTGTCGGCAAGGGAAGTTACGTAACACTGTCGTAGTGGACAGTCAGTGTAGTGAAGAAGACCATCCTTCGGCGACGAGACTGGCTGCACCCTGCCAAGCCCTTCTTTTCTATCTTCGCTTTCGTGGCGGACATTTGTTGACCAGCGTTGCGTCAATTTACATTGAAAAATTGATTGAGATTTGCCGTCACGCTACAATTTTAATTGTATATATGTAGGCATTGAGTTGTATTCTTGTGGTTTGTATAGGGGTCTGTATGGACCATTTGATTGGCTACCCACGCACATACAGTTATCAAGCCAACTGTCTTGTACAATACAATAAAATCATTGCAGCCAATTTTCTAATTGTAATTGTTGACCCCAATTTTATCAATAGTTTTATTGCAATTTTTATTTACGCAACGCTGTTGTTGACAATCGTAAGATTCACGCCATCAAATTCACTGAATTGCCATTCCGGTTGTGGGTATTTATCAAAGAGAGTGGTTCCTGTTATAGAATAGAAATCACATGGTTTGATAAACAGCCGCTAACCGCCGTCGGCCCGGCGTATAGCGTATACCGCAGTGGTTGGCTGGTAAGAATAGTTTAGAACGGAGCGTTAGAAGGCAGGAACCAACGAGCTCTGCGAATGGCAGGAAGCGGCGCGCAGCGCAAGTGGCAGAAAACAGCGAGCGATGCGAGTGCGAGGACCCAGCGCTGCTTTCGTGAACGTCGGTGACAAGGTGGTGAAGATGTTCGCCGACAAGAAGGCGGACAAGCTTCCTCGACAACCCATGCTACGCGACGTGGTCAATTGCCGTGCAGCACCGAAGGGCAATGGCGAGTGTAGCATGCTTCACGGCTGTGTTGTTGTCTTCAAGTAAGCGTCGAAACCTAGTGCCGTAACTGTATCACCATGAATCCATGTACGAAAGTTTAGCCTCGTTTGATCTTGTTCTAGCTAGTCTATCGCACGCGTCCAAGATGTAGTTATCTAAGTAACTACATGTACATGTAGTTGTCTAGCGCATCAGACACTAATACTAGGCGAAGCACAGGTGCAATATGTAGAATACCTATAGTCGACAGTGTGGAGTAAATGGTGGAGGCTCCACCATATACAGCTCCATCGTGGCGCTGTACTTACAAGCCAGTTCGTGGCCTGCTCTCCCACACTACAACTAACCGGAAACGTATACCCTAGCCGTTCAGGTGGTGGTACGACTCGCTCTATCATGTCTGGATGCTGTCTGGATGCTGTCTGGGTGTTCTGGATGCCGTTCTGGATGCTGTCGGTAACTCCAGGCTCGTCTCATTTTTCAGGTTGTAACAGCAATAAGTGCCTTTATCAAAACCTGGAACAAATCGGTCAACATTTAACAGAGCCTGGAACAAATAGAACTAGGGCCTGGGATAGGAGGTTTTTGATCGCTTTCTATTATTATGAGCTTTTTCTTTTACGAATCACGGGCATCTCCTGCGCCTGCTTCGCAGCCGCAGCGTCTGTCCGCTAATTCACCTCAAAACTGTAGATACATGATATGCCTTGGCGGTGCTTATACACAGTGATAAAACGAACCTTGCTCGGGATCTGTTTGTAGCTTGTAGAAAATGAAAATGTTTACCTTTGTATGCTTCTGCAGCAGTTCGTCCGCTTCAATCATTCGATATATGTTACTACCGGTTCAATCTGCCCACGCATATAAACCTTTTGGAGGGCCCAGTGCGGTACCGCGGCCATACCGGTGTAATGGGTTTCTACCAGTTCAGCTTGCCAACGCATACAAGGGTGCGTTGCGTTAGGCTGGGAGGACTACTTTAAATGCCAAAAAGTCTGCTCGTTTGTATCTAACGTTAGCTCGATTTTACCAACTCGAGTACAACTATATCTTCCATACTGGAACACTTTGAAGAAACTAATAGACGTCTTCTTTGGCTGCGAAGTAGCCACGTCTTGTGCTAATACTTCACCTACTGAGTGGTCGAGTGTTTTGGCGCCACTACAAAGCTAAGCCAAATCCAAAACAACAACCATCAGTATCAAACAGTGGTTACGTACTATGTTCACATGCAAGTAGCAAATGGGGGGCGAAGCCCCTCATTTGCAGCGCCTACCATCATTTTTCTCAGGGAAATTTCAGGAAGGTGACTCAATATTAAAATTTGTGCAAAAGGTGATAGATGGATTTGTGTCGAGAGCACATATTTCAGGTTCAGCAGCATTTGCTAGGCATTGGGCCACGACATTGTTGCCTCCAGCGGCGACATGGGGAGTAAGGCATCCAAGCCGTCGGTGATGCTTTATGCAGTGTGGGCAGTGTCGCTTAAGCGACACAGAAGGCGACCGTACTCCACCAGAACAACTATCAGCAGAGGGCGATGCCTACACCGGCACCGCCTTCGCGTTTACCCAGTGCTATACTGACACTAATGGTGCATTCAGCGACGTGCATGGCATTCAGGTGCTGGCCGCTATCGGTGGCCAAATGCACTTGGCACAAAGCCTTGTCTCGCCTTTTGCACAAAATTTCATTTTGAGTCATATTCCGGAATTTTCCTTTTTTATATGGAGCCAACTATCTACTGCCGGCGAAGCTGCCTACCGGACAGATTTTATAGTTTGTAGGCCAAGAGCTAAGGACGTAAGCGTTTGCAGCGCCGATCACCATTTTTTATATGGAGCCAATGATCTACACCTTTTCAACTTTCAATACGTCAAAATGTAAAATCAATACGGCAATACTTTGTAATCCGATACTTAGAACTGTTTGTAATAGTGGGATATATAGAAATACAGAGTGTCGAATATCTATTGGCTGACAGCGAGCTGTATCAGCCAATCGTGCTCGTATATAAGATTGTGAGCTCTATTCGTGACAGTTTGAACTTACGTTTTGTCATTTTGAACTAGCAATTTGCCATTTTGAAGTTGAAAAGGTGTAATGCCAGCGAGGCTGCCCGAGATCCAGGCGGACAGGTTGAATTTGTAGGCCAAGAGCTTAGCTGCGTGGACGTAAGACGTCCTCAGTTATCCGTCAGTAACTAGGAACTACATATATGGAATACAGTGTAGTTGTAGGCTGATTGGTCATCCTGCATTCTCTTGTCGCTAACGCTGTCCTCATTTCATTGTCAATTAGCTTTGTGTCCCTACGGTCGGGATGTCAATATGGCTATATTTGTGTAAGTATGGTGTACGATTGTGTGAGTATGGTGTGGCGAAATGTTGTTTAAATGTTGCCTGAGGTACAAGCAACTTTTTTTCGACGAATTAATCTGTGTGAGGCTGTCCATACAGCTCTTCTAGCTGTCCTCCCAGGATAAACCTTTTTGAGGGCCCAGTGCGGCACCGGGGTCACACCGGTTTCAGGACAATGTACCAGTGAGGTGTCAAGAGGGGCACCTTTTGACTTGACGTACCACGGATATAATCCTATTTGGTCTGCGATAGCAGCACTAACGTTGCTTCCTATCCCAGTATAAACTCGCTTTCACTATCGCCCCGCTACGCGCGGACCCATCAACTCTAAAGGCTCGCTACGCCCGCACGCTTCGGCTCGCACGCGTCGCCTCCGCTTGCTCGTTAAGTCGATGCTGTGTCCTGGGTTTGCATCCGCGTGCTACGCACACGGACTGTCAAACCGCAGGGTGGCTCGCTTTGTAGGTTCTGATAAATGTTGACCAATTTGTTCCAAGTTTTGATATTAATAAATATCGCACTCAAGTGCTAACATGGCTGGCCTTAATCGTCTCCCCACTGTATTGGGATTCAACATGTAAGTATGGAGACGTCGATTTTCGACAAACTCGTGTGTTACAAGTGGAACTACCCCGTCCTATGTGTATGATTCCAGAAGGAAGCGCCGCAGTGCTGGGATTGGAAAGTAGCTGGCTATTGTCGACGTCCAGTTTCTTGCATTGCGAAAGAGTAAAAGCTTCTCAATTAACGTATTTAAGTACCCTCTCTCCCCTCACTCATACTTCGTTATCCATCAATCGCGCACAACAAAACGGCACAGAGTGGAATTCGCGAAAGCATGACCGGTTCTAAGATTGTACTACATGTACCATCGTGCAAGGTAGCTGAGTTACTCTGCGCTTTCACTTTAAATGTCCCGAAGTGTTATGTGTCTCGCTCAGACAGCACCTCCAACTACGGGCTTTCTGTTCGCAAGGCGGCTAAGCCAGAAGGAAAATGGAAGTTCGAGGTTGTATATGTGGTAAAGTATGGTCCTGCGTATTGTGGATTCGAGACGGGGATCTTGTGAGCGCGTACTAGTTCGTGTCGCCGCCACAAAAGACAGGCTGGGGCGACAGCACTCTAGCAGCTAAAGCGATGAAACGTTCGTCATGATCTTTGTGAAGAAGAAGAAGAAGAATATTTTTCTCGAGAAGGACGAGCTCGCGCATTTCAACAGACGCAGGAATTTCATTGCGATGAAGAAGGTAAGCGCTTGATATCTACACAATAGCTCTTTCAACTTACGTCTAATGCATGTTACGTTCTTATTAGTGCACTTTGAAGAAAATTGGAGACTTTAGTACCCTCCCTGCTCTCGTGAAGAGCTGGGACAGTCAGAACCCGATTCCGCGTGGCAATGAAGGCGCGGAATCTCCACATATCAACGATTCTACTGAAGAATCTACGGCACCTCTCCCATCCACCTCAAAGCTGGCGGTTAAGCGCCGGAAAGCTCGTGCTCACAAGGCTACGCGGAAAAGAGCTAAGCAACCAGAGTACCGCAACGACTTCAGTGCTGATTTATTATCCGAGTATTTTGGTGACGTAATGTCTAAACCAAGCACTGAATTTGAGCAGCAGTCCGCCATTAACAACCGTGGCACGAACGAAAAGCCCCGACTGAAGAAACCCAAACGTGCATTTAATGGCAGCGATTGCGATAGCGAGAGCAGCGAATGGGACTCCTGTGCGTCATCTCTTGGGCCGTGCGAAAAAGACGACGAAGACGATGATGAAGAAGAAGGCGGTGACCAGCTTTTGCAGCAAGAGGGAGGCGACGGAGAAGAAGATGATGAAGAAGAGAGCAAAGGCGACTCGAATGCACCTGAAATCTTGGCCGCCGAACTGTGGGGGCCGGCTCAGGGCTTAATGCCACCTGAAGTCGAGGAAGTTTTAAATCCGCGACACCAGTCAGGCTCACCAGCACCTCTCAATACTTCTTCGCCAGCTGAAGTTCCTCCTCCTCCTGTTGCAGCTCCTCCGACTGCTGAAGCTGTCCTACTGCAAGTCATCAAGGAAGCTAAGAACTACTCTGGAGCGATATCGTCAAGCTCGGAATGGACCTCAAGGCTTTTTGACTTGCTGGGAGTGTCGACGGGGAGCTTTCTTGAACAATTAGGCAGACCTTCGCCTGCGGACTTTGTCGGTCTACTCGAGCAAACCGTGAAACCACTCGCGGAGTGGTCCTCGCTCGCGGGCCAGGACGATGGGGACATGGCTGCGAGCATCAACCGGATCGTGGATGCAGCTACTCTACTGCCGTCGAAAGCCAGCGCAGAGGTGAACGTGGTAAGCTTCGTAGAGCGTTGTATCCCCCCCCAAGACTGCAAAGGTTGATTGTTACATACTTCCTTGTGGTTTTGGTTGTGCTGATAGGAACCAACAATGGAGCAGATTCGCACGCTGGAAGCAGACGTCGAGTCCACCTCGGATCCCGATCGAGCCAAGCTGCGGCGGATCAAGGCGGAGGAGAAGGACATGGAGGTTTGCATGAAAATAACGGGCCTGCTGTCCGCCCAGCGGGAACGCATCGACTGCTATGATCAAATGATCACGGAGCGTCAGGGCTGCTGCCATACTGTCGTTGTCCCAGCGACCCCGGGTGGCTCGGAAGTGGCACGGGAGACGTGCACAAGGGCTAACGAGAAGGCGACCAAGTTGTCGGAAGACTTGTTCTATGCTTCCAGCAGTGTATTGGGCGTCATGGACGACCAATCGCGCGACTTGGTGTATAAATTCACTTTTGAGCAGCAAGTATCGACTCTAAGATGCAAAGCTGCGGAGCTGTGAGAAGCGGACAGCCAGGTAAGAGGAGATGTGGGGGGCGAGCGAAGTGAATCGTTCACAGTCACTATGGGCTCACAAATATGGCGGTATGGTGTTGTGTGGTAGGAGTCGGTGCTAGCTCTCGAGACGCTACTTTCGGAAAGTGTTGAAGCATTTCATGCGCTCTGGAAAAACACGGGGATCGACTGGGCACTTCGCTGTTGGAATATGTGATTTCCGCTCTCGGGCGTATGGACAAGATGAAAAAACACCTTGCAGGTTACGAGTTTGCCTCCACACGCTATGAAGACACGTACCCAAGTGACCAAGAAGAAAGAATGAGGTCAAGATATGACGAATTACAAGGGTTGGTTGATACGCTAAGGACCGAGATGAGGGGAGTTATCACCTCGCAGGCTAACCTGTGGAGACCAGGGACAGATCGTGTTGAGCGGCTATTGTGTGAAGCGAAGGACCATGCAAGGTTGCTGAATTCGAGGGTTGGTGAGGAGATATTGATGGGCGAAGGCGATTGTATTGAATGGAAGTAGCTCGTCAAATCCCTGTCAGTGATGGCTACCTCTAAGACGAAATTGAAAAAAAAATCATTGGCTTCAAACTGTGTTGTAGTAACATGTCGTGGTGAGAACGCTCGGTATAGTGTAAGCTCCATATGCAAAATACGGCCCACTCCATTCGGTTAACTCGCTCGCGGCCAAATGAGTATTTGCACGAAAGGCTTTCACCCCTAGATTTTGGTCAGGTCCCTGTTCAATCGCATATTCTGCATAATTTATCCCTGTACCTGGAGCAGTCACCGCCTTCTGTCGCTGGCGTTCGACAACGTGGCTGCGTGGGACGTCCTGGGGCTGAAAACATAGAAGTTTGATGGCTGTTATAATATCACACGACACCCATGTGCGTTTCCAAAGAATTCGATTTTATTGCGTACCCATCTGAAAGAACACCACGAGGTTGGCCCGTTCTCAACCGAAGTTTAGTAAAGCTCATTATTAAGTAGATGTTTGTTTGGCATAGCAGCAGCACTAGAATATTCAGGGGCGACTTACAATCAGACTAAAACCTAATGCGCTCATAGCATTGCGCTTCTAGATCCACACGCACACACACAGACACATGCAAAATCCGTCAACTTGAATGCATGTAATATAAAGACCTGTACATTACCTCTGGCAGGGACTCGGCCAACTTGGTCCAAGCAGCACGGTGTTCTTCGTACTTCCAAACGTCACCCCCAAGCCTTTCATACAAAAGCCTCGCGTCTGCCTTTGACTCCCTCAACAGGCGCTCCAGACGCTCATTCGCCGCCTATTTTCCTGCGATCTGATAACGTCCTGGGACCGCGTTTCTAGACCTTTGATAAACTTTTGAATCTCTTGGAGTCTGGCCATCACCTTCTCATCTTGGTCATCAGGATATATCTCCCAGGAATGCTTAAGCTCATTATCATAGCGACCGCGATCGTGCTCTCTCTTCGTCTTACGATCCGATACGGAATCACATATTCCAACAGCGAAGTGCCCAGTCGATCCCCGTGTTTTTCCAGAGCGCATGAAATGCTTCAACACTTTCCGAAAGTAGCGTCTCGAGAGCTAGCACCGACTCCTACCACACAACACCATACCGCCATATTTGTGAGCCCATAGTGACTGTGAACGATTCACTTCGCTCGCCCCCCACATCTCCTCTTACCTGGCTGTCCGCTTCTCACAGCTCCGCAGCTTTGCATCTTAGAGTCGATACTTGCTGCTCAAAAGTGAATTTATACACCAAGTCGCGCGATTGGTCGTCCATGACGCCCAATACACTGCTGGAAGCATAGAACAAGTCTTCCGACAACTTGGTCGCCTTCTCGTTAGCCCTTGTGCACGTCTCCCGTGCCACTTCCGAGCCACCCGGGGTCGCTGGGACAACGACAGTATGGCAGCAGCCCTGACGCTCCGTGATCATTTGATCATAGCAGTCGATGCGTTCCCGCTGGGCGGACAGCAGGCCCGTTATTTTCATGCAAACCTCCATGTCCTTCTCCTCCGCCTTGATCCGCCGCAGCTTGGCTCGATCGGGATCCGAGGTGGACTCGACGTCTGCTTCCAGCGTGCGAATCTGCTCCATTGTTGGTTCCTATCAGCACAACCAAAACCACAAGGAAGTATGTAACAATCAACCTTTGCAGTCTTGGGGGGGGATACAACGCTCTACGAAGCTTACCACGTTCACCTCTGCGCTGGCTTTCGACGGCAGTAGAGTAGCTGCATCCACGATCCGGTTGATGCTCGCAGCCATGTCCCCATCGTCCTGGCCCGCGAGCGAGGACCACTCCGCGAGTGGTTTCACGGTTTGCTCGAGTAGACCGACAAAGTCCGCAGGCGAAGGTCTGCCTAATTGTTCAAGAAAGCTCCCCGTCGACACTCCCAGCAAGTCAAAAAGCCTTGAGGTCCATTCCGAGCTTGACGATATCGCTCCAGAGTAGTTCTTAGCTTCCTTGATGACTTGCAGTAGGACAGCTTCAGCAGTCGGAGGAGCTGCAACAGGAGGAGGAGGAACTTCAGCTGGCGAAGAAGTATTGAGAGGTGCTGGTGAGCCTGACTGGTGTCGCGGATTTAAAACTTCCTCGACTTCAGGTGGCATTAAGCCCTGAGCCGGCCCCCACAGTTCGGCGGCCAAGATTTCAGGTGCATTCGAGTCGCCTTTGCTCTCTTCTTCATCATCTTCTTCTCCGTCGCCTCCCTCTTGCTGCAAAAGCTGGTCACCGCCTTCTTCTTCATCATCGTCTTCGTCGTCTTTTTCGCACGGCCCAAGAGATGACACACAGGAGTCCCATTCGCTGCTCTCGCTATCGCAATCGCTGCCATTAAATGCACGTTTGGGTTTCTTCAGTCGGGGCTTTTCGATGTGCCTCGGTTGGTACTTCGTCGTTTTCCCAGTACTGGTTCCATGGCGATATCACTCAAATAGGGGGTGCTTTATATCCCAGTCTCTCACGAATTGAGGGAGTTGGTTGAGCTTTTCCTTGGTTTTCCATGTGGACTTGCGGCATCAGCAACATCACACCTAGTCAGTCGACCCATCTCATTGTTGGTTTGGTTTGGTGCATGCATGCATACATGTACCTGTTTCTTCTGAATAGCCGAGTCCCGATACTTCTGAAACTCCTTTTCATCGTCTCCGAGGGGATACTTTTTGCAAATGGACACAATGGCAAAACCATCAGACTCGGAGTCCGGGTTTTCCAGGGCCTCCAGCGTGTCAGCGTCCCAGGGTTTCTTCTCTGCGGTCGCCCACTGGAACGTTGAGAAGTGGTCACCGGTGCGAATCCCAGCGACAAACGCTGCTCCACCACTGGTAACATCGTCCACCCTGAAGACCCACTCGTCTTCAGGTTCGGAAATTCTGCTGACACTAAGCCGGCTGCTCGCGCCACCACTAGGAATAGACAAGTAGGCCTACAGTATATTGCCATTAGGCATGGCGTCGATCATTAGCACGAATATCCATAGGCAGGTACACCGCCGACTGACCAATTTGCCCCTCTTCGCCTTGTGCTTGCCTTGACCCATTTTGTCTGCCGCCTGCATTTTCTTCACTGATGACTGCGGCGTCTTGATAGAGCTCGGTAAAATATACATTAAAGGCTTCATAGTGATTCGTGTCATATGAAGCGTGCCCGAATAGGCAGCACGTCCATCCTGTATATGATTTTGTATTGCGCATGTTACAAGGCATGTTACAAGTTACGAAATAGCCCAGCAAATCGGCAAAATCGCCAGCTTTTCAGTGGTACCAGTGCTATTTCCTACTTTTTCGTAGAGCTTGAAGACGTATTTGGCGGTATTGATGGCTTCGGACTGATGATTGTGGCATCCAATAGAACTCAAACCGAGTAGGTGATCTATTGCGAAATTCGTTGTTGTATTTGTGCCCACTCGTTGCAAAGTGAAATGGTGGGAAAAGCAACAAAGCAACGGAGATTTGATATTTCCGAAGTCACTCAGTATTTTACGACCATACTCGGTTCTAATCGAGTGCATGGCACACACAAAGTCGCTTAATCTCTTCGGGCAGACTACTTAGACTCACTTGTTTAAGATGTTAAACACTGTCGCGTCATTATCATCCCTCCTGCACCTGCTCCTTCGATGTCGCGACGGATGCGGAACATGCTGCGGATGAGGACCGCAACGCTTGCGGTCACGTTTCTTCGCATGGAAGCTCGCGGCAGGCTAGCAGCAGACGCACGCCGTGCAGGCTGGGCTTCATTGAGCTGAATTAACCAGGCAACTGTCGAATGCTTCTTCGCGGGGCGCTCGAGCTCCACTGTATGCAGGCATGTCGTTTGTTAGGTACACAAGTGGACTCGGCGCCACTGCCGGTGATGTCGAGACCGGCGCCAAGTAAGGCCAGAAGTGTCCAGTTTGACCGACAAGTACAGCGTGCTGGGTGGTTGCGAAGTCATTGAGCATTTTCCCAGGTCTATTGTGAAATTTCCGATATAGCGCCAAACTACCGATTAGATCAATCCTACGCCCCGAGCTAAGCTATTCAGACTTGCTAAAGTATTTAACGAAGATCACCTTCAATAGCGAGTAGCTAATCTCGGCTGGAACGACCTGAGTCTTCGACAAGTGTATCATAGCAAAATCGTGTAGTGCTAAGAGTCTGATAGAGCGCTGACAAACTCGTTTTAAGGTCTAATAGAGAGGAGAACAGTTCTTGAACGAGAACAGTTCTCGTCATATGTCACTATATCGAGGTAGTTATAATTAATGACCAACTCGGGAATACCCCCCTAGACGTATTAATACACGAATTATATTATAATGGGTCAGCACGAGTTCGAGCGCAAGCTGGCGGTGGCGGAGCGCAGCGGCGCGCGCGACCGCTGCCTGGAGCTGCTGCACTACGTGCGCAAGGAGAAGATGCGCGAGCCGCGCGCGGTCGCGAGCGTGGGGAAGCTGCTGGTGACCAAGCACAGCTGGGGGCTCGGCGACGAGCGTACGTACCGTATGCGCCCGGATATGCTCGTTCAATTGCTGTTTCAACCTGTTTTAACGCGCTTTTATCGTTAATAACGACGGCCACCCAGTGTGGAGCGTGCATGAGCAGACGTTCATCGCGGCGCTGGACCTGCACGACGACGAGCTGGCGGAGGTGAATAACCTTCCTGCGTCGTTGAAACAGCGAGGTTGTGTGTGTATCATCATCGTTATGACGGCTTTTACTGTATTCGTGTCGGTGTTTAAACAGACGTGTCTGAAGGCCCTGCAGACCAAGTTCCCGGGCAGCTCGCGCGTCGCCCGACTCGAGGGCATGCAGCTGGAGCAGCGCGGGGAGTTCGCCAAGGCGCTGGCGCTGTACGACGAGCTGCTGGAGGCCAACCCGGCCAACGCGCTGGTGCTCAAGCGCAAGATCGCGGTGCTCAAGGCGCAGAAGAAGACGGCGGACGTGGTCACGGCGCTCAACGAGTTCCTGCGCAGCTTCGGCACGGACCAGGCGGCTGTACGTTGCAGCGGTGCAGTTGGGGGAGGGTGCTGGCTTAACTGTGCTGAAACGTGGTTTTATTCTTCTGGTGTTTCTCGCAGTGGACGGAGCTTGGCGAGACGTACCTGTCCATGGGCGCGTACCGCTACGGCGCCTTCTGCTACGAGGAGCTGGTGCTGCTGAACCCCATGGACTCCATCGCGCACAGCCGCCTGGCTGACGTACGTCGAAACGTGCAGAGTCAGCATACAATGGAGAGGTCCTGAACGCTTGTATGGCTGTGTATTTAGATCTACTCGACGATCGGCGGCCTGGACAACCTGCTGAAGGCGCGCAAGCACTACGCGCACTCGATCGAGCTCAACAAGAAGCAGAACCTGCGCGCGTACTTCGCGCTCGTAAGCTGCACCAAGTCGATCGCGGCGCAGCGTGGCTACCGCGCCGACCAGGACGACGACGGAATCAATGAGCGGCTGGAGAAGTTTGCACTCGACCACATCCAGGACTTTTACGCGGCGAATGCATCTCCTGATCTCGCCGAGATTGGTAAGGGAGTTTGTTGGCTATTACAGATTTGTAAGGATTTCACAGGCTAACATTTGCGCATGTGTTGTTCTCTATGCTAGCGCAAACCGCGATCACTGCCCTCTAGACGCATTAGGGACTCGTGAAAGACGACAATCAACGAGCTTACCAAGATAGCAATGGTGTTCTATTGGTGGTGAGCTCACAGGCGTAGGTTGCTGGTTGTTAGCATGAATGAAATTGTCGTCCTCTATTGATTGCCGCTAGCTATCATCTAATCCAACGTTCGCGCGGCTCCATACGCGACGGCGAGGTCAGGATCGATAGTTGAAAGTGGCGCCCGGTCTTGGAACATCGTCGTGAGGCGCTGACGCACCCACGGGATGCGCGAGGACCCTCCGACTAGCACCACCGCATCGATCTCCTCCGTCTCCATGTTGTTCGCCTCCAGGACATCGCGCACTGGGATCATCGTGCGCTCCAACAACGGCCCACACAGTTCTTCAAACTGTGCTCGCGAAGCTTTAACCTCAACTCGAGCCTTGCTTCCACCTTCACTCCAGACGCAAGTAGCGCTCGCTGTTGTAGCGTCAGTCAGCCGACGTTTCAGCAGCTCTGCAGCACGGCGGACGCCTGCCAATGTACACGGTGGGTCTGTCGCGTCGTCGTCCAAGCTTTTTTCCTCGCCCTCTACCCCTCGGGAGGTAATGCGTGAGCCAATTTGTGCCTCGAACTCCCTCACGAGCCACGCGGTCAGCAGCGCGTCTACGTCCTCGCCTCCCAAGTGGTTATCTCCCAGCGTATCAAGGACACTGATGGCACCATTGCGCGCAAAGAGCAGCGAGACGTCCAGCGTGCCGCCTCCAAAGTCAAACACGAGCATGAAGCTCACGTTCGGGTCCTGGTGCAGACCGTAGGCAATGGCCGCAGCCGTCGGCTCTTCCAGCACGCGCGAGACCTCCAAGCCAGCCACTCGAAATGCCGCAACGGTAGCGTCCCGCTGTCGAGCGTTAAAGTCCACAGGCACCGCAATCACCGCCTTGGTGATCTGGTCGTGGCCGACGAAGCGGTGCGCCATGCTGCGGAGGTGGCTCACCACCGCGCTCCCGATCTGCACGGGAGTCACACAGTCCTGCTGACCCGGAAAGCCAAGCGCGAAGCACACGCCGTCGTGGGCGTTGTCGAGCACCGGCTTGACTGTGAATTCGTAGGGCGACACACCGTTCGAGTCGACCTCCGACTCGCCAACGTCATCGAAGCTCCGACCGATGAACCGTTTGGCGTTGAAGATAGTGTGCGTCGGGTCCGTTGTGCGATGAGCTCGAGCTTTCCTCCCCACGATCACCTCTGCTCCATCATCCACCACAGGTGCCGCGTTAATATTATAGCAGAAGTACAGCAACAAGGTAGCCATTGTTGAACGAACCTCCATTGGGTAGGAACGCCACGGTGGACGGCACCAGGACGTGGCCTTGGGCGTCTGCAATCGCCGTCACGTTGTTCTTCTGGGAGATGGCCACCACCGAGTACGTCGTGCCCAAGTCGATGCCCACCACTGGCAAACAATAAAGAGTTTGGTTAGTGAGTGCACTCACAGCATTACATGTAGTTTTGACTATGTATAGGGTACCGTGGTCTCTGCCCGTGAAGCCGTGACGAGCAAGTAGCGCCGCGAACACAGCAAAGACGCCGCCAAGCAGCAGCAATAGGGAGCCCACGTTCACCCCGCTGAAGGCCCCGGGGCCCTGCGGGGCGGTCATTGCTATCTGCCACGTCAGCGACTTACAGAAGTGAACTCTGATTGGCTGATGCCTTCTATTGGAACGTTAGAGCGTATTTTAGTGCATGAAAGGTATTTTACTGAAAGACGAGTTAATTAACGATCTCTCTCTCAAACAAAGAAACATTCGTGCGGCTGCTGACTCTGTGTCTCTGTCGGGCCCGCAGTTTCCTCGTTAAGTTTCCCATGGCGTGACCTTGCCGGATCTTCGATGTTTGTATACTCGCTCATTCCGTCAGCACTAGGCTTCCTACTACCACAACAGAGAGAACGTGAGTCGGGATCGATATACATACACTGCATTACAACATCTTAGCGCTTTCATTGGTCTACATGTAAGCACGGGAGCCGCCTCGGCTGTCGGATGCTTCGAGAATGAAGGTGTTTTGGTCGTCCTCCGTTTCCTTCGTCGAGTTCTGCTCCTGCAGGTGCTTCCAGAACATGAACATGGCTAGCGGGTAGTGCAGCATCGCGATGATCATCAGGAAGAACGCCGTCTTCAGCGACGTGTCGTCCTTCTTGCCCAGAGGCTCGGCCTGCATTGTCCAGAGCAGAACGTCAGCATGGCCGTAAAACATGCCACGCCCGCCAGGAAGAAGCCGCCGCCCACCCACTTCTTGTCGCCCTTGCGGCATGTGATAGCGCCGACAATCGCGATGATGGCCATCAGGCCGTTCGACATGCTCATGCCGCCGAAGGTCATCGTGGCCATACCCAGCAGACCGCACGACTTGTCCAGGAACTTGTTAAACTGCTCGGCGTCCATACCGGCGGCAGTGGCCAGCACCGTTGTGTACTTGAGACGCTCGGCGTCGCTCACATCGCCGGCCTTGCTGTAGCCTTCGCACGTGGCGTACTGCGAGTACTCGGCCCAGACCTTCTCGTCGATGACGGAGAGCTCTTCGTATCCAGAGCCAAACTTGTAGTAGAAGCAGTGGTCAAGTGCGGTGCTGGTGTTCGTGAGTTCGCTGTCGATGCAGAAGCTCATGAGGCCGGCCTTGAAGTTAGTGCTGGCGACTTAGTCCGTGAGAGCCGAGTTGACGGTGGAGTTGACAGTCCACATGGGGAGAATCATGGCCACGGCGTTGTAGAGCGTGCCGATGGTGATCATGGCGATGGCGCCGTACCCGTGGTTGGAGATAGCCATGTGTTGCTTGGTGGCAAAAGTGTGAATGGGCATTTTGATACTCGGACGTGCGAAATAAACTTCCTCGCCCCGAGCAATGCGTAAGCGTTCTCATTACCAGGTGTGACCTGAACACTATGGCCGCCACGAGAGAATCCAGGTGAGAACCGAAAATTGATTATCGTTCGTGGGAGGAACCGGAGCTGACAGTAAACTACCACAACCGGCAGTAGTAGTTTGCACGCATTATACTCAGGGATCAACAAACTAGGCACTATGTACATAAACAATCCAAAGTACCTAAATGGGGTTTTCAAAATGTCCTTGTTTAAGAGAATGGCTTCAGGCTCGGTTCTATAGTAAATAGTGGTCCATTGATGGTTATGTCGTTGGTGCATGTATTTCTCGGTGCTTTTATCTTATCTAGCGCAGTAGCAACTGGGCTAGGGAAAACAGTTTTTTTGGTATTCTACGTTAGGTAAGTATAAATTTTACTTACCTAACGTAGAATACCAACCAGGCACCAAACTCAAACTGATGATTTGATTAACTGGTTATTGCTGGTTGACGCTCTTGGAAAACTGAATTGTTGGGTGAATTGGGTGTCAGAGGTAATGATTGTTGAATGATTTTTATGTGATATTTGATTGGAGAGTGTATCAATTTATTCTTCTTCCTTTTTTGTCCTTGGTGGGATTTGAACTCCGGCCAAGAGCGTACTTCCTGGGACCTTTACCCAGTGGGCTAGCATCATCAAACTAATTGTGCCTAATGCCCATTTGGACTTGAAATCGGCACTTTGGAAATCTTGAATTAGGCACCATACAAAGATCTAAATATTAGTATGGCAAGTGAAGCATATGATTTAGAGAATGTGCTCTACAAGTCGCTATCAACCGTGTTTGTGTTCCTGGCAAGAGATATATTCATGGGGCCGAGTGTGAATCGTTCTCACACCGGGACTAATTCACGGGTAGTCCCAACACTGCGTCGATCAAGAATTTCAGTCTGTGCAGGTCCACCAAGCTATTAATAGAGAGCTGTTGTTACCCATAATATCTGATAAATTCCATGATGCGCAACAGAGCGCAGGTACAGTGTAGCTGCTCCTTGCTCGTTCTGTGGTATCCACAAACCAATGTAAGGTAACGAAGATTTGATAATAAGTCGATTGCCAGGTTACATGTAGTTAGTTTATTATTTAAAATACTTACTTTGGTATATTGGTCTGTTACGATGCCTGGTCGACCCAGCCCCATCTCATAATTTGGCAGGTACGGCTGCCACGGAATGCGCTGTCATGTATGAGAGCTTCATTGGCGTGCCAAATGCACAGAGCAGAGGGAGGTCGAGCTAGCACGAATTATATTGGCGCGAAGCTTGGTGGCAGTGGTTATTGTAAGCCCAGGGTTTTACGAGCACCCCGCTTAAGGAGGCGACTAGCGTAGAGCTGGGGTATTTAATAACTATTGCCGTCGAAACTTAGTCGAGATGGCTGCTTTGAGCAACCAATGTCGATGATGGGCAGCGTTGGATAGGATGCACCGTTTCGATCGCAAAAACCAAAATCCAAGTGGAAATGATTGATTACATGGTGGCCGAGTTCTCGACTCCGTGGTAATCTTCACATCGAATAACGTATAGTGTCATATAATATCAACCTGTTGGATATCGATTTGATAGGCTACGTTAGTGACGCTGAACGATTCCTCAGGCTAAACTAACATGTATTCCTCAGGCTAAACCCTTCCCCAGGCTTGTCAACACCTCCGCAATGCAACCGCGTAGATAAACCACAGCATGAAATGCCGATTGCTCAAGTGATCGGGCTTCTTACTGTGGCTGCTATTCGAGGTTGCGGAAGCTACAGAAACAGCCTCGGATGTACTGAAGTAGCAGTTAGTGTCGCATCAATTCATTATGCAAGGCCTTATCTACGAGCTTAAACTAGACTTGCTGGGGTCCCGCTAACAGGGGTCTCCGCTCCCAAGTACGTCGTGTGGTCCTCCTCCGACTCCTTGAACGCCTCAGCCTCCTTCTGCTGCCTCAGGTACTTCTAGAACATGTACATGGCCAGCGGGTAATGCAGCATCGCGATGATCATCAGGAAGAACGAGGCCTTGAACGACGCGTCGTCCTCCTCGCCCAGCGGCTTCGACTGCACCACCCAAAGCACGAACGTCAGCATGGCCGTGAAGCACGCTACACTCGCCAGGAAGAAGCCGCCGCCCACCCACTTCTTGTCGCCCTTGCGGCACGTGACGGCGCCCAGGATCGCGATGATGGCCATCACGCCGTTCGACATGCTCATGCCGCCGAACGTCATCGTGGCCGTGCCCAGCAGACCGCACGACTTGCCCAGGAACTTGTCGAACTGCTCGGTGTCCATGCCGGCGGCAGTGGCCAACACCGTCGCGTACGCCAACTGCTCGGCGTCGCTCACGTCGCCCGCGTCGTTGTACGCCTTGCACACGCCGTCGGACGAGTACTTGGTCCAGACCTCGCTGTTGAGCACCGACAATGCGTCGTACGACGAGCCGAACTTGTAGTAGAAGCAGTGGTCGAGCGTCGTAGTGCTGGTGGTGGTGGTGGTGGTGGCGACGGCGATACTGGCGCTGGCGTTGGCGTTCGTGAGCTCGCTGTCGATGCAGAAGCCCAGCAGTCCGGCCTTGAAGTTGGTCCGACGAGAGCGCCGGGTTGACCGTCTTGTTGGCGCTCCACATGGGGAGGATCATGGCGATGGCGTTGTAGAGCGTGTCGATGATGATCATGGAGACGGCTCCGACCGCGAACTTGTTGATCGCCATGGCTCAAGTGTGATAGAGTGTGTGTGTGTGTAGGGGGGGGGGTTGACTCGTGTGGTGGGGCGTGGAATTGTAACTGAGCCAAGACGCAGTTTGCTGGTGATGACGAGTCCATGGCGTTGCGTTCGAGGTTGAGAATCCAGCGATAACTAACCAATCTTAACTTACCGGCGGCTGGCCGTAAGCTGTGCGTAGTGCCGGCTGTTTTCACCCAAATTCCTGGATCGTAAGGTATGTTTACATGCTCCGATATCGCTTGACGCGAACAGTAAACACAATCTCCTTACATGTATTTATGTCGTGTGGTGGCCGTGCTCTCCCTCTCGTTTCTCCTTAACGCGATAGAGTAGCGATAGCGATTGAAACCCCGCCGAGATGCCTTTATCGCTCCAGCCACCTTCAATTGATGCAGTCCCAACACTTGTCGACAGCACTTGCCGGCTGCTTGAGCACAAAAATCCGTCCAATGCGCAATTGCGCCGACAACACGGTCATTATCGCGACTGTAAACGTTCACGGACTCCCTTGGGATTTGTGTCAAAGGGAACCTGCGTTGTCTTGGGTCTGATATTGTACAGGCTGCAGCGATACATGTCAGTCAAGCGGGCATCGACTACCCTCCAATTCCAGGCACGAGCACGACGCATCATCTTCGAGTCCGATTCACGAAAATCTCCACTTTTACCTCACCTCCATCTCCATTCTCCAATTTGTCGACACACCGGCAACACTCGACGCACACATCAACCAGTGAAGACACGAATAATGGCTATCTCCAAGCACGGGTACGGTGCCATCGCCATGATCACCATCGGCACGCTCTACAACGCCGTGGCCATGATTCTCCCCATGTGGACTGTCAACTCCACCGTCAACTCGGCTCTCACGGACTAAGTCGCCAGCACTAACTTCAAGGCCGGCCTCATGAGCTTCTGCATCGACAGCGAACTCACGAACACCAGCACCGCACTTGACCACTGCTTCTACTACAAGTTTGGCTCTGGATACGAAGAGCTCTCCGTCATCGACGAGAAGGTCTGGGCCGAGTACTCGCAGTACGCCACGTGCGAAGGCTACAGCAAGGCCGGCGATGTGAGCGACGCCGAGCGTCTCAAGTACACAACGGTGCTGGCCACTGCCGCCGGTATGGACGCCGAGCAGTTTAACAAGTTCCTGGACAAGTCGTGCGGTCTGCTGGGTATGGCCACGATGACCTTCGGCGGCATGAGCATGTCGAACGGCCTGATGGCCATTATCGCGATTGTCGGCGCTATCACATGCCGCAAGGGCGACAAGAAGTGGGTGGGCGGCGGCTTCTTCCTGGCGGGCGTGGCGTGCTTTACGGCCATGCTGACGTTCGTGCTGTGGGTGGTGCAGGCCAAGCCTCTGGGCAAGAAGGACGACACGTCGCTGAAGACGGCGTTCTTCCTGATGATCATCGCGATGCTGCACTACCCGCTAGCCATGTTCATGTTCTGGAAGCACCTACAGTTGGAGGGGGGAAAGCAGGGCGGATCGACTGCGTAAGACGCGAGAAACGTATTGTCTCCCAGCTGTGAGGAGACTTCGGGCAGCAAAAAATAAAACCGGGTATCTTGGGTTCTGCACTGATAGCACACTTTGACACTAGCAGGTTAATAACACGAGCAACAGAGCATGGCACTACTTACAGTTAGTTTATTACGCCCACATGATAACTGCTACATCAGCTCTCGAAGCTCCTAGCCAGCTAATTTCTGGCTGCTGGCATCAGCGACCCTGTATCAACGTGGCAGATTCGGTGATGAAAAAGTTTAGCAAATCGCCAAATATCCTAGAATCGCTGCATTACGATGCCTCAGATACAGCATCTGCAACGCGTGGTTCGATCTTCAACGAACGCGCAAAACACGACTCAGAATCCATGTACGGAACTGGCGAGCAAAGATATTCCTGAAAAGTAGTAGAGGCACAGTGAAGGTGTTAGTGTATGCTACCAAGCAGCTCGACGTAGAAATGACTTACCAACACCCGCTTGTCCGTAGGCAGCAAATACGGCGTCTTCTGGAAAGACAATACCCTGTGAATGAGGTAGCCGATGGAGCGAATTTTCTTGAAGTTAATCAGGTCTCCCTCCACCCGATCCGGAAATTCTTGGAGTGCAATGACGTTTTGAATCACCACGCCCATGTATGGGATCAACGGTGGTGTAGCTTCCTTGGTAAACTTGTTCAGCGGCCGAGCACCCTTCTCCGTAAGCGGCACCAGCTCCTGCCACAAGTCGCGCGCTTGCGGGGGTAGCCGACCCCACGTCTTCTTTAATCGGAAAATGGATGAATCATTCGCCGCATTCATCACGGCCATAAAGCCATCCAGATTTTGGAGAGGCGAGAGCAGTACACCAGCAACACGAATAAAATAGGCAAGGATTTCTGCACGCTGGTCCACGTCCCCTCGCATCAATATTTGGCTAACCACCCAAATGGAAATGTGGTTATGCAGCAGCCGTAGACGCTGGTATCCTGGTGTCTTCTCAGCGTTGCGTTTTGAGGCTAATACCTCGGACACTGGGGCATTAACGGTACACTATTAGAGTTCACTTCACGAACAAGGCAGCACATTTGCCGCTCACCTTTAATCTTGCTGAAGAGATAGTGCTGCATCAATGTAATCTGCTGCGCAATGATACTTGGGTCCAAATCCAAAATCCTGCCAAAAGAGTGAAAACGTGAGGATTAGAGATGTGAAATTCATGGGCCGAGCCATGCAATTCGTACCAGAGTCTTGCCATACGCTGCTCCCCAGGATAATTACGCCCCACGTTCACACCTCTTGGTTGCCACGGTGTGATGGTGGTCGATCGTCCCTCCGGCGGCGGCTCGAGGTTTTCTTCGGCCTTCACAACGAATGATTGTTTTGCCTCGCCGTTCATCCATACGCCAGCGAGCGACATCCGACGTCGCATTGCTTCCGTGATAATTTCCATTCCCGTTGCAGCAGCGAACAATTCGTCGTCGAGGAACGCAAGATTGGGGTGCGCTTGCTTAGCAGTGCAGATGAATTGCTTCAGCGATTTGTAATCACCTTCGCAAAACGAAAGCACCTGGAACTCCTGCATGCGCTTCGATTGACAAGCATCCACGAACTCGGGCAACAGAGACGAATCTAACCATTGAGCGCACTGTGGGTCTTCCTTCTTAAGTTCATCCTCAAGCGGGACAACTTCAGTGTAAAATTCCACCACGTAGTTCCAGACATCTATATCACACTCCACGGTGTGCTTCAAAATCTCCACCAGTTTGTTCAGTGCACTCAGCACCATTCGCCGCACGTAGAACCCAGCTTCAGTTCCCACAGAGAACCGCTGCCACAAATTCCGCAAAATATCAACCATTTCCTTATAGTTGTCTGCACCTCCGTTGCTTGCGTAACCACAGTACCAGATGAGCGCATTTAATTCCTCAAGACGATAATTCTCGAAGCGTAGCAACAAATCAGCAATCGCGTCAAACGTGCCGGCGATGATCTCCTCCACGCCATCATTCTCCTCCGTCACGAGATCCTTTATGCTCAAGGTTTTCCCGGACAGATCCTTGCGCCCAGTAAGCGACATTGGTATATCAGCTTGCTCGAGTTCATCAACATCGTCGTCGTCGTCGTCGTCAGAGTCATCGTTATCATCACCCATCTCACTGTAATCATCGATCATCGTAGCACAGCCATCACTGGAAGCACTCTCGTCAGCAAGAGCATGAGAAGAGCGACTAGCCTCAGCCATGGAAACTGCCGACTGTCCGTATATGTCACGCATTTCCGCGCTTGCGCTATCGCCCATTTTCGCAAGAAGGCACGCAAACAACTCATCGCACCCGTAAAGCGCAGCGTAATGCAAAGGCGTTCGGTACAGTTCGCAAACTGCAGACATGTCGGCACCACTCTGCACAAGGTAGTTCATCGTAGAAATGACCGAGGAGTTGTCCACATGAATGCTGCTGCGCAAATCAACCGTCGTCTGGTGATGATGCCTGTTGTGATGCTGGTCGTCTCCCATAGGTGACGGCACGGATGGGGACATCGCCGCGATTTTCTCCATAGCCATCCCGTGATCTTTGGCAACAGCAATCATCAGGGGCGTCAACCCTTCACTTGTGCGAACATCAACATCGCAACCATTTTCTATCAGCAGCTGACACACGCGTTGGCTTGCACTAGCTGCCGCAAAATGCAGTGGAGTCTCTCCATGCAACGTCCGAATGTCGACTTGGGCGCCGTAGTCTAGTAAACCCTCCACCACATTCGAGCGGCCACTTTTTGCTGCGAGCGCGAGAGCACTCATACCACGCTGCCAGTTCCGTGCATTCAAGTCGATATTGCTGCCCGCGTCCATAATCGCGTCGATTCCACCGAGGTAGCCCCTTTCTGCGAGCAGCATGACCGGGGTGTTGCCATAAATGTCCACAGTATCAACTGGCGCTCCATATGCAAGCAACTTCTTAATGACGAGGACGGCCTTGTCAGAGTCGCTAAACGTAGCCGAAGCACCATTTGCCGCTTTTGTTGTGTCACTAGTAGACGTATTAATCGTCGCGGGCATCACGCAGGGAGATCCAACCATATGCAGCGCGCTGCGACCGAACTCACCGATAGTCTTCACCTTTGCACCGACCTGAAGCATGTACGACACGACGTTGAAGTGAAGCGCACTGGCTGCAACGTGTAACGGCGTGTTGCTTCCACATTCGTGAGCGACATAATTCACATCTGCACCGTTCCCCAGCAACATTTGCACAGTGGACAGAACACCGCGCTGGCACGCATGCATAAGCGCAACGTTCCACAGCGCTTTGTTGGACGTCAGAATCTTGAAGTAACTGCTGCCCGGGATGAACGCCAATCTGTGGGGTGAAGCCGACTCGAGTAGCAGCTTCATGATGTCTTCGAACGGCCACAGAACCACGTTTTGGCCGTTTACCGTGACCAACACATAGCCGCGCGTGATGATAGTTCCGACAGCGGAGTACCCGTGGGGAGAGATATGCTCCACGACAGCACCATATTTGTATGTCGGTTCCATCGCAAACTCCAAGACACGCCGCCAATCTCCATCAATCGATAGAGTGATCTGGTCCTTGAAGATATCCTCCAGTACTGCCGGGATACTCACGTTGCTGATGAAGTCAACAGCGTGAGTCAAAATACTCAGCGATGTTTCATCGTCAGGAGACTTGCCGACGGCCCACGATCCGTTTAGCTCAGTCAGCAGCGTCTTGAGCGAAATGAGGTTTTCCAGCCCGCTGTTCGACAGCACATACGTAAAGATCGGGATGATGTCGTCGGTCTCAAGAGGCTCCAGCTCGGCAATCGTGTCGTGCTCCTCAGCGTACGTGGACTGGATCTCCTTGATCGTGCTCGTGAGGACGTCGTACTTGGCTGCTGGTAAATGGACTTGGGCAATCTGTGCAAGAATCCTAGACGCTTTCCTCCACTCCTTCCACGAGACCTGGTGCAGCGGGATGTTGAAGTACATTTGGTCTTTTCCCTGCAGCCACCGGACTTTGCGGTTGATGGAGGCCTCATCTTCATGGTACACGCGCCGTAAGTACGTGTTAATTTTCTCCTCCAGCGGGTGGAAGAGCACCTCTTCCACGTGGCGAGATACTGCTGACCGCAAAATATCGAGCGACATCGGCAGTGCGCTGGCCTTCTTGTCGATAGTGCCGTTCGTGTTATCATTGCCTGGATCCTTAAGAGCCGCCAAGATGCGCGCACCATGGTCTTTCACGATGGATTCTGTAAGCTTGGCGTGGAATTCACGGAACTGGCGCAGCGCACCAGAGCTTCGGTATTCGAAGGAGCTGGTAAAGCTCTTGAACTTGGCTGCTTCGGGGGACTTGCTCGTGTGGAGCACACGCCGCAATTCCGCTACGATACGGATACTGCGAGCGTCGATGGTCGTAGTGCGAATACCCTTGGACCCATCTCCCGACTGAAGCAGCCCGCTCGCAGCTGCAGTACCTAGCAGTGCTGCGGACGGCGGTATGGTGCTGCTCCCACCGCCTGATAGACTCTGCAGCAGACACACCCAGGCGCTGGCGTCGTCGTCGTTGGAACCTGAACACACAAACGAAAAGTCCTCGCCGGCCACTTCGAAGCAGAACGGCCTCTTGGTCTCGTCGGGCTCTAGGAAGCGCACCGACAGCATGCCGTCCTGCAGGTGCATCTCTCCGCGCAGCTTGCCGAAGTTGGTGCCCTTGTAGTACTGCAGCGAGGCCCAGTACTCGCCCGTGGCGATGCTGGTCCGCTTGATGAGCACAAAGTACCGGCGCTTCCACGTTTTCCTGCAGCAGCAGCAACAACAACAACCTCTCCAGTTAGCTCAACTCTACCATCAATCCTCGCACTGCGCCCACGTACATGACGTTGGCCTGCTTGTAGAGCCAGCCGCTGCGCACGATCTCGCGGTCGACGCGCACGGACGCCGAGTTCCTGCGCGAGCCCTGCGAGTTGCTGCTCGCGTAGCTGGCCGACAGCTCCGTGCGCGTGGCCGACATGCGCAGCAGCGTCTCCTGGTCGGGCACGCGCACGGCGCGGCCCGTGGGCACGCCGCGCCGCGCCGAGACGCGCCACGAGAACTTTTTGCTGCCCATGTGGCGGTGCGCGGCGCGCGCGTCCTCGGCGGTCTGCAGCACGGGCACGAAGTCGTCCTCCTCGGCGTCGTACTCGCCCACGACGACGCGCGCGCGGCCCGAGCCCGAGTCCTCGCCGTCGCTGGGCACGTCCACCTCGGCCTGGTCGGCGCCGTCCAGGCGGAAGCCGCTGCTGTCGCGCTCCGCCTCCAGCACGGGGATGTCGCCGTCCGACTCCCCGCGGCGTCTGCTGGGCGCGGCCGTGGAGGACGCGCGCAGCGGCGGCAAGGGCGGCGGCGGCGCGCGCCGCGTCACGCGCTGCAGCTGCACGGGGGGCGCCGCCACCTCGTCCATGAGGAAGGTGCTGAAGCTCAGCTGCCCGCCGCCGCGGCCCGAGTCCGTGGCGGGGCGCTCCATGTCGCGCTTGTCCGTGAGCGAGTCGGCGGCCACGCGGTGCAGGTCCAGCGCGCTGCGGTTCATGCGTCCGCGGAGTGCGGCGGGTTCTTCGCCTATTGGCCGAAGCGGGTAGTAGTCGCGCTCGGAATTGGCAGGGGGGCGGGTGGAGTACGATATCACGGGATATGCGTTGAAAGAGGTGCTTGGGAGTGCAGTCCGCCCTTTTTCTAGACGCAGACGGTAGAACTGGATCGGATCATGCAGGTTTTCGACCAGTGCCTCGACTCTCTGTACTGAGTGAATGACGGAGCAACACAACACTCTGGCTATTGCCGACCGTACCTACTGTACTTCTTCCTTGACGGGGATATCCCTACGGAGTCGATCCCTGCCGGCACGACTTCAGTGCCTCAATGGCCGTGATGCCACTACGCCCCGTAATAACGGTGCACACACACACGCAGCACTATTTGTATATCGTAGGCGGCGACTTCGACTTGGAGACGAGGCTGCTTCTATCAAATCGTCCACGTTGAGACGACGGGCGCCAGGTTGTGGGCGTCGGGAAAGCGTGCACGTGTCGTGCTCGCAGCTCCTCGCCGCGGCTCTGCTCGGGTCGCTCGCGACGGCGCGAAGGCGCGAATTGGAGGCTCGATCGGCGCAACCTCCGCGTGACGTTCGCCATCCAGTATCCTACCTACATTAGAGGACTACGTTCATGATGGTCGGTATCCCACAGGTGTCAACGAACCAATGCACCTAATGCAATGATTTACCTTGGCTGCCTGCGCACCGAAACCAGCATTGCCTCGCCGATCGCAGCTGGCTGAGCCGCAGGCTGAGTCGGTGCCGCGTCACGTAGATACTTTCGCGACGGGGCCAGACCCAGCTCGCCAACTTCTGGAGGCGATGGATAGGCTCTTGAACTGCAAGTCGATTTCCAGTTGAAAGAAGTCTAAAGAACCAACGTGCCCACCTTGGCATGTTCCAATTTGCCTCCTCCCCGACTAACGCTGCATTTGTCACGAAAGTCGGAAAGTTTAACGTCTTCGTTCATTGACTCCGATCGTCTGCCTTACTCAGTCGATGTTGCTGATCCGGTGTGCTTGCTACCTCAGCATAATATTATTCTGCCCTACTGAAAAGCCCCCCCCCACCACCACCACCACTTGAACGCATGCCAGAGCATGTCAACGCGTCGCCGAGAATGCGTCACCCGATGCCAGACACCGATTCATCGAGCACAGCGGATGAGTCGCTGACTTTGAACAAGCCATCGTGGCTTCTAACGTGCACGCTGGCATGTACGGGTATCCATGCATGATAGGCATCAGAAAGCGAGGATCTTTACAGCCACTAAAGCCACAACCATTGGGCCAGCAGGTGACGACAAGTGCAGCACCACCCTGGACTCGCAGATGCATCTACTGTACTGTACTCGGAGTGCAGTTGTGCGAGCGACGGCGATGGTGAACTTTGACCCCATAGGCGACTTCGACTTCAGCTTCCTCAGTTCGAGGTGATCGTCTCGGTGCTCACGGGTGCCTTGATCGATTTACCTATCCACGACACCATCCAAAAGGGAACGAATACCAACGAACGACTGTTATGCGTTGGCTCGAGCCTCTGGCCCAGCATCGACGCCGCTTGCAGTAAAGATGAGCGACGCAGAATTCGACTGAATAAACTCTTACGAATGCTTGGTACTGAAGACGAGTTCCTTGATAAGGTCGTGCGCTCAGAGGTTGAGTTCAGTTTTAGCTGGCTAAGGATAGGCTGGTGGTGGCGAACGCGTTGTTGTGTACGCCCCGCTTAGCCATCAAGTGAAGGACTGCTTGTTTCTACTGCCGGCCGCTGAATTTAGCTCGTCCTGGGGCCCGTCGACACAGCTTCTGGCTGTGGATAAGGAAGCTGGACCAGTGTCTGTTTGTTGACATTGGACTGGGGTGCGAAAGCGTGTTGGGTTGCGTGTGCCATGGATGTGATCGAGACAGACAGGGCCCACGTGCAGGTGAACTCAGCAGGCGCCACCAGCTATGTGAACAACTACAAGATCATGACCATGTTGGGCGAGGGCACCTTCTCCAAGGTCTATCTGTGCCAAAACGAGGCTGGCAACGAATTTGTAAGAGCGTTGGATAACAACATACCACAGCCGCTCCTTGTGCTAATGCTTTGGTTTTCACTATGCAGGCACTCAAGGTTATCAACAAGTCCATCCTAAAGCGCAAGCGCGAGTACAAGCGCGTCGACGGAAAACTCATGCTCTCCAACGCCTTCCAGGTGAAGTTCGTTTCTGGTGACGCCCCCAACGCTGCAGGACTGATGCTCTCTTCTCTCTAGAAAGTTCAAAAGGAAGTGGCCATCATGAAAAAGCTAGCGCACTCGAATCTGGTGCGGCTGTACGAGGTGATTGACAGTCCGGCCGACGACAAACTCTTTCTGGTGCTGGAGCTCATTCGAGGTGGTCAGATCATGTACTGGGACGACAAGCAGTTCCGCTACTTTGCACGCAATACTTCGAGCGGCGTACTGGACAAGGACATGGTGCGCGAGTGCTTGCGCGATGTTGTGGCTGCCCTCGATTTTTGTACGTCTCTTTGCTTTGATATGCTTTTAAATTGCCAAAACACCAACTAAAGGTTGTGCTTCCATGTTGGTCCAGTGCACCGCAACCACATCTGCCACCGTGATATTAAGCCCGAGAACATCCTTCTGTCTGGTACCCAATACAAGCTCGCCGACTTCGGCGTCGCGTACATGAATGAGGATGCACCAGCAGTTGCAGCCAAAGCGGGGGACGCTGCCGCGTTAAGACTTCGTAGCACGGAAGGAACGTACCATTTCCTGGCCCCCGAATGCACCACAGGAGATGAGTACGACCCGTATCAAGTGGACGTTTGGGCACTGGGAGTGACCATGTTCACGCTGCTAGTTGGAATGCTACCGTTTGGTACGAGTGTTGCGTCGTTGAGTGACGTTATGACTTCAATTCGCGAGGACCCGCTGATCCTTCCCCCCGACCTCGACCCGGAGTGTGCCGACATGCTTACAAAGCTCATGGAAAAGAACCCTCGGCTCCGTATTACGATCCCACAGCTCAAGACGCACCCATGGATCTCACGATCAGGTGGCGAGTTGGATCGGAGACCGTCAGGACTCGAAGTCATGGTCACACAGCAGGAGATCGAAGCGGCCTTCACGCCCGTCAACAACTTTATCCTCGTCATGAAGCTCAAGATGAAGATGTCCTCGCGCTTAAACAGCGCCCGAAAGTCGCTCGCGAGCAGTCCAAACAGCAAGCGGCGGGTTGAGGCGGTACCCGTCACAAAGCACGTTCCTCTTGCTTTGACTCCACTAAGCGCAGACAAATTCGATGAAGGGATCGAGCTTGTCTCGTCAAAGACTATGGAGATGGCTCCGAGCGAGCAGCCGCGCGCAGGCAACGACCGATTGCAACGCCGATCGAGTCGCTTGGTCGAGTCGATTAGTGAGACGGTGGGCTCCCTGACGTCGACCTTGACTCGTCGAAAGAGTCAGATAGGGGCCGCTATTTCGTCAGCATTCGACAACACAGTCACTGCCGCGTCGCCCCCTGCAACAGCAGAAAACTCGCCAGACAAGCCAGACGCTAGTGGTCGTCCACGCCCACGCGTATTGCTGCGCAGCATGTCACGACGTAACTCGTCTATCCGATCACTTATCCCTGACATCTCCCAACGCACAGACAGCGCGAAAGCACCGGGAATCGTAAAGGACGATCCATCGCCAACCAAAGGCGATGGAGAAATAGAGGACAAGTCCGCCAGAAAAGCAGAAGAAGGGAAGCTGTTGGCCTACAGACTGACAAAGCGCAAGTCGACCTCACTCCGAGGGTTCTCGCGGATAATCGAGATCCCAGAAGGCGCGGGTACATTAGAATCAACAAGCCCGACAAACAGGAAAAAGAGGCGAGAATCGCTACCAGGAGGGAGGGACCCCACTACTGCGCTCCCAGCACCAGATACGACAGCCTCTGTATCACCTGTTGAAAAGGACGCATCCGCAAGCAAAGCCGAGAATGACAGCAGTCCACCGCCGCGAAGGCTATCACGGAAGAACTCCATGTCATTCCGAGCATTAGTCGCGACACCCAACTTATCAACGTCTGTGGATGGCAACGAAAGCGAAGTAAACGCTGGGGTTGCTCTGCCTTCTGAGAGCAGTGGTGATGGTTTGCAGCAAAAGGAGCAGTCGACGGCGCGACTTGCCACCACACGGCCCGTCATTCTTTCACGGAGACTATCGACAAAAAGTACTCGGTCCATTCGGTCGTTGGGCATTTCCACTGAATCGTCTCCAGGCGAAGCGCGAGCAAAGCAGACACCTCCACCGAACGAGATCCCTCAAGTGCAGCCCTCTCCGAAAGAGGGTCTTGGCTCTGATGATGCAGTCTCACCTGTTCACACGAGCAACGAGTCCCCCATCAAGTCTGCCTCCCCGAGCCCGACTCGTGCGATATCTGCGCAGCTATCGAGACGCCACTCGATGTCGTTTCGAGGTCTTGCTCCGATGTCGCAGGACGCAACGGAGACGGAGGCATCGCCAAATGGCGACGCGTGCAGCAAGTCGCCCCTTGGGTCTAGCGGGAATGAGTCGACGTTGAGTGCTGGGGGTACTTCACCAACCCCATCGAGCCCGACCAGCAAGCTGTCACGGAGACTGTCACGTCGGGCGTCGACCTCTTTTCGCGCTCTACCCCCTACCATCGATGTACCAAAGCGTGATGAAGATCTCAAGGGAGGTGAAGGTGCTGCTCCCAGAATTTCTCCGAGCGAGTTGTCGCCGATCAGAGCTGCGATTGATTCCCCGACATGCACAGCACCAGCTTCGTCACCAGTCAGCAGCAGCTCCGATACAGCGACCTCCCCACGAACAATCCCTCCAACCAGCCCACTCGGCTCACTGAAGGTGAAGATCAATGGATCGAGCGACGAAGACATTTTGCAGCCCATCCGAAAGGCGAAGCTGCCGGTTCTGGAGATGCACCTGTCGCCGATATCGTCGCCCTTGACGTCCCCCGCCGCTTCCCCGCGCAAGGTTCTTAATGCCAGTGACGATGAAAAGTCGGAAGACTCGGCTACACCCCGAAGACGCTCGAGCAGTCCGTCCAAAACTTTAGAGACAACGGGTCTCGCGTCGTTCAAGCCCTCCCCTCTACAACGAAAGCGGTCCTCCAGCTTGAACCTGGACGGGTTTTCGTCCAGCTCGGACGAAGGAGAGAAACAGTCGGTCTCGGTTCCGAGCAGTGTTGGCAAGAGTCATTCGCCAACAACTAGCCGACCCCAAAGCAGCCTTCCTCCTCCAGTACTGGAGGACCCAGACTCAAAAAAAACGCGCAAAAGAGCGACCTTACCAAGCAGACCGAGGTCGCCCCTCCCTGAGTCCGAAAAGAGGCCTCAGTCGCCGCCAAAATCCTCAGAAGACGACGATTCCAACAGTGCGTTGACGCGGAAGTCGTCCCTGGCGAAGGTGCTGGATGAATGCTTGACTGCTGGCCGGGCCGCTGACCGAAATATTGACACGCTAGCTCCGCCACCCGAGGCAACTGAAGCTCGAGTGAAGCCCCTCACACCCACCCGACGGCACCAAGTCCCGCCTCTAGTTCGACCAGAGCTCGACCACAGTGCGCTCAGTCATGGACGCCACCACCAGATCGCGCCTTTGGGCTCCATCGAGAAGCCCCCACGAGTGGAATCTGCGACCGAGCGAGACGGTCATCGGTCTCGGCGGAGGTCCCTCGTCCAAGCTCAGGACTCGATGCGGGCGCTGTTCGGCGGCAAGAACACGGTCCGCCTGAGTATGCTGGACGAGAAGCGAGGCGCCAACTATGTCACGCCCAACAACGCCAGCGCCAACAAGTCCAAAGTCTGTGGCATCATGTAAACTTAGTTATTACTTTAAACAGAGGAGCGAAGTACAGGATAACTACTGTATGAACAACCGCCACGACAAGCTTTCCTGTGCGAATCCTCCACAAAGCCAAGAGAAAGTTCTTGTGAATCGACGACTCGACGTCGGTCAAAGATGTGGCGGAGGAAGCCCCCACAGAAAGTTTTGGCTTCAATGTAAAATGCAACGGGTCGATCCTGTGGTGTGGGTATTCGTGCAGTGTAGTTGGGTTTCTCTATTGATTTCAAGGGGTCAAAGCTCAAACATTGCTGTCGCGCGCCACACACTCGACCACTCTTGAGCTTTTGGCGGGACCCCCCTCTAAATAGTGACATCGTCACGATTCGAGCGAGATTCGTCCACTCTTCAATTAGCCGCTTCAACAGCAAGTGACTCGCTCACAGGATGGCGGTGCAGGCCCCCGCTCTACCGGCCATCGCCACGGGCTTCGTGCGCAAGTTGTACCGCATCCTGGACCACGAGAGCGCGGCGGTCATCGCCTGGGACGCCGACGGCGCGTCCTTCGCGGTGCTCGACCCGGACGCCCTGGAGACGAACGTGCTGCCGCGCTACTTCCGCGGCCGGCTGAGCGCCTTCCAGCAGCAGCTGAAGGAGCACAGCTTCAGCTCGGAGCCAGCGGTGCAGGGCCAGGAGCGCTACCGCCACCCGCTCTTCCGAAGGGGCTGCCCCGAAATGCTCAACCAGATCACACACACGCCGTTGCCTCGGAAGAGGCCCCCGAGGAGGAAGAAGCGCAAGCAAGCAGAGACCGATGCACCCTCAGCAGCTACCACGAGTGAACTCAAGGTAGTCAAGAGCAGCGCCGATAGAGGCGTCCACCGACTTGCACCGCGCCCAGAACCGGAGCCGCAGTACAAGCACGCCACTGTGGACTCGGCAGTGCTAGCGGGTAACCCCCTATTTGCAGAGGACGAGTCCTCATTGAGCGGGTTCGTGCCAGGACTGACGGTGGACAGCTTGGCAGTGCAGCCGGTGGAGCTCACTACACCATTGGTCAATGGGCTCAAGGAGGAGGCGATGCCCGACGACGTCATGGAGGCTTTGATGCCATTGCTGAGCACGTCCCTGTCCACGGACGGACGAGAAGCGATGAAAGCCGCTGCGTCTGGCGTTGGAGCCAACAGCACAAGCAGCACAGGCAGCCACAACATCTTCGCAGAGGGCCGACCGACGGTTGTACTACCGCCACTGCCTCCGGGCATCGTCGAGAACGGCCAGTTCTCCAACGACACACTCGACAACCTCATGCGCTGGGCCTCGGCCAACGGAGCCAGCGCCTCATGAGCCAAGCACAGCAACTCAACAAACTCAAGAAATACTTACCGTATCTGCGTTGTTAAATAATGTTGCAACTCACTGCAACTTCCCCCCGTCATAATGACATCAAATAGTGCCTTGGACACTTGCCCCGGACAGTCTGCACCCTCTTTCACTTGCTCTTTGCAATCCGCTCCCCTCTCTGTCCGGCCCCAACCGCCCGTTTCCCGATAATAATTAGTCGATCAGTGGGTCGCCATGGCGGTGGGCATCCCCACGGGCTTCGTTCGCAAGCTGTACCGCATCCTGGACCACGAGAGCGCGGCCATCATCTCGTGGGACGAGGGCGGCGCCTCCTTCTCCATCCACGACAGCGCGGCGCTGGACGCGCAGGTGCTGCCGCGCTACTTCCGGGGGCGGCTCTGCGCCTTCCGCCAGCAGCTGCTGGACCACGGCTTCGCGCGCTGCGACTGCGAGGAAGACGACGTGCGCGAGGAGTACCGCCACCCGGACTTCCTCAAGGGCCAGCCCGGCCGGCTCAGCAAGATCGAGCGCAAACCCACGCGGAACGCCAAGACAAAAACGAGCAAAAACGTGTCGGCTCCGGCGGTTGAAGCGCCCAAAAGGATCTCGCTCAAGGTGACGCTCAATGTGCCGCCCCCGCTGGACGCCAGGAAGAGGGGGCGCAGACAGGAGCAGGAGGTTGTGCAACCCACCAAGAGGTTGAAACCCACTGCCGAGTTTCAGCAGCAGCAGCAGCAGGTTCCAGCTAAGAAGGCCAAGAACCCGCTCTTCTCGGACGACCCCGAGCCGGGGGCGATGTCGCTGGCCAAGTTTGTGGAGGGCACGGGGCTGTTGCCCGCCAGCTCGGAGCTGCCTGACCCGATCAGCTACCTCAGCAAGGCGGCCAGTAGTGCTAAGGAGAAGACTATTGCACCAGCAGCACAGGAGACGACAGCGGTGGCCCATATGTTCTCGGATGATATGGTTAAGTCGACGCTGTTCTTCCTACTGTCGTCCTCGTGCACTGGAGTTGAGGGAAATAGTGCTGGGGCCGCTACGCAGACGACCGCCACGACGGCCCCAAATACCGCTGCAGTTGCTGCGACGGATGCCGCGTCGACCCTGGCGACGGCTATGACGACCTCGACCACGGGTTTCCTAGCGTCTTTGCTCGCTTCTTCATCAACAGGAGGCACAGCCGCGACGCCGTTTGCGCGCGGTAATAACCCGCTATTTAGTGACCAGACGACGGACGGAGACGACGACAGCATCTGGAATATCCTCGTCTCGTCATCCGTGGACCGCGTGCGCAGTGCAATTGACGGAGTACAGTCCCCGCAAGAAAAGTTGCGGTTGATTCTGGAGGAGCGAGAGAAGCTGGAGGAGCAGCGCAAGAAGGTCGGCGCGCCGGCGGGACCCATCGTGCCTAGGATATCTGAGTGCAATGCACCGGCAGCACTGGAAACTTCTCGACCACAGCAACAACAGAACCCACTCTTCGCCACAGAACCTACTTCAGACTTGAGAATGGGACTACGAAGAGAGCCGGCTGAAGACGATCTGTGGAAGCTGTTGATGTCATCGTCCATCGACTCGTTCAGGCGGGTAACGGACCTGGAACTGTGATCGACAGGCGGTAGGTGGAAAGTTTAGGGAGATTTCAATAACACTGCGATGTGGATTGTATTACTTTGTCGTCATGATGAATGTTTGTGTGTTGATATGCGGCGTGCTACTCGTAGCGAAGATTTTAATGAATGAGGAGTACTGTAGTTCCGAAGCTGACGATACCGACATTTTGAGTCGTGCATGCATGGTGGTCCCAGGGGCGAACCTACATACAAACTAGGGGGGGGGCACCGCTCCCCTCTCAGACTTTGGTGCTGGGTCTCTGTCTGGGTGGTCCGTCATCGTACCGTGAGCGGCGCCACGCTGAACAACCGCCCGCGTTGCACCGATGTAAAGGTAGACTTCAATGCGCGGATCGGAGTACTGTCGACGAGGTGCGCTTCTGCAAATATCATTTTTTGTTCGTTTAGGACAACTTCAAGTCGGCGGAATCGCAAATGTTTGTTGAGTTGTTGGGTACTATCACATTCCAGCCACGGCCCCCATCCACAATAGTTTTTCCAAGCCCTCCAATCCCGTTATCAGCATGGCGCGTTTGCTGGGATTCTTTGAGACAACGGTGCCAAGCTGGTTGATGTCGTTCTGGGTGACCTTGAACTTCGACTTCTCGAGAGCAGCCGCAGCTTGTTGTACCTCAGGATTCTTTACCAACTTCTCGATCGATTCGGGGTTGTTTGCCAACTTGGTGAAGAACTTCGGGTCGTTCTCCACCGCCGTCTCCAGCTTCTTCATGACGGGGCTATTTCCCAGGGCTGCTGCAACATCCGGATCTTTGCGCAAGTTGTTGATCTTGTTGCTGAGGCCGGTGCTTTTGGTCTTGCTGGAGAGGTCTTTGGGTTTGATCTTTGCTAGGACCGAGGAGAAGATTCCTCTTTCCTCCCTCTCAGCATTCTTGTCGTTGACCGAAGCGTGGTCAACCATTGTAAGTGGACGGTTTCTCGTTGCCTGCAGCGTGTCGGTGTGGTCATCGGTAGCCACGATGCCGTCGGATGTTGCACAGATACTGAATAGCAGGAGAAGTAAAAGCGGTGGGCTAGCTGCATGGTCCGCGTCTTCGTCGAGTTAGTTGGAAAAACACTGGTTGGCTTGGGGCTGTGCTGTCGAAAGAGCGGATTTCCAACTGGCAACTACGAGCACGCCGCAGCCATGACTTTTACCTACCGTGCCCACTTTTTTAAAACAATATAAATCGAGAAACAGGGCAAGCATTGACCGTTACATATAAAGTAGCACCATTTCATCATAGTTGTTGTGTCTCTGTAGATTACCATAATGTCATACCCTTTTAGACTTTACTGCGTGGTTTGCTCAGTTAGCAAACGGATCCGTATCGTGCACAAAGCTAAACCTCGTTTTTTTACTAATCAATCAGCAGTTTGTTCGTCAACCACATAGATAAAACCATGATTTGCTTTTACTTCGGCACATTTATTTCATGGGAAAGCCCTTCAGCAGCAGGTCGAACGTGCGTGCGTGAACCGGCTTATGCCGAGACAGTAGCTAGTGCACGAACATCACTGCATAGTAACGCGAGCCTTCGAAATAAAAATGGCGGGGGTAACGTGCTGAACGCGAGATTAAAGCCACTTCTTACTCATTTTTGGCCCAGTTATTTCGTGATGCGGTCGCCAACACCAACCAAAAACAGCAACAACCAAAACCACGAGTGCTACTCCAACTACAGCCGGGGCCGGCTTCCTTACCAGCCACCCCATGGTTCCAAGGGCCTCCTTCAGCTTACTAGCTTTGGCGGGATCCGTGGCAACAACTGCGCGGAGCTGGTTAATGTCGTTCTTGGTGATCTTGACGTTCGACTTCTCCAGCGCAGACGCAACTCGTGCCATATCCGCCAATATCTTGACAGATTCGGGAATGGCTTCTTAAGTTGGAGAAGAACCTCGGGTCCTTCTCCACTGCCGTCTCCAGCTTTTTAAGGGCAGGGCTTTCCAGAGCTGCGGCCACGCCAGGATCCTTGCGCAAGCTGTTGACCTTGTTGTCTAGGGCGATGTTTTTGTTTTTGCCGAACATACCCTTGATCTTCGCTAGGCTTGCGGAAAGGACCCCTCTTTCCTCGGTCTCGGCATCGTGAGCATCACCCTTCGTGAGTAAACGCTGGGTATTGGCCTGCAGGATGCTGGTTTGGCCTTCAGTCGCTACGGTAGCGTCGGATGTCGAAAGGATGGCGAACAGCAACAGGAGCAGAAAGTGCATGCTTTTCCTTCGTCGAGCGTCGAGCTGAAGAAAACGCTGGTTGGTGGCTTTGGGCGAAGGAGCCGATTGTAAAGTGGCAATGACGCCGAGCGCCAACCACCAGAGACATTGTACTCATTGTTCTCTCTACTAATAGTCAGCATGATTCAAATACTAATTGCGCCGTGTACTAATACTTGGATAACATACAGATATTTTTCTGGGATAGCAGTAACCCCGGAGGGCAGCCCAACACAGATTAATTAGGCGGCACCTCGGTAGCTGAAGCCGGTAATACTGAAGCCGGAAAACTGGCCCCGGTAACTGAAGTTAACTGATTGTCTATACTTTCCATCTCAAATCCGAGACAAGCTCGAGATGTCGGGGATCAGCGGTGTCAGGTTGTCGCCGCGAGGCCGTAAGTGATGCACATTCAACTACATGTATTAATATTACTTGACAGGTAAGGAAGTACAACGCGCGTTTTCAATGGTGCACCTCCAGCCGAACACACGCACCAAGTACGCCCCGAACGATCCGTCACCTCTTTAACCCCCTCGCACTCAAGTGCGTCTAGTACTACGTTGCTGAGGTGGCTACTAAAAGAATAAAGAAAGAAAAGTTTGCGTCTGCAGAAGATGATAATGGTCGACGGGCGAAAAGCTCATAAATAAAAAAATCCTGATAGGCATTAAGTCAATGTAGCAGATGCTGCGGCTGCGAAGCAGGCGCAGGAGATGCGTTGTAATGGAAAGAAAATTTACATGCCAGGTAACAGGTAAGTCGTAGATTTCAGAGCTTCTTCGTGCAACGCGTGCGACTTTGTTTCTCGTTGAATTGCTGCTATGGCGATAGAGATAGTGGCGGAGCGACCGCGGTGAAGATGCTCACACTAAGTTCGTTAGCTATCCAGCCTATGCATAGCTCTCGTTTCCCTGCAAACCAAATAGGATGTGGTCGCCAATGAGTACAGTAGAGGCCGTAGGCAGTTTAGCAGTATGCCTCATCTTTGAATTCACGTGTCTCCCGTCGAATACGTAGAATTGACTAGATGAGTCCTTCGTCACTTTCTGCCTTTTAGCTGGGTCGGTCATAACAAATACTTAGTAGGGGATATCGATACAGACCACGCGCTTACTTTTAACTTAAAAGTACACCCACTGCTTCATGAAAAATATTTGTTACGTTTCAAAGCAAAACCTGCCGTATGGGGAGACACGTATCTCAAAGAGTTGACTCCAACATGTTCCTGGCACTGCGGAGTCTACTGTCGTACCGGTACGTGAGTTCCCCGGAATGAACGCCGCGCTGTATCTTGTGCAAGTATTAGTATGCTGTACAACTCGTACAGTGTCACCTGTGATGATTAGTACAGTATACAATGAGCATAAGTGTAATGGTGGCGCTCGCCGTCAAATTCAGTCTGAAATCGGCTGCAGAACCCAAGAACACCCTATTTCCCCCCAAGGGAGCTAGAGCGCGCAGCATGCAGCTCGCTCACTTTCTACTCCTGCTACTGCTCATCACCGTCGCGAGATCTGACGGCACCGACGGCCAGACCAACGCCCTGTACGCTGAACCCCACCGCTCGCCTATGAAGAATGGCATGAAAGATGGCAACCCCAGCACTGGCGAGGAAGACAAGGAGGAAAGAGGACTATTCTCTTCTGCTTCGGCGAAAATCGAGAGTGTGTTCACCAAAAAATAGAATGCCGCGCTCAGCAACAAGATCAAAAGCTTGCGCAAATGTTGCGACGGCTCTGGAGAACAGTCCCGTCATGAAAAAGCGGGAAGCAACGGTGAAGAACGACCCGAGGTTTTTCACGAAGTTGAATAACAATCCTGAATCGGTCAACTAGAGGCGAAGCTTTGGTCTGGGAGGACAGTGTAGACTTCCTTTGTGTGCCTAAATTTATAAACGTGGGGTAGGCAAGAATAATGTAACGTGAAAGTTGGTGGCAAGTTTTCAAACCCTGGTGTAGCGCCTTGAAAAAAATGGCGAAGTTGCCGCGCAAAAGAAACGAAAGAACTTAAAGGCGCGCTCGGCCGGGGGCTTTGCCCCGGCCGAGCGCTATACAAATTTACACAAGAAGGATTCATGGGGTTTAGTCAATGGCACTCACTGGAGTCCCCGACTGAGCGGCATGCGACGCGGCGTTTTTCCCCGACTGATCCGACTGAGCCCCGACACCGCCCCGACTGAGAAAAAGAGCCGGAGCTCGAGCTATACAAGGCTTCATGTATACTGGATAGCAAAATCGTGTGGGTCACACGAAAATCAACCCGACTCCGTCGTGTCATCCAGTCGGGAAAAGAAACCCGACTGAGACGCACCAGTCGGGCCAGTCGGGTTGCTAGACTGAGTCTGGTTGACTGGTCTGTTGCGTTTTCCTGGTCACGCTGAGTCGCTGCGGAGGTGGCGACGCAAAGGACTGCGGAAGTACCCGCATCTCGCACTACGCGGTCGTTAGTAATTTGTATGGACGAGCAGCACTGCGGTGATCTCTGCAACGTGTCCATCAGGTCAAACTATAGCATTCGTATCATTAACTAGAACTACCTTACACCACGAGCATGTTCAATGGGTTATTTTGTCAAAACGTGATCACGTGCACACTAAGTAACTGCTAGCGGCAACAAATTTCTGTCGGGCTCGATCGGTTTGACCCGACCAAACCTAATCACGCTACGAAGTCTTCGCCGCGACGTGGTGGCGTGGAGCCCGTTGCGAGAGGCGCAGCTTGTGATGCCGTTGTTCATCGCTCCTCGCGCCTGCAGGCCTTGCCCACTCTGCCGCTCCCAGGCTGCGAATCTCCCCCCGTTTGCGCACCTCCGCGATGTCCCTAGCCGACGTGTCGTTGGTGCTGGGTCGTTGCATGTCGTCCTTTGCATCTACAAACGTGCACACATCGCATACAGCTTTCAATCAACATTACCTTGACGCACGAAGCGATTATTCTGCTTCTCGGCGGAGCTGTTCTCTCGACCTGTCCGGTTCTGAAATGGCAAACGAAATGGGTGGTGACCAACGGTATACAGGAGGGGTATACAAGTGGCGGATGATCTCTTACAACGGCACGAAATGATTCAAAAGTTGGGATGTGCCCAGTCGGGGAACGCAGGCACTTCCTTAGTCAATTTACAGACGCAGGATAGAGTGCAATCCGTTAGTTGTTATTTCAATGATTTTGAGTAAATGTTAGCTTATAACGAAAAAATGCAGCTATCCTAGTTATGATTTTCCGAATAAATTTCATAAATTCAAGAGCTGCTCACTACAGTGTGTGGTACACGCTACGGATACGGTCGATATTCTGGGAACAATCAGCCACGAAACGTACAAACTCCTTGATGTTACGGTAGCCATAATCTGTGGACTATGGACTCAGGCGACATTTGCCAATTAAAGTTGGGGGGGGGGGGGGGCCGGCCGCTGAAATAAAATTGGTTAGGCTGTCCAGCCAGCTAAAGCTGTCCTCCCAGTATAAATAGATGGATAACCCCGATGTACAACGAGCTGCGACTGCTCTGGAGAAGGCCAACGTCAAGATCACCAAGAGCGACATGATCCAACTCCGCTCTGCCGTTTCCAAAAACCGCAGCAAATCTGACATGATGATAGAAGCTTTAGAGGTCGTGGGGGGGACTGTTGACGCTGACGGCCTTGGTTGGATTTGCTGGGGGGTTCTTGTATTTGTTTGTTGTGATGGTCCAGACCCAGACTGCGTCAAGGGGGTGATCAACTGGGCGCCTAAGGCAGACCAGCAGATTGAGCCTTATGTCACGAGTTTCTGAGCCGATTCCTACCACAATGCTCCAAGACTCGGTCAAATTCTATAGCTCCGCTTGTACTTCGAATGTGTGAATTAGGACGAGGAGGAGTTACCGATACAGAACGGGCCACATTTCTTGTCACTGTGTGTGGAAACTAAACGGAAGTTAGAACTGCTTGTTGAAAACCATCATGTGTTGATACCGGCACGAATCCCTAATACAATCAAAAGCAAGAAAAACACTCCAAAGCCAGCAAGGACCGCCATCCCCAATATTGCCTCCAAGACCTCTAATCCTTGTATGAAAATGTCAAATTTGCTCGGGCTCTTAGAGGCAGCCGCTCGGAGCTGGTTGACGTCTTTTTTCATGATCTTGACGTTCGACTTGTCCAGCGCAGACGAAACTCGTTGAACCTCGGGGTTCTTCGCCAACTTCTCGACCGATTCGGGATTGTTTTTTAACTTGGTGAAAAACTTTGGCTCGTTCTCCACCCTCGACTTCAGCTGCTTCACCACAGGACTTTCTAGAGCCGCCGCCACATCCGGATCCTTGCGCAAGCTGTTGACCTTGCTACCGAGACCGGTGTTTTTGCCATACGGTGGAGGAAAAAAATCCTCTTTCCTTCGTAAGCATGCGGTGGCTTGTAGCTTGGTGGATGTGAGTCTGCTCTTCGGTTGTCACGTAGCCGTTGGCTGTTACAGCGAGAGTGAAGAGCAGGAGTATAAGGCGAGCTACTCGCATGCCTTGCGCGCCTCGTCGAGTGGGAGACGCACTGATAAACTTGGGGTTGTGCAGGCTAAAGAGCAGATTTCGAACTGGTGATGGCGAGCGCACCGCAGCCACGAACTGACAGGGAGAACAATGAGTCTTTATGAGTTGCTCTAATACTCCTAATGAGTAGCGCATTCCTGGACATTCAAACAGGATAGACCCTACCCACACCCTGCTCGATATGGCATGTGTAGAGAGTTTTGAGTATACTAGTTTAACATCGTTGAGTAATGTCAGTTTTTGGGGACAAAGCCCCAGGACGTCTAGAGGTTTTGGTTGATTGATAAGCACTTTGAAGAGATTTTGGCCGCCGTCAATGGAACAACGCTCAGCGGTCGAAGCTGTTTCAAAAAAGAGAGTACGAAGGAACCGATAACAGAAGATGGTCTGTGAAAGTTGATGCCGCCCACTACTGTAACCTACCTGAGGGTGTAAATCGAAGGAGATGAAAAGTTTCGGAGAGGCGGGTGTCGATGTGGTGTCGTGGACAATTTGTGTCGTCGTGCACTTCTCACTGCAGCGATGATTTCACTCGATGCGATGAAGGTGCACGAGGGACATCAATCTAGGCAACAGCATCACGACTTTAGGCCGTTATAAACTCCCCACCCCATCAAATAGAAGATTATTCCCGTAAATAGAACCAAGGGCGCCACTTTTAGTATAACCCGCAAGACCAAAAGTCCGTCATCTAGCATGCTTGCTTTGCTGGGATTCTCCGCGACAATCGTGCGAAGCTGGTTAATGTCGTTCTTGGAGATCTTGATGTTCGACTTCTCCATAGTTGCCGCTGCTCGTTGTAACTCGGGGTTCTTTACCAATTTCTCGACCGATTCTGGATTGTTTTTCAACTTGGAGAAGAATTTCGGATCGTTTTCCACCGCCGCCGTCAGCTTTTTCATCACACGACTATTTCCAAGAGCCAATGCTCCATCAGAGTCCTTGCGTACGCAGTCGAGCTTGTTGCCGAGGTCTACGATCTTGTTTCTGCCGAAAACGCCCTTGATCTTCGATACAACGGAGGAGAGAACTCCCCTTTCTTCGATGGCAGAATATCGGGAGTTGCTGGACTTGTAGCCATTTCCATTAGCAACGCTGGGCTCCTCCTTCGTCAGTAAGTGGCGGGTCTCAGTCTGCAGTGTGTTGCTCCGGTCATCACGAGCGGCCACGATACTGCAAGATGTTGCGATGAAGGTGAACGGTAGCAGGAGTATGAGGTGAAATCGCTGCATGTTTCACGTCTTCGTCGAGGATAAACCGGCGGCTGTCTTGGCGATACGTGGACTGAAGGGGCGATTCCAAACTGACTTTGGCGAATTATTGAACCGCAGGCGTGACTATTAGTCATGCAGCTATACTAATACGATATTAGTAAACCCATCGACTGAGGGTATGTATCGCATTTGGTTCATACTGTATGTTACTTAGTATAACCAACAACAAAAAATAAACAAAACCACTCCCGTATGCGTCGTATTCACTGGTAGCAAGACCATGAAAAGGCCTATGTAAGGATCCTGGTGCGAAACAAAGTTTTGTTCGGCGGCTTCCCTAGGCTTAGAACTCGTCCGGGATGCACTTGCTAGTGGCCGTTTCCGCGTACCAGGTGCCACCGTACGCGGAATACGCTGCAAAGCCGGCGCATCCGGGGTCACCTCGTTAATTGCTCCGGTATCATTCGAAATTCACGTAGTACAGGCCGTAGCGCTGCTTGTAGTTGCCCCACTCGTAGTTGTCGACGAACGACCACGCGTGGTACCCGATGATCGGGATGAAGTCCTCCGTGATGGCCTTGTACACTTGCTTCAGGTGCGTCTGGAAGTACCAGAGCTGGTCCTGATTGTCGATGGTCTCGTTGCCGCACCAGCCGTTCTCGGTCAGCAAGATGTCCGCGTTGCGGTCGTACGCGTGGGCGAGCTGGAGTATGTCGCGATAGCCCTGCGGGTACCCGTTGAACCCCGAGCCGTACGAGCCTTTCACTATCGCCACCTCCGCGTCCGTGAAGTTGGGCAGTGCAGCTCCCGCACGCTCGCGCATGATCGCAGGGTAGTCGCCAGTCGTCAGTGGGCTGCCCACCACCCGTAGTCAAACGCGAACTTGCGCTCAGCCGCGGCGATGTCCACCGGGTCCGAGGCATTCAAAGGGTACGCGTTGTCGTAGCTGACGGCAATGCTGATGCGGACATCAGAGCGCACCATCTCAGCCTCTTTCAGCTGGCGGAAGCGCTGCACTGCCACGCCGTGCGCGATGAGGACGTGGTGCGCAGTACATGTAGTGTAGGCTTCCCCGGTGAACTGCGGGGGCCCCAGGCCCATACCGTAGGCGCTGCTGACGAATGACAGCGGCTCGTTGAACGTGGCCCAGAACTTGGCCTTGTTACCGAACTCTTGGAACATCAACTCGGCGAACTGAGCGAAGTACTCGATGCTGCAGATACAGGTACTTAGTCTTACAGCTAAGGACTCGAAGACGTTTGAGGACGATCTTCTAGCAGAAGTATCTATTCCTCACACGTCACATTGTGCGCTCTTTTTCGAGAAAGTTCGGTCTCTGCTGAGCGATGATGGATAAAATCGACGGAATGATGGTAAAAAAGGCAACTTGTTCCAGCGTGTCGGTGGTCTCGGTTGAGAGCCACACAATCCAATTGACCAGCTCCAGCGCAAGTCAAACGCCACAAGACCCACTGCACACGACAACAATGGCCCGCTCTCGCCGTTCCGCGGCCCCCGCCCGCAAGCCCGCGGCTCCCGCCAAGGCTGCGCCCGCCCCGGCCCCTGCTGCTCCGGCGCCGGCCCCCGTGCAGGCGAGCGCCCCCGCCCCGAGCGTCGGCGGCGGCCTGCTGTCCACCGTGGCTGAGGGTTTCGCCTTCGGCACGGGCAGCGCCATCGCCCGCCACGGCGTGAACGCCGTCATCGACTCGTTCAGCGGATCCAAGGACGAGCCCGCCGCCGCTCAGCCGGTGGCTGCGGCCCCTGCTGCCCCCGTGGCCCAGTCCTCGGCTGCGGTCTGCGCCAGCGACAACAAGGCCTTCCTGGAGTGCATCAACCGCAACGCCAACGACGTGGCCGCCTGCCAGTTCTACCTCGACGCGCTCAACCAGTGCAAGCAGCAGAGCATCAACCTGTAAACAGAACAACCGATAGACGAGAAGTAGGAGGGTCGACGAAGTCGCGCTGACACGACGACCTCAGTGACGTGGTAGGTCGTGACACCGTCAATCCCTCCGCAATAATCCAGAATGAAATTATCTTGATAAAGCACGTATCAGCACAGGCGAACTCGCAGGTACAGTCAAGTGGTAGTGTATTGGTAGTCATCCAGACAGATCTTGCGCCAGCTCTAGGAACCACTTCGTCGATGAAGTAGTCAAGCTGTCTAACGATCAGAAGAGCTTAAGTCTGTCGGCGCCGACGAGCGAGAGAGTCCATAATAAATCACTCAGCTGCCTCACGTGCGAACACAGCTCTGTCTGCGTTAGCCGCCCCGTCATCCGCCGGCGTCGACTAACTACAGTAGCAGAAATTGCTCTCAGCTGCACCCAACCACTGCGAGACACTTGAGACCTCTTGCTTGGGACGAACTCGACGGGCTCTGCCTACACCTTCTTGACGATCTGCACAATGTCTTCGTCCTGGAGCACGTGCTCCTTGCCGACCTTCTGCGGCTGGTGCTTGCAGGACGCGCCCCAGACCCAGGCGTACTTGAATTCCTTGAGCAGCGACTTGTGGATGCGCTGGCAGAAGTTCTCGACCGTGGGGGACTCCTCGTGCAAAATGACGGGCGCGCTGTAGTCCGGCAGTTTGCCGCGCGGCTTGGTGTAGATGCGGATCATGTGGCAGTAGTCCCAGATCGTCTCGAGCAGCTCGTCCAGGTTCCACCCGTGGTGGGCCGAGATGACGACGTTGTGCGGGATCTGGTCGATGATGGTCAGCTCCTCGATCGTGAGCTGGTCAATCTTGTTGAGCACGTAGAGGCACGGGATGTACACGCGGTTGCCCTCGATCTGGTCGATGAACTCGTCCACGGTCACGTCCGCTCGCAGCGTCACGTCGGCGTTGTGAATCTTGTACTCGTGCAGGATCTGGTAGACCGTGTCGGCGTCTAGCTCGCTCTGCGGGCACGTGGTCTGGAAGTTGATGCCGCCGCGCTCCTTGCGGCGGAAGACCATGTTGGCCGGCTTCTTGTTGAGGCGGATGCCGAAGCCCTCGAGCTCGAACTCGATGAGCTTCTTGTGCGTGGCGGGCTTCATGGCGTCCAGCACGATGAGGATGACGTTGCACGTGCGCGCCGTACCGATGACCTGGCGACCGCGGCCCTTGCCGTCCTTGGCGCCCTCGATAATTCCGGGCAGGTCGAGGATCTGGATGCGCGCGCCGCGGTAGTTGAGCGTGCCGGGGATGGCCGTGAGCGTCGTGAACTCGTAGGACGCCGACTCGGAGAAGGTGCCCGTGAGCTTGGTGAGCAGCGTGGACTTGCCCACGGAGGGGAAGCCCACGAGCCCCACGCGCGTGTCGCCCACCTTGTTGACGTCGAAGCCCTCGCCCGTGCCGCCGCCCGACTTGGAGCCGCCGTCCGTCACCTCGCGCCGCAGCTTGGCGATCTTGGCCTTGAGCAGACACAGGTGCTTCATCGTGGCCTTGTTCTTCTGCGTGCGCGCGTACTCGGCCTCCAGCTCGGCGATCTTGGCCATGGCGGACGACATGGTGGCCTCGTGCTGCGTGCTGCGTACCCTCGGGCTACAGCTTGTGTGTGGTAAGCAATGCGAGCCATGAACGGGTGGCAGCTACGGAACCCAAAACAACAGCGCAGCTGCCCAAAACAATCTAATTTCGGCGTGGAATAGCTTTGCTAAAGGGTTTATGCATTATGGTGGGATTGAGGCCCCAAACGAACTGATTAGCGCCAGCCGCAGTATCGCAAGTAACGATGGGGTGCTGCTCGTCCAAGGCGCAGCTCTCGACGGTGTCGGAGCCGGCGAGGGCGCGCCCGCCGCAGCAACAGCAGCAGCGACAGCAGCCGAGAGGAGGACAGGCGCTTGGAGGAGGAAGCTTGCAGACCAACGGGCCGGAGCCGTCCGCCGCGGAGAAGAGAGCCCGCGCAGCTGAAGCGGCCGAGGCGCGCAAGGGCGACTGGCGCCAGGGAGGCCACGCCGACCCGGACAAGGCGCGCAGCATGGCGCAGCGACGCAAGAAGGACGAGCTGCTGGCCAGGATCTACAACAAATACACGGCGCTGGGGCGGGAGCCGCCCATCGGGCTGCCGTCCTGCGACGTGGACCAACTGCGCCGCCACCTCGAAACGCTGCGCTGAAGTTGATACGAGACCGCTCGCGACGGAGCATTTGCAAGAGAATTTTGTTGAATATATGACGGAGACTGCGACGCAGCCCGTGCCTACCTTACTTTGCTGGGACTCGTGTGTGGATTGACATTCGACTTGTCGACGTTGACCATGTTGAGCTCGTCGGCACTCCAGACAACGACTTACAAAGCCGGCAGACACAAAAAGCCGGCAGACGAAGTCAAGCAAAGCTTAACATGAGCAAACCAGCCAATCAGATTCAATCAAATGACTTCATCTTTGTATACCATCTGGTTTTGTGTACTTTATATGCTTTCTTGTGTACTTTATGCAACACACCGTGTGTTTTATGACAGTTTTACAGATTTGACGGGAGGGAATTTATCGTTGTTTTTATATAGGAGGATGGCATTAAGCATGCCGGCTTTGCAAGTCGTTGTCTGTAACCTGACCGGCTCTTTTGGGTTCACGCGACTCCGGACCTGTAGCCATGTTAGCAATTTGGCTACACTGCAACTTGCCAGTAGCTGCACTGCGTTCTGCGTTCTGGTGGTGTTGGTGGTGACATTATCCAGTCGTTATAGTACCCTACGCGCCACCAAAATGGCGCTGGCGAGGAGCAGGAGCAGGAGCAGGAGCTCGAGGGGCAGCGACCAATTGGAGTAAGTAGCCCCAGCGGCGCTGTCTGTAGCAAGAGCGAAATGTTCCTGACGTAAGGCTGTTGATACCCGATACTCTCGTGCTGCTCCCCTCATCGTCTTCTCTCTCAAAGTTGTGTTGTTTGATTTGTTTGTGTTCATCTTGTCCCCGGCTCTCGCGCGTCCACTTGCGGTCGTCGCTCGCTGCTCGGTGCTTCATTTCCATTTTGTCTGTCTGTCCTCTGTTGTCGGTAGCCTGGCGAGCGCGAGACACCCTATAGTTTCGCTCGCTACTCGAGGAAATAATTAAACAAATCGCTGAGGGATACGAGACCCACGCAGCGCGAATACTCGTCCACACACACGAAGCGGTGTGCCTTGCACGCAGCGAACCGCTCGAAAATCATGTGCAGTGTGTCTGTCTTGTAGCACAGATGTAGGCCCTCTCCGACGTTGCCCTGAGATCACACAGTCCACGGTGAGAATAATATTCCAGAGGAGTCGCTCGAAGCGACCAGTTGTTGTCATCGTTGGCTCACCTCAGCAGCTTGGATCCTGAGAATTTCTCCCACAGGCATGTCTAACTGGGTAAGTGACCGGTCCTTCACCAATTCGGTGACGTTCGATACACAATAAATATTCACAACAACGCCTGGATCCACACAAAACAAAATCGTAAGGTCAGTTGTGCAGGGTTTGAAGCCATCACGACGCGCTCAGACTTACCACTCGGGTCGACTATCGGCACAGCCGAGACCCTCCGCTCAATTAGGGTGTGCAGCACGCGAATGAGCGGCATATCCTCTGGAACTGTCACAAAGCCGCTGTAGACGCCAATACCCAGGTCGAAAATCGGTTGATCAAACAGCCGGCGCTGCTCGCGGAAAGTAGCCACCAGGTATTCCAAAATCCCGCTGTGCGTGATGACAGACAAGACCGAGTTCTGGGTCGGGTCTACTACGGGAAGTCTATGAAGCCTATTGTCGCGCAGCATCTTGCACACTTCGTACAGGTTGTGCTCTGGTGTGACGGACACCATCTCCTCCCGTGTTGGTGCCATCGACAGGGATCGAGGAATTGCTGCAAACAGAAAGATACGTCATTAGCCACCCCCACGGAAAATAATACCCCTAAGCTATACGTCGCATTGTAGGAGCTTACCTCTCCAAGAAGCGATGCTGTGCTCTGCTAGCTCGTTCATGGGCGACCCGCGGATGTAGAAGTGGCGCAGGATATTGACAAAATCGGTTGCCGTGAACATGCCCACGAACTTGCCCTGCTCAGCGTCCCAGATCGGCACCGACTTGATATCTAAAAATCACAGCAGCAACAGTCGTCAGTCTCTCCATCCACTGCCGGCATTGCAGCGGCATTGCCCCCCTTACCGTGCTCTACCAGCGCGAAAAATGCGAGGTTGATGGGGATCTTGACGTCGAAGACCACGACCTTGCCGCTGTTCTTGATGACGTCGTAGCACTGCGTCTCTCGCAGGAAGGCGGCGATGACGCGCTTGCCTTCCTTGACGATGTCCATCACCGAGGCCTGCGAGAGATTGAGCGCCGAGGCCGAATTGGAGCGGTCCGAGTCGCTCATGGTCTGGTCCTCGTCGCCCTCGAACTGCGGCGGCACAACCACGTGCGTGCGGGGCATCAAGCCGTTCGCGTCGCCCATGGAGTGCATGGTAGTGGGGGTGACGGGCTCGTTGAAGCCCGAGGTGGCGCTGTGCGGGGCCGGCGGCGGCGCGTCGTCCCGCGAGGAGGCGTAGTATCCGTCATTGGACATCCCTCCGTCGCCTCGCTTTCTCTTGCGGTCCGCGAGCGTGGTGGCGACTGCTCCGTGCAGTCACGGACAGGGCAGGACGCTGCAGGGCCTTGCAGGACGGCGCAGGACCTGGGGACAAAGCGGGGAAACGTCCGTCCTGGGCGCTGCAGAGCGAGTTCCAGGACGCAACTGGCACGGGCGGAAGCGCCGGACGGAGGCGGAGGCGGAGGCAGGGGCTGGGCACGAGGGAGGGGCCGGCGCGGAGCGGCGACGGGCGGGCGGCGAGCGATCGGGCGCGGGTCTACGACGGAAGACGGCGAGGGGGCCTTTGCCCTGCTTTGGCTCGAGGGTGACTGGGGTTTTCTTGGGCTGCATACAGAGGCCAAGAGAGTAGGGTTTTGGCCAATGGCGGGATTTGAATCGCTAAATCAGCCAATGAGCAGTTGGGGATGTGACGAGCCGACGTAGACGAGAAGGTGTGGCACACATAAGATCGTATGCTGATGGAGTTGAAGGCAATGAGTGCAAGGCTTGCTAGTGGCTCGCGAAGTTGTCATGGCCACAGAGTACACTGGCATGTGAGTATTGCTGAGCGATTATGTCTGCGCGGTGTTTGGATGTTCGGTGCAGCTCTCGACGGATAGGCCAACTTCAACTTCTTAGCTGGCAGGGCACCGGAACGCATGGTATTGCATGTAGTTATGAACAAGGTGTTGCATGTAAGGCGTTTGTATTTAGATAGCAGGCAGAGCGAGCGAGGCGGTGCCTTCGCGAAGAATAGCGCACGCAGCCCCCGCTCAGAGCAGCCTTTGCCCGTCGTATCGCCTGGTCCGACTGCGCGAGGGTCACATTAGCCTTGCTGAACATTCCGATCGTTGTGACGACGCGCATTGTGGCCTCTACGCGGGTGTTGAAGGCCCTCTCGTCCCGTTTGATCTTCTTGGCCAGGTTGACGAGGATCGCTCTGGCCTCGATCGACAAGGGGTGGCCACCGCATTGCGCTAGGAATCTCGACTTGGTCCGTACATTCTTCATTAGCCGCCTCATTAGTTGGCGCTGCCGACGCTGGGCAGCGAGGAACGCGCCCTTCTCCTCTTCAGACGGAGCCACTGACATGCCTAGTCGGTCAATCTGGGCCAACATGTTGGTGATGCCCTTCTCCAGCCGGTCAAGCTTATGGCGTGTGCGTTCGGGAACTCCCTGCATGGCCTGGGTCTCCATTCCCAACGTGTCGGCGATCACCCAGATGAAGTCTCTAGAGCACTGTGCAGCAATGCTGGCTAGCTTGCACCAGGCTCCATATTTGGTTTTGGCAGATCCCTATATAGCTGGCCCCAGTTACCACCACCAAGATCGTCATTTCTTGCATTCTGTACTTCCAGGTGCTGCATGTCAGCCATAAGTTGGCTCATGCTGCCGCCAAGGAATCTGCGTTGAGCTGGTCACAGCTCGATCAGAGCTTCTCATGGACCAGCAAATCTGTAGAGAAAATGCGCATCTATTCCGCCCTTTGCCGATGGCTACACTCGTAAAGTTCCAGAAATGAATTCACAAGTGAGCTACTGAACGTGTAGTCGGTAGTTACCTTAGTTGGCCATGTCGGACACCGACGACGAGCAGCAGCAGCAGGCGTCGCTGCAGGCCTTCGTGCGCTCGAGCGACGGCATCATCGCTAAGACGGCGCTGCAGTACCTGGACTTCGTGCGCTGCCGTCGCCGCGTGGTGGACGCCAGCAAGTGGCTCAAGCTCAAGTCGGAGCGGGGCATTGACCTGTACACGGAGCGCGTCGAGCAGCGCGCGGCTCTGAACGTCTGCAACACGCGTAGGTCGCTGCCCGATGATTGCAGCACCTCGGACTCGTTCGGGACGCTGCGCACCACGCTGGTGAGCGCCTTCGGGGGCGGCACGCTGCCCGGGACACTGGACGAGGTCATGGACGGGCTGTACGCGGAGACGACGGAGCAGATGCAGCTGAACGCCTCCATCCAGTACGGCGACATCCTGGACTGCGGCGTGGTGCGCACGTTCCGCACGCGCTCGGATGCCAAGCCGCACGAGTTCTTCGGCGTCAAGTTCGTGGAGAAGTTCGGCCACATCCCGGGGATCATCGACCAGCTCTGCTGGGTGGAACGCATGGGCACGACCATGATCGCCGGGAGGCGCTTTGGCTTCCAGCTGATCAAGTCTGTGGAGACGGAGGACCGAGCGTCCGACGCGTCGGTGCGCCGAGTCAACATGTCGGTCTGCTACTTGTACTGCCAAACTGCGTCTGACGCGGTGGATGTATTTATTCGGGGGATCGTGGAGCTTCCTCGTAGCACCAAGCCTCGGCGGCGGCAGGACGCGATTGATGCTGCAGGCGACTACATCCTCGCCACGATCCACGGGAGGGAATGCCAGCGCATGAAGACGATCGCGACGCTGATCGAACGATCCAAGACGGAGCGCGAGAGTCTCAAGTACGTCGGGTCTGCCTGCTTCCGTGTGAATGTCGCGACGACACTTGGTCTTAACGGTCTCTGTGTTGTGATGCATTGTAGTGCTTGTCATTGCTCGAAGATCGTCCGTGGACTGGAGAAAGTCGTACGTCCAGCGTGACGACACCATGGAGTAAACCCAGTATAGAGGCTCACAGCTACAATGTCGAATGATGATATCTGCTGCAGGAAATGTGTTCGGGCTGTCGGGAAGCCATGCGTCGACCGAAGCTGGTGGCGCTGGCCGACGCTGACAGCAGGAGGCACGGCTCGCAAGGTATAAGCTCAGTCAGCACTGCTAGCCTCACGCTATCTCGTATCTGACCGCTGTTCACGTCCCCAATTGCTTCTCTCTTGCAGCGCCCAGCGAGTCCCTGCGCGGGGCCAAGCTCCAGTCGCGGTACGGCAGCACCCGCGGCGACGGCGACGTGCCCGACAGCGTGGCCAAGAGCTACCGCGAGTCCGAGTCCTTCCGCATGATGCTGCCGATCCGCGACCCGCGCCCGGCCTCCAACTACCGCGTGAGCCGCAGCAAGCGCGAGAACGTCCTCATCACCATGCTGCGCAAGCACGAGCGCCAGCGGGCGAGCAGCTCCGCGACGACGTCCTCGTCAAGTGCGTAGGCAAGTGACTCATATCATGAAAAAATGAAAAAGTAATGTCTCAAAAAGGGCGGACCGCCAATCACATTCGTTTGTAGGGACCTCCAGCCAATCACAGACACGCGCCATCTCGAACTTTCGAGCATTTTCGCGAATCCACCCAAGTCACCAGCCACTTCAACGCCCCCGATGTCATTACTGAAATCGCCTGCGAAGACGCAAGTCGAGACATCAAGGAGGAAGACTAGCAAAGCTAATACACACAATGGGCAAGGACTACTACGCCGTACTGAACGTGGCCAGGGGCGCGTCGGACGACGAGCTGCGCAAGGCCTACCGCAAGCTGGCGCTCAAGTGGCACCCGGACAAGAACCCGAACGACCGCGACGCGGCGCAGAAGAAGTTCCAGGAGATCGGCGAGGCCTACGAGGTGCTGAGCGACAAAAAGAAGCGCGAGATCTACGACATGTACGGCGAAGAGGGGCTCAAGGGCCAGCCGGTGGGCCCCGAGGGCCCTGAGGGAGGCATGCCCGGCGGCATGGGCGGCATGCCCGGCGGCTTCACGTACACCACGTCCACGGGCGGCTTCCCGGGCGGCGGCTTCAGCTTCCACTCCACGGACCCGTCCAAGATCTTCGAGCAGTTCTTCGGCACGTCCAACCTGCACGAGGCCGAGGGCAGGGACCCTATGGCCTCCATGTTCGGCGACATGGGCTTCGGCGGCATGCACGGCATGCGCAGCGGCGGCTTCGGAGGCCGCGACCCCTTCGGCCAGCAGAGGCAGCCGCGCGCCCAGCAGCTCAAGAGCGAGCTGGAGGTGTCGCTCGAGCAGCTCTACACGGGCTGCACCAAGAAGCTCAAGATCACGCGCAAGGTGCACGACCCAAGCTCCAACCAGATGCGTGAGGAGCAGAAGATCTTGGAAATCAACGTCAAGCCCGGCTGGAAGGACGGCACGAAGGTGACCTTTGAGGGCCAGGGCGACGCTCTTCCCGGACGACCGGCGCAGGACATCGTGTTCGTCATCCGACAGAAGCCGCACAACAAGTTCAAACGCGACGGCGACAACTTGCTGTACCACGCCAAGCTCTCGCTACGAGACGCACTGCTGGGCAGCGGCACACTGACAATCAAGACGCTCGACGGACGTGAGGTGCCCGTCCCGCTCGGAGGTGTGATCGCCCCCGGCACGCGGATGGTGATCGCTGGCGAAGGCATGCCTCTGCAGAAGCGGCCGTCGCAGCGCGGCAACCTGGTGGTGGAGTTCGACGTGCAGTTCCCCACCAAGCTCACTGAGGCGCAGAAGAACATGGTGCGCCAGGTATTGTAAACTACCAAGTTTTGATAGGATTTGGAGCTAGGTAGGATGTCCGTCGCTAGGTGGTGTTCATTTATTCCGCTAAGCTTACTTAATTAATAGAAAATGGTTGAAAATTACACGAACAATATATCTTGCTCCACCTGAATCTGGTGGTGCTGCCCCACCATCACTTGGGACCAGGCTTCAAGAGAAAACTTGGCAAAACTTGTAAGAGAAATCGTGGGGTTTACTTCGCTATGATACATCATGATTAAAAGTTGGTTGCTGCTCTCGATCCTTCGCCTTTTCTCCTCGTGAACGAGCTAGCAGTCGCTCGCTTCCTCGTCTTTTCGCTTCGGTTTCAACTGGGATCTGTTTTTCTTGTCTGGGTTAGTGGTGGATCGGCCGGCTTCCTCGCCTTATCTTCATGTCGTCGGGGCGGCAAACGGACGTAACGCATACGCAGCGAGCGAGCGAGAGCAACTGAAACGAAAAGCAAAGAACCAAAGCGCGTCCGTTGCGTGCGTGCGTGCGTGCCTTCCACCCACCGCCGCCAGGAAAGAGGAGATAAAAAAGAACTTCTTCTTGCACCGCCGTCCAGGTCGCTGTGCGTCAATCCACAACTCCATCACATGGTGCCGCGTCGGATGTGCTGGTAGACGAGGCCTTCGGGCGTGAGCTGCGGCTTGTAGCCCGAGGACGCAGCCCAGGCCTGGATGTTGATGTCGTCCTTAGTGGTCTTGACCACCTCGGCGGCCTTCTTGGCCTGCTGCTCCTTGGCCTTGGCCAGGATCTTGCCCACGCCGTCGGCGAAGGCGTTGGCGTTGTCGCCACACTCGAGCTTGAGCACCTCGATCTTGAGCTGCATCTGGTCCAGCAGCGCGACGTTCTCCTTGGCGAGCTTGCGCTCCATCCGGCGGCGCTCGCTCTGCAGGCCCGAGAGCTGCTTCTGCAGCCGGTTGACGAGGAACTCCTGCTCCTGCTCGAGCTCGTTCTCGAGGTGCACCTTCTCGTGTAGGATCTTGGCCACCTGCGACTCGAGCGCCTTGCGCACGCCGTTGTCCTCGTTCTGCAGCTCCTGCAGCAGCCGCTCCTTCTCGGCGCGCGCGGCCTCGAGCTGCTTCGAGAGGCGGTTGACGATGTACTCCTGCTCGTTCTCGAGCTTGTTCTCGAGGTCCACCTTCTCTTTGCGCAGCTGGTTGAGCTTCTTCTGCAGGCTGTTGGTCAGTAGCTCCTCCTCGCGCTCCACCTCGAGCGCCAGCTTCTCCTTCTCGTTCTTGACGTCGTGCAGCCGCTTGATGAGGCGGTTCGTGATGCGCTCCTCCTCGAACTCGGTCGACTCGCCCAGCGCCACCAGCGACGCGCGCAGCGACTTGACCTCCTGCTCCAGCGCGGCCGTGCGCTGCCGCTCCAGAATCAGCAGCTCGCGCGCGTCCTCTTCCACGGGGTTGTTGGCCATGTTCTTAGGATCTCTCGACACTTGGTGTTTGTATAGATGGGCTTGAGCGCCGCGCAGCTTCTTCGGAAATGATGGCGAGGAAGAGGCGCCAAGTGCGTGCGCTCGCCAGCTGTTTCTCGAACGTGGCACAGAGCCAACTATAGAAAACGGCGCAGCTGTGAAGGATACGGTTTGACAGGTATTGGCGCGCGATTCGCAGACAGCGAGGCTTGTTTCGGGACCACATTTGCATGGCATTTCGAGGTTGCGATCACCCCGCTCTGAATCTTCATCGGCGGTGCAGCTTCAACTGGGAATCTACGTGACTGGGACACGCACAGCTTGACGCGGTGCTTGCTGCTGCCGCTCGAAGCTCACTGCGGTGCTGTGCTGTGTGTGCATGGGGCGTTTGATGCCGGGCAGCAACAACACCGCTTTCCCTCTCTGACGCCCCGCACAGCTGCGCCGGCGACGCACGTGTGTTCTCGGCGCCAGCTGAGTCTGAACCGGTATCACCGAGAAGTTCGTCGTCCACGGGCTATTTTGGCTTTGAATTTTTTGGGCGAGTGATTCCGAATGTACGGGAACGCGCCGGCGACAACTTGGATCAAAGCGTGAAAGCGTAGTGGTTTCGCCCCTTAAAGTGTCCTGTCCTCGAGACGTGCACCAACGTTTCGCTGGGCGAATGTCAAGTTGAAGTTGCCTTGAATGGCTTGACAACCTGTCGACGAATGGTGCTCATCCACGAAGAGGGCGGCTGCGTGGCTAAAAAAGTAAGAGGAAAGAAACGCCGAACGTCTGTGCAGTAGCGCGTGATTGGCTAACGGTTGGGGCTATGCCAATTAATTACAAATTTTGGCACTATTCACGAAAGTAGATGCCGCTCAACTCCCCCTGCTAAAAAGCTGTAGCAGCGCAAAAGGCAACAACAACAACGCTGGCGGCGGGTGAGGAAACACGACATCTGTATGTGGCGCTGAGTGAATACTTTGTTTGGAGTTGAGGGAGCTCATGATGGAGGAATTGATGGAGCTTTTGATTTGGCGGGAAAGATTGATGTGCACTTGTGACATCGGCATGGAGTTCTTCTGCTCACGTTGTGATACCTGGCACACAACTTACGCACCTCTGTTTGCCTGCATCACTATGAGTCGAGATGGTACGAGCGCAACTACCCGTGCGCTGTCAGTAGCATAGACGAGAAAGAAGACGCGAAGTACGAAGAAGCATTCGACGCGAGCGGCCGAGTGCATTGTGGATTACTTCGAAGTTAAAAAGTTAACTGTTCATGGCACGAGTAGAGCTATCGAAAGGCATCGGTATGCACCGGGGCCGACACAATCCGTTGCCGACACCAACGCTATGCCTAGAAATCTACTCGGACCAACTGCTGCTGCTGCTGCGACTGCGTTTGCGATTTTGGCCACGACTGTGATTGCTTCCTTCAGCCACTCGTGCGCGTGCCTTCTTCACAGCTGCCTCCACTCTCGCGTCAATTATCTCCATCAGCTTGTCGACGGAGACATTCACCATTGCATCGTTGGTAGCCCGAGATCGTAAAGTGCGTGATCATTGGCCGGGGTACGATCTCCTCTCTACAAGTCGTCTCAAACGCAGCAGCAACCACCAGTTCGAGAACCCCGGGTGTCGTGATACCAAGGCTCCCCGTTCTCCATGGTGTCTGGGATCTTGAGTGTCTCCTTCAGAACATGCAACCGCTCGTCGTGCTCCTGCAACTGTATCACAGGTCCGGGCGGGATGTCGGCGAACTCCACAGTGCCATGGTGAAACTCGTCGATCCGGAATCCTTCAACATGGCGGTCGGCCGCAGCGACCAACTGCCAGCGAGTTGGAAGACCACCAACACCCTGAACGAGCGCGGACTCTGTGATCCCGTATCTAATTCCTTCCCAGTTCTCATCCGCCTTATCCGAGATGTTGTACCACAACGCTAGCCGAAGCGTGATGCAAACAGCAGGTGGAGGGCAAGCGAGCGGATTGGCGGTGAATTGTGAGACCGGAGGAGAAAGCCACACTGAGGCAGTGTTCGCAGAGCTGCCGCTCAGGCCTACGCGTTAAGTGTATCGGTGTGATTTGGCGTCGATACCACAACAGCCTTCCGCAAGGGTGGCGGGCATTGAAGATCCGAGGGCTTCCTCGAAGTTGCGTCAATGGCGATTTCGGAGAACGTGCACTCGTGGCTAAGCGTCCGTGCTGCTGGCGATCCGATCGTTGGAACCGTGAAGCTTACAAGGTTTGATGTTTTCTTCATTGCAAGCAGCAGTTCTTCTATGACACCAAAAGGGGTTCCTGCATCCTCAACAAACTAACTCATGGTCAACAGGACGGATTGACAGCGGCTCAACGAGACGGATAGACTTCATTTTTTTCTGTAGTTAGCGTATCTCGGCTATCCATTCGATTGGGGTATACACCATGGCAATGACAAAAAAGATGAAGAGCGAGCGAACAAACTCCAACACTTTGAGCGAAGCATCACCGGTCTCATGCCCACGGCCTTCGGGCGATTTCAAGAACCTCGAAAAGGTCCAAAGTGAAGGTTGGGTCTGGGAAGCAAGCACGTGAATATGGGCTGCGTGGAATATTTGCCCCCGGAGGCAGGCCCAGCAGCTCACGAGAGTCGAACGTCACCAACGTCTGAGGTCCAACCACCGGCACGGGATTGAGCACGGGCAATGGCAGAGCTTCGCCATTGTTGTTCCGCTCCACCGTGTAGAGTTTGTACTCGGCAGTCGCCAAGCGGTCTGTGACTGCCACGCACAGGATGTACCGAACTCCTGGAAACAGAGACCACTCCGAAGCCTTCCAGTCGAGCATTCCGGCGTTGTCTCCCCAGCCGCGCGATTTCCCAACCTCGACGATGAGCGTGTACCAGGACAGATAGTCTTGAACACCAGGGGGAAACGGAGCTCCCAAGAAGTTTGCTGGACCATAGCCTTTGTCCGGTTCATAGTCGTGCAGGTCGGGCAGGCCCGGGATGTTTGCTGAGCCCCAGGTCACCATGTACGCGACGAAGCCACGCTGGGCCCTCAAAGCGCCTTCGACTTCTCCAGTGAACCTCTCGTGCTCTTGGGTCAGCGGCTCCACGATGTAGATCGTGCCTTCGATCCACTCGCAGCACTTTGATTTCAGCGCTTGGTTCTCGCTGTCCAGGTACGCTCTCCATTCGTCCTTCGTCGCCCTGCAAACGGGAATGATACGAGTCTCGCGTTCCTGGGCCAAGTCGATTCGGCGAAATTCGCTGTTGATGCGCGCCACAGCCATGTTACTGCGTCGGCGTTGGGTTGGGTAATGATGGGCGGCAACGTCTCCTTCTCCACCTGCGACGATGCTCTCCAGTCCCAGACCGGATGCGGTGGAAGGGGACCGAAGGAAGGTAATACAGTAGTCAGTGCTTAATTAAAACGTCAACTCAAGGCGAGGTCCCGAGTGGTCCGACAACGCTTTTGTTTGAGCAGACGGACACTCATCGGTTTATGGTCGAGCCTTGGCGGAACTTGGTCAGGGCTCGTGAAGGCGCCGCGTCGCAAGTGGGAGAAGCCGGAAGTCGCGCATTGCTAAAACTGTGTCCATCGGCAGCCGGAGGGGGGGGGGGGGGGCTTTGAATGCCTCTGAGCTCCAAGCGCTCTTGTGCTAGCTTTGGCTGGTGTTTGCTCGCGATCATTTCGATTCACCGTCTACCAAGCAAGTGACTGCAAGCACTAGAAAACTCGCCAGCATGTTCAACGAAGACTGGGACGTCATTCGATCTCGGATGTGGGCTCGAACTCTGTCAAACGATAAATAAGTAGCAGCAAGTCCCTCGCAATCGTTCGCGTCCTACTCGCTCAGCAGCTCGTCAATCGTGGACGACAAGGGTCGAGAAATCACGAGCACGCACCGGGGCTACGAAGACTCCACCGGGCGCCTCAAAGTCGTCCATGCCCGGCTGATCGAAGGCAAGAAGTAGCGCACGATTTGGAACCGCCAGAGCAAGCACGACGAGGGACGCCTCGAATCGGAGTGTTCGAGTTGCACGCGCGATAAATTTGAGTCGATGTGGCAGGAGACGCCGTTTAGCACGGACGCGAAGAAGGCTATCGAGCAGCAACGAAGTGAGAGCGTGGAGGATGAAACCACAAACACTATTACCCCCAAATCGAAGCTGTGAAGAAGTCGGAAAGGTAGATAACATTAAATGTAAACTCTAGTGGCGGGTGCATGGCAACTGACAGTGCAATTGTTGTTGGTATCTAAGGTAGTCGATCTCATGTCCTCCCTTGGTGACCAGTCAGAATGGCCGGCGGACCAGCGGTCGCGCTTGTCAATCGAAAGATTTGTCTCGGGCATCATGGCGTCCAAGCGTGGGCTGCCATTGCTGTCGTTGCTGCTTGTGGCGGTGTCACTCGCACCTGCTCATGCAGCTTCAGCTACGCGCGTGGTGGTGCCGGACATCGCCGGGATGATCTACCCACCGTCCACCGCCAGCAGCCACGTGCAGTTCGGAGACCCCAGTTCGTCGTCTCCGAGCGCCTACGAGCTCGTCGCCCCAACAACGACCGACTCTGTTGTGTGCACCGACGCGCGCCTGTGTCTGGAGCTGCGGATCTCGTCCGAATATCAACTGGACCCGTTCTTCCTGAGCCGATACGACTCCAACACGCCATTGGTCTCCGCTACTTTCGACAAATACGACGCCAACGACATCTTGCCCTTGATCCCTGGGAACTCAGAGGCGACGGCGTGGTGGTTCCAGACCAACTCCTCAGACACTACAGCGACTCCCGTGATTGATCTGCTCCTGCGGCTTCGACAGCGCAGCCAGAGGCTGTCGGCTAGGGACCAACTGCTGGTGCAGCTGCGTATCGAATCCGTGGACTCAAGTACGACGACGAGCGCTGTCCAAGCGTACAGCGTGTACGGCAACCAACGCGTGAAGCAGACGACTCGCCGAGTCGATTCCTCCACCGTCCAAGTGGACCTCTCCATCACCAAGAACGTTGACAAGCGGGACGTGGATCTGTCGGATGCGTATCCTCTGGTTGGGAACTCTACAGTGGACAGTTCGAATGACTTTGGGACGTCTTGTGACGACTGTTTTGCGTTCCTCGATTCGTGTGGGGATTCTGAAGCCTGTAACACGAAGGTGATGCCGTGCTTGTTGTCGAAATTGGAGGCGATGGCTGGAGTGAGTGCTTCTGGGAGCTATAGCAGCAGTCAGGATTTGGACGCAGGAGATGCTGGGAGCTTCAGTGGCAGTGATGCAATGGAGGCGGCGGAGGCTGGGAGTGGACTGTACGATCTCGAGGCATGGTACGCGGACTTCCTCAGTGTGAGTGACAGTAGTGAAGAGAGTCTGGAGGAGAGTACGGCAGCGGTCTACAGCGCGAGCGGTAGTTTTGGTGAGAACTCCGACTCTGCGGGGTCCGATGAATCGACCGAGGCTTCAGGTTCTGGTGTGGATGGCCTTGCTGGCACAAAGCAAGTGGATTTACTACAGCCACTAGCTGCGTGTGCCGCTGATCTCCCGGTCACAGCGTGGTCTCCCATTCGACAGGCAATTTTCTGTCTCGCACGCTCGAAATGTGCGCTGGGGAATGTACCAGGCAAGATTGCAGGGGAAGAAGTCCCTACTATCATAGCGGTTTCCAACGGGTCGCAAACCTTTACAGTGACGCCAGCAATCAGCGGGACCAACAACGTGAATCTTACGATCGTGACGCGAGACATTCAGTCCACTGTGGCTGGCCAACAGACTATTGCGTACACCGCGTCGGCTTCCTACTTGGGAATGTTCCTGAGATCGTTTGTACTGATGCAAGCTGCGGATGTTTCAGCTCTGGTAGAATCGTCTGTATCCGACCCTGACGCTCTGCAAGTGTCTTTGACCTACTTCAACGCATTGATGCTGAAGTCCGTGGACTTCCAGACTTTGACAGGAGAGCTTAACATGATCGACTCATCTCCGGTGCAAGCTATTATCGAGTATCCGTCCTCCTCCAGTCAACCGAATCTCGACATAGTTCTGAGCGAGCTTCGGACGCGTGTGAATCCACCTCCCGATACCTGGATATTGTCCGAAGACTGTGTATCGTGCAGCGCGCAGCTCTTTGGGTGCTCTACGGATGAAATCATCACTAAATCGTGCACTTACACCTCCACGAAGAGCCCGTTTGGGCAGTGCATCCGGCAGCAGTTGCCTCCTGCTCTGTTTGAGAGAATGGTGGAAGGAATTATAACATCAAGACTCATTAGCAGTGAGCTCTATCGATGCCTCCCCGATGGCTCCTCTTCGACTGCGTCGGATGCACTGGACCAGCTGCTAAGTGCGCTGTCATGTTTTGCAGCAACTCGCTGTCCGTTTGGCCCCACTGCACTCGTGCAAAACACGCGAGCGATTGTGCTGGAGACGATGTCGTACATTCAACTGCTTCGAGTGTCGCCTACCTCATCGAATGCGCTCAGCATCAAGATCAAGTTCAATCTGGATGACCTCCTCGTCGGGAGCACCAAGCCAATAAACTCCACTTCGTCCGAGCAGGAGATCGAGGCGGCCATTAAAGAGGCCACCGGTTTCGACGTGAGCGTGAGCTCCCTGCGCGGAAAGGGCGAAAGGGCCGAGTGGACATTGGAGATCATCTACCACAACGTTTTCTTACCTGCGGACTCGTTTACCGTGAATGCCGAGATGGATGCAACTTCGGTGGGGTCCGCTACAATAAAGCAGGCCGTTATGGAGGGCGGAGAGGCCCAGCTTCGGACGGTGGCACGCAATAAAACGCAGATATTCCTGCAGACCGAGATTGAGTCTACTAGTCCGAGTGGAAATTTATCACAGAGCGACGTATGCCGAAAGTGCGCGCCAGTCATGAAAAGGTGCCAGGACAGCACAGTTTGCTCCTCCTTCTCGCGGGGTGTTCTCGTTCCTTCCCTGCGTGCTGCAGACACCACGCAGTTGACAGTGTCGTCGAATTCTGCTGGGGCTCAGACCTATGCATTTGATCTCGTACCAACAATTCAAGACGCGCTACCTGACAGTTTTGAAGCCTGGGATACGCTAGCCGCCGAGTTGTATTGCTTGGCCGATGTGGAGTGCGATTTGGAATATGAAGCCGTTGTCGACAGCACCACGGGAGATCATCAGCCAACGTACCTGAGCTTGGACAGCATCTTTGTCAACTTGTCCGTGCGCACTTATCCTGACACACAGTGGACTGCGACTACGACACAAAATCTCAAGCTCACGTACACTCCCGATCAGGACGTCGCCTCAGCTACTGATGCAGCTGATGATCTGTTGAATTGGGTGGTGGCAACGATAAACGACTCGGTACCTGGAGTTACTGTATTGCAGCTGGGAGACTGGACGGTGGAGAATTCGGGGGCTGCGGTTGGTGTTATCGCAATCTATGGACAATTTGACGAGCTTGTTGGTCGCTTTTTGATGGCGCCTTTACTGGGACTACCTACGTTTTCTGCGGCTGAAGCGAGCACGAATGCGTCGAATCTCCCTCCCGCCGGAATAACCACGACACAATGGAGTTTGTCGCTTACTTCGGTCGGTAGTAAGCCTCAGTACAGCAAGTTGGTGGACCTGTTACAGTTTGGAGTTGAGGCTAATGCGGACGATTCCACGACTACCGCTTCCTCGAAGAACATTTCTCCCACGGATCGATGTCGCGAATGCAAAGCAGCAACGTTGGATTGCCAGAATTCTGCCGAGTGTGCGAAGTTCTCGCGAGATTCACTCGTCCCACTACTTCGCAACGCTAGCGATCAAGCTACCGTGAATTTATTGCTCGATGGTCTTGGTCATGTGGAACGTCGACTGTCATTGGATTCGCTCTACTCACTTGCTTCGACCGAGCTATCTTCACTCGAGAGCTGGGACGCTCTGAGTACTGAGCTCTCTTGCTTCGCGTATCGGTGCGACCTGGAGTACAGCGATGTTTTCGCTCCGGCCACGAGCTACCACGAGGCATCTTACCTGCGCTTTGAGAGGGAAAATGTCACCTTGCAGGTGCTCACGTATAACGATACGCAATGGAATATGACGATCAGTGGGTCCGAGGTGGAGTATGTCCCAGATACTTCGCTATCGCCTCTTGAAGCTGCTACTGCATTTAGTGACTGGATTGAAGCACAAGTGACTCAAGAACCGTACGACCTTGGCTATTCAAGAGGAGACGTCACCGTTAACGAAGCGCGTTGGTCGGCGGCGTTTTCCGTAACTCTACGCGGGCAGTGGAGTGACCTCTTGTCCGACAAAATTTTATTAACCGCGCCGCTGGTTCCTACCTTTGAAGCTGTGGATGGAACGACAGAGGATGAATTAGGTATTAACCCTGCACAAGTGACTGCAGAACCATGGGAGCTCTACATGACGACGAACAACCAGAAACCGCAGTACTCCAAATTCCTGGAGCTGCTGGCGTTCGGATTTATCAGAGATATCGTCACCGATACTTCAAGTACTTCAGGGTCCTCTTCATCAACGTCCTCTGATACCGAGGCGCCAACCAACTCCCCCACAGATCCCCCTTCAATTGCGACGTTTGACTGTGACGAGTGTGCTACCCAACTGCGCACCTGCCAGCAAGATGCTGACTGTGACACTGCTCTCACCCAACTAATCTCCTTCCTCGAAATGATGCCCTCCGATGCCGACAGCTCTCAGTACAATACTACCAGCTCTCGGTACATCTACGATGCCACACCTTTGATGGAGACGACGATTTTCAATGATACGTTGACAACCGTCGAAGACCGACTGAAAATGATCACGTTGCTCACTTGTAGCAGCTCACACTGCATCCAAAGATCTTGCGACGTTGGGAAGCCTGGAAAGTCGGCGGAGCTTAAAATCACCCCAGCTCACGCAACGTTTTACGTTGGCGATGGAGAGGAGATTACCATTCGTGGCTTGGACGATGGAGTCTTCACGTTCACAGAAAACGGCGACGCGGCGTCACTATCGCTGTTCCTGGAGACGACGGTGCTCAACAGCTACACACAGTTGGGTGTTAGCGTGGACGTCCAAGAAGCAGATGCGTTCGACCAGGCGCTCCAAGTGTACACCATAGTTTTCAATGGATTGGCGAAGCCGATTCACTTTTCGTGGACCGACGATCTATATGATGATCTCTACGGCAACAGTTTTGGCTCGGATGCAGCGTTTGTATTGCGAAGCTCAACCAAGGACATGCTGGATGCGTTCAGAGCGTGGATCACGTGGCTTTCCTCTGTCAACAGTGACTCATCATCATCGACTTCTCCTGCCGGTTCCGACACTGGATCGACCTCGTCTTCCTCGGGGCCTGACGCCGGAGACGTTGGGTCAACCTCCTCCTCCTCGTCACTTTCGGGCTCTGACGCCGGAGACGTTGGATCGACCTCCTCCTCCTCGTCACTTTCGGGCTCTGACGCCGGAGACGTTGGGTCAACCTCCTCCTCCTCGTCACTTTCGGGCTCTGACGCCGGAGACGTTGGGTCAACCTCCTCCTCCTCGTCACTTTCGGGCTCTGACGCCGGAGACGTTGGGTCAACCTCCTCCTCCTCGTCACTTTCGGGCTCTGACGCCGGAGACGTTGGGTCAACCTCGTTTTCCTCGTCACTTTCGGGCTCTGACGCCGGAGACGTTGGATCGACCTCCTCCTCGTCGTCACTTTCGGGCTCTGACGCCGGAGACGTTGGGTCAACCTCCTCCTCCTCGTCACTTTCGGGCTCTGACGCGGGAACAACTGACTCCGAGACTGGCGAAGCTGCCGTTCTCTCTTCGTATGATGTGTGCGATCAATGCGCTGACCCTCTCGCAAGATGCCAAGATAATGAAGAGTGTGCGGCAGCTTCCAGTGGTGCATTTGTGCCATTCCTTCGTGACGCTTTGGCCTCGCTCAACGCCACGGCAAACGCAGACGACCCGACGCGGATGGAGATTGACTTTGGCTCTATCCTCAAGTCCCTCCCATCCAGTGTATTTACTTCTGCCGAGGCTTGGCACGCGGTTGACGATGAACTGATCTGCCTCGCCTCGAGTCTGTGTGAAGTGGGCTACGACGGCGGAAGCAACTACCAGCCGTCACTTCTCAGTGTGGAGGAAATTGTTGTCGTTCTGCACGTGACCACATTCCAGGATACACAGTGGCAAGTCATCTTAAACGGGAGCGAGTTCTCCTATGCACCTGCTGCCACTGTTACCACCCTCAGCGAGGCAGTTGCAGCATTTCAAAGCTGGCTGGAGACGTGGGGCAAACAACAGTCGCTGGAAATCCACGCCGTAAGCTGGGACGATGACGGTTCATCCCCCGCTACGTTTGAAGTGAAGTTGTTCGGCGATTACGACGATATCAGCGGGCGCTACACAATGCTCGCTCCAGCTCTGATCCCAACGTTTGAGGCAGTCGGCGGAACTCTTTCTGAGGGCGACGACGCTACTTTACGGAAGGCCGAAGTTCGTGTTACGCCATGGAATATTAAGCTCTATTCAACTGAGCAAAAGCCGAGATTCGGCAAGCTTTTGGACCTACTGGGCTACGGTATCGCTGGCTCCTCCGCTTCGGCCTCCACGCCCGCTTCAACACTCGCTTCTCCTTCACACCAAATGGGGTCGAACGACAAGTGTCGCCACTGTGCTTCGATCCTCTCCGAGTGCCAAAATGACGCCGAGTGCGTATCGTTCACCCAGTATTCAGTGATTCCTCTGCTCCAAGACGCGTCGTTGACTGTCACCACTGAAGTATTGAACGACTACGGAGCAGCGTCTTTCAGTGCGGACCTGTACCCGATACTACTGCCGTTGAACGCCAGTGTGAATAACACTCCGGCCGCTTGGGATTTGGTGGCTGCTGAGCTCTACTGCCTCGCGTACGATACGTGCCGGGTCGAGTACAGCGACGTATGTGTCAATTTCCGAGGTGCTGAGTCATGTCCTCCAGTGGAAATGGACTTGGCGCGTTCATCTGTCAAGGTCCAGTTGCGAACGTACGAGGACACCGCGTGGGAAATTACGATAAATGGCGCCGCGTATTCGTACATACCTGATGGCACAGCCTGGGGGGTCGAAGACGAAGCCCAACGGCTCCAGGCGTGGTTTAACGGGCTCAATGACGATGAATCATTCCTGCTTGAGGTGCAAGTGCTTGGTCAAGAAGTTGATTCAGACACGGAGAGTGCCGTACTCAGCTTGCAATTCTTCGGTGCCTTCAATGACGAATTTTATCAGTATCTGATGGTGAATCCGGCGCTGATTCCCAGTTTTTCAGCTGTAGGAGGAGCCACAGCCAGCGCGGACGGGACTTTGCTCGCAGAAGCCAATGTTACACTTCCCAGACTTGTGGTGTACTCTGATCGCCTCAAGCCGCAGTGTAGCAAACTGATCGACTTGTTATCTGCTGGCATTCCTGATGCGGCCCCCACGAGCTCCACGCCAACTCCGACCCCGACTTCAGCTTCGAGAATCATATCCACGTCCGACCCGTGCCGCGTGGAGTGCCAAGACGTCGTCGCCTTGTGCCGGAGCAATACGGACTGTCTGGTGTACCAGTCCACGCTCGCTTCGCTCTTGGGCAGCACTTCTATGGAGATGAGTGCCCAGCCTCAGAACGACTATGGCACCGCCCGAGTCGCCCTGAACATGAGCTCGGTCTTGAGTTCTGTCGTCCCGCTCCCCCCATCGCGTGGAGCCTGGGACACACTCGCAGCTGAGATCGCGTGCTTTAACGCGACGACTAGCTGCGATCTGGAGTACGACGATGTCGTATCACCGTTCTCGGGAGAGCACGTGGCTACTGCACTGAGCATCAAGGAAGTGTCGGTCTTCATCTCCTTCCGCATCTACGTTGACACGATGTGGAATATGACGATGGGCGACGTCGTGACTTCATTTACGCCATCTCAAGCTCAACCTCGAGACGTTGCAACGGAGTTTTCCCTCTGGATACAGGCCCAACTCGAGCAGGCTCCGTACGACCTTGTTGTCGAGACTGAGGACGCCACGTACGACCCCGGCTCGTCGCAAGCTGCAATTTTCCCCCTGAGCTTTCGTGGCGAAGCGAGTGTGTTCGGTGACTTATTGGCGCCTCCATGGCTGATCCCTCGCTTCGAGGTGACAGGGGGGACAGCGGGAGGGGGTGACACGGGACTCCCCGCGGCGGAAGCCAATGTCACGCTCTGGGACGTCGCCATGGTGAGCATTGGGCAGATGCCCCAGTACAGCAAGTTCCTGGACATTCTCGACTCCGGCTTGGACCGGTGAGCAGTTTAAAGTTGTAGCAATGTCTCCGAATGAGCGACCAGCAATGAAATCTCTTAGCATATCAACTTGGGGGGAAAGGCAACTTCAACTTGACCAGGGTTACGCATGGTTACACCGGGTTACGGCATGATTACATATGAAGTGAAATTAGTAACCACTGGGGGTACATTATGTTACATATCCATAACCTGGTTACATGGTATAACCAGGTTACGGGTTACGAGGATCGGGGTAAAATTCTAACTGATATATCGACGCGTGTGCAGGCGCGAATGTTGCGCCATATATACTACTGCACTGTATGCTATAGTGAAATGAAGTAAGAATCAAAGGATATGTTTTAGGGCATCTGATTGGATAATACAAAGGGCATTAAGAGCCATTCAAAGGGAAAGAAGCCAGCGCTGCTGGCAGCAATATGATAAGCCGAGGGATGTGAAGGAAGCAGGCTTTCATTGCCATCACTTCAGAAACTGAAGGCAACTACACACTACATCTACACTGCTTGTACGCAACAGCGAACGCGCCCGTGCGCACGCCCTGCGGGCTACCCGTAGTGTATGTATATACCAACACACTGGGCCGGTAATAAGCTCGCTGCAATCCATTGCCCGCCGCGCGTGCGGACGTAAAGATTTTACCCCGACCCTCCTCAAACCGATGAGGAGTAACCATCAGGAGGGGGTCTCAGAAAAATCTGCGGGGTACTAAGAAAATTCCGGGAAGAACCCGCTTACAGCTGGTTCTTGCAGAGTGGAAGCCCGCGACTCCGCCACCCAGGATGCCAAGCTGTACGACCTCGCTGTCATTCTGCGGAATGCTCAACCAGGAGCGCACCGCCCTCTTCGCGTGCTGCTGCTGCGGCAGCCCAGGCACGAGCGGCCTGCTTTGTGTTATGCTGCTTCGGTCGTCTACTAAGGAGGCCCAACCAAGATTGCGCCACTAACTTCATGCGCTGCTGCTGTGACAGCTCCTCCAGTGTGCTACCCTCTCTGTGTGTGTTGCTGCTGCGGCTTCCTAGAACAGAGGGCCCTCGAGCCAAAACACACCCACCCACATGTGTGTGTTGGCTAACCGGCGGGCGTACGTACTTCACTTCTCCATCCGCAGCTCGGCTCACAAGTGACTCCAGCCCCGCCAAACTCGGCCCTGCTCGCCTCGACTTCGGCGAGCTTCGACTTTGCTTGCATCGCTCTTCTCATCTCGGCTTCGCGCCTCTCAGCTACTCGAGCTTCGACCTCCGACTTGCTGGCCGCCCCAACGCTTGCCACGATACCATGGAGCACATTGCCAGGGGACGCAGAGACCGCGCTGCACGCTACACGGTGCCGCATGACCGCCGCCCTGACCGACGAGGAGCGAACGGCACTTCAAGCAGCGGAGCAGGTCGAGAACTTGCGGCAGTCCGAGATCTGGTTGCGGCTCCTGGAGTTTGCTGCGTAGCCTACCCCCCCCCGCCCAGCGGTCCGCAGGTGTCGCCCTCGATGCTTCATCTGCTCAAGCAAGTGTTCAACGTGATCCTCTTCTTCCACGGCATGCCGTTCGCGTAGCTATGGCTGCGGGACCGCCTGAACGGCTCTCGTCGGGCGGTCCGCGCCGTCGTACTGACCTGCTTCAGTGGAGAGTACCTCCTCGTCCACAACGGAGTCCGACAGCTCAGACGACTTCGACCGGGCGTGCGCTTGCGGCTGCCTGAAGGCGCCCACATCACCTGCAGCTCTCGCAAATGCTGTTCAACTCAAGGATGCGCAGGATACTCGCGAATTTGGGCCTCGAGGAGCTGGTGCGCGGCATCAGCAAAGCCGTGGACGAACGGATTTACACCCACCAATCTGCAACCGGTGAGCTGAACGTGAGGGGGCCGGTAACTTCGTTGTACTGCGTGGAGATGGATTGCAGGGATTTACCCCTTGCTGAGCGCGCCTTCTTCGGGAAGCTGACGGAGTTGAAGCTGAAGTACCCTGTCGTCCGCACTGAGACCAACGGCCAGATGACCGAGATCTTTGAGTGTGACCACCACGACCGATCCATGCCTGGTGTGCGGCTGGGGCGTTCACTACATCCGCAGCAACGAGCTGTACGATGCGGGCAGCTTGTCGTAGCGCTTTTGGAGTGCTTCGTGCCTGAACCAGTGGAATCCAATGAATTTGCTTCCTTCGATGTCCGCAGACGACGTTGCGTCGATTGACTCGTCGAGCCAGAGCTAGGACTTGCAACCACCGCTGGTTCAATTGGCTCAGTCGGTTGAGGCCTTGTCGGCGGCATCGCTGGTGGGTTTGACGATGGATTCGTCGCCCTATATGCGGTTGTCGCCCTCGCTGGCAACGGACAGCTACCAGGTGCTGTGGAAGCACAACAAACCCGTCGCAATGGAGCTCGAAAACGAGGACGCCTGGTGGACGCCTGATGGACGCCTTGGTGGTCGATAGTAATGATATAGACTGCTGTGGTTCATTTTCTATAGTATTCTATATTCTGCAAAACCACTGGTTTATAATTTATCCGCGCTCCTCCATTCTACTATAGTAGTTTAGGAAGAAAATCGCAATACTATCAAACCCTGGTTATAGTACTGTAGAACCTTTATTTGGGCCCCTGGGGTACTAAATTAGTACCCCACACACGCAAGGGGGGTGGGGCACTATTAAAGGGTGGGGTACTAGCAAACCGAGCAGTGTCTCATGTAGCCCCGACTAATACCCACCAAAAATTCCTCGATTAAAAACTTGTTGCTAAGAGATCTTTATAAATAATATGTACAAAAATCTCTCAGCAGCAAGTTTTTAATCGAGGAATTTCAAATTATGAGGCCGCGTCAAACAAAAAGACGCTAAGCCACCATTTGGAGTTTTCGAGAAAATCGCCTTTGAAGTTGACCAATCAAATTTTGGACATAACCGGACATCAAATTTTGAAAATGAAAACTACTCGTAAAACGCTAAAAAAACACTCTTATTCGATTGCTTTTAGCATGAGATTTCCGATCATATACAATAAGTCGAAATCGAAAAAATATTGAGGTCACACGCCCCAAATAACATGGTGGGGTACTGTTGCAAGTCCCCGAGGTGATCAAAAATGAGAGGTGAGGTGGTGGGGCATAATTAGAGGTTTTACAGTACATCTGGTTACAGTGCGCATTTTCGACCCGAGTGCGATGTCGTCGTCGGCATGGGGCGGCTGGGGCTCCAAGCTCAACGTGACGTCCATCGTCTCGCAGGGGCTGGAGCAGGTGCGCAACCTGCGCGAGGACGTGGAGAAGTCCTTCGACCAGGTGGTGGCGGGCGCTCCGGGCGGCGCGCGGCTGCCGCTGGCCAGGCCGACGCCGCTGCAAGAGGAGGCCGATAAGGAGAAGGCGGCGGCCAGTGAGGCGTCTGAGCCCCTGTTTGGGGACGCCAGCGCCAGCCACACTGAAGCTGAAGCGCAAGGCGAGGACAAGACCCCAGCAGCGGACGGAGGAGGCGAAGAGGAGGAGAAGCACGATGTCCCAGAGCAGCAGAAGCCCTCGGAGGAGGAGGAGACACAGCGCTCAGAGCAGCTCCAGGTTGAAGCCAGCGCCGCCGACATTGAAGAAGATCTAGAGAAGGATCCAGAGGAGAAGGAGAAGGAGACGGAGCAGGAGGAGCAGGATACGATCGTGGAGTCTGCAGTTGAGGTGGCAGGGGGCGATGCCGTAGCTGCTGCTGAAGAGCCGGCGGATGCAGCGGAGACCGAGGAATTAAAGGATGTAAACGACGAAGAGAATGAGGAGGAGAAGGAAGGAGAGGAGGAGGAGAAAGAAGAAGAGAAGACGAAATCCGAGGAGCAGTTGGTAGAGCAGGGGGAGGAGGTTGTTGCTGACGCGGAGGTGGCGACGCTGCGGCGGGAGCTGGTGGTGCGCGAGTCGCAGCTGCTGGCGACGTCGGCGACGATCCAGGAGCTGCACGACGAGCTGGACAAGACGTGCAGTCGCGAGGTGGCGGCAGTGGAGCGCGCGCAGTTCCTGACGGAGCAGCTGGAGAACATGAGGCGCGAGGTGGCCAAGCTCACGCAGCTGCACCGCGACACGAGCGACAGCCAGAGCGCGGACGTGCAGGCGCTGCAGATGGCGCTGGCCGAGAAGGAGGAGAAGCTCAGCGCGCTGCTGGACGAGGGCCAGGCGCTTTCTGTTAAGCAGGCGCAACTGGAGCAGAGGCTGCGCGCGCTGCGGAAGGAGAAGGACGAGCTGGAGGAGCGCGCGCTCAAGTTGCAGTCGCAGTTCGAAGCGTCGGCGGAAGAGGTGAAGGACCTAACGACGAAGCTCAAGGCCAGCGAAGAGGAGAAGACGCGCTTGGCGCAGGAGAATCGCCAACTGGCCAGTAGTACCGATACCACAACTGTGAAGGCGGAGAAGGCCGAGCAGGAAGCGCAGGAGGCTCAACGGCAGTTAGAGAAGTTGCAGACTCAGGTGGAGCAGCTAACCCTTGAAGTATCCAGCAAGAATGACGAGATTGAGAGGCTCAAGACAGCTACGCAATCGAATGAGGCGCTGAACCATGAGAAGTTGGAGCTTCAGCAGACGTTGGAGTTTCTGCAGGATAATGTCCGCGACTTGGAGCAGGAGGCGGCTCGCAGGGAGGAGATGGCACGAGCAGAAATTGCGGACTTGAAGCGGAAGTGGCAGGACGCGGTGGCGCGTGTGGATATGCTAGGACAGAGCATTTCTGAGGCCACTCAGCCGCTTTTGCGTCAGATCCACGCGTTGCAGGAAGACCAGCGCGCAAGACAGGAGACTTGGAAGGCAACTGAGAGTACACTTCTCGAGCGTATCGACGAGGCAACGGAACAGCGCCGCGCGGTTGAGCAGGAAAAGCTTGACATCGAGAAGGAACTGCGTGAGCTTCAACGCAAGCTGGAGGATAGCGACATGGAGCTTACGAGAAAGCAGGCAGAGCTGAATCGTACGCAAGAAGCTGCTGAAGCTGCCAAGAGTGGGGCTCGCGAGCTGCGTGGACAAGCTGATGCATTGCAGATTGACTTGGACCAGGCCAAGCGCCAGCGTGACGCCGAAGTTGAGGCGAAACATCAACTCCAGACTCGACTGGATAGCGCCGAGAAGTCCTCGAAGACAGTAGAAGCGTCAACGACAGTGACAGCAGAACTAGAGCAGGCTCGGGAGCGAGAGTCCCAACTTCGGCAAGATCTCGAGTGGCATCAACAAGAGCTTCAGCGGTTGAAGGCGTCGGCCGCACAGCCTGCACCAGCCCCTTTGTCGACTGGTTCGACATCCTCCCAGCATCACTATGCAAGGCGCAGTATTGACAGCGATCAACGCGACGGCAGCCTATCGTCTGAGGCGTCAATTCTCAGAACAACGTTGGAGACTACGATGGGCGACTCTCTCAGCTCAAACGGTGGCAACACGTCAGTGCTGGGACTCAGTCAACTACAGCAGCGGTTGCGCTTGCGTGAGGGCGAGAACCGTATGCTGAAGCAGCAACTAGAGGCACTGGAGGCCCGTCAAAAGCAAACGACTGACGAGATTGTTCGGCTGAGCACGCGCAACGCGTTACTGGAAAGCGGTGAGGCGCAGCGGGAGCAGGCGCAACAGGAGCTAGCACAGTTGCAGAAACACCAGGTGGTGTTGCTTGAGCTTTTTGGCGAGAAAGAGGAACAGGTCGAGGAACTGCAGGCCGAAGTGAGCGAGCTCAAAGCGTTTTACCGCAAGCAGCTGGATACATTGGCGACGCACAACGAGCAGCAGCAAAAACAGCGAGCTGGTTAGCCTCATTAGAAGGGCAGGGGTCCTCCTGGTACTGCAGAGCTCGGTGGACACTGGCAAGGATCATTCGAGCGGTAAGACTTGTGGTTATGCCCAGTGGCTTACGATTTTGTTTGCTTGTAGAACCGGACAAAGACACCAACGCATAATGTACAGTCAACTTCAAGAACGCTTGGTACAGGATGACAACATGTTCGATTTGCTGTTTTACACAGAATGGAGCTGCTGACAATTTCGGTCAATTCTGGAGGCTACGACACTACGGTTTAGACATCAATTATCTACAGCGTGAACTTCTCGTTGCCGTCTTCGTCGCAGATGCCGAAGTGCGCCTCGAAGACCGTGTCGGTGCGCGAGGGCAGGTCGAACATCTGGAAGTAGTGGCTGCGGGACGCGTCCAGGTTCTCGGCGGCCCACGTCATGTAGTCGGAGTAGAACTGCTTGGCGCCCGCGACGGAGCCCGTGTTGCCGTCCGAGGAGCCGGCGCTGGGCCATCCCGTCTCGGTGATGGCGAGCTTGTCGGCCAGGCCGGGGAAGCGCGACTCGGTGTCGCTACCCTGCAGTTCCGTCCACTGGTCGGACACGAGCGTGATGGCGTCGGTCGCGGCGGTGTTGGCGGTGAACACGGGCTGAATGTTGACCCCCACGACGTCGCAGGCCGTGAAGAGGTCGGCGAGGCCCGAGATGGCGCTGTAGCGAGACGAGTCGAGCATCTCGGTGTTGCGCTGCACGGTGCCGATGGGCACGTTGGGCAGCGCCTCCTGCAGCTGCTTGATGTAGGTGAGCATCTCGGACGGGACGGCGTCGACGGAGGCCAGGTTCTCGTTGCCGACGAAGATCTGGACGACGCTGGCCGAGCCGTTGGAGAGCGCGCCGGCCGAGATGGCGACCGTGACGTTGTCGGCCGTGGCGCTCGGGTCGTCGTTGTCGAAGGGCACGCCGAGCGACACGTTGAGGCCCTGCGCGATGGCGAGCGTGGCCATGTCGGCGGACCCGTAGGTGGTGACGTAGGTCCGCACGAGGCCAAAGCCCTTCTCCTTGATGGTCTGGAAGTCGGCGGAGATGGTGGCCTCCGTCACGGAGTCGACGTGGGCCGGGTCGTAGCAGACGCCGCCGGTGGTGGTGGCATCGGCGTGGTTTGTCGAGCAGAGCATGGCGAGGGCTGTGGTGGCGACGAACGAGAAGACCTTCATGGTTGGCTTTGGTGGTGGTGTAGTGTGGTGTAGTGGTGGTGGTGAAACCTGCTGAAGAGGCTGCGGCGCAACTCGAGTTCTTGTGCTTGTCGATGCAAGTCGTGGAATGAGTTCTGCGGTGACCTCGACATTTTTACGGAGGCCATCCTTGGTGGCGATGGTGTCTCCTGAAGATCGAAGCGTGGCGTGTAGGACACCGTCGTCAGATGGTTATGTTATGTGGCAGATGGCAGTCAAGTCCGTGACCATTGTGGCACGCCTGCTGACAGCAGTGCCGTCTTGCTCAGATATGATAGCCAGGGATGCTGCCACGCACGCGGACTCCACTCCTCAGGGATCGAGTCGCGCGTTGCGTTGTAGTATGATGCGGTGTGTGGCTGCTCACATGTCAAGGCAAGTCGAGGCTCACGTCAGTCTGAAGGGTACAAGCCTGTTCCAGAATCCAATTCAGGTGCTGTGGTCTTGAAGTGACTGGAGTATACTTTATCCCTTGAAGAGGGTCACCGAGAAGTTGTCGTGGAGTTGTGAGGGTGTTTGCCTGGTCACAGCTAGGCGTGACATGCTTCATCTCAGGTGTCAAAAGGGTTTCGGTGGCAGCGCTTGGTGCTAGTTTGTGGGCTTTAGCCACGGATATCATGTCGTGTGCGTCCAGCTGGAGGCGTGCGTTTGGCGTCGGGATTGAGTTTCCCATCGACGAGTATGGAGCTTTTCGTCGTCGTCGTGCGATTTGCACATGGTGCTAACGTTAACAGCGCAAAAGACCCCATGGAGTGACTGACGTCCACAAACCGAGAGCTGCAGAGATGCAATTGCAGCACCTACAGTACCTGGTAGCTTATACACGCCGGTGGCTGAGTACGCGCAAGTATGTGTTCCGTGCATCAAGCTGCGCTGAAGTTTGAGGTTCATCCAATACATTAAACCATACAAAACGCTCGAGCATTTAAAGTTCGTCCTCTTCCAGCAGCATGTTGGGCACGGCGTTCGTGACCGGGTAGCTGCGTCCGCAGTTGTTGCACACGAGCTCCCCCTCCACAATGTTCGTCTGTAAATCCGCGCCAACAACAAGCACAACGTTAGTCCTTGGAATTCCACTCCAGCGCCGCCTGTGGGGGCGCGCCGTCTTCCGCCAAAAGTAAATCAAACACGGAAACTGCGACGTACGTCGAAGAGGACGCGGTGAATCGTCTGAAGCAGCTCGTCCTGCCCCGACAAGTCGGCGGGGATCTGTTCCGGCAGCACCGGCACCTCCGGGTGGTTCAACTGGAGTACAGCAAGAATACACCAACCGTCAGCCACACTGATCCACTTCGACTTCAGAGCATTAACAGCTACCCACCTCCTTGGTGGTGTGGCACAGCGCCGGGTAGTCGATGGAGCTCATGATGTGCAGCATGAAGCTCTTGCTGTATTGGGTCTGGAGCACCACGACGCCGTCCATCTCCGGCACAATCTGCAGCAATAGTTGAATAAGGAGACTGGTTATCCTCATTGTCGGCACCGACAGGCAGGCAAATGGCCGGCATGACGAACCCGCAGCGGGAAGTTGAGCGGACGAGCGCCGGCATCGCGGCCGGCCGTGTCGGCGCAGGCCTGTCGTAAGCACACCAGAAACACGCTGTTTAGACGCTGCACAACGTAGCTAGATCTACAGACAGAGGGCCATGCACGCACCTTGACGTGGCACACGAGCATGTTGTGGGTCAGCAGACGCATGGTTGACGGGCTCAGGAAGGTAGTGTGGCCACCAGTTCGGTCTGCGCGCGAGCGCCACTGGGCTCCACTATGTGGACGCTGACTTGGAGTTTGTAAGTGGACGGCGTCCGCCTCATTTCTGCCAATCAGCAGCCTCCTGCGTTTAGGGCTGCGAACGACTGGAGCGGACGCCAACGGTAGTCAAGGTGTCGGAGCTCAGCAGTGTCAAAGCGCTGTCCAGGTCGACCGATAGCTCTATAGCTCCATACCGTAGCTCCCGGGAACTAGCCAATCTACTAGCAAGGGCACCATGGTGAAGAAGAAAGGAAAGTCCAAGCGCTTGTCCCTGCACAAGAAGTACAAGATCGCGCGCAAGGTGCGCGAGCACAAGCGGCAGGAGCGCAAGGCCGAGAAGCTCAACCAGCACAAGAAGAAGAAGGACCCGGGCATTCCCAACAACTGGCCCTTCAAGGAGGAGCTGCTGCTGCAGGTGGAGCAGGCGCGGCTGGCCGAGATCGAGGCCCAGCGCCAGGCCCAGCAGCAGCGCAAGGAGGACAAGAAGAAGGCCAAGCAGCTGGCCAAGCTCCAGCGCAGCGAGGCCAATGCCCTCACCGCCGTCACGCCGCTGAGCGTCGAGATGCAGTCCAAGAAGGACCTCAAGCACGCCGTGCAGGCCGCCGACGTGGTGCTCGTGGTGCTGGACGCGCGCGACCCGCAGGGCTCCCGCTCGCTCTCGCTCGAGGACGGCCTCGTGGCCAAGGGCCAGAAGAAGGTGGTGCTCGTGCTCAACAAGATCGACCTCGTGTCGGTCGAGACGGCCCAGAAGTGGGTCAACTACCTGCGCCGCTTCCACCCGACCATCCCCGTGCGCGCGCTCAACGCCAAGATCTCGGACAACTCGAAGAAGACCAAGCAGGAGAAGGGCCACAAGGCGCTCTACGACCGCCAGCAGGAGATCAGTGGCATGCGCGACAACGGAGAGGTGCAGCCGCTGCGCGTGTTCCTGGACGAGCTGGCCGACAAGGCCGACAAGAACCTCAACGTGGCCGTGCTCGGGTACCCGAACGTGGGCAAGAGCACGCTCATCAACTCGATCAAGCGTCGCCAGGTCGTGAACGTGTCGAGCAACCCGCAGTCCACCAAGACGGCGCAGGAGATCCAGTACGGCGAGAAGATCACGCTCGTGGACTGCCCCGCGCTGGACCCGGACTACAGCGACGAGTCGTCCGCCATCATGCGCCACGGCATCGCCGGTGTCTTCGTGGAGGACCCCGTGCCTGTGGTCAAGAGCGTGATCGAGCGCGGTGACGCCATGAACCTCATGCAGACGCTGCAGATCCCCGTGTTCCGCAACCACGAGGAGTTCCTCGCCAAGCTGGCCATCAAGCGCAACATGCTGCGCAAGGGAGGTGAGCCGGACATCCTCATGGTGGCACGGACGTTCCTGCAGAACCTGGGCAAGGGCGTGTACAGCCCGTCGTGCTTGCCGCCGGCAAAGTCCAAGTCGCGGTTCGAGCACCCGCACTGGTTCAAGAAGCTTGATCTTGCTAAGGTTTGTTGCACTGGTGTTCCTGTACTGAATGCATTTGTGAAGGTCGTGAATCTAATACTGTGTATGCTGCCTTTTGATCAGCTTCCTGACGCCGAGACGCTGCTGTACAGCTCGAACCCGACCGGCCACAAGCGCGTGCTCACGTTCAAGGCGCCTCCCGTCTCCCACGCGGCCGGTGACATGACCGAATACGACCTCGTTATGGGCGAGCTGCCCGAGAACGACGGCCTCACATCTGAAGACGACGACGCCGAGGAGGACGCTGATATGGGCGAGGAGGAGGAGGAAGAGATGGAGGACGACGATGAATAAGCGTAGACGCTTCCACGGGATCAGATGCACCATCGACAGTTAGTAGAGGTGATGCAGCGCATTGCTCCAGCTTTTTCGCCCTAGACCGATACATGTACTTATTAATCTTGAAGCGCTGCGGCAGAGCAGATTTTTCAACTCAACACGCCAACCGGTCCTCTCTTCATTGCTCAAAGCTCTGCGATTGCTACTCTGACCGAGTACCTTTTAACTTGACAAGCAACACGATCCATAGGACCGCCACTTCGCACAGTAAGTGCGGAATCGCAGAAATCACATCGATGAAGAACAAGCAAAAGTTATCAGTCACACGATAAGCGATAACACGTCAGTGCATTACGATGAAGAACAGCGGATTGAACTCTAAAAATCCGCATGGGTGCACTAGTCAATGCCAATTCCCACCCCATAGGAGGTTACTCATCAGGTTGCAGCAGCTCGTCGTACTCATCGCGCAGTACAAGCGCTTCCTGGAGCATCTCCTCCAACTGAGTCGTAGAAAATTCTTTCTCCTTCGGTGCTTTAGCGCGAGTCTGGCAAACACACTTGCTCTTGGCACGTCTGCACTTCCGACAAAATGCTGGCGGCTTGTCATCAGGCGATTCCTCTTTTGCTGCGTCCTTGGTGTTCATATCGTCCTCAGCAACGGGAGCCACGTCCGTGTCGACAGCAACGTCGCTATCCTTGCGCACCTCGTAAAATAGACTAAGCAGCTGCTGGAGCTCCGACATGTCCAGCTTCGTTAGAATTTTTACTTGATCACTGCAGAGATCGGATCCGAAGTTAGTTTTTCAAACAATTATGATGTTGTTGCAGCATAATAACAGACAGCGTACCTGCGCTCTCCTTCCAGTAGCTCGTTGGGTTTGATGTTGTACGCTACAAGCATCAAAATTGTTGCAACGCAAGTCCACTAGCATGAAACACGCATTAATGGTCATGATCAGTACATCAGCAGCAAAAACTCGGCAAGTATCGTACCTGGTGCGCGTTGCGGGTGTCAATAGCATCACGCAGAGCGAACGTTTCTGTGATAGTATCGATGCGGTGGTTAGCGAAGCGGTCGCAAGCAAGTTTCAGCTTCAGAGCTACTTGAGGCAGAGGGCGTCTCAGCATCAGCGAGAGGGAATTCCATCGCTCCAGACGAATCTGACGCGCTCGTCGGCGCGCAGCGTCAGCTTCGATCTTGTCGGGACCTTGAATCAAAGAGTCTGCGTCTTCCTTCTCCTCTACCTTCGCAGGCAGAGGAAGGCCAGCCACCAGGAGTGTAGTCTCGTGGGTAATCCAGTTGGACAGCAGTCCCCAAAGGTGGCTAAACAGCGGCAGATCATTCAGCGTCACCACTTCCTCCTCGTCAAAGTCGGAAATCTCGAAGCTGCCCGCAGAGGAGACGTCACTGGCCGCCGCGTCACTCTCGTCGCTGTCGCTAACCACGATGTCGTCCTCATCGTCTCCCTCCTCTTGGCTCTTCTTGACCAGCTTCTCCACCTTCTTGGCCAGCTTCTGCTTGTGTGCAGGGAACACGTAGCCCTCAATAAGCGTAGCGTGTTCTACCGTCGGGAAGTTCCTGTCCGGCGCTGCGGGGGAGTCGTTCTCCTTCAACTTGGTGGACGTAGCAGCCACCAGAGCTGGTGGGACACCCACAGACATGGCGTTCGCAGTCGAGTGCTTCCTCTCAACGACGCCCAGGTCCTGCGTTTTGGCCCAGACTGATTTGGCCTTCGGCAGTGGCTCTGCCTTGTGTGCAACAGGAGCTTCAACTTGTTTGACGGGCTTGTCATCCTCGTAGTCGAACGGATTGGGCTTGTCCGTGCCGAAAACTTCAATCAGAGACGGCACCAGCTGCGGCGGCTTGTGCGCGAGTCTCGAGAGCAGCACCCGAGCTTTCTACAGCCAGAAAAATCAAGGTAAAAAGCTCAGTATCAACTACAGACTCCAGCAGCACATTGGTGGGGATCTAGAGCTTGAAACTGTGTGGTTAAGACCTTGAGACACAGCTGAGAGCAGAACTGCCGCTCGTAGTGGGCGTCGTAGATCTCCTTGCGAGCCAAAGAGACTCGAAGCTTGCCCTTCGTCCTGCGTTATACGAGCGATTAGATTGGTTGAAAATAGAAATGACGCGTTCTGATTGGACGAAAATGGATTTGCGTACGTCGATAGCGGATTCGAGCAGGCCGGGAAGGCGCAGCGCTTGGCGGCCGCGCGCTCCTCGAATACCTCCTCCATCTGCCGGCGCTGCAGCAGCTGCCCGCTCAGCTCCAGGTAGCGCACGGGCACGCGCGGCACCAGCAGCGTCGCCATGAGCGCGAAGGCCTCCTGCACGCTCGAGCCATTGACGCTCGTCATGATTGGCGAGAAATGTGAAACGAAGGAATTTGGTGACGCGCAAAATGTGTGGGCCACACTGGGGGTAGACCAGAAGGTCATAGTGGAGCCAAGTTAAACGTGATGACTTGGCGTTTGTAAGGCAACTTCAACTTGCTCCACCACCACCACTGTACAAAGCGATTCCATTCACGCCGCTGCAGTCAGGTAGCTGTCTCGAAGGGGATAATACTGTACGTTGCCAATATAATGTTGGCGGAACTATGATCACCCTTCACTCGTTCCTATTTCCTTTTTCATATTGTTAAAGTAACATTAGCCTGGCTTGGAATCACAGTACACTATTGGGTGAGATGGAATAACTCAAAGACAATAAAATGAGGTAGAAAGCAGCCTTCTACATGACGTAGTGTTGGGTCTCACGTACCTAGGTAGTCGATAATAACTCAAGCATTACTACGATGGACCATCGGTGAATTGCCACGGGTTTCCCATCTTGTGATGACAACCGAAGCTTCTCTCCTCGCGGCCACGAAGCTCTTTCGCTCTAGAACTGCACGAAAACGTTGAAATACCGGCAGGACATGCCCCCAGCTGAAGGAGCCGCCAATACGTTCATTTTTCTCTCGGTGCGCTACTCCCCCCGACTATGAGTTTCTCACATAAGTTGAGGGATTCATGGAAGAACATTATGATCATTATGATCAAGTTGATCGCTTTGAACTTTTGTTACATACTGTTGATCATCGACGTCGTCGTGACTCGCGAGGCCACTTCATGTACACAAGTACTGCAGAAACGTCCTCGAAAGAGATATTACATAAAAGAAGACCGTGAGCCAGGCTGCTGTACTGTCCTCGCCAGCCTCCTCACTCGAGGCTCACTTTCCAACTCGTACATTCCGAAGTCATGAGCTTCCGAGCGCTTTCCGTCACCATTATTATAGTCTTGCTCAAGCCGATCGAAGCGGGCATCATCGACCACGACCAAGTCGTCCCGTTCCCGCAGTCCCAGCCCACTACCATCACGAACAAGGCTGCGCTCAAGCTCAAGCCCCGGCTCTTTATTAACAACGGATGCCACCTGCACCCCGCTGTGAATGCGAATGGTGATACCAGCGGTGGACTTAAGCCCAAGGGGTCCCCAGAGGGAGGCTGCAGAGGCTCCGGCTCCGGCTCGCAAGTCTACCGGTACGGCCGATCCACCTGGTACAATGGGGTCTGGGCCATCATGTACGCCTGGTACTTCCCCAAGGACGAGCCGACTGACTTCGACGGCCACCGCCACGACTGGGAGCATGTGATCGTGCGAATCAACAACCCCGTTCTCGAGAACCCGACCATCCTAGCCATGACGCCGTCGGCCCACAGCGGATACTCGACGTATGCGCCCCCTCCCGCAGATATGGTATCAGGCACAAGCTGCAAGGTCGAGTACACGTCCAGTTGGATCTTCATTGACCACCACCTCGAAGGAACGTCGACCGCAGGCGAGACTCAGGACTTGATCATGTGGTCCGACCTGACTGACGCCGCTCGCTATGCGCTGAGCACGACCAACTTCGGCAAGGCCGACACCCCGATGAATAACGGCACTTTCAACTGGAAGCTCTCGAAGGCGTGGCCTTGGCCATAAGGGGCTTACATGTCTTCAGTTTCGGCTGCACCCTTATGGCTTTTGCCGCACATGAATTCGAATTATCGTCAGCTGGCCGCACTACAGACCTAAGTAAGCGCAAACATGTCGTCACGTGCTGTATGGTGGTGAACTTTTGGTGGTTCCAGAGGCAATCAATTACATGTACGACAACCCCAATCCATTCAATCGGTACCAGAGCTCGCAATCGGGTACCCGAACCGGGTATACCCGAGTTCGGGTAGGGTGCGGGTACCCGAAACAATCCCCGGGTGAAGCTCGGGTAGTACGGTACTACCCGACGGGTACCCGAGAGTAAGGATAGAAATAATTGAGAGGTTTCGCATCCCTACTCTTATGAACTAAACAAGCCGAGCGGAGCCCCGCAAGCGGGACTCTTTGTACAGGTTAAGGCCGCCTGCCTCGCTTCGCTCGGTGTACATTCGAAATGGCTGTTACATGCATTGCATATCTTCGGCTCAGCGCTTGTAGGGTTAACTGTTCGGTGCCGTTACCGAAACAATTAGAAGGGCAGCATCGAAGCAAGTTTCTGGAACTTTTACCTAGCGTCATTTACAGCATTTCTGGCCTTTAAAGGTTCGGACAAGGTTCGCGGCAGGTTTAACCCCTCCAAACCGGATGCTGCATAATGCAGCATAGATTTGAAGGCTTAAACTGCATATATGCAGCGATTTTTGACTTGAAATTTGTATGAGTGTCCTTTCCCCCGCAACAGGTTGGGTCGTTGCTAAACTGTCGGTATGCACGATTAGCACGCTATTGTCAGCGGCAGGATAACCCCCTTGAATAACCCCCTTGAACCCCTATCCATTTTAGTATACAAACACCCAGTCTAATTACGCTGCATATGCAGTTTAGATGTTCTTTCGGCCTCCCAGTGTGGAGGGGTTAATCTTTATTACCCAGCCTCAAAGCCCACCGGTGGGCTCGGTCCAAATCCCACGCGTGGGCTCAAAAACAATAGTTGTAGATAAGACGTTTTCGCTTTCCAAAGCAATGTAATTGATTCTAAAGAGCTCTAAATGACACAATGAAGTACAAGTGACTAGCCACGGACCCCCATAAACAACTGCAATTATTTATCAGATCATAGTTAGTGCGGAAAGTTGATTGGTAGTCTCCGTGCAGCCTATCTACCTCTAAAATGATAGCGGCCTCAAGCTCTACAGACACATTGAAAACAGCACAGCAAGCTATTGTGCCTTTCACTTATTCTGCCATGATAATTCTGGCATAATTCTCATCCCTTCTCGGCTCTAATTATGCCCTGAGTTAGCTAATTCCCGTGTTAATTCCGGGTCGTTCCACCGCGGTCGAATTAAGAGCGGCGATGGTGAGGCCGAGTTAAGGCGGTATAAGCTATCCCAGCCTGAGTTAGACGGAAACAGAGCGATTGGCGGTTTGCTACCCGCCAATCCATGCCATTCTGCTCGTATCTCCGTCGATTAGCTCGCAAATGCTGATCGCGTGGATTAGGGGAAGCACTCACAATCATAGGCGGAATTAACACTAAATAAGCGTTGCTCGTCCTTTTATGGATCTAATTCCGCCTGATTTAACAGCTCACCCGCCAAAATAGGTGAAAGGCACAATAAATGAATTCACGTGATGCATGCACTGTTGGGACATAACTGGTTGTAGCCTTCAACAGCCATAAGGCGTCACCTTGTTGTACCCATGACGAAATTGTAGGGATTCCGACTTTCGGAGTAAATCAGTGACCCAGTAACGCTCTATCGAGTTGGTAGTGCTTACAATAGAGTCTACACAGTATTTGAAGTGTTTATGTGGTCGGTTCTTGCTAAGTTTTACCGCCTACCACCATTAGAACGGCTAAGAAACAAAATGACAGCTATAATAGGTCATTTTTGGCCCAATCTTAGCCGCTGTTGCTACTACTGCAGTACTTGCTCAACGCTGTGCGGCTTGCATTCCTTCCCTTATACGTACAGGTACACCTATTATACCAGCACCGATTCTAAAAACATACTTAGCAAAATGTTGCGATCAGGTCGCTATTTTCTCGACCAAAATCTTTGTCCGGACATTTTTTCGTGAAGACGACTCCGTTTGAAGCCGGGCAAAAGGCGCTGAACAGATCTCTATTTATATGCGGAAGGGTATCTCTAAATATGCCAGACAACAATAGTATCGGCGTTTTGAAGTGAGCCCACGCGTGGGCTCAATGGGTAATAAAGGTTAAGTACAGAAGTCGCTATCATATATATTTTATCTAGGTGATTTAAGTACAGAAGCCGCTATCACATATTTTGCACCTAGGTGTGAAGCTAACCTTGCGAGGTATGTCCGGCATGGCACAAACCAATTTGCCATGCCACGCGAACCTCGACGCCGCTTCCACAACGATGATGAAGACAGCGAGGCGCACATGGACGCTCTCGCGCGATGCCTAAAAGGCCGAGAGAGCGCCTGAGACCGGCTGATCGCTCGTCTCCGACGCCTCGACGAAGAAATCGAGGCGATGGAGCAATCCATGCAGCAGCTCGCTACGGCATTGAGGGCGATTCAGCACCAACGCCTCCGCCACAACAACAGTCGCCTGAGAGGCGTTCTCCACGAACTCCTGAGTTTGTCGAGACCTGCGGAGACCGTGACGACGACCTGTTCGATTCCGACTAAGTCCCCTGCCAAATCGGATTGTCTGAAATTGCGTTAACAAGAATACATGGTAGTCAGTAGTTTTTCGGTTAATTTCGACTAATACTTTAGACAAGTGTTCATTGTCCAAATTTATCTCACTGGATATCTTTTAGCAAATCGTTCCTTTTTGGTATTTTATTTTTTTCATTTGGGATATTTATTTCATTTCAGTTATCGTTACACATCCACCGTGCGCACGCTCAGTTACTTCGCTCTGAATGGATTTTACATAGGCACAAACACGTTAGACGGTACAGAGTGTATGAATGTGCACGCATGGTGCTGGAAAAATTATAATGTATACAAATATGTACGAAAATGTTCAGAATAAAATAAAGTGTGCTTGTCTGAATAAATTATAGTGTGCTCGTCTGTCTGAAGCGGCTCTCTCCACCATGACATCGATTCCGATGCGCCAAACCGCTTTCCGCTCGTTGAGCTATCATTCATTCTCGGTTTTACCGGCAACCTCTCAAGGCCTACAACCAACTCTCGGCTCTTCAACACGCACCTCCTCGTCAACTTCTGGCTCCGTCCTCGTCTCGGATACCGACAGCGCCTGGCATCGAGGGGTGGACCGCTAGTGCGATGGTCTCCACTACGGGATCTACGGAGAATAGCCCACGATCGAGCGGCAGTGATTTTACGGGAGTCGTAACGCGTCGTTGTTGCCGAGCAACTCGCCGGCGTCAACGCAGTGAAGAGATCAACGCGACCGCGGCTAGCCCCGGTGGTCCAGACTCGGATGCACCTTCATCGCACGATGACAGCAGCGAAGAGTACCAGTACGAAGGCAGCGACAATGATGCGGACCCAGACGATTCGGACCAAGACGTGTTGTCCGAGATTTCAGAAAGCGAGAAGGCCGCCCCAACAGTACGACAAAGCCAGGGACTGGCTATTGATGGGACGCTCGAACACCCAGTACGCTTTGAGTTTTTTTTGTATGCCCTTATTTAGTAAAACGCTTCGTGTTGTAAGTGCAATGTCATAATTATTCGAGGACTTTAGGCTACTACTAGCTATAACTTAGTTATAAATGATTTTATGCATTTGACTGGGTTATCTCACACCCTACCCAAACTTCGAGTATTCTCGGGCGGGTAAGCAAATTTACCCGGGTTCGGGTACCCGACGCTCTGCATGCCTGCCTTCATTTCACGATAAAAACCGTCAAGCACGGAAATATGAGCAGAACTACCGGCGCGGGCGAGAAATGTTTAACATTCACCATATATTTATAACACACATACAAGGGGCTTTGCTTGAGGCTGGGAAGGCAGTTAAAGTATGTGAGGTGCAGCTGGCACTTATTTCACGAAACTCGCCAATTTGGCGACCTGTGGTCGCCACCATTTAAGAAGGTTAGAATGTTTCGAACTAACGTCCTGCGATGGCCTACATAGCAAGCAAATAGATTTAAGGACGCCGCCCGCGCCCAATTGCTCCTACATGTATCGCTAAGTAGACTCAGCAAATGCGGCACTAACCGAGTAACGCATGCAGAGACGCATTGCTAGGCTTCGACAAGCTGCAGATCTGTCCCTACTTGAGCCCAACTACCTCATGTACTCTATTGCCTGGAATACAGTGGGGGCCCACTTGGGCCTCTCGAACTAACACACGCGCCAACAGTGGATTACCGGCGGTAAAAGCCGTCGATTGTACAGTAGTTCAGGGCTTTTCAGGGATCTTTAGTTAAATAAACGCCTGTGATTACTTGGGAGAGTCTATTACATTTTGTGCACAGGCAACTCGAAGGCACCAGTCTTGCAGGCCTGCATGCGCACGGCCCAGTCGCTGTAGAGCGCCTGCAGCATTTTTCCACTGTCACCTCTGCGCGCAACGTATCGTAAGTATTATAATATATCGTGGGCGGGTGGCGTGCAGCCAATCGCACGCTCTGTAATAAGTATCATTCATGTACAGTTACTTAGGCACCCCAATAATATGGATAGGAGCTTGACGGCACTACCTAAGGTGTCAAGGTTGGTAGTGTTGAGGCACCTGCTAATCTGAACGCGGAACCCGTCTGGGTTTATTTGGAAGCAAGACAACAGGGTAGACGGCGATCCCACTATTTACTATTCTTAATACTGGGAGCTCCCGAAGAATGAGGGGGTGGACAGCTCCCAACAGATTAATTGCGTGACCGTAACCGTAACTGCACAACCTTCGTGCTACACGAGCCAGAAGGATGTCGACCGAGCGCAACTGTCAGTCTGAGGTAGGAAATGCACATCGACATCAACAGCCCCATGCACCAGCTTCAGAAAGTGAACTGCGGCACGCGCGATATTCATGGGTGTGGCCCCGCAGGGGCTACGCCCTTGAATCACGCGGGCCACAGTTCTCCCTTATCACGGCAATCACCACCGGTACCAGCACCAGCGTTTTATACCACAGGTGTTCCCAGCCAAGTCGAAGACGACCTAGTAGATACGTAGTATCTGAAGTACTCGCACAACAATCTTGCTGTCATTTGCCATTTAGTAGCCTTGTGACTGGTTGTTTATCGTTCACTGTTGATGCTCGTGTTTTTTTAATTTATTTAATTTTTTAAAATATAAAGCCTTAGGTCTTGAAAAGAACCCGCCTTTCGTGTTGCTCGTGTGCATGATGAGCTTTGCCCGCATTCTCCAGGGCTGGGCTGTCCACTAGGCGTCGAATGTCGAGACAGTGCTATAATAGAGTAGGCTGCCTGATGGCTGGAACACACACAACCCTAATAGTGCGTTTAGTGCGCAAAACGGCCGGTGAATATGATTGGCCGAAACGCGTTTAAGCCAATCCATGACGCTGAATATCCCTACACAAAGAGTCCAGGCCACTAATAAAAGCGGGTACGATGTCCCATAGTCAAGAATTCCGAGGTGCGGCTGTAATTATATATTATATATCTGAAATCCGTATTTGTGTGAATTTGGCGACGCTTCATCCAATATCCAAGCATGGAGACCGGACACTCCCTAATGCAATTTAATGGAGACGCTATACCAGAATTCACAGGAAAACGTCATAGTAGACATCATCACTTCTTTCATATACTTAGCTTTGACCGTTGATAGAATGTAGCATCACCCAAAGCATAATTCAGCTTGGGTGGGGGGCCTAGGCCCTACCGTCGGGTGGATGCGGGTACCCGAAATCGTTTGGCCGGGCACCCCGGGTGGGCGCCGGTACCCGAGTGCAACAGGCCTATTATCTCACTTGGCTGTCGAGCGTGTCGCATAGCTTGCCGCGCCCCGAGTCCTTCGTACGAGCCACTACGTTCAACACTTGTTGGCCGACGGTGGCACCAACTACCGCGCCCGATCTTCCGCCTCAGTGCGTCGGATCGAATTTATTACCAACAATAGAGTAAATAGAGACTAACTAAATGGCACTCCTCTAAACTACCAACTCGACTTCAACCAAGTTGACCTCAGTGCCAACACTATTCTCCGTCCGTCATAAAGTTCACGTCACTTCGTCAAAGCCTCACTCGTCAGGAAAGCTGTCGCCCTCAGTAGCCCACATGCGTGTCCAAAGACCCGCTGTGCACACTCGTCACGTTCCGCTTGTCCGTACTTGCCCTCGAGCCCGCAGATCTTACAATGAGCAGTTCTGCTTCACTGCTTCGCCGCCCACCGCTCAACCTCAATGTCGAGTCGACACAAATCCTCGACCAGCACGTCCATACCGACCTTCTCGTGGCACTCTTCATCCGCTCGGCCACTCACAGACCGCCCTCGCCCATCGTCACGGTCTCCGATACTTCCTCGGTGCCACCCATCGTTCTGGCTCGGCCGTCGTCATCGTCTCCACCGCGGTCTGTGAGACCTCGGGGCCGTTCCTCCTCCTCATCTGCTTCTCGACGACGTCCACCACCGCCAGGTGCTCGCCGCCACCGTCCACCACCATCATCTGCTGCAAGTGGGTCCTCTGTAGGACGCCCACTATTACACGAGTTTGGCTAATTGCGAGCTCTGATCGGTACCAGCTTTTCGGTGACAGTCCCAAGAAATTCACTCCTGAAAAGACCTCGAGTTCCGAAGAGCTCTGTTGCTCGTGGCCACGAGGCCGGATCGAAGCCGATGGCTACTGAGGGGTAAGGCATGCGTTAACCTCGTACGTAGGACCATTCCTCTCCGTCACGCCGCGTGTACGCCACAGGGGGAGGGGGGGGCAGATCCGGCCGACCAAAGCAGCCCAATTTACAAGTACCAGCTTGCAGACGCCTGAACAGTCGATCACCCCCTCGAGCTGGGCCATTGAAGTCCGCCACTTCGAGCTCTGCTGCGCTGCATCTAATCGCGGGGGCTGACGCAGCACAGCAATTCCCGGGGGCACGTGCCCCACGTCCGCGCTTCAAGTTGAAGCTGTCCTCATTTCAGCCAATCAGCATCGCCCCTACAGTTGATCCCTAAACAAATCCAGATCCTCGTGAACGTCAGACGCAGATTCGCCTCCACCTCCCCACACCTCATCACATCAACATGCTCGCCGGCCTCCGCCACGCCCCGTCCTCCCTCTCGGCGCTGCGCTGCCCACTCGCGCGCAGCTGCACGCACAGGAGCCACCTCTGCTCGTACAACCGTTGCTGCCGCCGCTTCATTCGCTTCAAGTTGGAGCGCGTCGCCATACTCGAGTTGCTCTTCGATGTCGGCCGCCGCCATCTTCAAGAATGTAGCCGGGTGGTGATAACTGATCAGGAAGGAGACATGAGCTAAAGATTGCTCTGGTACGCCGCTCACGTTTTCTCGCTTGACAAGGTAATTATCATAGCCCGCCGGCTCGATCACCCTCACCGGTCCCAGCCACCGAAGCACCAGCTTCGTCGCCTTCGGCCCTCGCGGAGGCTTGTACAGCCACGCACGATCACCCGCTACAAACTCTCGCTTCTGCGTCACTCTGCGGTCATAATACCGCGCTTGCCGCTCTTGCTCTCGTGTCCTCGCCACTTCGGCACACTCGCGACTGCTCGTCATCGCTGCCAAGAGTCGCCGATGGTAGCTTGTCAGCTTGCCTGCCTCTTCCACGCTCGCACGCCTCAGCAAGTCGTTGGGACTCTTCAGCCGTCTACCCATCATCAGCTCGTTTGGTGACAGCATCACTGTCGAGTGCTGTCCTCTATTGTAAGTGTACACCGCAAAGTCCATCCAGACGTCCCAGTCACGCTGCAACTCGTCACTCATGTACGTAGCGATACAGTCCTTCCACGTGCGATGGAATCTCTCACCATTTGCGGTCGGTAGGGCACAGGGTTGATCTGCTGGGCTTGCTGCATTATGACAAGCTGTTCGATAGCCTTGCCGGTCAATGCGGGTGCTCCATCCGTCAGTAGTTCTCGAAAAGATCCCTACTTCAGCACGATGTTCCGCATCAGGATCGCTGCGACGTTCTCCGCCGTGTGTCGTTTCACCGTCGCCACCACTGTGTACCTCATGACGTATTCAACTACCGCGATCACATACCTCTCGTCGCCGTCAGTCGTAGGCAATGGACCCGCCACGTCGAGGACCCAACGATCACCAACATCACCAGCTCGAATACTTCGGAGAGGAGGAATGACTTCACGCGGCTTTGCCTTGCGGCTCCCACACTCCTGGCACCCCAACACGCAACGCTTCACCTCACGCCGTAGATTCGGCCACCAGTACACCTTGGCAATCCCCGCGAACGTGTGTGTGGAGCTCGCAAGTATCCGGCCCACACCGAATCGTGACAAGCCTTCAGCACCGTCGATGAGAGAGCAGGAGGTAGGATCACACGACGACCTTCCGGTGTCTTAATCGTAGCTAATCCAAACGAATTTGCTACTTCCATCCCTCTGTGTTCACCTGCCTCGAGCATCCGCTATACTAATCGACTCTTGTTCTGTATGTCCATGATCTCCTCATCAGTCAGCTGCGGTGTCGGCTGTGTTTCTCGCCGCACATCACGTTCATCACGCACGTCTCGCCGCCGTTCGTCACCGTCGACATCGAGCCGTCTGTCGTCGCAAGGGCTTCACCTTCACGGACTACTCCACGTACGCCATCGTCACGCCCAACGACACCTCGCCCATCGTCAACGTCGCGTACGCCACCACCATCTCGCTCGCGTTCGACTCGTCGTCCGTCATCACCATTGAACTGTCGTCCACAAACTAGCCGCTTGCTCGCGTCTGGCACCGTCACCGTCTTCAATTTGGTGTCGCGTAGCTTATTGCCCAACACGCTGCTCGACTTCACCGTCGTCGACAACCCACTCCCCGGCATTGCAGTCGCTTCACGCTGCTGTTGCGCCTTGGCCTTGGTTGCTGGCGCCATGCTTGGTGTCTCCTTCGCGTTCGGACTCGCCGGCATCACGTCCGTCGTCGTCACTGCTCGTCGCCGCGTTCTCGCCGCACTCGTCGCTGCTAGCTGTGGCTGCGTTGCTGCCACCGCTGACTCGGTCATTACAGGGGCTTCAGGCGTTGTCGTCGCCGCCGACTCAGTCAGCACAGGGGATAATGGTTTCGTCGTCTCGCCACGCACTCGTGCCCTACTCGTCACTGTGCCCGCCGTACTCGCCGGCACGTCTGTCAACTCCGTGTCGGCCGCCACCGTCGATCCCGCCGTCGCCACGGTGCTCATCGGTGCCATCGCCGTCACCGTCGTGTCGATCGTCGTTGCGTCCGCCACTGTCACCGTCATCCCTAGCTCCTTGTGGTATCGGAAAATGGAGATTACCGGAGCGATTGCCCGTCGCCCAAGAATCAAGGTACAATCAAGGAGCAGTCAAGTACGAGATGGAAGTGGCTGCTTTCGTTAAGCTGACGACAGTATCCTCGTTAGAGTGACGGTTAGTGGCCGGAGCCTCGTCGGGTCCTAATACAACCCCGAACGAGGCTTCATGGTGCCTACTTTTTGGTACAGATGCATTTAGTTACGTACTTCGGCCGCACCTAATAGTGTAGCCGCGGTCGTCATTTGATGTGTCCGGGATCGCCTCATTGCGATCGTTCACACTAGATATTTGTAAAGGGGTATATGACTCATCATAGGATGACCAGAACGAGGCCCCAAGGCCTCAGAAAACTCAGTAATGAAAGACAGTCTTCCCCCAAAGCCAACTAGGGTCAAGTCCGACTTCGGTAAGTGTAGCTAGCTTATTGTAGTGCCTGGACACGCTCGGCTGCGTGTGGATGCCTGTCGGGGAGCTTATCGTGCATTGACCGAGAGTTTCCTTGGCGGCGCCAAGAGTTGGCGTGGCCGGAGAGACAAGAGCGACATAGGAGAGTCGTTCACTGCATATTTGTGGGACAAGAGTGTCCCTGAGTGTATTAGTCTACCTACCGAGGTTTTACCTTGGTCCCCCTGTATAAGGCCTAACACGCCGGTACCATTCCTTTCTGAGGGACTGCAGTGGGGTTACGCGAAAGCGCTACATAGTATCCTAGCCTTAGCTCGTGGCTAGTGGTACAGTTTTTGGGTTAGCCGAAGACAACCTAAGGTGCACAGAGGCGCTTGCAACCGACCCGGTGTAACGGACCGTCCCTGGTCTTCAGGTTTTGATCCAATAAGCGCTTACCTTTGCGGGTTAGCGTGTTGTTGGTGTCTCTAATACCTTTTGGTAGAGGAGGATTTTAGTGGAATTACCACACCACAACTGGTTCCGCGACCCGGGATTGATGCGACCTTCTGTGTATTTGGGTTGTTCTAGGTTATTACCCCCAACGAGCAAAAAGAAGAAGAAGAAGTGAGAAGAAGAAGCAAGAAGATGGCGAAGGGAGTCAACTCAGCGGCACCAGCGACGCCGGCCAAGTCGAGTGGGACGCGCAACAAGACTTCGGTGCGCTCCGGAAGCTTGTTCTCGACCCCAGCGACGGATCCTATGGAGTCGACCGACGAGCGTTCGGCGAGCTACGACACGTCGGTTGATTCCTCGGACGCCAAAGAAGATGATGAAGATGATGACTGGGATGTCAGGACTTTGGTGTCCGAGACTTCAGAAGCTGCGGTTGTGTCGGCAGGCCGCAGTGGTGGATCGAGGTCGATCGCCCGCGACCTCTCCGAAACGTTCAATGACATGCCGGGCTCCGAGCCCGCCTATGACGAGGATGACGGCGCGATCGATGGTTCCAAAGCCTCGGTGATGGTAGGAGGGGCAACCTCCAAGTCGGTTGGTATTCGACCTCCCCTCAACGGCGATACTCCGGCGGCCAACAAGGTTCTAGGCCGATGCATGGAGCTGATGAAGGCCAAGAGTGAGTGGATGCAGTTGTTCTCACCTAAGCAGGTCCGCCAGGCCTTTTGGAAGGACCTCGGAGGGGCGTTGGGTACGCCGATCAACGCAACGAGCACTCGGCAGGTCGCTCAGAACACGGTGGACCTCCTGCGGGCGATGGGGTGCGAACCTCCGATCCTCCCAACGGAGGCCGCCCTCGCAAGCTGGACGCCAACAAGCGCCGCCACGGCGCTCACCAAGTGGAGGAAGAAGCTGCGCGACGCCTTTGGAGTGACGGATAGAGGCTCAACGAGGCTTCGTTCGGCCTCGGAAGTGGTTGACCGCTCCAAGGCCCCGTTACCAGCGTACTCTCGAAAGGCAGCCACGTATGACGGAGTCTTCGCAGCCATGGGTGAGGCCTCGCCTTACATGCAAGACTCGCACATGGTAACCCCGCGATCTACGGACCGTAGTGAACGTCCGGCTAGGGAGACCGAGTCTTCGTACGCTACGCCTGCCACGCGCGGAGTAACCGGTCGCCGGTCCTGCCGCCGTTACGACCTCCAAGATGACTCGTCGGATATTGACGATGATCTCGGGTCCGACTGTTACGAGGGCGACCCGCCAAGCGAATGGGCTCGTCAGGTGCGCGAACTGAGCGCGACTGACAATCAGAGCTCAACCCTGAAGCTCGAGATTACCACGCAACTACCTCTCTGCAACATCAAGTCATTTACGGTGTGCGCGACAAGAGCGAACACTCCATGCAATAGCTTCGTACGTTCGTCTACGAGATGAGAGGGACACATGCACCGTCCAACGAGTGTTGCATGCCGTTCGAACTCAAGATCAAAGATGGGGCTTTGTATTGGTGCCGCCAGCTGCCACGCAAGACGAGACGCACGTGGAAACTGCTGTGCGAGGCATTCATTAAGTACTACTGCTCGAGGTTCTCCCAGTCTGCAAAGGCTCCGTACTACTCGGCCAAACGAGAGAGCAAAGAGCATGTATGTGACTACCTCAACCGGCTCCACGGCTACGCTCGCAACGCCGGGGTGCAGTTTGAGCACGGTGATCGTGACGCGAAGAACCACGTCGAACACTTCTTGGTTACGTGTGACGACCGAGACTTAGAAGAGCGTCTGTGTCACGTTCGGGTCAAGAGCACCCATGACCTCGAAGATATGACCAACGACATTCTGCGTCACCGTGATCACAAATCAACTCGCGAATCGTCGTTCCGCCGCTCCAGGAGTCTCGATGACGGTCACCGTCGCGACACGCGGTCGAACGAGGATTCTCGAAGTGGTTACCGCCGCGAACGACGTTACCGTGACGACGACCGCCGCCGTGTCCGACGTGACGGGTCACCACACCGGTCGAGAGTGACTTTAGTCGACGCCCTTGCCGATGTAATGGCGGAATGGAACGTCGGAGGCTCGGTCGGTGCACGCAATGAAGCCCCCCCCGACGTGATGCTGAGGCGAACGAGGATTACTTCGAGGACGAACGCCAGTACTCGGACGACCAACGCTCGGACGAGGATTCAGATGCTGATTATGACTCGGACGAGTCTACCGGACATGTCGCTGCCGCTAACGGCGCTGAGCGCAGGGCCGCAACCGATGGAACGTTCGCCCGGTCCGACAACCGACGCTTCAGGAACGGAGGAGGCCCGTCCAACCGCGAACGAGATGGCCGCCACCAGTATGGACCATGCGCCACGTGCGGAAGCCCGTCCCACTCGGTGCATTTCTGCTACCGGCGGTGTAAACTGCGCAAACAAGTGCACGACGCTGGGAAGTGCGCGGCACTCCACGAGCTCACCAAGCTCAGGAAGTCCAAGGTCGACAAGAAGGATCTGTCGCCAGAGCTGGTGTAAGGAAGCCCTTTAAACTAGGCAGCTCGCCAACTGAAACTGGGTTGGTCCCAATCGGGCTGCCACAGCTAGCTGAGCCTGCTGATGATGCGGACTATCTGTTCGCGTTCACAGGCGAAAGCAAACGGCCTGACGACCTGAAGAACAATGAACGTGTGAAACCGACGGAAAAAGGAGAGAACCGAGACGCAAGTCTCGTTGAGATTGGTATTGATGAAGGTGATGATGATGAACGTGATGGACACCCGACCGAGGCTTTGATTACAAGTCTAGCCCAGATCAGGGGACCACCTCGGAGCCTCGTTCGGGCGGTGAAATTACTGCCTGGCGAGAGACTAGGGTGGTGGTCGTCCCAACGATACGGCAAGAGGAAGCGAATGAGAGCTTTGGTCAACGGTGCAGTGGGCAACGCGCGAACGAGGATACTCCTCGACACTGGGGCGAATGTTAGCGTAATTTCTGCCAGCTACGCCAAGCGGTTACGTGTGCGAGAAGTCCGGGACCACGGACGAAGTCTCGAGGTCCGCGGTATAAACTCAGGGGTCATGGAGACCCGGAGACGGGCCTCGTCAAGATCACCCTCGGGTGGGAGCAGGTCTACGAGTTTGAAATGTGGATAATGGATCACAGTGCCGGAGTGGATGTGGTCCTCGGGATGGACGTTATGATCCCGGCTGGAATCCGGCTAGATCTGTTCCATGGCACCGCACGCCTTCCAGACGAGGTCAGGGTACCACTGCTGAAGTCGCAGAGTGTTAGGGATGACGAACCTTACGGCACGCAGCCTTCGAGTGGGCCGACCGAGGATTTATACGTCCACGGTCGCGAGTGGCGAGAGTTTCGACTGCCGCGCCAGTGGCTATCTCGTTCGGAGTACTATGTGTGGGTACGGCGCACGGACAAGCTTGTGCCGACCGTAACGAGGCTTCGACGAGGGCAGCCGACAAGGGTACGACTCACCAATATTACGACCACAACGGCACAGTGTGCCAAGCACGACTCCGTGGTGCTCTGGGTACCGCATGGTGAACTACCGCGACAGACCGGCTACGCGAGGTTGGACTCTAACAAGTACAAGGAGTGGCCGCTCTTCACACAGTTCGTCATCAGCCCGCCGCCGATCCGTCTCGGCTTCTCGTTCTGCACGCCGCCGCTTGGCCAGCAACACCTTGACTCGCTGCCGCTTTGCTACTTTACGCGCCTTCCATCGTTCTTGACGGGCCTTGTTCACGTCACCGAGCGGCTCACTGCTGCTCGAGCCATCGTCGATGCTGTTCGTGTCTTCGCTCACTGCCTTCGTCACCGTCAACTCGTTCACCGTCACGGAGGTAACCGCCGCCGCCGCCTTCATTACTGCCGCTGTCGAGTTGGCGCTCGGCGTCTCCGCCGTCGTGTTCGCCACGGCCACGTCCACCACCGACGTGTTCCCCCTGTTCTCGTCGCCGTCGTGCGTGTCTGGCGCCGACGTCACCATCAGCACGTCCTCCTCGTTCACCGTCGAGTCGCAGCCCGATATCGCCATCGCCGTAGCTGCTAGCTGCGCGATAGACTGTGCCATAGTTGGCACACTCGCCGACTGCATGTCCACCGTGTTTTCGCTTGGCTCCATGTTGACCGTCTCCACCTCGTTCGTCATCACGGCGTCCTCGGCCACGGTCATCGTGTCCATCATCGCCGGTTCGTCACCAGCCGTGAGCTCTACGGCTCCATGCGCCGCCATCCGAGCCACAGGCGCCTTCTTCATCATCACCGAGCACACTACCGTGCTCGTCATCACCTGTGGAGTCGTCAAGCGCGTGTTCTCCTCGTCATCCTTCGCCGCGGGGTCAGACATAGTTTCCATCGTCCTCGCTCGTCCTTCATTCTCATCACGCGTCCTCAGTCGTCCTCGTTTGGGGTCTCCGCTCCCATTCGGACACCGTAACCCCTCTATGACGCCCGCTAATTGTTTTCCGCCGCCGGTGCTGTGGCCTTCGTCTCACGCTGCTGAAGGTAGGCATCGTTGGCCGCCTTCGCCTCCGCGTTCGTACACTGCCTCGCGAGGTGACCCGGTTGGTTGCACGCGTAGCACCGCAACTCCCTCGTGCACTGCGACGACCAGTGGCCAGCTTGTCCGCGCCGATAGCAACTCTGCCACTCGCCTGCCCGCCGGCATTCACCCGGTTTCCACCAAATGCTCGTCCTCGTTCCACAGGTGGCCTGCTGCCGCTGCGACCATCACTCGCTGCCGCCTGCTTCACAGCTGCCTTGGCCTTCTTGCGCCGCGGTTTCGCATCAGACTCGTCGCTGCTTGACGGGGCTTTCTCCTTCTGATGCTTCGCCTTCGCAGCAGGTTTCTTCGATTCCGACCTGTGGGTAGTCGTCGGGGTAATGGTTGTCTTCTTTGCAGTCTTGCGAGATTCGTACCAGTATTTCCCATTCCACAAGTGGCCAGAAGGTGGGTCCCAAGTGCCCGAATACGCGTTGTACACCCCCTGCGGGTTCGTAAACAGCGCCACCTTCTCTACTTCCGGTCGCGCAACTTCGCCACCGCCTGCACCGCCGATCATCTCAGTAGGCAACCCAACCCCACTGATTCCAGGAATCACGTTCGTGTCCCCCGTAGTGCCGCTCATGGGGATGACGTAGCGACTCGGCGCCGTTGCTTACGCCTGCCCAATATTAATCATGCTCTGAGCAACGTTGTCCATCGGGTCATCAATCTCGGCGCAAGAGAGCCTTCTTCAGGTTCGACCACGTTCTCTTCCTCTCAGGCATGCGGCGGTCCATGTTGACCCACCACTTGACCACGTTCTCCATCAACTTATTCCCCAAAATAAAGTAGAGCGACTTGTCGGATCAGCGTTCTCGCCCAGACTCTTCCGCGCCCTTCAGGGCCAAATCGACGCGATCGATCCACGTCGACACCGACACTTTCGGATATGGAGAGAAGGTAGGTAGCTCCAGACTTCGGTCACCGGTGGGTTCACTGGAGCTGGCTCTGTGGAGAAGCGGGATCCAAGAAATTGGGACAAAGGGTGATCGGCAGAATGATGGATCCAGACTCCGCGACGGATCCACCAGACTGGCGGATCGGGCCCCGCTCCAGGTGTTAGAGATTGCAACGGAAGGCACTACGAGTGCGACCGGACGTCACGAATGTGTGCCCAAGCAACACCATGCCTCGAGACCCAAGATCTAAGAGATGCAGCTGTCAAGTGGATCGGCGATCCGATCCAACCCAGATCTGATTCTTATTCGGACTCAGATGGAAGTGAGCGGTGGATCTAAGGTTATGGCTCGACGGAGGCAATCAAGCGACACGCAAGGAAGGTAATCAAGCCCCATAGAGTCAGTAGGTGCAGATGGGATGATGGGATCCATAGGAAGATAGGACTTTGGGATGGGATTGGACTTAAGCATAAATCAGTGTTGAATTTGCCTTATACATCGCAAGTGCCTTCGCCTTCGCCTGGAAACGGGAAGTACATTGGCCCCACGGCTTAGCAAGGTTCTGGTAGTGGATCTAGCGTTGGTTAAGACTGGATAATACATTGGCCAGTTCTGCAATCTTCCTAGTGACCTACTTGCAAGTGCAGATCCCCGATTCACCCGGAGTTACTACTTGGCCGGGTGCATCCTCAACTCTCAACATCTATGGATCCCGCTATAGGAAGCGGCAAGTACGGCAAAGAAAGACCTACGAAGGCACAGGAAAGGAACAACAACAACCCAAAGGCAACCCCACGGCCGGATCCAGATCCAGGCCGCCCGATCCAAGTCGACTACCACTGGATTGGGAATAACTACTGCGAGCAGAGTGACGATTTCTGCGCTGCTCCACCCATATCCCCGCGTCTCGCCCAGACTGTTCTGTCTTCAAGGCTCGGACGCTTCAGCAGATACCAGAGGAGCAGATCCAGCCCTACCGACGGGTACACAAGGTGACCAGTTCAGCACACAGATCACGGATCATCGGGGGACCCCCTCCGTAAGTCGGTGTACGGGCGCAGTTGGTAAGTTGGATTGGCAATCTCGCCGATTTTGCTGATCCCGCTACACCACAGCTCCTGCTGTGCGTCTGGGTCCGTCAGCGCCGGATTCTGCTGAGGTTCCTTCGACTTCGCTTCGACGTCACGTGGATCTTCGTCACGTCCGCGCAGACGGCCCGTCTCTTCACCGCTGGATTCGTCACCATCCGCGTTCACGCTCATGGCCTTGGACTTCAGGTTGCGCTTCGACTTGCCCGTCCTTCGCCCGTGCCGCCGCCACCGTTGCCATGGCTCTCGTAGATGCTCGGGTAGACTCGCTGCTCGAAGAAATAGGCCCCTGTATGACCACCATGTAACAGGCCTATTATCTCGCTCGGCTGTAGAGCGTGTCGTATAGCTTGCCGCGCCCTGAGTCCATCGTACGAGCCACTACGTTCAACACTTGTTGGCCGACGGTGGCACCAACTACCGCGCCCGATCTTCCGCCTCAGTGCGTCGGATCGAATTTATTACCAACAATAGAGTAAATAGAGACTAACTAAATGGCACTCCTCTAAACTACCAACTCGACTTCAACCAAGTTGACCTCAGTGCCAACACTATTCTCCGTCCGTCATAAAGTTCACGTCACTTCGTCAAAGCCTCACTCGTCAGGAAAGCTGTCGCCCTCAGTAGCCCACATGCGTGTCCAAAGACCCGCTGTGCACACTCGTCACGTTCCGCTTGTCCGTACTTGCCCTCGAGCCCGCAGATCTTACAATGAGCAGTTCTGCTTCACTGCTTCGCCGCCCACCGCTCAACCTCAATGTCGAGTCGACACAAATCCTCGACCAGCACGTCCATACCGACCTTCTCGTGGCACTCTTCATCCGCTCGGCCACTCACAGACCGCCCTCGCCCATCGTCACGGTCTCCGATACTTCCTCGGTGCCACCCATCGTTCTGGCTCGGCCGTCGTCATCGTCTCCACCGCGGTCTGTGAGACCTCGGGGCCGTTCCTCCTCCTCATCTGCTTCTCGACGACGTCCACCACCGCCAGGTGCTCGCCGCCACCGTCCACCACCATCATCTGCTGCAAGTGGGTCCTCTGTAGGACGCCCACTATTACACGAGTTTGGCTAATTGCGAGCTCTGATCGGTACCAGCTTTTCGGTGACAGTCCCAAGAAATTCACTCCTGAAAAGACCTCGAGTTCCGAAGAGCTCTGTTGCTCGTGGCCACGAGGCCGGATCGAAGCCGATGGCTACTGAGGGGTAAGGCATGCGTTAACCTCGTACGTAGGACCATTCCTCTCCGTCACGCCGCGTGTACGCCACAGGGGGAGGGGGGGGGCAGATCCGGCCGACCAAAGCAGCCCAATTTACAAGTACCAGCTTGCAGACGCCTGAACAGTCGATCACCCCCTCGAGCTGGGCCATTGAAGTCCGCCACTTCGAGCTCTGCTGCGCTGCATCTAATCGCGGGGGCTGACGCAGCACAGCAATTCCCGGGGGCACGTGCCCCACGTCCGCGCTTCAAGTTGAAGCTGTCCTCATTTCAGCCAATCAGCATCGCCCCTACAGTTGATCCCTAAACAAATCCAGATCCTCATGAACGTCAGACGCAGATTCGCCTCCACCTCCCCACACCTCATCACATCAACATGCTCGCCGGCCTCCGCCACGCCCCGTCCTCCCTCTCGGCGCTGCGCTGCCCACTCGCGCGCAGCTTCGCCACCAAAGGTAGAACGCCCCCCTCCATCAGACATCAGACCCCCCCGTCGCTAACCCTTCCTCCCTTGCGTCCATGGCAGCCGAGTACGAGAGCATCCTGACCGAAGTGCGCGGCAAGGTGGCCATCATCACGCTGAACCGGCCCAAGGCGCTCAACGCGCTGTGCAGCCCGCTGATCGAGGAGCTGAACGGCGCCGCGCACGCCTTCGACGCCGACCCGAGCATCGGCGCCATCGTCATCACCGGCAGCGGCTCCAAGGCGTTCGCGGCGGGCGCCGACATCAAGGAGATGGCCACCAAGACGTTCGTGGACGCGTACAAGAGCAACATGTTCGCCAACTGGGGGGACATCACCAAGGTGTCCAAGCCCGTGATCGCCGCCGTCAACGGCTACGCGCTGGGCGGCGGCTGCGAGCTCGCCATGCTCTGCGACCTCATCATCGCCGGCGACTCGGCCAAGTTCGGCCAGCCCGAGATCACGCTGGGCACGATCCCCGGCTGCGGCGGCACCCAGCGCCTCATCCGCGCCGTGGGCAAGTCCAAGGCCATGGAGATGATCCTCACGGGCAACATGATCGACGCGCAGCAGGCCGAGCGCGACGGCCTCGTGGCGCGCGTCGTGCCCGCCGACCAGCTGCTGGACGAGGCGCTCAAGACCGCCAACAAGATCGCGTCCTTCTCGCAGCCCGTGGTCAAGATGGCCAAGGAGGCCGTCAACGCCGCGTACGAGCAGTCGCTGCAGGAAGGGCTCAAGTACGAGAGCCGCCTCTTCTGGAGCTCCTTCGCCACCAAGGACCAGAAGGAGGGCATGGCCGCCTTCGTCGAGAAGCGCAAGGCCGACTTCAAGGACGAGTAAGTCCCCGTTCAGTGTGTGCGTGACTGTCGACACCAGGGAGGGACCACAAACTACAAGCAATCAAGACATGAATGACGTTGAAACTCACTACCATTAGGAAATGTCATAGTAGCTCTACGTTCGTCCGCACTACATGTGTAGATGCACCTTTAGGCCAGACCAGACACGAAGGAGGAGCTCCATCCATCCGGACATGGTCACTGCGGTAAAGAGGCTCTTTACTGCCACCATGTCCCTGGGCTGGAGCTCGTTTGCGTGCTGGCTGCTGGCCTGGAACTGCTCCGACAGACCGGTCCAAACTCTGGCTGGCCGCTATGATAACGTCTGTCAGGATAACTCTTCACGTACCTTTGCTCTTCTTCGACGAGGTCCTTGTAGGGCTACCGGCTGCTGCAACGGTCCCGTTCGCACCGCCGTTGCAGTCGCTCACATCGCGCTTCTTCTTCTTCTTGGTGGGCGACCTCTTCCGCAGGTGTTTGCTATCACTCGCGCCGTTGACCACGGACTCGAGCACCCACTCGGGGATCTGGGAGCGAGTGACGTGGTCGATCTGCATGTCCATTCCGCCGTGGCGGGCCTCCCACTGGTCCGTGTAGAAGGCGAAGTCGCGGATCACGCTTGTCAGGTCCACATCGTGTGTGCCACCAGTGGCTGCAACCGGGTTCGGCGCAGGGAACCCCAGACCAATAAACAGCCACGACGTGTGCACCTCGCGCTTCGATGAGCCCTCGGGGGTTGCGCCCTTAGTCTCACCGAAGTCGAAGAAGCGGGCGAACGGGTGGATCCGAAGCTCAGGGAGTGCCTCTAACCTGAATACAGTACAGCAAAGGATCATAAAGTCAATCTACAGGGATAAGAAATCATACCTCCCTTATCTTGAAGGACGGGGTCTCCTCGTCGCAGGGAAAGAAAGGCAGCACCGGATCCCTCGGTCAAAGCTGCACTGAAGAGCAGCACTCAACCATACGTACCGGAGAAACAAGTGACGCAGCCTAGATTCGACCCATCCGAACCATCCATCGAAGTCCTCGGCATTATTGGCTGTTATCTGGACACGAAGAAAGTGTTTTGACCTGGGGGCCAACAAAACAAAAGCAACAAGCGTCATAACACAGAGCGCGCACAGGGTAATCACAGGCCTAAGCTAAGGGGTGGATGGAACCTTTGGAAAAACACTGGAGCTATGAACAGCTTTGCCCACGAAGATTTCTGTACACAGAAATGTCAGCAGCGAAATCTACAGAGTAACTAATCGCTTGAGGTATGCAAGCATGAACGTACCTTCGTTTCAATCTCAAGCGTCCGGTTGAATCCCTTGCCGAACTCGGCCTTGAGAATATGCAGGGTCGAAGCCATCACGTTGTACGACGAGTTCAATGCCGGGTACGCTGGCGTGATGATCGGCATCAAGTGTGATCGGTCACGCACATTGATTTTGGGATTCCAGCCCTACACGTAAGAAAGCAAATTCATAACGAACACGTCAGTTCTACGGAGCTCGCCGCGACAATTACTGCGGATACAGCAGGATAATGACATCGGCGAGTATCCGAATGAAAGCGTGTGCATCACCGAGAAGCCAAGATTCAGGGGGTTGTCAACCCGGTCGAGCATGATCGGGTTCGGCCACGTCCACATCTGGTAGATGCGGAAGAACCGCGAGAGCAAGGAGGCCGGCAGCGAGTTGGGGTAGAACTGGCAGATGCGCGCGACCAAGATGGCCCAGTTCACGCCACCCAGGAAGCCCAGCACGTTCGAGTAGATCCCACGAACCTGCATCAGCAATACATTCATAGATTAATAGACCACCAAATACCAAGCCAAATCGTAGCTTAGCGTACCCGGGCCCAGTGCTTGACAGCGATCAGCGTCGTCCGGAACCTCTCCTGGTTCGGCACGAGCTGCAGAATCCTCTCCGTCACACGCACTCCGTTGCAGCTCCTGACGGAGGACTCGTCGAGTCCTCTCAGGTACCGGTCGTCCAGCATGTCAATGTCTTCAGGGATGGAGTCGAGATCCAGCGACACGAACAGCAGGTCCACCGGGATCCCGTCCATCTTCATCTTGATCACCGGCACGAACCTGCCGCCCTCGACAACCCCCACAAAAGAATTAGCACTAACAATATATAAACTAAATAATAGCAGTGCAGTTGCCGTACGCGTCGCTGATGACGTGCAGCCCCGTGACGCTGGGCGTGGCCTCCAGCAGGATCGGCGCCTTCTCGAAGAAGCTGGCGCGCGTGCAGTGTTTCGGCGCGATGCAGAGGCTGCCGGAACAGAACAACACGCAGAATTAGGCTATAAATTAGGTCGAAAGGGCTGCCATTGGGTGTTCCCGTACGTGTCGATGTCGGCCTCTCGGCTCTGCACGCCGAGGCGGTACGAGCCGAAGGTGCGCAGCTGCACGCGCTTGGCCACCGCCTGCGCCTCGCCGAAGCGCGCGACGCCCTCGTGCAGCGCGTACTCCTGCAGCACGTGGCGCAGTCTTTCCAGCACAGCCTCGCGTCGCGCCAGCTGCTCGGCGCTCTCGTAGAGGCCGCAGGACCTGGCAATTCATGGGCATTAGAACATACAGTTGAAGAGCAAAAGTTAGGGGGTGGAGAGCGTAAAGCGCTTACTGGAGCGTGCGCAGCAGCTCGTCGTTGAGCTGCTTGTCGTCCTCCGATGGCCCCGCGGTCGACAGCGGCGTCGTCGTCATGCCAGGCTGCTGGAAGGAGGTGCAGAGGTTGCTGGCGGCGCTCCTTGGCGAAAAAAAAACTTATTAACGATGATGCGATTTCATTGGCTATCTGGACTACGACAGTTGGGAAGCATTTTTTAATATTAGCACCAATGAAAACTACTTCTCCGGTCCGCTAAAGAATTAACAGTTCTCTAATCAGACTATATCTTACGTTCTACTGCTCCATAAGAGCTGTAGCTGCCCTTAAATTTAAGCTCTGGATCCGGTGTATCACGTAGTATTTTTGATAAATCCATTTTCCCGCCCTTTAAGGTAGTTATCGGGCCGTTTAAACAATCAGTTTCCACAGGTGTGAGGTTTGAATTCGCTGCGCCATCAAAAATGATCAGATTAGAACTTGGAAATACACATGAGAAAGCGGAAAGAGAGTTTATTCCTGTGATGTAATGTCGTAAAAAGTTGAATATTCCAAGGCCAGAAAAACAGCCAATCGTGTTTGAGGTTTTTTGCATACAAATCACTGATGTTAGAGTTTTGTCCAATGAAGTGTGGTACATAGAGGTACTTCGACCAATCATACATCGAGATGGTTTGAGGTTTTTATGAAAAAAACTAACTGTTAATTCCTTTCCGGACCGGAGAAGTAACATGTATTATTATTGGCACTCACTGGAGTCCCCGACTGAGCGGCATGCGACGCGGCGTTTTTCCCCGACTGATCTGACTGAGCCCCGACACCGCCCCGACTGGAAAAGAGCCGGTGATGTAATCAAGTGATGCGTCAAGCTGCATACGTATAGATGGATAGCATCCGGCACCCCTCAAGCAGAAGTATACTTGTCACTATCCTCCAAGCCCAAGCCTTCGTTAGAGACGGAAGTGCGTAAATAATTCTCTAATGTAAGTCTAGCACGCTCTAATTTGTAAGTCTTCCTCAGTCGGGTTGAGTCGGTCCAGTCGGGTGGGCTGGCCCCGACTGGGCGCTAGGGCGCTCCTAAGTGCGCCAGTAGCTTAGATTGTCTAGGAGTGGCGGGTTCTAGTGTAAAAAATTCTCTAATGTAAGTCTAGCACGCTCTAATTTGTAAGTCTTCCTCAGTCGGGTTGAGTCGGTCCAGGTGTAGAAGTAGGAGATTTAACGATTGTATAATGAAGCGAGTTCATGTTTTGCGGATTTAAACGCAAAGTAGCAAGTACCGGTAGCGCAGGTATGCCAGCAATTGCTTACTAAGGTACCCGAGCGATGCCCCCCGAAAACGCTTCAAATGCAAGTAAGACGAACATCCCGCAACTGTAACTATCAACTTGAACGCCCATGTCCGTGACATATGCCGAAGTACGAAAGTGTCGGCAGCTAGTTTTCGATAGGATACCTTTCAGCTTTTCTGCTAGAATTCTAGCACTCGACGCGTAGCTAGAGCTCATTGGGTCGTAGTAGCTGATGCTGGCCGTATTCATGTCGATCATGATGGAACACCAGTGGTTTCCATTACAGTTGATAGGAATCAAAATCTTCTCAGTCGAAAGGCCATGAAAAGCATTCTCGATCGTGGCCATGTCCGTGGTGGTTTTTCCGTTCACAACACAGCCGAACAGTGTCGAATGAAGAGCAATAATCGATCTCTCTTGCCCGAATAGCTTTGCCGTGATTCTGCTAATTGCCATGTCCCCGAGCAACCCTTTACCCGCCACATCGAGAAACTCTACAGTGTTTGCGAGTGGGTCCAGTTGCCTAATCCGTTGTGGAAGCTCGTCATCGAGTTGCGTAAAGTACCTCTGGGGCACTTGCTGGCGAAAATCAATTGTCTCGATCCACCGGATCGCCGTGTCGATCCGATTCAGAGCCGCTATAGTTTGGTGCCATTTTCTCATCAAACGGAGCGTTCACGCGGAAAATATTCCAACTCCATGAATTTCCAACGCCGTATCTATTTCAGCAAGATCTGCATGTTTCTTTTGAAGAGCCGTGACCTTTGCCTGACATCTCTGTAGTAATTCCGCTGGTAAGACGCGAGTAAGATCCAGCAGCTCCAGTATTGTTTTCCCAGTAGGTATTTTGGAAAACACATATGCGGTCGGAGCTTTTGGGCGCTTGGCGAAGTTGTACACGTTGAACTTTCGGAAAAATTGCGTTGAGCAGTTGGTCAGGGTACTTCTCAGCGCCTCGTCCAAATTAGCGAGGCTGAGCTGTTGATCATACAGGGCTGAATCTTCTGCGGCCACTTGTTTCGTTTCGCTTTCTGTACGTTTCGGTTCTGGCGGGGTCGGCCGCGTGCTTGGGGTGGGCCCTCGACTCCGAAGTCAACATGGGTGGTTCGTTTAGTGAGCGTAATTTGTCGAGGATTAGACTCACCCGAGGAGGTTCGGTTACGGTCATTGGTATGGGAGATTACCGGCTGCACGATGGCTGCAGCACCGGCGGGATCGCCTACACTTTCGCCACGATTTGACTCGCTCCGTTGGCTTTGAGTGTGCTCACTGTTTTCAGCACCAGCAGGATCGGATGGGCGGAGCTCGATCATTGCTCTTGCAGAATATGTAGGCGACCCAAGCAAGGCCATCGGAGGTGGAACTGGAGGTGAAGACGGCATTCGATCTTCTTGTAAGCTTGTCGACTGCATGAGAGGCTCCGCCTCGGGCATATTATGCGACGTAGGTGGAACCAACGTGAGTAGTAGGTGTCCAATTGTCTCCACTTGGCCACTTTTGATAAGCTGTTCCATACGTTTTAAAATACCCAACGCCTTTCGATATTCAGGCATGCCAAACCCACTCATTGTACCACATATTCCCGACGCAACTTCATTTGCTTCCCGATATTTGCGATTCACGTCCCAGGGTGCGGATCTCCGAGTGGGTACAGTATTAACCCTGAGCGATTCTTCAGGCAGGTCGGGGGGCAAGCACACCGTGCTCTTATTGCCGATAAGAGCCGTCGTTTTTCCAGGCACTGCGGTGGGATAATCGTCTCCATCTTAAGTATCTTTCGCAAATAAAAAATGTGGCGGCAAGGCAAGAGATGCGTACACATAAACTTGCATGAGCAGGTCCAAGTCCTTCGCGTAACCGAGTACTCAGCAGCCGGCTCGTCAAGATAATCCTCTTCGTCAATGTCGTTCTGGATAAAATAGATCCCGGGTACCGCTTCTGAGCATCGGTATGCAGCGCGAGTTAGAGCGAATTGATACTGCTTGTGAATCAGCTGGCAAGCATGTTCGCTCACGAGGTTGGCGAGATGACTCATTTCTTCGTCGTACTCAGCATGTTGGACGACACTAAGCTTAAAAACCCGAGAGATAAAATCTTCCTCCATCTGCGCCTGGTAGGACATCATGGCCGCAATGCACTCGTCCACTTTCATGAACGGATCCAGAATATCCTTCAGCTGCTTCCAGGATGACTCCAGGCGGTTATTCGTATTGTTACCGAGCGTTAGAGCAGATTGGCGCGTGTACGCGCACCACATCTCCTTGCAATTGTCCCAATTGTTCGTGAAGTAGATCTCAAATGGATGCTTAGAGCCGTGCGAGGGGTCGTCCAATGTGTTGGGGTCTTCCTGGTCAGCTTCGGATTGCTCCGATGACGAGACCGGCGGTGGCACCTCGGCAGTACTACGTGCGGCAGCTCCCAAGTTGATCAAGTAACTCATGAAACGACGATTCTTCTGATATTCCCGCTCGGTACTCGAATACACGAGCAAGTAGATCGATGCCCGGATCTGCTCCTTTTGCCACGCAGTAAAGCCATACTCCGAGTTCGCTATATCTTCATGCAAATATTTGATCACGTGAAAGTGACACAAAAGAATTGTCACGTTCGGGAACGCTGCCTTCAGCACACTGATTTCCGTGAAGTCCTTATCAATCACCACACACCGCAGCTTTTCCCAAGCAGGGTTATGCTTTTTAAAAGTCTCGATGGCCGTCTCCAAAGTTTCGTAGCGCTCGTTTTGGACGAGAGCATGCTACACGTAGCGAGCGTGCCCAAAGACCATAAAAGAAAAGACTTTGTACTTGGACACGTTTGTCCCATGAGTGGCGTCGATCATGAGGACTTCGGGAAAACGACTAAACATCTCACGCATCATGCGAGTCTGCATAGTGATACAAGTCGCGATTTTCTGCGAAACATTGTGCTAGTCTAAACTTTACAAGCAAGCCATTGCGCACTTTTCCATTCTGCACGTCAATAAAAATTCGACCAATATTCCCAGGTTCATCTGAGAACTCCACCATCCACTTGTGTAATCGCTCGGCAACCCTACTGGACCCAGACTCTCTGGCCTTCATATTCGCTACCATATTCATGTCGTGAGGGAACGGCTGGCAATCTGTGTTTTCCCGTACGTACTTGAGAATCCTTTTGTTTTTCACCCCAGAACGCTGTAAGATGTCGACAGTATTCATCACATCTTCCGGTATAGCTAGTCTTGTCTTTGGATATTGCACAAACGTTTCGCGCAAAAGAGGGTGGTTGTGAACGACGTTTTGCTTGGTCACGTAAAGCTGGATTGTATCTTGCCCACGCGGCCGGCGGACACATAGATTTATCTAAAAGTCACAATTAACAACCGCAATTAGTGTCGAGTTAGACTGACAGCATTGACCACGCAATAGTATCTATACATATCAATAACACACCTGTGCTTTGCAGTTGAGGGATCGTGCCTGCTGGCAAGGCCGCTTTCCCTGACCGCGGCCTTTGTACGTCCCTGCATGGGTACACTCAAACGTTTTGGCGTAATATTCCCACGCTTCAGGAATCAAGGAAGCTGTCGAGTTCTCTTGCGTGATGATCTTGTTTCGAGCTTTTACAGTCTTGTTTGAGCGAATGCGAAACATCTACCAGGAGAAAATTAAATACAATGAGCGGAGATGGCAAGTTACGACTGTAATGTAGAGCTCAGTGCAAAAGATACCTGGCATGTCTTAGCCTCGTAAGAGCTGAAATAAACGTCAAATGCCTTCCAAGAAGAGAATGTGGTCGACTCGAACGGCGGTCCTGCATTCATTCTGCTGGGGCCAGTCTCTTCTCCCGGCTATCAGCAGCCATGGGATCACCAAGGTTGTTTTGCGAGGTCTCGGAGAGTTCACCAGTCAACGTGTCGCCATCGCTTGCTATTTCGGACAGGGCACTCGCTTTCCGCTTCCCAGTAGCCGATCGCGGCCTCAGCTGCTGCGCCATCCTGGACGACCGCTGCAACGTGCAGCTCGCCTCCGATTCCGGTGTTAAACGCCGCGTTGCCGCTGTGTTCCCTGCCTCGTCTGCTTGCTGCTTAGCGATCGCAATACTGTACTAAGTTGGAAAATGAATGGCCAAAGGAGTGTATACGGCTGGCAAGCTGTGTATACACATAGGACGCGGAAACAGCTGTGCACGAACGAACGAACGCTGAAAAAAGGGAGATGAGCCAGTCCGGGAACGCAGGCACTTCCATTATTATCATGGGGCTTCACCAGAAGTTGACGAACAATCAGCGCAATAACGATACGTGCTATTACATAATATATACCGGTAGTAGTTATTTACACCTTGTTGGCCATCCGGAAGTCGGCCATGGATATCCAAGCTACGCGCGCGATTAAGAGATGCTGAGTCACGTACCTGACTACAGTATGGATAGTGCTTGACGCTTAGCATTTTGCCAGTGTTGTTGTCAAACCGCCCTTCACATATATTCGGCGCAGTCATCAGAAGCAGAGCTAGAAGACAATGCTCGCAGGAGAAAGTCACGGAACCGGTGGAATTTTACAACTAAAGGGGTATTACTGGATACGTGGACATGTATGTTTCAAAACTGCGGCTCGAGCAGGAAGAGCGCCGCGCTGTGGACGGCCATAGTCCCGGCGTTCTGGTCGACTGGAATGGGTAGGAACACATACTCTAAGGGGGTTTCCAGCGTGGCTAACTGGGCGGGGCATTTGTACAGTGGACAGCGGTAGAAGCCCAGGTTGGTCGCGGTTTGAGTCGGTAGGGGGCGGGGATCCTCGCGGACTGCGGAGCCCGAAGACGGCAGCATCAAACCCTCGGGGCCGAAGCGGAACCGAGCGGTGGCGTGCAGCGTCAACGGTGGAAGCTGTTGGTATCGACCAGATAGAGAGCTGGGATCGGAGGGGCTCGACAGCGAAGACGCGACTTGTTCCAACAGGGTGCATGAATCCACGGACAAACTAGCGTTCTAAACATCCAATGGACACACAGTATCAGCAGCTTGTATAGATCTCAGGTTGCAATATGAGTTCGTACCGAAAGCAACAGTCCGGACAAAACGATGGAGCCGAGGAGATCGTCGGCAGGAATCGCATTCGTCCCAGGCACGGACGTTTTCAAATCGGGAGGGTGGGGTTTCGAGGGCAGCACAACCAACGAAATCTTGCTAAGAGGTATCTTAAACTGCACTGATATGCTGTGCCGGAACGAGTACAGGAGGGCTACGATAGCAAACATGGGGGGGTAAGTCATAATATAGTTTCGACTAGGGAGCGATTGAACACAAGACAAACCTTTTGGCCGCTGCAAGGCTGGTAACCAGATTGAATCGATCCTGACGGGGGCAAGCGCCAACACGGACTGTTGGTGCGTGTGGAAGAAGCTGACGGCTTGCTTAAACCAGCGAAGCCAAGCTTTCAGCCGCGTCGGGGTCGAGTAGCCCTCACCACTTTCGGGTCTCGATGCAGCCCCTGTCCATGCAGCAGGCAAGTCACCACGAGCAAGGGCTTCAATTGTCGCCGTCGTATCTGGATTCAGCAGCTCCACGCTGTCCGCTCGCAGGGATAAAATCGTCTCGGCGTTTGTCCAGATGAATGTCAAGTACGCCTCCATCGCTGGAAGTTCGACCTGGATCAGGTGTGCAGTCGGTTGCTGCTGCAACTGAGTCTGCAGGTACTGCTGTCGCCGAAGAGTACTGACTCGCCCTTGTTGCTTGGGCAGCTGGTGACTCGACTTATAGCTCATCAACACCTCCGCGGCGTCGCGGGCCTTGCTCTTGCCCCAGTTGATGATCATGCTCTCTCGCTTCTGTCTCTGGAGCTGTTTGATGCTGCTCGATAGACTGGTTTTGTCCGGGAATGCGGTCGTCAGCTCTTCCAGGCGCTGTTGGGCCCGCGGCAACAGCGCCGCCACTTGCAGAGCAGCTTTCCCATTCGAGGAGGTTATCGGCGCTGCGTCGTACATTTTCGCCATATTCTGGAGAGCAGACGACATTTCATGGGCGCGTTGTTGGCACTGAAGACTGATAGGCACTAGATCGAGCTCAAGGGTTTCGAAAAGTGCCGCGCACGGAGTCATTGTGGTGGTGACAAGTCGGTCTCGCAGCTGGAGGAGTCGAGATACTAGCTGTGAATCATGTTCAGCGCTGTGGAGATCCAGTAAGTCGTAGTGAAGGCACCAGCTCAGCAGGTCTCGGCATTGAGCGACTCGATTATCCCCCCAGAGACGCCCCGTGTAAATCAACGCTGCTAGTTCCGTCAGAGTTTTCCCGTGAGCTTCCGCGGCGGCAGCAACAGACGGAGTTGCTGCTTGACTGAGCGCTGAAGTACCGGACGTGACGGTGGCTGCCACAACGCGTTGATGCAAATGAAGCTGGATCAAGCGCGTCGCTCGGTCCATTTCGTAGTGAGATATGAACATGTCCGCCGGAATTGCACCGCTAGATTGACCAACATTTGCCGTCCTTCGCGCGCCCTGGATGTGAAGTCGGAGTACGGAGTGGAACAACCACAGCGCGGCTCGAACTTGCTGCTGCTCGGCGCTACTGCGCTGAAGAGCGGTCAATATCGACGAAGCATGTCGTGAGAGTGGAGGAGGGCGTCTTGGCACTTCTTCTTTCTGCTGTGCATTTTCCAGTCTCTTCTTCACCTTCTCCGCCGCCCTCCGCTCTTGCTCTGCCTGCAAGAAGGCGTCGTAGAGCTGTCTGAGTGTCTGAGGTGGCTCCAGGAACAACCGTTTCGCGGGAATAAGGCTTAGGTCACGACGATGACTTGGCGCATCGCACAGTTCCTCCACAAGCCACAGACGAAAGTCGTGGTGGGTAGACTTCACGTCGCTAAAACGCGCAACCTGGAGTCGCAAGGCATTCGTGGTACTCAACGACGGCGCCGCAACAGCCCCTTCAATGATCGTCCACCCCGGGTCCATCGATATCTCCTTGAGTCTTGTGACTGCGGCGACGTCGTAGTCTACTGGATCACGGTCTGTTGGCGTACTGGTGGTAGGCTTATCACGGCACGACCATATTCCGTTAGTAGATCGGGCTACGGCAGCTTGCCCCACAGACATGAAGGCAACCGCCTCAGCAGGAATCTTGTGTCTTCTCGCGCAGTGGCGAACGCTGGACGAACCAGCAACTGCAAACTCGCTCGAGTCGGAAAGAATGAGCAGCGGCGTCGAAAAGCTCGCGGTGTTTGCCATGGCATCCAGGCTCGGTCTGACGACCCCTCCTCCTTCTTCCAGGACTCCGAGCAACGACAGCACCTCTTGCTCTCCGAGGTGCGTTCGGATCATGTCGTCGATTACATCAAGTGGGACAGAGTCAAACAAGCACACGTGGACTTGAAGCTGTCCCAGCAGCCGAAGATTTCGCTTCACCCACGGTGGCCACTGAACCGCCTTCCCCGACGACAACGGATTTCCACGTGCCCGAGATGACTTGAGGTAGGCCTTCCAGTCGTATGCGTTCTCCACCATATCGATGTACAGCGAATGGCTGAAAGAATTGCGAACTTCTTGCGTCGTAGCTGCACCGGAATGCTGTAGAAATCCCTTCTGAATCTTCAAAAATGCACCAATCAACTCGGAATCGAGACGCTTGTGTGGGCCCTTTGATCTGCCACAACTAACTGCATTCGCTGTCGACAGGATGGCCACTTCCACGGCCTGCTCCACAAACTCTTGAGCTACTTGCTTGATGGCGTCGCTCCTGTTCTCACTTGTGCTTTGAGCGACATGGCGGCAGTCCAGATTGGGACCTGAACAAACCCGAAGAATACGCTCCCGCACTCGCTCAGTGAGAGCACGCTGAAGGATCCCAAAGCTTTCGTTCTCTTCATCGTCAAGTTCTCCGAACGCCAGCACCAGAGAGAGTAGATACGTTCTGTGTAGTGAAGTCGGGAGCCCAGCGAGTCGTCGGCAAACGTACGCAGCAGTTGTCAGCGTTGTGGTAGAAGTGAGGTCCATCTCTGAACGAAGCTCCTCTGTGGGTATCTCCAGCTGCTGGATTCGAGTCCGACCGGGTGTGTTCCATCGTTCGGGGGTCTGCGGGGGCTTTGGAAGCGACTGCGCGAGACATTCAGCGATATTCCCCAGGGTTTGTGGGAGCGGGAGATGCAGTGATAGATTGAGTCTTGCAATCCCGTCTTCAGCCAACACGAAAGCTCGCGCCCGGCGTGCGAACGTTAGAGCCTTTCTCCTCTCCTTGTAGAAGTTCTTGATCTTCTGTTGCAGCTGCTTGCGCGCGTGTCGGACAGACATAAAGTCGTTCAACTGTGCTGAGATGCGCTCCATCGATTCTTCGTCGTAAAATCCCTGCTGACCAGTTCCGGATGAAATCCAAGCAGACAGAATGGAGGTCGCAGTTGAGCTCAAGCCTGCAGTCGAAGATTTAGCTGTTTCATCACTCGCAGCGCACAAATGCGCCAAAAAGTTCTTGAATAGTACTTCCTCTTTCGTCTTCTCCACGCTCAGCTTGGACTTCAACGACTCCAGCTCTGTTTGGACACACGCGGCGGAGCTACGGTATAGCAGCGTCAGAAAATGGTTATCGAGATCGCGTCTCGTAGGCGTGAAGTCAACCACTGCAAAGTGGCTCCAAGTCTGTGTACAGCCACCGATAGAAAAAAAAATAGTGGTTAGGAAGACCGAAACACAAGCTTAAGCTTAGCGCACCTTAGGGGTCCAGCCGACTGCTTTGTCGAGAGATTTTGCCGCGAAATAAACGGCACAAGTGCTTTTCTCCTTGAGCAAGACGATAAGTTCCAACGCCGCCTCGAGCGCAGTTTCGTCGCCCTCAGACGCGTTTTCGACGAGCACCTGCAATGGATACAGCGGTCGGTACACGTTAGACTTCGAAGACGCAAATGCGTTTAAACAACCCATCCAACTAAGACCCGTACCATCGATGGCGGAGTTTGGGCCAGACACGTCTCAATCGTTCGTATCAAATTCGGATCGCCCGCATCCACAATGATCACAGTCCCAGGTTCATCTCTTCCTCGCTGTCCCGCGTTGTTATCACCAAATGACCGACCACCCTCACTCCGCGTAGACGACCCCTTGGAAGGTGTAGCACTTGTCGAAGTGCGATAAGCTTGCTTAATCCACAACACTCCGCGATCAAGGGGATCTACCAGGAATGGAATCTTGAAACAAACTTGCTGCGCTTGGTCCATGAGGAACAGACTGGTCGCAAACGCGTCGTCCTCCTCGTCTTGCATGTCGATGATGGTCTTGTGCAGATGAGTCGCCATACTTTCTCCGCTAATTACCCAGTGCCGTAACATCGTACTGATTTCGGCTGCCATGGGGTACGGATCGTTCGGAGGTGAGGCGAAATGCCTTTGAATTGCTGCTCGACACTGCAGCAACAGCTTCTCCCGGTCCTCATGGAACAATTCAGCTCCAAAGATGATCAGAGTTGATACGATAGTACAGTCTCCCAGCAAGTTGACTCGTTGCAGCTCAACAGACTCGAAATGCTCGCGCGTGATATCGTACCATTGCTTGATAACGTGGCCGAAGGACGCGACCAAAGATTTCCACCGCAATCTCGTCTCTTGAGTTCGCTGGAGTTCCGCCTCGCGATGGAGATTCTGTGCGTGAAGAACCCGGAGCTCAGCCAGGTGGATCTCGATGTCTATGAGCTTCTTCTTCTCGGCCTGTGCGCGCTCTTCAATCACGCGGAAACTCTGCTCTGTTTCGTCTAGCAGTTTCTGCGTGGGGGCCACACGCTTCATCGCCTCAAAGTAGCGTACCAGAGCCAGCACCCACTTGCAGAGCGTGGTTGAAGCCAGCGACGCACGCCTCATGTTCTCCATCGAGAAGTCTGGATGGTTCACGTAAAACTTGACGCGGTCTATCAACGTCGGATCGATTTTATCTCGGTCAAAGTTGCGAAGACGCTCCAGGAATCGGATATCCGCCAGAATCCGCAGCGCCTCGCTCCATGTCGGCGGGACGTCAAGTAACACGCACACAGCTTGCATCGCTAAGCGCACAAGCTGTGGGGGATTTGTAAAGGATTTCATCTCGACAATGTGGTACTTGTTGATCTGGGATAGCGCTTCAGTGGCCTCCTGCACTTCCGGTAGAGTCTTTGACAACTCACGCTGGATGCTGGCGCGCTCCAGCTCAATCTCGCTCTGAATCTTGGCGCACCGTTCTTCATCCAGTAGGAACAACCGCCTTGCCTCTCTCTCGATGGCCTCTTGGGCTGCTAGTTGGGCAGTTGTGTCCATAACCGCTTGGGTGGCATCATTCTGCTGGACCTCGCTTGTCTCCTCCTTCGCAACTCGGATGTTCGTCTGGGACAGTCGTTTGGCCAGATACCGCAACGCTTTACCCAAGTCTCGGAGCTGGCGCTCGAGCTTCCTGTGCTGGAACGAGAAAAGAATTTTGAACACGCGCAACATGTCATCAAGTCGCGTAGTCACCGCCCCAAACCTTCTTCCGCGGAGCGTTGGAGATGGCGAATGCCGTTCGAAGAGGGAACTTCCGTTGTGCACAAACCTTTCGGCCGTGTGGTGGGCGACTATCATGATGTCGCGGACTTTGGCGCGGACTCCAGCGTCCACCACGCGCCAAGGAATCTCACCTGTAGACTCGGATCCTGTGGAGATATCGGTCAGCAATGCCCATTCATGGAGCGCACTATTGCAGACAGCTTCGGCCGACACATCTTGCCATCGAGGAAACGTCTTGATCACAAATCTGTAGTATGCGCACGGCTGGAGAGTCATGAACTCGAGCAGTTTGTTCTTGCACCTAAGCGTAGCAACATTGAAGTAAGCAAAACATCTGACTGCTTACATGTTCGATGACTACGATAGGAGCGTACCCGATTGACAGCACGATGTAGAGACTGCGGCGCACATTTTCTCGGAAAACCGTCAACAAATGCGCTAGTGAGTGGGTTGCTGTCGTTGACCGCCTCACACCTCCAACCCCCTTCTCTTTCTCATTAGGAGATGCCACGCTCTGAAGAAACGATTTTCTGGGCGAAGGAGGTAGAGCGGTCGGAAGGCATTTGGACTGGTGCTCGATAGCATGCAGCTTCACCTTGTCTGCTGACGAATACAGGTGCGGCGGGATGTCGTCTTGGCGGATCAAATGCACGAGAAGAGCGGCCTCTTCGGAGCTCAAGTCCTCGAACTCCGCGTACACCACCGTCTGCGTCGCCTTGAGACCAGCCTCCAGCACGATGGACTTGACGTGCTCGATGAAATCTGCGAGACGTAGCTGAGCGCTGACTTCACGGAATTGAAAGGACAGTGTGCCACACGCAACCATCGTCGTGCTCCGTCGATCCGCAGTGTCCGATCCGCTGAGCAGTAAATGGCGCACACCGCTCTGGAGGAAGCTGTAGATGTCCAACGTGTTCTGCAGTTGATGAAATGACGGAACGACAGTCACTTTCTCGTCGGGTAGACCGGTTTTAAGCGCCATCATCGCCAAGGAAGATCGCCGTATTGTCGCGACTTCTTGTGTGGGGGTTGTCGGACCATGGTCGATCGTATCTGCACTTGCTGCCAGTAAATGACGAACCGATCGGGAGCCTTTACCGCGTAGAGTGCGTGGACTGAGTTCGCTTTGCACTGCTACAATCTCCGGACCGGATACGGACAGCTCGGGGGATGTCGGATTTGCCTTCAGTGTGGCCTTGTGGTACCAGTGGAAGCGCTCTTCACCCGCGACAAATATTGTCGTGAGCGTCCTTGCGTTGACTCGCGTGATCCCCTCCGTGTCTCCACAGTCGGCAAAGAAATAGTCTTCCGGGGACCGGAGGTACGCCAAGCTTTGGGAGCTGAAGCCTAGTTTCTTAGCGATCCTGAGCGCTGTGGACTGCAGTTGATCTCGGTTTGACTGGTCTACGAACCGGTTGCGATGGAGCTGAAGGGTGAAATGCATCGTGAGCAGCTCGAACTCGAGAATGGGCTCGGCTGGAACTCGCGACACAGACATGTTCATGAGACTGATGAATACCGAAAGCACACTGCCGATGTTGAAGAGCAAGTGCGGGGTGACGGCGGACGGCCTCCACAATTTTCTTGATCTCTTGAGCATTTGAACCGGAAACTGCGTCAGTCGACGAACGGCGCTAGTCAAATCGCCGAAGGGGCCTTCGTAGCGTCTCCGGAAGTTCGTCGTGAACATCGGGATCACTTCAGCAAAGACTTGGTCACTTTGTTCAGGGACCCAAATCTGTCGATAACATAGATAAGTAAGGGACCAGCTAGCAGCAGATGAGGGTCAGCGGCGTACCATGTGAAAGTGCCGCAACAAGCGCGAGGGCACACGAGGATATCCGAACGTGGACAACGAAAACGAGCACCACACAGCCAGGTCCCGAAACTCGACGAATTCCTTGGTGGACTTGATAAAACTTCCTTTTCCGTCGATCACTTGTCGAATCATCCCGGAGCATGGGCCGTCCGTCTTAGTTGAAGAATGCTACAATCGAGAAAAGAGGGGAGTACGGGTTAGCGGAAACAAGGGATTAGTGGTGGTTTTTCTCTGGCCCTACCTGGGTGTCGAGATTGAGATTCTCCAGGAGCAACACCAGCGCCCGTTTCCCCACGCCAGGACAGTGCGCACCTTTCAGTTTGCCTGTCATCCCGTTTTCGATTGCTCGCTGGATATCAAATCCTGTCGTCGAGGGGTTAATCTGTAGTGCTGTCGCACTCACACGCTCCTTCTGGCCAAGCTCCCGCAAACAGTTTTCCACGATGAGCGTCTTCCCAACACCCGACTCCCCCACTACAAATGCGTTAGCTTTGGCTAGCCCGATCATCTTGAGCCACGCGTTGCAGCTCACGGTTATGGCTGTTGGGACGTAAATGATGGAGAGGGGGCTTGTGATTGTCGACGTGTCACCGATGAGCTCATCGTCGCCTTCGGCATCGTCCGTGTCTTCACTTGTCACTATTCGTCCTCGAGCTTTCAGCACTGCGCTCGTCCGACGAGGGAACTCTGATTGAAACGCGAAGCTGCTTCGACGAGTTGCCGGTCTCGACAGTTCCACTAGTGCTCTGCTCCACGAGAACAGTACGGCTCGGTGGTCTTGAAAGCGGAGTCCGACATCAAACAGCGTAGCGGACGGATCCACAGTGAAGATTGGGTGTCCATCTATCAACTGAGGGGCAATTCTAATGGCGGCGTCATGAAACTCTGGGCGAGCGCGAGGCGGGAGGATCATACCGAGCGACATCGTTGCAGCGTATGCAACGATGATTTTGGCGTCGGACATCCAGTCCGCGTCATCTTCCACCACACCTTTGGCCACCTCAGCAACCAGCGGACTGAGAACCTGGAGCATATTCGTGACGCCATGAGTGACAGAGCACTCGAGGAACGGTGGAATATACCGTTTAAACACGTCCAAGACCGCTGGCAAGTGTGTTCGCATAAGTTTCGCCACGTACTCACTGGTCGGCTCCAGTAGCTTGGTCAGATGCGCAAGGCTCGAACGCTTGCGTCTAGGTTGCTGCTGCTGCAGCCAGCTCTTGATCAGAAACGTGTAGGGCACCATGTGCTCCGTTTGCATGTACACTAAGCCGCAGCGGCTCAGACAAGCCGGAGACCAGTGATCCAGACTCTCAACCTCGCAGAAAATGCGTAGACTCTCCTGCGTACATTCCAGCTGGTCGCCGTTCGGCAGGTTCATTCTCTTGATGCCCTTCGGCGAGGCTTCCATTAGGCCGCGAAGAGGTTCCAACAGAGTTGGTGCATCGCGTACACCGTCAAAAACAATCCACGATGCCGGCGCTAAGGACCGGTTTGATGCTAGTGCTGCTGTGGTATCTCCAGCGTGCGAGAAGAACGATCCCCTCCGTGACAGTTGAGGGCTTGGAGACGAGTTCCCTTCAGCGCTGTTCGAGTGCTCTAATGTGTACTCAAAGCTGCTGTCGTTAGAAGCAGTGTCGACGCAGTTCTGGCGGAAGAAATGGCTGAAAAAGCCGTCGTCCCAAGTCGAGTCTCCCGTAATCTCCCCGTAAATGTCCTTGATGCAGAAAGCTTCCGGGTAAAGTCGAACGGTGCGGAGGTGCTTATCGAGAGCTGCATCGTCTTGTACGTCATTTGACTTGGTTTCCCCACTCTCCGACGCCGCCAATTCGTCCGCGATCAACGAATTCAGGACGCTAATGGCTGTAGACTTCCCACACACACCGCGGCCGACGACGACGACTATCACTCGTTTGGACACGATTTGATACATCTCGAGCAGCTTGCGAATGTAAAACTCGCTCACACTCAGCCGCCGAGCATTAATTGTCGTTTCGATCTTGACTTTTAGAGCTTTCAGCTCGTGGTGCTCATCTTCCTCGTCACTGTCGTATGAAGCCGCAACATTTTCCTCGATAACGGGCTGGTCCTGAGCATTTACCGGCGCCGAATGTGCCATAGGAGCCCGCAGTGCTAGCACTCCATAGCCATTAATCTCCAAATCTGCCGCGTGCGGGAATACGGTGCGAATACATTTCAAAAATGCCACTCGCCTCTCGGGCAGGACTTTGGAGTGGAATTCGTCCCAAATGGAAGCGACGAGGGACTTCTCTGCTGTCTGCCACGGGTTCACATCCAGCCGATTGCTAACATTTCTGACGATGTCAAACGCCAAAGGCAGTCTGCTGAGCGTTAAATCCTTGGTAAAAGGCACCGGGTCGTCGATGAGAAGGCAGAAAAGAGCTTCCAGCTTGAGACTGAGTTGCTTCCAGTCCTTGAATCCATTCACGAGCAGCAACGCCTCCACTATAAGCTCTGGGTTCACTGTAGGACACGCAACGGGAGCAAAGCACGTTGAAAGGCGCAGGAAAACTTGCTGATGGTGCGGGTGCTGGTAATCGAGTGAGCACGTCACTATGACAGCGAGCTCGTTGTTGGTGATATCCACGGGGGCCCCGTCCAGCACTATCGTCTCTTGGTGGGCTCGCAATGCATCCACAATTTGGTTCATCTCCAGCACAAACATCCACAGCATACTGGACACCTCGACGCCAGAAAACGAAAGCCAGACCGAGTTACTCTGGAGAACGCCCCGCAGAATCTGCTTGAAGTGAGTGAGGGTGAGTCCATTCGAGTAGTCGAACTCCATACACTCTCGCCCAACCATTGCAGATAAATCGCGCATGAGTGTTTTCTTCCTCGTGCTCCCACCGCTGCGAGGAGAGTGTAACAACAAGCCGTGCTCCAACGACAGAGCGGTGCTCATAGCCAGCACGGTACGTTTGCAGAGAGGGCTCAGCACTGGGCAAGCGTAGCTTCCGATGAACGAGTACTCGTACTGGAACGTCTTGACCAAGTGATGGATGGTGCATCGTTTCTCGAATGGATCGTAGTAGAACCTCGGGAGCTTGATCCACGTGAAGGCGTCTCCAGCCGCATAACTGTAGTGATACACAGAAGCATCGCTACCAGGTTGGTGAGTCGCTGCTGCTCCAACTGACTGAGTCACGAGCGTTAACGGCTGGTCCTCGTACAGCTCTCGTATACCCTGAGATTTGTTCAGAAGGAGCGTCAAGATGGAGCTTGCGATCCACCTTTCCCTCGGAGTTGAGGTCCGACGCACGATGTACTCGATCAAGTTGGACTTTTTCAGCTGAAAGAGATGCCAAAAGCGCTGCCAAGCTGCACCCGTGCGGTCGAGACGGACTAACGGGCTCACCTCGTGCGTGACCAAGATGTGAACACAGAGAATAACCACTTGAAGAGGGTAGTCCATCCACCCCCGGCCATCCACCACACTGAGTCGAGGAGATTCTGCTTCATTCGATGCAAAAGAGTTGTCTCCTCCACTCTCACTCGCCTTCCGCTCACCACTATCGCCACGTGACGACGCTCTTCTCTTCGATCCACTAGAACGGATCAGAGATTCCAGGTTTTCTTCAAACAAAGTAACCAGACTCCCATCCATCGCGCTAATGACCGCGTCCACCATAGCAGCTCGTACTCGTTCGTCCAGCTCTTTCATCCAAAACTGTGGGTTGGCGCCAACACGTATCGGTCTGATTGGGAGCTCCTCCCCTGTGGCGGCTCCATAAACGGCATTAATATCAATCCCATCGTGCACCGTAGTAAAGGGTAGAGGGCCCTGCTGCTTTGCTGAGTCTTTTAGTGTGACCTCTTCAGTAATTCCACCGCTGCCACCAGTTGATGTCGAAGTGTTTGCCAGGATATCTACAGCCCCTAGTGTGTTTCTCCGGGACGGCACGACTCGTAGAGAATTGATCCCTCGAAAGCATTTGGAAACCATACGAGGCAGGTGTTTCGGGTCACGCGCATGTATCATCAACTGGAACAGGTCGTGGTCCGAGAGAAAGCTGAAGCGCGGGAAGTACTTGCGCTTCTCGTCGAGGTACGCCCCCAACTGCAGCCACAGCTTTGCGTAGGACTCCTGTGCACCGACTAGAAACCCAATCGTAACCACTTCGCGCAGGCAGATCGACAGAGATGAGGTGCCTTTGGCTGCATGCATCATGCCTCTCCACTTGCGGTCAATGGCTTGGAACTCGAAGGAGGCTTCGGTCACGCTTTGCTGGACGTCACGGAGCGAGAACAGGAGACTCAACTTGGTGCGGCTGCGCTGAACGACACTCCACTTATCCAGCACTTCTTCGCAGTGTCGAACCTCGTCGCGCCACTGCACAAGCTGCAACTGTAGAGAACCGGACGCGGTCACTTGAGCTAGAGACTGGATAGTCAACAGATCGTCTTCGAACGACTCAAGAAGTTGACTGGCTCGTGGATGATCGAGCTCGTATGAGTCCTGGATACGAATTATAGGCAGCGTAGCGTCATGTAGCCGGGCTTTCATCGCGTTGAGCTTCTTCTCAGTCACAGCGTCGTGATGGGCCTTCTGAGTGATCTCCCGAATCTGCAGCTCGTACTTCCACAAGTCGCGACTTCGAAGAAAGCCCAGAGTCACTGTGAACCCATCGGTAATCAGCACGCCAATGCTGGACACGTAGTTGAGAATGTCCATGAGCTTTAGAATCTCCTTCCAGTGGTGAATCTTGACCCAAGGCTGGGCCATTTCTTTCACTAAACTCAGCTTCCGCAAGTAGTCGATGACGGCTTGGTGGATGTTGCCAAGTAGCTTCTCTGCAAAGCCCGCTCGCTCCCGACTCTGAAGCTCTCGAATAACCGGCAAGAAACTGTGTACTTTTACGGCATGGGCCTCCCAATTTTGCTCGCCGAAAATGCCGTTCTCCATCGAGTTGATCGTCGTCAGCCACTGCATCGTAAACGTGACGAGTTCTTGCACTTCGCCCCATTTCGTCTTCGCTTCGGCCAGTGACGGAATCTCCACGATCTTCAAGCCGACCATCTTTTGGTACTCTTGGTACAGTTTGGTCGCCTTCTCAATTGCCGCTAATTCGCGAACAACCTCCTGGAACACCCCCACGTTCTTCTCCATGTCCTCCTGTTCTTCCATGTCGGCAAACTCGTCGTACATTTTCAGCAGCTTCTGGCAGCGCAGCGTGTACTTCTGCAGCGCCGTGTTGACCTGGTACGTAATGTTGGGCAGGACTTTGGCGGCGAACTTGCCGTGCGACTGGACCAGAGAAGTGTACTTGCCCAAGAACTGGTGCATGACGTTGTACTGCGGCGACACTTCCGATCCCAGCGGTGGAGTGAACCGCTTCAACGCTCGAACTGTTTCGTCCACGTTGCGGATGTTTTGGTTCAACTGCTTTTCACCTTCCTTCAGTAGCCGAACCTGCTTCATCTGCTCACAGAAGAACTCAATAAGCTGCGGGCGGTCTTCCAGTACCAATGTGGCTCGCTGTAGCGCACCGACACACTCCGCCACTCCTTCGACTGCTAGACGGTAGAGCGATTCATGCAGCGTGTTGCGTTCTTGGGAAATTAGGTCGAGAATGTCCGCGATGGAGCGGCGGCACTGAATTTCGAGGAACCCTACCTTCCAGCTTGACTGCAGCTTTTGACACGCGTGCTGCGACCGATCCAGCACGTTCAGGCGGTGGGCGATACTCTTCAAAAAGCGAGAGACCTCCCCAGTCGACACTCCGCTTAGACGAGAGAGATCTGAAGGTGGGTGGTGTGGGTTGTTCCCAGGCGCTTGACTTTCTCCTCGCGATGGATGGCAGTGTCGGACGGACTGGACCTCCAAGTAAATGAAACGCAACGACTCGAACGCCAGCATTTGCTGAGCCGCTCGATCGAACCACAAGGCGAGCTCGGACGTCAGCTCTTTTGTCGCTTCATCAAACGTCGGGTCCTTCCGCAGCACCGACTGCAGGTCGAAGTCCGCTGAAGACATATCGCTAGCCTTAAACGACTCCGCCACCACAGCTAACACTCCTGTGCCCCGGTTGTTGCTCCACGTGATGGCATTCTTAGTAAAGTGGAAATTGCTGACGAGACGAATCAGTCTGGCCAAGCCCTCCAACAGTACCAGCTTCGTCTGCTTGAGTGACGGAGAGAGTTCAAGCGAGTCTCCAGCGATCGTCACGGCAGCGCAAAGTGCCCCCAGGTTTTCTTCACGCGAGAGCTCCTCTCGCAGGTGATCGACGCACCCGATGATCATCAAGTAGAGGCTTTCAGTGAACATGTAGTCCATCATGCGGATGTACGCTTCCAGCAGCGACATATCAAGAGCTGCCGCATCCTTTTGGTGCTGGAGATCCGTCTTCCGCTTGCGCATGACAGCTATCGGCGCTGATTTCCACTTGGCGTTGATTGTCCGGACAGAGGCGGCCTCAGCGCTGTAAAACTCATCCAGGTTAGTGGCGGGCTGGAGATCGTCGCAAATCTGTTGCACCATGTCTTCCATGAGACCTAGCAGCTTCTCTTTCGCGTCGATCAGCTTCATTTCTGCGATGGTGAGACGCTCCTTCTGATGCTCTTGAACGGCAGCGAGGTCCACCGCCGGCCGAGTACTGGGCAGTGTCAGAGATCTGATCTCCTGGATGTCTCGAAGAGCGCGACACGAACTCAACAACGGCCGAACGAAAGCTCGTCGAGCAAACGGCAGACACTGAGCGATGCGCTTGCAGTTGTCCCGATAGATGATCTGCCGGATCGCGCGCACCCACCCCACAAAAACTTTGCGCACCAGGAACTTCTGGAAGAGCGGGATCCCTGCCAGCAGTAGGGAGAACATCTTGCTCTCCATGATCCACTGCGACAGCGGGATGACCTCTCCGGAGACGTCGTTGTCGTTGTTGTTCGTGTGGTGCACGAGGGACGTGGACGTCATCATGAAGTAGTCGCCCGCGCCAGATCTGGGGGCCTCGTCGATTCGCACCAGGTCGTAGGGCATGTACTTCCCGGTCGAGGCAGGCGCGGACGAGAATCCCAGCGAAAGCTTCGCAGTCACTCCCGGGTTTGCCACTTGCGCGGCCTTCCGTTTGAAGTACAGGATGTCGTGCCTGTGCTTGGCGTCCAGGAAGAACAGGATGGCGTCCTCAACGCCCGAAAGCTGGACACTCGTGGACGACGCGTTGTTGTCCGTCTCACTTTCCTGCTGCTCCGGGGCGCTCGCACATCGAAGCATAGCGAGCCGCTGCACCAGTCGGTCAAACAGCTCCTTGTTTCTATCGCGGAGCTTCTGCACGAACGCGCTACATACAACGCACCACCACAGCGAGATCAGTCAACAACAACAACAACGAGTTTGTCATCTCTGAGCTCGACGTACCTGTCGGCAAGCTGGTCTCGCAGCTCCGGCACAGTGTTCACCATCGGCGTCAGCTTGGTCGGTTTATGGGTCGCTTTAGCCGCCACAATACTCGCGTGATCGCGCCGCCTCCCTGCCTTCGCCATCGTCGGAGCTCGCGGCGCGATGGGTCGGAAGGGCGGGTCCTCTCGGAAGATCTCGGGCGGCTGCACCAGCTTGCGGTGCGACAGCGGCACGTGCACGGGCGAGTGCCAGCTCTGTCCTCGTCCCCGTCCTGTAGCCATTGAGGCTGCCGCTGCCGCTGTGGGGCCCTGCACTTCCTCCTCCTTGGCCACCGCGTTCCGCACCACGAAGGCCACGGGCGGCCGCCGCCGCAGCTCCAGCAGCTGCTCCTCGTCCACGTACATGGGCGACTGCTCGTAGGCGCTCGGAGCCGCGCGGCCGTCGTCGTCACCGCTGGACTCGAAGCGCTCGCGGTCGTTCGCGTCCACAGGCGTCGTCGACGCCGACTCGTCGCCTCTTGGCTCCGCGGCCTGCTGCAGCTCGCGCCGCGCCTGCTCCCGCGTGCGTTGCGCCGTCCCAGCTGCGGCCATGGAGCGAGTCGTGCGTGGCGGCGAAGAGGGTAAGGACGACGACGCGCCCTCGTCCCGCGAGCTGAGGCGGATGCGCAGATGCCGCCTTTGCTGGGCCTCCATGTTGAAGTGAGATGCGTGTGAAGTAGTCTTAAGTGAGCGTCGATTGGCCGATTTTCCACCAATGGCCAGCACCCGCCAGGGCACCAGTCGATAGATGGCTACACTTGACTTTTTGACCAGCAATGCGCGGGGCACTGGAGCGCGGCGGCTTGGCGCTGGCGCAGACGGCGGTGGCGTCGTTCTCGGCCTCGGCGGCGCAGCAGGGCGACACGGCGCTGGTGGCCGACCCGGCGCAGGACTTCGACTACGACTACGTGCTGGACTGCCAGCCCACGGCGCAGCGCAGCGGGCTGGCGCTGGCGCTGTCCACGTACAAGCTGCAGCTGCGCAGCCGCGAGACGCTGGCGCTCGTGCACGAGTTCCACGCGCACAACAGCACCATCCACGAGGTCTGGACGTCTCCGTCGTCGCCGCACCAGCTGGCCACGTGCTCCAGCGACGAGTGCGTCAAGCTCTGGGACACGCGCGCGGCGCTGCCGGCCATGGTGGTGCCCGTGGGGCGCGAGGTCTGGAGCCTGTCCGTCGGCTGCGGCGAGACGCTGCTGGCCGCGGGCACGGACGAGCTCGCGCTCTTCTACGACGTGCGCACGGGCGCGCAGCTCGGCCAGTACGGCGAGAGCCACGTGGACGCCATCACCAAGGTGCGGTTCCACCCGACGCAGCCGGCCTTCGTGGTCACGGCCTCGGAGGACGGCGTCGTGTGCTTCTTCGACTGCCGCATCCCGGACGAGGACGACGCGCTCGAGAGCATCCTCAACGTCGAGAGCGCCATCACCAACATCGGCTTCTTCGGCCCGCAGAAGGAGAACATCTTCTGCCTCACGGGCACCGAGACGCTCGACCTGTGGAACCTCTGGACGGCCCAGCGGCTGCACCACTACGCCACGATCCGCGACGACTGCAACGCCAACGGCCTGCCCACCGACTATTTAATCGACTGCCTGTACGACGACCAGAGCAACGAGCTGTTCCTGCTGGCCGGCAACCACGACGGAGACATGAATGCCGTCAATATCGGCACGGACCAGGCCTCGGCGGGCAAGCTGCAGCACGCGGCGCCGCTCAAGGGCGGCCACAAGGCCTGCGTGCGCTGCGTATACTACGACCCGGACAGCGCGACGCTGTACTCGGGAGGAGAAGACGCGCGGCTCTGCAGGTGGACGGTGCCCGGCGCGTCCGCCGAGGCCGGCGACGGCTACTCTTCGGTGTCGTCCTCGACGCCGTCCGGCAGACGAGCGACGGGCCTCGACCCCGCAGGCATCCGGAAGGCGCGCAAGGCCTCCCGACCATACTAGATAGAGGTGTGTTGTCGCCTAACGACTAACGTGCAGCGCTGCCGATTAGCTGTCGGCGGCGTTTTCTGATCCACTTTGGTTCCTCCGTCTGCTATGCATGCAGACTTGTTGGGCGTCACCGTCCTTGACGTTGACGTTGGCGGCAAACTCGAGCTAATCTGGTGTCGATGGTTTTAGGCTCACGACCGACAAGAATGCGAGCACGAGGAAGTTACGACGCCGTCGCTATTTTCTGCTTGATCCGGCGTCGAAACACCTGCCTCTATCTATCATTCACGAAGAAGGCCGCTCTGCTCCAGGTGACTCGCGCACGAACGCTCTCCAACTATGACGGGCATCATGAAGAAGGTGACCGAGTTCTACAAGAAGGACGAGTGTAGCAAGTACTACAAGCTGGGCAAGACGCTCGGAACGTACGTAGTCGGCGTATTAGATAGCGATGATGTTGAATTGAGGCTGACTTGGTCTGCTTTGTAGTGGGAGCTTCGCCACGGTGAAGAGCGCCATCAGCAAGGCCGACAACTCGCGGTGGGCCGTCAAATGCATCGACAAGGCGAGTCTCACGGCGGAGGACGAGGAGGCGCTGCGGGTCGAGGTGGAAGTGCTGCAGGTGGTGCACCACGTCAACATCGTGCAGCTCAAGGAGGTGTTCGACTGCCACAAGACGTTCTACATGGTCATGGAGGAGATGAGCGGCGGCGAGCTCTTCGACCGCATCGTGGAGAAGGAGAAGTACTCGGAGAAGGAGGCGAGCTGCGTGGTCAACAAGCTGGCGAATGCGCTGCTCTACTGCCACCAGAAGGGCATCGTGCACCGTGACTTGAAGCCCGAGAACCTGCTCTACCAGTCCACGGACGAGAACGCGGAGATCAAGATCGCCGACTTCGGTCTGGCCAAGCTCATCAAGGGCGACTCGCTCATGCAGACGGCGTGCGGCACTCCGGGCTACGTGGCCCCGGAGATCCTCGAGGGCCGTCCGTACGGAGCTGAGGTGGATCTCTGGAGTCTCGGCGTCATCGCCTACATCCTGTTGTGCGGCTTCCCTCCGTTCTACGACGAGAACAACGCCGCGCTCTTCCAGTCGATCAAGTCGGGCGTCTACGACTACCCGAGTCCGTACTGGGACTGCGTGTCCGACTCGGCCAAGGACCTCATCTCGAGGCTGCTCGTCGTGGACCCCAAGAAGCGCTTCACGGCGCAGCAAGTGCTGGACCACCCGTGGGTGGCCGACATCCACGGCGTCAGCGGCGACGTGCTGCCGCACTTCACGCACGAGATGAAGCGCTACAACGCGCGTCGTCGCTTCCGCGCCGGCATCATGGCCGCCAAGACCATTTCGGCCCTGCACTCGATCCAGAAGCGCGTGAGTGCCAGCGACTTTGAGCCGCCGACGTCGGCCATTGCCGCGGTTGGATTGGGGGCGCTGAAGGCCGCGTCGGCGGCGCCAGCGACGGAAGCAGGAGCAACTCCCGCTGCTCCAGCCCCCGCAGCGCCAGTGACGCAGTAGGCATGAGGACAAGGCTAGGTGGTGCCTTCGCTGCCTCGGCGCTAAGCTTTAATCAGTATAACTTGATATGAACTGCATGTTGTCATTGCCGACGGAAGCTCGCAATGCACATCGATGACAGGAGCACAACGTCAAAATATTGAAACGCGGTTGATTCCATGGCAAAACTACTGAGGCTGGTTGGTTGGAGCTCGCTTACAGCGAGCAAATGTTCTCCACGGGGGTCATGGCCGAGAAGCTCTGCTCCTTGTCCTCCTCCAGCTCCTGGGCGCGCTTACGGATCTGGTAGATGAAGCCGAAGGCCACCAGCACAGCGCAGACGCCGCCGCCGACAGCAAGGCCGACCATGCCGCTGGCGCCGCTGCCCTCGCTGCTCTGGGTGTTGGCCTTCTGCGTGTCGTCGCTGGTGCTGGACGTCTGCTGCGTCTCGGAGCTCTTGCCGATGGAGCTCACCGTGGACTCAGCAGTCTGCGCGGTCGTCTCGGTCGTCTGCGAGGTCTTGTCCGACGGCTTGTCCGACTTGGAGCCGTCCGTCTTGGAGTCCTTCTCCTCGGTGTTCTTGCTGGACACGCCAGCCTCCTTGTCACTGCTCGAAAGCGAAGCCGAGCCGTTCTGCTGCTGCTGCTGCTGCTGCTCGTGCGAGCCCGAAGTGGACGAGATCGACGACGTCGAGTTGTTGTTGTAGTTCGAGTTCGAGTTGGTCTCGCCTGAGCCCGAGCTCTGCTTGGTCTCCGGCGCCGGCGTGGGCGCGGCCGTAGTGGGCTGAGGCTTCTCCGTCGCGGGCTCCGGAGCGGGGGCGGGCGTCGTGGGCGCGGGCGCCTGCGTCGTCGGGGCCGACGTGGTGGGCGCCTGCTGCTGCTGCTGCTGGTGGTGGTTGGACGAGGTCGAGGGTGACTGGGCCATGCCGAACTTGGGCTGCGAGTTGGACGTGTACAGGCCGAAGGTCTGCTCGTAGGCCTCCGCGCGGCTGGGCACGTCGAAGAACTGGAAGTAGAACTTCTCGCTCAGGCCGGCGCTCCACTTCTGGTAGGCGCTGTAGAAGGTCTGCTCGCCCGCCAGACTGCCCGTGTTGCCCGCGACGGAGCCGCTGGACGGCCAGCCCGTCTCCGTGAGCAGCAGCTTGTCGCCGAAGCTGCTCATCATGGTCTGCCACTGCTTGTCCAGGACGTCGATGGCGCCGTCCGCGGTCGTGCCGGGGTTGAAGAACGGGTGCGCGTTCACGCCGAGCACGTCGCAGGCCGAGACGAGCTCCGACCAGCCCGAGACGGACTGGTAGTTGATCACCTCCGTGTTGCGCTGCACCGTGCCGACCAGCACGCCGCTGGGCACCTGCGACTTGATCTGCTGGATGACGCTGATCATGTCGCCCGGGACGCTCGAGGCACCCGCAAGGTTCTCGTTGCCCACCATGATGGCATAGACGCCGCCGGCCTGCGCGGCCTTGATGGCGGCGGCCATCTGCTCCTGGTAGTCGCTCTGCGGGTACGGGACGCCCAGCACGGCCGTGAGGCCCGCGCCCGTGATGATGGGGCCCATTTCCGTGTTGCCGAACTTGGAGATGTACGTGCGCACGCTGGAGAAGCCCGCGCCCGAGATGGTCTGCATGTCGGCCTGCACCGAGGACGCGCTCATCTCGGAGCCGTGGTTCGGGTCGTAGCACACGCCGTTGGCGTCCACCTGCACCGAGAAGAGGGTGACGACGGCCACGACGATCGGCGCGAAGAACTTCATTGCTGCTACGAGTACTTTTGCCTGGAAAAGTCGATGTCTACTGTATGAATGCTACGGTAGCTGTTCGCTCGTGCCGGGAAGGAGAGAGTGAAAGTGAGACCGCCCGCCCGCCACGAGGTCTGCTTGCCTGTCAACGCGTGCCAGTCGGACAGGAAAAGCGCGACGTCGTCAAGTCAAGGGGGGACCGCGACGGACGACTGACCGATTCAGCGGCACGGGAACAGGGATCGGAATAGAGACTTTGTGGCTCTGCGTGACATCCGCGGACAGCACGCGGCCACGCCACTGCCGGCTCTTTTCATATGGTCTCGCCGCTAGTGATGCCAGTCGGCGAGAACGGCATCGGCGCCATCGCATGAGCGACATATACTCCGTGGCCGGCCGGCTGCGAGAAGCGCGCAATGCAAACCGATACGTGTATTGTGTGTTACCGGTAGATTACCAACAATAACGCGATGAAAGGTCCGTCTCCTCTCGGCTTGATCGTTAGCAACTTGACGCAAATGCACATGTATTTGTACACCAAGGTGGACTGAGGACGACCTCAAGTCGCAGGCAGGCAGGACTTGAGCTCACATCCAGCAAGAGGCAGTCGCGGCGTCGTCCCGCATTTTCCTCCGCCCAACATGGCGCCGTGCCACCACTGCGGCAGAGCGTTGTGTCTTCGGAGCCGACACCGGAGCGCTCGGAGTTGAATGGGAGACCCTCTCTGCTCCGAAATGCCCATCTCGGCACCGCGTGTTGGTCTCCTTCGCCAGTCTGGCTTTCGCCAGGAGGAATCCTGTGTGCGGGCACTGTGCGAACGTGTAATGCGTGCGGATGTGCACAGACAGCGTTACCACACTCGCACACACAGTGTTGGAGGAGCACGCGCGACTGTAGGTTGAGCAGGCTGGTCTGAAGGGCACTTCATCTGGCCGAAATTCTGGTGGCACCAAGTCCGCAAAAGCTCGAGCGTAGTTTACAGCGTCATGACACCAAGGCGTTGACGGCAGGGAAGCCGAAAAATATATTTACTGAAAATATACTTGTATTGTGTTTACTGGTTATTTATTCGCTAATGAAAATTATAGCCATCACGTTATTTATTTCATCATGTGCCCTTTTATCTTGCTGTTTGTAATCCCACAATGAAATTTTCAACAATATCATACAAAAATAATTCATTTCGCACTTTGAGATTTTTGCAGCAGGTATTAATTTTTCAAAATGTTAAAAATCGATTTAAATATAATTTTCGTCTTCCTTGGTTGACGGTCATTCGGGTGTATGGTAAGCTGACAGTCATGCATGGTAAGCTCAAACTTACACGCAGGTCCGCGTCCACAAAGCTCGCCAGCATGGCGAGCTTATCCTGCCATTTGGCGTTAGACTCCAAACGCATGCAAATTTTCACACTATGACGGTTGATTCGTTCGCTTTTCGTCGCATCAACCACCGCATCGTCAACGGAAGCCCCCCCCCCCCCCCGGCTAACCAGTTGCTGTTGCCCCACGAAGCTCAAAAGATCGTGAACGGGGGTGCAGTACGGTATCCGGATAGTCCTTTCAGTGCTTTGCTTGCCAGGTAAAGAGATCCTTGAGAAGACCGAAATGAGCACACCAGGCCGATGCTACTGTATGCAAATATGAGCCAGGAGAGCTCCACATGAATACTGGCGGTCATGGGAATTGTAAATCATGCAATAAATAGCAACCCAAAAAGGCAGTGGATATCGCGGGTCGTTTTTTTGGGTCCATTTCGAGCTGAGCAATGAACACTTCACGTGTTGAAGCCAGCAAAACACTTCGAAATCGTCACGCTTTTGTCTTGTTTTCAAGCACGATGCGCTAGTGACTGCGAGCACGGGATACAGGCGCCCATTATCCAGGAGAAAATCCGCCGCTTGCGTCTCACTCCTCGACCGCTGAAGTCATTGCGCTTGACGTCATTTTAACATTTGCATCGACCGCGACAAGCTCCACTCTGCGACCCATGGGGAGACTGTCCAAGGCTTTGGGTGTGGGCTCGAAAGGCAGCCTGCGTATCGAGCTCGACCGAGGCACCTACCATCCTGGAGACGTCATCACCGGCACCGTCTACCTGTCCGTCTCTGATGAGATCAAGAGCAAAGAACGTAGAGCAGCCAGCTATACATTCCTACTCTAAAGTTTCGTGGTCGCACTCACCAAGTGTCTTGTGCAACACGCAGCACTGGTGCTGGAGGTGAATGGCGAGGAGTACGTCAAGTACAACGAAGTCTACGGGGAAGCGGCCATACCACGCAAGCAAACCAACAAGCTAATGGCCGACCGCGTGACGTTGTGTGACGGCCGCGAGGCCTTCGCGCCTGGGGAGTACGTCTTCCCATTCACCTACCAGCTAGGCCCCGCACTTCCGGGGAGCTTTCACGTTGACCGTCGCCACGCGGGCGAGATTTGTGACATCGACGCGGCGGTGAAGTACGAGCTGAAGCTGCGCTTGCCGGTGAAGGGCGCGTTCAGTGCCGACCTCAAGGCGGAGCGCCCGCTGGTCATCAAGCCCGCGCAAACCGCGCAGCTTGTGCAACCTCGGACGGACGCCACTGCCCAATACGCCAAGCTGCTGGGTCTCATCCGCCAAGGCAACTGTGAAGTATCGGGCTCTCTGGAGCGCGACGTCTTCGTTGCTGGCGAGACGCTGCAGGTCCGAGCCTCGGTAGTCAACGGCTCGAGTATGGACGTCAAGGCGGTGTTGGTGCGTCTCGTAGAGGATCTTGTCATCCGAGCGAACAGCGACCACGGCGAGATCAAGGCGCAGACCTGCCTCGCCAAGAAGGAATTCCCGGGCGTGGCAGCTGGGGCCACGACCATCGACCAGGCGTACTCGCTTGACTTGGTCGGACGCTCCGAGAGGTATGCCGTTCTCCCTCCGATGGCCTCGAGTTTAGTCACGACGAGACACCACGTCGAAGTTCGCTGCAAGTTCCGCATGAGCCCGAACGTGCACATTGAGATCCCAGTGACGATCTTGGCCCCGACATTGACAGAGTCAGCGACAGAGTCAGCGGCAGAGCAAGCGGTGGACGCCAAGACGAAGGCTCTCTGACTGCCTTCGTTGTCGATGTGCACTAAGCTTCAACCTCTTATTGAATCGAACAACCCAAATACTACGTAGTAATAAATTTGTAGTCCTCCTTGAGAATTGTCAGCTTCACTTCTGAGAGCTAACTCTGCGGGGGGTCTTGGTCACTGCTGACTAGGAAATCTACTGGGGATTTGCCCACTTCAACTTTCTAGTTGGCTTCACAAACCTAGGATTCTCGCACCCATTTCGGCTCGACACTTCTGGCAGCTCAACATCATTCACGATTTTGCTCCGAAGATAATGGGAAAACTGGCGCAGGTCTTGGGCGTAGGCGTTAAGGGCCGCCTACGACTGGAACTCGAGCGCGACAAGTACCAAGCTGGTGATCTCGTTCAGGGAACAATTTTCCTTTCGGTCGAGGAAGAAATCCGTTGCAGCGGCGGTAGGTATTATTATCTGTAGTTCACAGTACGCAGTTTTCTTCTTATTGAACATTGAAAGTTATGTCGTGAATTCGATGCCGATAGATCTGATGTTGATCATCAGTGGGGTGGAGACCATCACATGGATCAGGCAGCACGGCGAAGGCAGAACGCGCCACTCCGACGAGAGTGCGATCTTACACGACGAGCTGGGGATTTCATGCCACCGAGAAGCTTTCCTTCCTGGAGAGTACGTGTTCCCATTCAGCTACCAGCTGCAGCCGACACTGCCAGGGAGTTTTCAACTGTCGAACCGAAGTGCCGGCCGCATGCGGAACATTCGAGCCCAAGTGAAGTACGAACTGAAGGCCAGTCAACCCGTCCAAGGCGCGTTCAGGGCCGACTTGGAGACCAAGCGAGAGCTTTTCATTGTTCCCGTCCCCACCGCTCGAATCGTTCGTCCCTTGGAGCGCTCCACGAGCACCGAAATCTGGATGATGACAATGTTCCGGAAGGGGAGCTGCCAGCTCTCGGCCTCGATGGATCGGGACGTGTACACGCCACGGGAGATGCTCACGGTGCGGTGCTCCGTGTTCAACCTCTCCAAAATGAACGTTCGCGCGCTGTCGCTGCGTCTGTACGAGGACCTCGTGCTGCACCACAAGCGAGGAGGCGATACGCGGACTTCAACCTGCCTGTGCGAGGGCGAGTTCTCGGGGGTCATGGCAGGCGAGTCCGCGGACAGGACGGTGTCCCTGCACCTGGTCGAGTGGCTAACGGGCTGTTCCATGCGTCCATCGACCTCTTCGCGCTTTGTCAGCTGGAGTTATCGCGTTGAAGTGCGCTCCACCTTCTTGATGAGCCCCAGCGTGAGCTTGGAGTTCCCCGTGACCATCGTCCACCAGAACAGCACGCTTGAGCCCGCGCGTGCAGCGGCTGCAGCAGGTGAAGATCAAATGCATGAGATGATGACAAAGCGGTCCATGGTATGAAGCGAAGAAGACAAAGCGGGTGGAGACAGTTGTAGTACTTTATAAAGGAGCTCCCAAAACTTGTTTGCATTGAGGTGGAGTGCATCAAATGAAGCTGCTTACAGCGCGCAACGGTTGTCCAACGGCGTGACCGCGAGGCCGTCGCGGTTGCCTCCAGCGCCCTCGAGACCGGCGGCACGCTTGCGAGCCTGGTAGATGACGCCAAAGGCCACCAAAGCCGCGCAGGCAGCTCCTGCAACACCGAACACAACGGTGTTCGAGGCGGCGCCGCCGTCACTCTGCGTGTTGGCCTGCTGCGTCTCGTCCTGCTGCTGGGCCGAGATCTGCTGCTGGGTTTGCTCGGACTGCTGCTGCTCGGTTTCACCCGCCTTCGACGTCGTCGTCTGGTCCTCCTCCTGTTGCTGCTGCTGTTCGTGTTGCTCCTGCTCGGTCTCCGAGGACTTGGGAGACTTCGTCGAGGCCAAGCTGCCGCCAACAACGCCAGCCTCGTCACCGCTCGAAGTCGAGTTCGAGCTGCTGCCAGCGATGCCAGCCTCGTCGCCGCTGTTCGAGACAGAGCCCGAAGTCGAGGCCGAGCCGATCTGGGCCTCGTTCGATCCCGAGGTGGTGTTGTGGTCAGCCGATCCCGAGTTCTGGTAGACGGCGGGCGTCTCCGTTGGCGCCGGCGTGGCTTCAGGAGTGGGCGCGGCAGTCGGGGCCTCCGTCGGCGGCAACGTGGGAGCTTCCGTCGAAGGAGGAAGCGTTGGCGCCTGCGTCTCCGGGGTCTGTTGCTGATACGTTGGGGCATCAGTGCTAGGCGTCTGCTGCTGGTAGGTTGGGGCGTCAGTGCTAGGCGTCTGTTGCTGGTACGTTGGGGCGTCAGTGCTGGGCGTTTGTTGTTGCTGCTGCTGCGCGGGGGCGTCAGTGCTCGGTGTCTGCTGCTGGTTGGTCGGCGCTTCAGTAAAGGGAACCTCCGTGGACGGAGTCTGTTGCTGCTGCTGCTTGTTCGTCTGGCCGACGGAGACCGACACCTGCACCGAGATGCCGAACTTGTCCTGCGCATCGGCCGTCACGACGCCGAAGGTCTTCTCGAACTCCTCGCTCCGGTAGGGCGTGTCGAACATCTGGAAGTAGAACTTCTCGCCCATGGAGCTGCTCCACTGCTGGTACGCGTTGTAGAACGTATCGGCGCCCTCGACGCTACCGAAGTTGCCCATGAGCGAGCCGCTCGAGGGCCAGCCGGTCTCGGTCAGAATGAGCTTGCTGCCGAAGGTGGCCACCATGGTCTGCCACTGGTTGTTGAGCACCTGGATGGCGTTGTCGGCGACCGTGTTGGGGCTGAAGAACGGGTGCGCGTTCACGCCGAGCAGGTCGCAGGCCGAGACGAGCTCCGACCAGCCCGAGACGGACTGGTAGTTGATCACCTCCGTGTTGCGCTGCACCGTGCCGACCAGCACGCCGCTGGGCACCTGCGACTTGATCTGCTGGATGACGCTGATCATGTCGCCCGGGACGCTCGAGGCACCCGCAAGGTTCTCGTTGCCCACCATGATGGCATAGACGCCGCCGGCCTGCGCGGCCTTGATGGCGGCGGCCATCTGCTCCTGGTAGTCGCTCTGCGGGTACGGCACGCCCAGCATGGCCTTGAGGCCGGCCGCAGCGATGATCGGGCCCAGTTCCGTGTTGCCGAACTTGGAGATGAAGGTGCGCACGCTGTCGAAGCCGTGGCCAGCGATAGTCTGCATGTCGGCCTGCACCGACGACGCGCTCATGCCCGTGCCGTGATTGGGGTCGTAGCACACACCGTTGGCGTCCACCTGCGAGGAGAGGAAGGCGACGGTGCCCACGACGAGCGGCACGAAGAACTTCATGGCGGTGGAGGTGGTGTCTGGTACTTCTCTCTCGTGTCGGGGCGGGGGCCGAGAGTGAAAGTGGAAGTGAGCCCAGAGAGCATGCCTACCTCCTGCCTGCCCTGCCCCGATCCGTGCGAACACCAAACGGATCGGAGCTGTGCGTAAGATGTGCGAAGTTAATTGCGAATGGGCAAATAGACCAGGCGAGCGTTCGGTTGTGGGATGTCACGGGCTCGCTCGACGTTGCTGCGGGCTTCTGGCAGGAGCTCAGCAGAGCACATTGCTCGGTGGAGTGGAGAGCGCGATGGGGGTCCCATGGAAGAAGCTAGGGTAGCGAGAGCGAGGGGGTCGATCCGTGTCGCCGTGTTCGTTGCCTGTAATCGCCACTAGGGGCCTGAACTGAATCATCGGTCATGTCACCAGACAAGTGACAACTTTCGATGTCGAGTCGTAACGCTACAACGTGATGAAGGAGACCACCAGGATACATGTAGCGTCGTTGACTCTGTCAGCTGGCCGATACTCGTGCCTTCTCCCTGAAGTCGTAGCCAGCGGGACATGAAGAACCACGAGTGATATCCCTGCTCGCAATGGCAGATGCACTTCCCAACACTGTTCTTCAGGTTAGTCGGACAGATCTCTGTGTTTGTTCGCATTTTTCCTTTCGAGCAAGAACACTGGAAAGGCGATGTGCTCTCTGTAGTGGTCCAGCTCTCGTTGAAGTCGAGCGTCACACCTCGAGTTGATCACGCCGCCATGCCGCTGCCTTTCCTCCTCTCCTCTCCAAAATCATCAACGGGAAACCTCTGCAGAGATGCTGTTGCTACAGTGTTGCACCATTTCACGCCGGCAATGCTTTCCTATTACATGTATTTGCCTTCCACCACAGACTGCTGCTTTTGTTGGTATTTGCGTCCTCGATTTCAGTGCGATTGAGGTTTTGTCGAGGTTTAGACGATCAGATTCGTAGGACGGAAGTTGGGTGCCCATTATAGTATCGCCTTGGTACAAATTCAAAGTGTCGTTATGCAAGCCACAGTTCGACTGCGATTGCGATGGCGTACACCCACACCGTGCTGCGCAATGCGAGGAGCGGTAATGTGAAGTGGACCCTGCGAGTGGCGCTGGACCGTGATACCTATCATGCGGGAGATATTCTCCAAGCCAACGTGTTCTTGTGTGTTGTCGAGCCTGTACACTGCAACGGTAAGAGGAAAACTCGTCTGAAAGCCCACCGCTGCAGAGCTCACCCAGTTGCTGTCTTCACTGTCCAGGCATCATTGGGTTTATACGCGGCGAGGAGAAAATCACGTGGGCGGAGAAGTCCACACGCCGCGCAGTGGGTGGCGAAGTCTACAGCCAGCAGAACGAGTTCTTGAACGATAAGGTATTATACGCGCAGTCAATGCGTCCACGCTGGAACGTACGAGTTTTTCTGACTGTTGTCCTCGGTATCGCAGATGATAGTGGCCAACCCCAGGATGTACGGTCCGGGCGAGTACATTTTCCCGGTCGTCTACCAACTCCACAGCACGCTGCCGGCCACCTTCCAGCTGAACTACCCACGCCCCGTTGGCATCATGAACGGCGTCCACGCTCAGCTCGGATACGTCTTCCACGTGTACTTGAACGCCAATCAGGGGGTCGTGGTTGAGGCACAGCAGGAGATCATTCTTCAGGAGGCGGTTCTGCCCGCCAGACCGCTCCTGGGCCTTGAAGTGGCACCTGCTCCAGCTCTCGTGCATGCAGCGCAGCCAGGCGTATCGCCGCAGGGTAATGATCCTTTTATCTCGGCCTCGCTGGAAAAGCCAGCCTTCCGTGCAGCTGAAACGGTACGGGTGCGGTGCCGCGTGAACTCCCGATCCGGCGGTGGTGGCGAGTCCTTTGCCGCGTTTCTGAGGCTTTATGAGGACATTAACATCACGGTGGCGCCGTCCAAGCGCAGCGAGGGCAGTCGGCTGCTGTGCGAGCGGCGATTCCAGGTCAAGGCGGGCGCGGCGCCTTTCGAACTCGCGATGGAGCTCGCGGTCGGGCCGGAGGGGGCGCCGTCGCTCGAGCGCACGTTCAGCTCTAGTTTCGTCGAGCGCAGACATCGCCTGGCCGTGGAGTGCATTCCGCCCGGCAGCAACAGCGCCGTCAAGTCCGAATTGGGGCTCGTCATCCTGTAGACGAGCGCGCACGAGTGGCTTCAGTGGCGAGCGTCGAAAACGACGATCTCTCGCTCGAAGGGTTCAACGTAGCGCAACGTCAGGAGCTAGCCGGTGGAGTTGATGCGACGGAGGTAACGTCACGAGGCAGGCTCGCAGGTTTGTCCTGCAAGCGAAGGCAAGGGCTCGTGGAGCACTGCACGACGACGCCAAGCAGCTCTGGGCCAGAGTCTGCTGGTGTTCAACTTCAGAAGTAGCGATCTCGGCGCATTTTTTGCAGCAGCCTCTTTTTGTGCTTGAGCTTCAATTTGGATAGCGCGCCCGCTGAGACTGTAACGATAACAACAACTGTCGCCCCCGACTTAAGAGTCACTGAATTCACGTATAAGGCTGGATGATTTACAGACGGGCACGATAGCTCTACTGATTTTCTGACCATTTTTCTGACCTGCATCAAAACTGTCTTGATTTCAGTATGGAGTTTCCTTGAAGTGGGCCACGCAGAAATCGCAGTTTAGCAGCTTTCGGCTGGAGAGCATGACGACACGCTTCGAATGAAAACCATTGTGCGAGTCGCAGCTCACGCTATCGCCATTAGCTTTGGCCGGCTGGGCGAGTCGCAGCTCACTCTAGTGGACTGCTACAGTAGGTAGCGGCGCATCTCGACGAAAAATAGGAAAAAAAGTCATGATCGGCGCAGTTGTGCAAATCTGCCGGCTGCATTTAGCTGCTTGTGTTGGTGGTGCTGTTCCTTTCGGTGGGCTCTGTCTTTACGATTCTGGAAGACGAGTTGCCGACGAGCTGTTGCCAGCAGGAGGCGAAGCTGTGTCCGCTGCAGGCCTCATCACGCCAGGCTCCACAAGCTCCGCACCGGCGGACGCGCGAGACTTGCTTGCTCATTGAAGCTCGCCAACCGTGGCTATGTACAGAAAAATGTTCAGGGAAGTTCCCACCCTGCGTCCTGGCTTCCCATTGGTCGAACCAGCGGCAGAGTGCCTTCAAGCTGCCGTGCAGCTACACGGTCTCTCACTCGACAATTTGCCCAGCAGCAGCGCACCACAACACGCTCAACCTCTACAGACTTGATACTCGACAGCTGAAGCATGGGCAAGATGGCAAAAGCTCTCGGACTCGGCGTGAAGGGCAGCCTCAACGTGGCGCTCGACCGCTCGCACTACCTCGCCGGCGACGTGCTGCACGGCAGCGTCGTGCTTAGCGTCACCGAGCCGCTCGACTTCACCTGTGAGTGGCATTTTGATCTTAACCGCCAGCTAGCAGTATTCTAACGCTAGTTCCCTGCAATCTGCAGCGCTGGTGCTGCGCATCCGCGGCAAGGAGCTGCTCACGTGGACTGAGGGCGGCGGCCAAGCTGCAGCCGTGTACCTGCGGGAACACCTGCATCTGGACGAAGAGGTGAGCACTGCACTACGCTGGAGTTAAGAGGCGAGAGTGCCTAACTGTTTCCTCCCCGATATTATTATTATTATTGCTACCAGATCGTGCTCAGCGCCGACCAGCAGTCGTGCCAGCCCGGCGAGTACGTTTACCCGATCTGCGTCCAACTGGCCGACACGCTGCCCAACTCGTTCCACATCTCGGGGCGCGACGCCGGCGTCATGTGCCGCATCGACGCGTCGCTGAGCTACTCGGCCACCGCCGTCATGACGGTCAAGGGCAAGTTCTCGGCCGACATGGAGGCCAAGAAGCCCTTCGTGGTGCAGCAGCCGCCGATCGGTCAGCCCGTCCGCTCGTTGGAGAAGTCGGCGTCGGCCGAGGTTCACATGCTGCGGCTCATGAAGAAGGGCACGTGCTCCGTGTCCGCGCAGCTGCCCAGCAACGTCCACGTCGCGGGGGACACGCTGCTGGCGCAGACGACTGTCCGCAACGACACCTCGAAGGACATGAACAAACTGTCCATGATGCTCTATGAGGACGTGACGGTGGACTTGGGCACGTCCAACCAGAAGTCGGAAGGGTCCATGTGCGTCAGCCGACAGGACTTCCCCGGTGTCCAGGCCGGCAAGACGCTCGAACAGGTGCTGGACTTGCCGCTCGTGACCAAAACGTCCCCCTCGCGGCCGGTGTCGGCGGCGATCGAGTCGCACTTCTTGTCCACCAAGTACCGCCTGGTCATCAAGTGCCAATTCCGACTCTGTCGCAGCGTCTCCGTGGACTTCCCGGTGGAAATCTTGCGGAAGCTGGTGCTGCAGTCTTCCTACGCGCCGACGGCCGCTGTCATGCCGGCAGTCGCTACTACGGTCGCGGCAGCTGCTGCGTCGCCGTCCGATGTGGACGTGGAGGTGATGCAGGCGGTGGCTGTCGCTGCTGCGCCCAGGAGAAAGTCGGCGAGTGACGGAAGGAGCTCGAGGAGTTCGCGGAGCTCCATGAACTCGGTCCGGTCGCCCACGAGCCTTGACTAGATCGTTCGTTGTGGTGGCGTATCTGCTCGATGGAAGGAATCATTATATATTAGGGACGAGGCGAGGTGCCAACGTGGAGCACCGAGCCCAACTGGCAATGGCGCGATGTAGTGTAGCAGTAAACCGGTGGGTAATGCAGCCGCGCGCGAAGGCGTGGCTTTTGAACTGCAACGATCGCAGAGCGACGCTCAGCTTTGCCACGCGCGAGTTGCGTTCATCTTCAGTGAAATGGCAACGCGTTGCATTAGTATTTCGACACTAGCGGTGTTCGACATCAGGCCTTCATGTGAGGTTATCGCTGGAAGGCTCGAATTCTTCGACACCTCGAGTCATGGTGCTCTGGTTGAATAGCTGACGCAGGATCGTCCTGATCGTCGTCGGCCCCCACTTCAACCACGCTCAAGGAGAGCGACAAGCGGCAGATAAAAGCGCGCGGGCGCCTTCCAGGCGGTCTTCTCCATTGGAGTCCAAACTTTGGACTCCAAAGCACCTCTTTCCTAGGCAAACAGGCCGAGGGAAGCCCCTCATCTCCAGCTTTGCCTCGCGCGTCTCTAGCACGAGCGCGCTTCAGTTCCAGCCAACGAGCGGGGGCTGCGTACACTCGCGGGCGATGAGCTCCGCTTGACTGGCCAGCAGGAGCGACTTGCGCGCGAGATCCGCGCCACTACAGTGCGCGACATGGGGGCGATTGCAGGTCACAACTGAAAGTGCCTCGCGTCGCGTGGAGCAGAAGACAATGGGGAAGGTGGCCAAGCGTCTGGGCATCGGCGTCAAGGGCAGCGTCCGCGTGAAGCTGCACCGCGAGAGCTACGCCGCGGGCGACGTCGTGCAAGGCCAACTGGTGCTGCGTGTGACTCGGCCCATGGAGTGCGGAGGTGAGTGAGTTCGTCCTTGCAGTCCACCATCGCGTCGATCCACGAAGAGCTCACCTTGGGTCGTGGTGCATTTCTGCCGCAGCGTTCTCAATGCACGTGCTGGGCGCGGAGACCATCACGTGGTCGGAAGGCGCCAACCACGCGCTCTCAAGCTGCAACATGCGCGGCGCGTTCCTGAGCGACCGGATCCAACTCGTGGAGTCCATGCCCAGCGCCTTTGAGCCCGGCGAATACAGGTTCCGCTTCCGCTACCACTTGGACGACGCCCTGCCGCCCGTGTTCCGGGTAGCGGAGGGCTTCGCCGGGGCCATGCGCGAGGTGAACGCCAGCGTCGCGTACACGATCAAGGCGCGTTTGAGCGTGCTGGGCAAACTGGCGGCAGACCTCGAGACCTCGCTCGACCTTGCAGTGCACCGACCGTCGCTGTGTCACCCCGTGCGCTCGCTGCAGCAATCGTCGTCGGACGAGGTGCGCTTGCTGAGCCTGATGAAGTCCAGAGGCGCCTGCGAAGTCTCGGCGTGCTTGGACAGCGACGTCCACATCTCCGGCTCGACGCTGTCGGTGCAGGCGCGCATCAGCAACTACTCGACGCGAGATATGCAGACCATCTCGGTGCTGCTCTACGAGGACTTGACTGTCCAGCTGCCCAACCGCCGACCGAGCACGGGCACGCGCGTCGTGTGCACACAAGATTTCCCCGGCGTGGCTGCGGGTCAGCTGCTGGACGAGATGCTGTACTTGCCGCTTATTGACGATGTGAGCGGCCGGCCCGTGGCCCCCACCAACAGCGCCGCGTTCGTGCGATGGCAGTACCGACTCGAGGTCAAGTGTCGCTTCATGCTCAGCAAGAGCGTCAAGGTGGAGATGCCGGTGATTATTCTCCGCGACGTTGGGCCGGCTTTGGTGGATGGAACTGCAGCAGCCTCGCCTGCGGTGGTGGTGGTTGTTCCTGATGAACTGGAAGGCGGCGAGCATCAGGTGGAGAGTATGCCTTGGAGCCCAGGTCAGATCGTCGGCGAAGGTGAACCGGGCGAATATATTGTGGCTCGCCCAATCTTCACACTTCCGCAGGCCGTGGCTGCTGTGTGACCGAGCCAGTGAGAAGCACAATGTGCCTCAATATTTATCATTTACATGGCGGAGGAGCACAGCGCGGGGCTATTGGTTGTGGAAGCCAGCCTCCAGCGTGCAGCATCCCCGGTCTCGCACAGCCTGAAATGTAGGCAAGGACACCACTTGGCAGCTTTTGGAGTTCCGCGACAAGATGAGTTTGCAGCCCCCAGCTTTGGATTAGCTCGTACATGTACGTTCTTGGATTGGTGCTCCTGAACTCCGCTAAACACTTCTGCGACGCTAGGCCTCGCTTATAGCGTGGCGCTTGATCCCAAAGTCCTGCAACGATGATCGGAGCAATATTGCAAGATATTTCGTTCGTACGAACAACAGTATGCCTTGCGTCATGCATTTCAGCCCTTGTTGAATGCTATCGTTTGGAGAAGTGATCGATGAGAGAGTTGCCCGGTTGGACCTCGTTTGCGGAACTGATTCACGGCGCGAATTTCACGCTGTCACTTGCACTTCTAACTAACGGCCTGGGGCTGGCTGTCCTATCAAATTGTTTTCCACTTTACACGCGCTGCTCCAGACGTGGTGTTGCCGTGTTTTTCTCGCTAGGTGGCTCGAAACCGCGGCCCAAACACGGTCATCTCCCACCGCAGCGCCAGTTGAATGCACTCGACCATCCAGAAGTAGGAGCTCTGCCGGAGCGCCGGGGTTACCCCGCCAATCGTCACTTCACAATCTGGACCACGCTGCTGGAAGTGAATCCTGTGTATTCACAGCAACAAACACACACGTTAGCTCCTCATCCATGGATATCACCTATACGAACTGTGAAATCAACCAACCGTACCAGGTCAGTGTTTCCAGCCAGATCTCGCTTCTGCGGTCCGATGACGCCGCCCGAAGGACGTCCTGGACCTCGACACTCCCGCGCCGCAATCCACGAGTGATGATGAGGTAGCCACTCTCAGTGGAGACCCGGGTCACCAGAGCCATAGTGCTCACGGAGGGAAGGTCCGTCTTCTCGGACAAGACGCGAGACGCAGCGTGGTCGTAGCAGAAGAGAGCGTTGTCGTCGTCCACGCGCTGCACGAGGCGGCACCTGACGTCCATGATCGGGGCGAAGAGCTTCTGGGTCCGGAACGGGTCCATGAAGAGCTCCCAGGTCTGGTTGAAGACGAATCGCGCGGACTTGCCTCGTATTAGTTTCGACTTCACGTTGTGGAAGTCGGACCGCTCGGTCAGGCGCGTCTCGTTCCAGCCGCAGATCTCGCGACTACGGTTGACGTTCTTGGCCACGCCGTAGCACGGTATGATCACGTTCAGGGACCGCCTCAACTCCCGCTGGCAGTCAGGGGGCGTGAGCGGCTTGAGCACGAGGAAGTAGGACGAGTTGGCGAGGTACAGCTTGTGCTCGTTATTGAGCATCTGCTGGAGGCTGGTAGCGAAGGCTGTGGCCCGATGGAACTGCTTGCGGAGCTGGGCGTTCTCCACCAGCAGCTCGTTCTTCTGCCGCGCGATCTGCACGAGCTGCTGCTCCTTCTCCGACAGCGACGAGCTCGAGGATACTTGTTGAACTTGAAGTGTTCCGCCGCCACCGTTCTCGTACTCCGTGAGCATCTTGGTGAGCTGCTCCACTTCAGCCCGGAGCTTGGGGATCCTCTCCTGCATCAACAACGGTCAAGCACCATGGAGGTCAGTCACAGACGTATACTACATGTATTGCTCGTCATGTATCATCGAGGATGCCGTTACTAGCCTTTTTCCTAAGGTACTTGTTCCGGTCCTTGAGGCGGGAGGCCTCGCGCCGCCGCTGCTCTTTCGACTGGTGAGGTGCAGTATCAGCAGGGCCGCTTGCTGCGGGCGTTCCAACAGTATTATTGCCTTCCCCGTCGTCGAGCAACTCGATCTGACTTTGTTCGTTTGCATGGCTGTTGCTCTCGTCCACCAGCAGTTGGTCGCAGTCGGCCGGGAACGTGTCCACGAAGGCCAGGAAGTCGCGCAGCACGGGGTCGTCGCCGCTGGACTGGGCGCTCTGCTGGCCCGCAGCAGCCAGCGGCTCGAGCTCGGGCTCCGTTGCGCGGCCCAGCTGCATGACTGCCGAGTCGAAAGCGAAAGCGAAAGTGACGACTGGGTTCACGCTGAGATGAGCGATCGTCAGAAGGGGTTGGATCATAGTGAAAAGAAGAGGTCGCCAAGTTGAACTCGCCTGAACTCTAGGACTAGAAAGTAGAGTGAGCGAGGCGAATGTGCGCGCACAGTACTCGCAGGGTGCAGGTCAGCAAGAACTCAGCGCGAAGCCTCGTACTGTTTGGTCGCCGCATCCCCTCGATCTTTTCGTTGGCCAAGTTGTGAGTCCAAGTCGCTTGGCCCAAGCCTTGGGCTGCCGGCTGCTGGGATCAGCTTCTTCAGCGATATCACATTTTCCATAGGCAGCGTGTGGTGATTGTGGAGCACGGCTTGTTTACCGGGTACCTGCAATACTGCTGCAGCTGCATGCACGCATGGAGGGTATCTCATTTGGCGAGCACGCGGCGTGTAGTCATCAGCGTGTGCCACACGCTGGTGACTACTGGCACGGTCAGTTTGACAGCAGGCGTCCGTGGATGAAGCAACGAAGGCGAGTCTTGCTTAGCGTCACGTCGCGCAGCCAGAGAGAGCGCGAGTGTTGGACGAGAGCTAATATGTCGGCACACGCGAGGATATCGAGCAACACGTTCACAGCGCCAAGAACACGGGGGCGCGATTCGTGCTGCATTTCACATAGGTGGTTTATCCAGATCGGGCCAGGCTGCAGCATGAACGCAGTGCCTGCTGCCAGGATACCGATCTGACCCGAGTGGTAGAACTCCCTGTCGACTAGATAATTGCTCGAGACGCGCGCCTCAAAGGCTAGGTTCATAGGGTGGAGGAGATTTGTTCGCTGTGCGCGCAGGAAATGCGGAGTGCAGCTCGGCAGTACTGAGCACGACGGAGGGAGACCATTCTCCATTTTGCACAGCGCCACGAACCAATCTCCCTCCTCCTTCTCCTCTTTTCAAGATGCAGACCTTCACGCCCGCCGTCTTCGTCGTCGGCCTCCTCGCTCATCTCTCCCCCGCCACGACCAATGCCGCCGTCTGCAACTCGACCGAGCTCGCCGAGGCGCTGCAGCCGCTGTACACCAACGCGAACTACTCCGCGTGCTCGTCGGACGTCGGCGTGGCGCTTCCCTTCGCGGCCCCACCGACGACGGCACAGCTCGCTGCGATGTGCTCCAGCGCCGCCTGCCAGGCGCTGACCCCCGTCGTCGTCGCGCTGGACTTGCCGGACTGCGAGGCCATCGTCAACGGCGTCGCGTACAACGTGCTGCTGGTGCGCGCCCGCCGCCTGCAGCAGTGCTCGTCCGCGAGTCTCTCGTCGAGCATCATCGCGAGCGTGGCCTCCAGCCAGACCGGCGCCTAGACGAGAAGATCGTCACTTCAACTTGCGTGCTTAATAATTCAACATGAATGTTGCGTTTCGTACTGTGAAATTTGCGTTAAGATGAGCTCTTTCTCGAGTGCACGTCAGGATTTGCAGCGAGTACGCGAAAAAGCTCGCAGGAGTTCAGCGCCCCGTACTTCACATGTCGGCAATGCAGGACAGCGCCGCCACGGCGGCCGCCAAGCTCTCGGAGCGCAAGCGCCTCAAGCACCGCGAGTACGTGAAAAAGTCCTACAAGAAGAAGCTCGTACGTGCGTGCGTCTCCATTTGTTTTCCGATGCCCGTCATTCCTGCTGACCGAGTGAGAGTTCGTTCATGGCGCTGCAGACGACGCTGGAGAACCTGCGACGCGAGCTGGAGACGCTGGACAAGCAGTACGCGGCCTTGTTGTTGTCCGAGAGCGGCAACGCCCAGCAGAACGACGAGAACACCGCCTCCGCCGCCAACGCTAACGCCAGTTCCAGCTCCGTTGCCGCTCAGACGCCGACCATGCAGAAGTACTTGCAAGCCACGGAGCTCAAGACATGGTACCAGCACGAGAATGACCGGCTGTACCAGCTCAACGCCTACCACATGAAGCTCGAGAGCCGCATGGGCCAGTTGCTGGACGCCTCCGAGGCTGCCAAAGTGCCGCTGCCGGGTGTGTCCTCCTCGCGCCGGTTCCACATTCGCCCGCTGCCGACCGCGGCGTACGCGAAAGTGATCGACGACGCCACAAGCGACGTGCTGCGCTTCGCGCGCAGCCCGGCGAAGCTCAGTACCGGGGCCCGAGTGTTCGGCTGGACCGACCAGCGCGAGGTCCAGGGACGCACGCTCAAGTTCGCGCTGCAGAAGGAGTTCGCCCTCGCGCCGCGCGACCTCCTGCAGCGAAGCTGGTCAATCTTCTCCGACACTCAGGAGTTCCCCAAGATCTACGGCTCGGCGCTGGACGTGCAGTTTCACTTTCTGCAGCACGTCGACGCCGACACGATCCTGTTTTACAGACGCATAGCACACCCGGCAGATAGCTCCCGGGCAGTTAAAACGGTCTTCTTGCTCGCGAGACGGCAAATTGCAGAGGGGTATCTTCTACTCTTTCGGTCTATTGACAAGGACCTCGTGCACTTCGAAGAGGTGGATGTCGGCGGCGAGCCGGAAGTCCGCGTGGATCCGGACGCGACGCTCGAAGTGTTGTCGACCGAGACGTGGGTCGATAAGTACATTTGGGTGCTGTTCTACAACGTACCAGACCAGCCCAAGAAGTGCTTGTTCCACTTCGGCGGCGCCACCACCACCACACTCTGGCTGCGCGAGGTGTTGTTCGTCGCTGTGCGATGGGAGAGCATGGCTGTGGGCTCGCAGTTCACGCTCACAGCCGAGTGATTCAAAATTGTGGATGGCAGGAAGGTAGGTAAAGCAGATTAAATATTGACTGTTTGTGTGTTTCCTAGGGGTCCGAAGAGTGCCTCTTACCGACCTACCTCGCTCGAGCTAGTGATGTTCAGCCCTGCAAGGTAATGAGGGGAGCCACCGCGCGGCTCTCCCAGCGAAGTGCCATCAGCAGCACCTCCATCATCCAAAACTTGGCGTTGTCAGCTGAAAAGTGCTTCATCTCGCCGCCGAATTGAAACTCCACCCCGGAGCCGTCGCTGCGGTTCTCGAACGACGTCCACGCAAACATATCCAGCCAGACAACGCGCGGTTCAGGTGGCCTGGAGTCGAGCGTGTCCACCCTAGATTTATCCTCCGTTTTGGGGAGGTTAGCCCCAGTGAAGCCGAGCTTTTCGTGGTCCAGGGCGCGGTAGATTGTCATATAACCCTCTGCAGTCTGGAAGCGAGACGACAGGAACAGCGTCCTCATGACAGTATTTTGATCCGGACGCTGCAGTTCTCGACATAACACGCGGTTGTCTTCGTTCACCGTTTGGATGTCATGGAGATTGGACGTCATCCCGCGCGAGTGCAGCGCCTTGTACGAGCTTTCCGTTGTCATAATGGCCCAGCCACGATCCGACATCTCTTGAGCGTCCATTCCCGAGAAGAACTTACAAATCGAGTACTGCAGGTTCTCTCCTTCCAGACGATAGCGATGCGTCCAGCCCAGAACCTGCTGCTTGGACGTGTAGAGCTCTCGACTCGACCGGAAGTTGCACACGTTCGCGTACGCGACTCGGATCACTTCGAAGCACGCGTCGGCTGTCACCGGCTTCATCTCCACTGCTCTACTCTGCTTCTCGCTCGAGGCGTCCGAGTCCGACTCGGGCTCCTTCGACGGCTCCTCTCGACCGAGCTGCCGGTCCCGGCGTCGCTCGCGCTCCTCCGCGGCGCTAGCAGCCGCCAGCTTCTTCTGGAACATCACGTGCTCGTTGTGGATGCGCCGCAGCGTCGTATTTTCCTTCGCCTGCCGCTCTTTCTCGCTCGTGGCTTGCACGTACTTGTTGTACGCTAGCTGCACAGACGCAGTCGGGCCGCCCACCGTCACGACTGCGGGTCGAGACTGCACGTATCGCAGCAGCGCCGAGTGGTGCGACGCCAGCGCCTGTTCCTGCTGCCGCAGCTCCTTCAGCACTTCCTACAACACACGGAGCAACGGGGAATTAGCACACGAAACTCCCAAGAGAGGGAGGGAGGGCGAGGATGGTACAGCACCAGCTTCTGGTAGTACGAGCGCTTGACGAGCTCGCGCTGCTTGCGTTTGCGCGCGGCCTCGACCGCCTCCGAGGCGGACGTCGGGGAGGAAGACGCGCTCGCGGCCATTTTGGACTGAGGGGCTCGCGCTGGGGCGGCGCTCCGTCGCGTCGAGCGTGACGCCATGCAGAACTGCGTCACTGTGCCAATTGCTCCTTCAGGTTCGGCGCGTGTGGGACTGAACCGCGACCATAGAAATCTCAAGTTATCATTGGGTGTCCGACTGAAAGTGACCTACAGGGCCTCTAATGTTTCCATAAAGGGACACTATAAACGGACCGCATTGGACCTGAAGCAGGTCAAAGCGCTGCCAACAAAGGAATCGTGGACCTGAGCATGAGAGGACGATCTTCACATACAACGGAGTATATGTGTGTTGATATGCGTTGGGACAGATAGTCGGCGTGTAGCCATCGTGTGTGCCGTTGTTCCAGAGTGAATGTCATGAGTGTTGTGCTTCAACTTGAAGTTCGTCTCAGAAATAGCTCGCGCGCGTGATCCCTGCGCTGATGTGAAAACCACCAACCACATAACAATTCGGCGCTTCAGAAATGAGTCGCAGCTACATGTGCCAGGTCAGATGGAATGGATTGAGTCGCCTGACCCGGTCGGTGGCTGGTTGGCAGCCTGCTTGCAAGGATCATTTGGCACCGAGACACGCGGGCAGGAAGGGTATTCCTCCCGACACTTTAACAGCGTTAGATTCGGCGCCGGAATCTTGCCATTCGCCACGCGAGTCGTGAAACTGTAGTAAGCCGGACAACCCACGATTTATTTCGATGTGGCGGTGCGAGCTGCTTTGTGCAGACACCGATCGATAAGTACAGGACCTGGCGCGACTAACGGAATGTTGCTGCCCACGCGACTCATTTGTTGCCAAGACACGCCATCACTCGCTTCAAGACGGCAGACACATCTTGTTATGGACTGCAAAACGCCATCATACAAGACTCCAAGCGACAGCGAACGTATCAGCTCCAAACAATCAACCGACCGACCGGCCACGGCTCGGTTCGGTGGGGACCGCTACAAGCGCTTCGCGAAGCCATCGCTTGTCGGAAGCAGCAGCAACCTTTGTCACGACAAGTATCATTTGGACCCAATGCACACAGAACACGATACCTGCCATGCTACTTCGGTGGGGACGGACGGGTCTTGCGCAGCCATCCCAGTCGCCTACCTCGGTCGCTTACCCCCTAACTCACAAGACCCCCTGCCTTGAACGTTAAACATGCATGTATACTCAGGCAGCAGTAGCAGCAGAACCGCAAATTTAAACCGCTGGTATCTAGGATGGCGACTGCGACGACTAGTCCGACGAGTGCAACGCGTATATGTAGCTCGCGACTGCTTCAACGCTTCCACGCCAGTTCCAGAGGAGACGATTCGGTAAAGTGAATGCGGATATCAGGGGCGCCGAGGCCAGAGCCCGCACTGCAAGTCTGCGCTCGTGCGCGCCAGAGAGACCGACGTCGCTGGCTACCGCTAAGCACGCAGAAGCCGCCATGGCCCGCGTGGCGCTTGGCCACTCTGTCGTCGCCGCGGCAGTAACGCGGGGCTGTCCTGTGCGCTTTCGATAAACGAATGCCTAGCGCGGCGCGTTTTTTGCGGGTCGTGCGGTCGAGGCGAGCCGAGGAGCGCCGTGAGCGTCTTGTTGCTCGAAAAAGAGCGATCGGGGAAGGCCCCAGGCCTATCGCATCCTGTTCGGCGGCGTGCGTCAGCGGGCCCGATTTGAAAGTGCAACGCGCGCGAGCGCCGCTGGACGCAACGTGGGCCCTTTTGCTCGAGCATCGGCTCGAGCGGCACACAAACGATGCGTTCGAGCTTGGTGCCCGCCGGAGAGTGCGCTCGCGCCACGAAAGCGGAGTCCCACCCGAATAAGAAGGGAGGGCAACTACTCGTCAGCACAGTAGCGCAAGCAAGCACTCACCGCTCGGGGCGTTGAAGTGCGAGTTACGGCCGGCGCGTGCGTGGCGTGCGCTATGCATCGCATGCTCTTTGCTGCTGCTGATCGCGGACAGGCGCAGTGGCTTCGGTGGTGTCGCGGGTGCAATAGCCTCGCTGGCGGATGTCCGTCCGCTTGGACGCACACCGAAGCCGCCACGCCGTGCTGCAGCTCCTCGGCGAGCGGAGTCCGCCATGGCGCTGGACCAAACGCGCGCATTGACGCCAAAGTACTCAGCGCTGACAGCCACCACCGCCGACGACGCGCCTTCTTCGGAGACTTTGGGGCGAGCGAGAGCGAGTCGCGCATCGGCCTCGTTGCAGGTTGAACCGGACTACGTGCCACTCTTTGGACTCGAGCGGCGCAGAAACTGGGCGCTATCTTATTCCTCGCACTTAAGCGGGCCGCGCGCCAGCGTCTTAACTTTCGATCCCGCCGCACCCTTCCGAACCCGAAGGTGGTGAAAATGCTCCGCGCTGCCTCTTCTCGAGGCGGGCGCGATGCGTGATCCGGGCGCTGCTTGATCTCGAGCTCGAGCTCGAGCGGAGAGAAAGCGAGAAAGTCATTCTCGGATTCGCTCGCTACGACAACAAGCGCCTTCCTCCCGCCGCCCGCTTCAACCTGCCCCTTCACACGACCGGTTCCTCCCCCCACCAGCAACCATTACGACCGCCGTCGCGCCCACCGCCTTCTCCGTGCCTGCCATGCCGCCCTCGGTGCAGCCGCTCTCCATCTCGCTCGACTTCTTCGACATGGACGACATGGGCGTCGAGCAGCACACGCCGCTGTCCTCCACGGCCTCGTCCTCGCCCTCCTGCTCCGAGCTGAGCAAGCCCAGCCCCGCCCGAAAGCTCAAGAAGCGCAGCAGCGGCGCCAAGGTGACCCCGACCAAGCGCCTCTCCAACGAGGAGAAGCAGGCCAAGAACCGCCTCTTCGTCAAGCGCTGCTACTACAAGAAGCGCGAGGCGCTCAAGAGCCTGCGCGAGGAGGTGGCGCAGCTCGAGGGCGAGTTCGCCGCCGTGCTGGCGCGCTGGCAGCAGCGCAACGAGCACTCCGCCGAGGCCTTTCGCGACGGCCAGCGCCGCATCTCGCCGCAGGACCTGTACGCAGAGCTCACGGTCGTGCGCAGCTCGCTCGTGGAGGAGCAGCAGCGGCTGAACCTGCGGCTCGCCGACCGCCACCTCTTCCGTCAGCGGCTGCAGCAGCTCTACGAGCCCACGCGCTGAGCGCCTCCGAGCGCGCCACAAACCCCATCGTGTTTGTATCAAGCGCCGCTTCACCGCGGCCATGTCGTGTCGTCCCGCAGTGAGCCAGCCGCACCGCGCCGTGCCGTGTCCTGCTTAGTCGTCCCCATCCGCCAACGCTTCTCGTCGCAGCAGCCGCCGCGACGGATCCCAGTATTTAAAGCCGAGAGAGCTGTAGGGCGCCCGCACCACCGATGCGTGGGCGGGTTACAGTAAATCAAATTCAGTCGACTTGCACTTTACTCTCTTGCATCGGCGAGCGTACGAATGCGTGCGTTGCTGGCGGGTCGTGCTCGCGACTCGCTCACCAGCACTTCTTCCATCCAAGACGCGAAAACGCTGCCGCCGGTCGCCGCTACCGAGTCACCTCGGCGGCGGCTTCTTTGCGGCGCCGCGCTCAATGACTCCATTCGAACGATAGGACCTGTAGGTGGTCTTGATCTCAGCTGTGCCCCACGCCGAGATGATGGGGGGGGGGGGGGGCTGCGGCATGCCACTGATCGCTGGCGACGACGCCGACGACCGAAGCACCCCCGCGCGCGAACAAGCCCCTCGCGAACAAGCTCCTGGGCTTCCTCGGACTCCGAGCCGCCCTTGCCCAGCTAGCTGCCGGGGCAATTGAATGGTGGCGACGCCTCTTCGCGGCAAGATCGCGGCGGCGCGTCTCTCTTGCGCGCGTCGAAGCACCAATGGCAGGTTGGTTGCAGTGCAGGGGCGACGCTGCACTGCTGATGCTCGCCGGGGCTGACCCAGGGGGCGAGCGCAGCGGCTCTCCGCCGTGCAGATTCGCCCAGCGCGGACACAATCTCCAGCTGGCGGAGGTTAATCCGGGCCAAGTGTACACGGCGCGCATTTCTCGCGCCCGCAAGTCGGGGGCGGTGGCGGCGGTCCTCTCCAAACGCGCGCTCTCTCTCTCTTGGCGGCGCAATGCGCACTCATCGTCATAAGCGCAGCGGTGCTTACGCTTACAGCGGATGCATCTGCTGCTGGCCTCGAGCTGTATTGTCGACTTGGGGTGGACGACGACGGACGGACGGCGTCGGACGGATTCGGCGGCGACACACCCGATCGCGTGCTTTGCCACCGCGCAGCGAAAACCAGGCTGCTTGGGTTGCGCCGCCGCCGCGTCCACTCGCTGGGTTTGGCCGGTGCCCGGCGCCCATGCCGGGCCTGGTGCTGCTCACTATCATAGAACCAACACCGAATGGCGTTACAGCAACCATATGACGACAACACGACAGAAATTAAAGCAACCACAAGGCCTAAAGCAACCCTAAAACCAGCTGGCACCCGGTAATTTATTTTAAATGACGCGTAAATGACAGGGACACGTCGCCCTCGTCATGGTCTTGCTACATCTCTCTAAATTTAGACACGTGGTGGCGTCTAACTGATGTTCTCTACACAGCAATACGTGAAACACATGACAATATGTGTCCCACATTTTCAACACTTAGCAGATTTTGAGCGACAGCAAAAATGGAGAAGAAATCGCTGGCACATGAGCTGGTGCGCGCGAGAATCGCCGAGATTGCACTCCTCAAGAAGAAGCTAGATGAGCTTACCGAACATCTGGAAAAGCTTCTGGCAGCGCAGCTACAAATCCAAGCCCTCGTCGAAGATCGCGAAGAGAACAGCTATGCGTTAGCAGCCGTCTTGGGCGATGAAGGGGCCGACCAAGGTGGTCTCACCGCAGAGGACGACGCTGTTTCCCTCGATGTTCTACTGGAGCTGGCAGTGCGAAAAATGAAAGACTAATGCAGCATAGACTCTGTATTTAAAGGTAAATACAAACTGTGGTGTTTCTCAGAGCTGGTTCTGTAGCTGCTGATGAATCTGGCTAGCTTTAGCGACGTCGCGTTCAGAGAGATGACGTTCTTGGGAGTAACACATGATGACCCACAGGATTTTCAATCGCATCACCTTGACGTCGTTCTTGGAAGTTCTAGAAAGTTGCATCTGCAAGTTCCCCGTAAGATAGCTGTGGGCTTGGGCTACTACCATTACACCACAGCTAGCAAAATCAGGTTGTTGAGGGGAACAGATCCACTCAATCGGATCGAAGAAAAGATGGCCACGGGGGTCAGAAGCCTTGTGCCACCGCTCCACATAACCACGAAGCCCCTCCTTTCCTTCATTTTCTTTGTCTTTCGGAATTCCAGCCCACACGATTTCCATTTCATGGTGATAGTCATCATCAATGAGCGGCTCGTACATGTAAACATGCACCCGAAGCTTGCTTGTTTTTGCCGTGTAGCGCAGGCGAAGGATAATTACCCCCCAGTGGTCTGCGTGCAGATTAACGGGGTGGATAATAAAATTCGTTGCTGCAAGTGCTGTCTTAGGGAGACTTGGCCATCCGATAGCCCATGTCAGTGATGACGGCACATGGCACTTCCCCACCGATCTCGCAAGGGTCTCCAAGCAAAAGCCCACAGGGCTATCATTTAGCCATCCACGACAGATCCCTCCCACGATGTTGTCAAAGCTGATCAGGACTTTGTTGGAGAGCGTCACAAATTCAGTGCGTAGCCGACTTGAAGTAAACTGTGAGATAATTTCGTTCGCTAGACCTTGGTGCAGCTCGGGAACAGCATCACGCGGTAGTCCTGCAGTTGCTGTCTCCGCAGCGAAAAGATCCACGATGGAGTCAACTTTACGCCAATCTTGCTCCAGCCACTTTCGGTCCTTCAACCATGAGGTACACTTCGCCTTGATCGCGTAGAATCCTGTTAGAGCACCTACATATTGTCTAGAAACATAAGCATGTTAAAACAACCCTATTAAAGCATCCATATCGCTAAAGCAACCATATCGCTAAAGCAACCATACCCGCTAAATTTCCACAGTTTTGGATCAATCGCCAAGACGACGTCGAGAACAAGGCCTTGCTTCTTGGCCTTTTCATCCAGTACAATTGGCTGCTTCTCCTTCCGGGTAGTAGTCGTTGCTGCCTGCATTGATAGGGCGAGGTCTTGTGGAATTACAAATGTGTGCATGTAGTCCGCAGGTCGTACAATTTCCCAATGACAATCAATCTTCCGAGCTCTTAGATAGGCATCCTCCAGCTGAACAGGATACTTCGACAGCAGCTCCATCACGCGCTTCAGATTTGAGGTGTTTCTGGCCCAAATCAGGAACTGATCCAAAGTCACGGCAAGTTCAGTGGGTACGAAGTCGAATGGTGCTGCGCGATGACGAACCCGATCTGCTGAGTTATCATGATTTGATGCTGCACCAAGCCCGCAATAGTCTTGTCAATTCGTGTCTTGTGCCCCAACAGTGTTTTCACTTGATTCCAGTTTGACTCGATCCTGTTCGTTGTAGTATTCCCAGCCGTGAAATTTGCTGCGAGCAAAGTTCGCCCACATGTCTCGACACGAATTCCAGTTCTTTTCATAGTACGAGAATAAAGCTTGTTTCTTGTTGTCTTCGCAGTATTGCTTCAATGCACCGTAACTAGAATCGTAACCTGTCTCTGTGGAGCTGCATATGGTTTGTTTTCCAAAGTTAGCGTTACCACAAGAATCATAAATAGAACTTGTTGCGTACCTGTACAGCGTTTTTATCATCAGGTTGAGTAACTCGTCGCGTTCAGACACCTTCAGCTTGTATGGGGCCCGCTGCATCACCTTCTTCCAGTACGAAATGGCATGGAATTGACAAAGTAAAACTTTCGCAGCAGGAAATAGGGTTTTCAGCACCCTCCACTCAACGAAATCTTTGTCGATCACGATGGAGGATATCATCCGCTAACTTGGGTTCTTCGCTTGGAAATACTCCAGGATTGTTGTCATCATCGGAGCTCGTTGGTTGAGGCATATGAAGTCTACAACTGGGAACCCTCTACCAGTAGCGGTTGTGACGACCAGACTCCCTGAAATATCCAACACACAACAGTAGAAAATCACTTTGTTATAAGGTTGCTATATCATCGATATGGATGAATATAGTAGTTTTTCCGACAGATAGCTTAGTAGGATTGTACAGAACAGGAAATATATGACGGCCTGACCAATCACACAGTCGCTATTCACTATTTTCATCCAATCAAATCACACAGGGATAGGTTTTTAGTTCCGACAGCTTCTGACAAATATTTGTCGGAAGCGAGAAGCAAATATATATATATGCACATAGTGAAATACAGTCAAGTACGTACTTTTCAAATATGCTCATGATTACAACAACTAGGCAGAAACCTATTTTAGGCCCGGAGCTCTAGTCAGTGAAGACACTGGTGGTCCTCCGCACATACACACATAGGCACTTTGAAACGGCAGAAGCGCCAGACAAAGATCAGCATGAGTCTCTCTGCACTCATCCCTGCGAACACGCAAAAAGCGCGCACCACAGGGATTGGTGCTTTTGAGCACATGCTAGAAGCAGATAATGTGTCTATGAATGTCATTCAAGCCTGTGTGCGTGGTGACAGTTCTGGCAAGAGCCTTGCTGCCATTATGGACCGCTTTGGCTACTACCTCGCCACTTATGAAGGTAAGAAAGGTAAGTTGGCGTCTAACACAGCCATTTCATACTTTAGAACGTTAAGCTTTGGTTTTTCGATGAGCATCCTCATCTTCGGGTTCCTACAGAGTTAAACCTGCTAAAGCAAGGCAAGACTTTGGGAAAACATTGCTTGAAACGGGACAATGGGGGATTTACTAACAAAGCTCCGCCTTGCACGAAGGCGAATTAAGGTCACTAATTCGCTATGTCTACAGCACGGCGTCTGTCGCCACCGACTGCGAAGATGCGGCGCTCGCGTGCCTCATGTGGCACTGTTTTGGGTGCTCCTCGGGTCTCGGCTATATCAGCTAGCAGCACATCACAGTGTCAGCGGACAACGTTTTCTACGTACGCATGCTTCGTGTGAAAACCGCCGAAGAGCAAGGCCTCACCCTCGTACCTGACCGCGACGACTTCCTCACCTGCCCCCTGCACATGCTGGCCGTTGCTCTGGTGATGCAGGAGGCGCCCTGTGTGTCGCTGCTGAGTCAGCTTCCCGCTCTCGCCACCACCGCTGGAACCTCGCTCGACGCAGGTGCGCCTCTGCTCGAGGTGCTGCGGGTCAGCGTCGCGGATAGCAGCGACACCGCGGCGGCCTTGGAAGCGTCCCTGTCGCCGCCCAGCACCGCTTCCCTGCTCCCCACACCAAGTCCGCCCAGCTCCAACCCGTCGCAAGCCACCACCGCCTCCCTGCCAACTCAGCTCACAGTTTCAAGTCCCGCGAGAAGCAGCCTCGGCCGCGGTGAGGACGGAGTCCAAGCGTATGTCAACCGCGTTTTGAAGCGGGTGGCTGAACCCGCCGGTGCCACCAGCAACCTGACCTCGCACTCCTTTCGCCGAGGAGGTGCCCAGCACGCCAACGGAGACGAGCGGCTAGCAGCGCAGTGGATCTTTGACCGCGGGTCATGGGATATGACCCGCACGAACAAAGGCTTTGCCTATGTCTTCAACACCCCCCGCGAAGACCGAAAAGTCGCCCGAGTGCTGAGCGGCTGGAGCGCCGACGAAGCCCCGGTCATTGCGGACGTTGCAGCGCTGGACCATGGGACGCACAAACGCCTGGCGCGCTTGGAGGAGCTGCTGTTCGGTTCCTCCATTGGACTGGCAGACGCAAAGCTAAACGTAAGTCGCAAGGTTATCGGAGGGCTGACGGCGTACCTGATCAAGTATTTCCCGCAAGTGAAGGCGCTGGCGCCCGACACGCTGTTCGTTGCGCGTATCGAGGAATACTTAGGAGCGGCTGATATCCCGGTCGCCGACATGCTGTCTTGGTCCATGGCAATCAATACGTCTGCTGCTTCGAGTCCTGAACAAGCACACGAAAAGGCGGAAGCAAAGGGCAACTGCTGTCATACTGGGTGTCACCATTTGGCTGTCATTAGCGAGCTTATCGAGAGCAATCGGCTCATGTCTGCGCGCCTCCTCGCACTGGAGACGATCATCCTAAAGCAAGCGCCGCCTGTGAAGCGTATTGAAGAAGCATCAGAAGAGCAAGCGTCGTCAGAGCAAGCGCCACCCGCAAAGCGAAGAAAGAATGCTGCTACGAACCTGTCCTCGCTGTGGTTCGAGTGGTACACGAGGCTGCCCCGTGTCTGGGACTCGAGCGACCGCCAGAAGAAGTCCGACTACCGCCTGGGCGTTGCGTACATGAAGCTCTTTTTTGACGGCGGATTCGTGCTGCGCGAGGATGCTGTCGACTTCAAAGATCTTGTCTTCGAAGTAGGAACACGCGCGGAAGCAGCGGTCCTTAGGTTCTTGAGCGAGCAGGGATCCCGCAAAAGGAGCTGGCAGTGTGCTGCGCGAGATACGCAAGCTTCATCGGTCTGGTGCCCTCGACAGTCGCATCGTGGCGTATCAAAGCCACCTCGCCCTGGAAAGGATCGTCGACCCAGCGCCGGCTGCAACCCAAAACATATTACAAGTCGTCGGACACGTGTAACGGGGAAAATACATATATTCATGAACAAATACAAGACAGTTAGCTTACGAACGCGCAGATCAAGGCCATGACCATCCTGCCCAGAGACCGTCGGGCACTCAGCGCATCGCTCTCCATCCGCTCGTCGCCGCTTGCCCGGACCCAAACACTGCACACCTTGGAAGGCTCCCATCAATCGTGATTGGCGACGGCGGGCTTCGATCCCGCTCCTCAGGGCAAACCCTGCGCTCATCCATTGAGCTTCGTCGTCAAGGGTGGGGCCTCCAGCTTGGCTTGCGGTCTGGGGGGTTCGGCTTAAAAAATCTAGACTGAAGCCGCGGGGCCTCTGTCGGCGTTGCCTCCGAGAGCTTGACTGCGTGGCGCTTTTCTATTGGCTTAAATAAAACCTCATTGAGGTTCCTAAACGAGTGGCTCTGGAAGAGAGGGTCACTCTTGTGAAGTGTAAATATCACTGTTTAAAGACAATCAACCCAAATAGTGGACCCACCACAGGATCCTACCTCGAGAGCACATTGCTCCGAGTCGATTTTGCGCCTAGATGCAAATTGCCGTTTTTCTCGGCCCACAGACCTCTAGAGGCGATTTCCTCGCGGCTGTGAGCACCGCATGAAAGCTGACAAGAATCGGTCAAACGGCCCCCTAGTCCTAATTTACCGTACATAATATCTAATTTCCGATTTTCCCCTATATCCGATTTTGCACTGGCTTTGACCAATTGCCTACTTGTCGGAATATGTAGGGAAGTCGGAACCGTCATGATATGGTTGCTATAACTACGCAAGGTTTCCGTAACAAAGATAAAGTTGCTATACCGAACAACTCATACGCACCCAAGTGATAGCCCAAATTGTTCGTGCCGTGAGTGAAATCCATCGTAAGAGTGTCGCCCCAGCGCTCGAACATCAACTTCTGCACCTTTGTTTGCATCACGATACCGCATGTCACGTCCATTTGGTCTTGAATAACAAGGACGTCACTACCGTCTAACTGGCGGATAGCTTGCAGCATGTCTTTCAAACGGGCCTCCGCTGGGTCGTGCCCTATAATACTGCGGATCAGATTACGGGTCTGTTGAGGTGTTATTTTGCAGCCCAGCAAACACACAAAGCGCGAACAGTAACGTAAGTATCACTTCAGCATATCATATATAAAACTACGCACCGATTCTCTCATTCAGGAAGTTCGTGATGTGCTTGGAAGAAACACTAGCATCCGTTAAAGTCTTAACATCTTCGAGATCTTGCTCGTCCAACGGAAGTGTCTTTGTTGTCAGGTACAACGATGCTTGCGTTCGGGTGGTCGGGTGCGTGTGGGTAAAGTTCTGATTATCAACAGCGACATATGAGAAATACCAACAAAGCAAACAAATACACGAAAAGGCAGATACCTCGTTTCTTATGACAATTCGAAATTTGCCATTTTCCATCCGCTGAACGGTTGGTGTCGTGCGTGCAGGACACCCGCAATAGTTGCCTTTTCTATTGCGATGTCCCTTGGAGCGCGACGCTTGCGAAACACCGTGTGTACAGCGGAGGACCTTGTGACTCCAATTAAAACGTGAAGGGATTTGGTCCCGATGATTGCTGCATATGAAAGGGGGTTTCGTTAATAACTTAAATTTCTCATCAAACAGAGGTCACACATACCTGTTGTACTGATTTCGTGTCTCCGAGCTTCGTACTCGAAACTTGAGGTGGTGCGTCTGCTTGTATATTTTCAAGTGTGCGTTGAACTTGCTCCAACTCTTGATAATCGCTGGGGTAAAGGGCGGAACGGGGTTGATAATTTCTTCGCGCTCCTCGTTGATCTCCCGCAACTCGTCAAGGTGCTTGCTTGATCGCTTCCGCGGTATGTACTGCTTGTTCAGCTTGGATAAACGTGGGGCCGAATCAGCGTCGACAGACTCGTGAAGCTGCAGCTCCGCCTTACGCTTTTTCGCGAAAGATTGGGCTTCATCCCCAGCAGAAAGCTTGCATTTGGCCAGAGCGGTATCTATCGATTCCAAAGTGAATGTCAATATTAATGATAGCGCAACCTATTTGCTTAAAGCGACTTTAACGAGAATACCTGGTGTTTTCTTGCGTGCTGTGGCTTTCTTTCTCGGCTCGGGGCTCTGTCTGCGTGTCCTGCGTTCTAAACAAACTAAATAAATACACAATACATTATCAGTTCAACTCAATAAGTATCAACAATAATCCAAACGAGTCTTACCCGCTTCTGCTTCGTCTTCTGTGCTGGATTCTCCGTCGTCATCTGCCTCCTGTTCATCGTCACTCGCCTCCTCTTCATCGTCGTCACCCTCCTCTTCATCGCTATCGCTCTCTTCGTCATCATCGACCTCTTCTTCGTCTTCTTCCTCTTGGTAGCAATCCTCCGCCTCTTCGTCGCCGTTGTCTTCCTCATCCTCCTCGTCCAGAACAAAGTCTTCGTCTTCGTCGTCGTCTTTTTCAATCCCGAGAGCGGCGTACATGTAGTTTAGCTCCTCGTTTACGTTCCGCAGCTTTCGGCCTAAACAATACATACCGACAGAATTCAAACAAAATGTGAGGCACGTAGATACTCTCGTTGCCACCAACATGGATCATACTGATTACCGTTTATAATGGCTCCCCCCGCAGGAGCCATCGGTCCCCCCTCGCCGTTTGGTGCTTGACTGATTCGCGAGAGGTGCGTGCCCCACGTGGCCTCCGTTCAGCAGCGCGATTCTTAAAATGAGCGGCTGTGAGGTGGCGCACTTAATGGCATCGTACCTAATCAGAAGCGCACTTTAGCGTGATTTGCGTACCTAAGGGCTTAATGGTAATTTAGACATTTAAATTACGCTCGTAATTTTTGAAATCCCTAAACGCAACCATACATGTCTCAGAATGGCTAAAAGCAACCATACTTATGGTTGCTCTAACCACTCCCGCGCGCCGGCCAAGGCTCGGGGCGCGCGCAGCCAGCTGGGCTACTGTAACCCCGCCGCAGCGCGATGAATCTCCTTCGAGGAGGCGCTCCGTCAGAAACATGCTGCTCGGCGTCGGCCAGCAGGCCCGAGCAGCAGGGCAGCATGACGAGCGCCATGGTCTCGTTTCGCCAATATCTACCCGTCGAAACCGTTTCTGAACCGCATGCGCTTGAGCGGGGGAGACGGCTTTTTCTGCAGCAAAGAGCCCATCTCCGCTTCGGCGAGTGATGAGATTGGTCAGAAATCATCGACCATCTCAATATTGTTTCTCGTAGTGAATGGGTTATAACAATCCTGGACTTCAAGCTTTATCTATGTGACTATTGTCCTTGAAAATATACCAAAGCAAAGGGTATAAGAAGCTAGTGGATTGTCCTGGAACTTTGGGGCAGTTCTGTAAAATTCTCGGCCTTTCCTTCCGCCTCAGGCTCAGAGTTAAATTGCCGCGAGGAAAGCCAACAGCCATCATGAAGGACGTGGAGAGCGACATGGCGGCGCTGGAGCTGGACATCGACGCCGCCTTCGCGCCCAAGGTGGAGATCGGCGGCGGCAACTCGTCGTCCTCCGAGGAGGCGTCCTCGTCCTCGGAGCGCGTGACGCTGGCGCCGCCGCCGCTCAACGCCATCGACGACGACGACGACATCACGAGTCAGCTGCTGAGCATGCTGGCCGAGGAGATGTCCCAGAAGAAGCGCAAGCGCAACCTCAAGACGGCGGGGCCCAGCACCACGGGCATCCGCCACCGCAAGGCGCTGGCGCTGGCCTCGCCCGCCGACGAGCTCAAGCGCGAGAAGAACCGCGACTCGGTCAAGCGCTCGTACTACCGCAAGATCGTACGTGGACGGACATTGGTTGGTTTGACCTACGTACTGCGTCTGACAGGAACTGACGTGTTGCTGCTTACTGTAGGAGACGCTGGGCGAGCTGAGGGCGCACACCGAGTACCTGCGTGAGCAGTACAACCGCCTGCTGGCGCAATGGGAAGACAAGACGGAGCGAGAGAAGGCCGAGACCGCCAAGGACCCGTCCAGCCTCATGAAGCGATACCTGGAGCTCTCGAGGCTGCGCGACCGCCTGTGGATGGAGAACACGCAGCTCCACGAGCAGTTCGAGGACCGCGAGAAGATCTCGTTCCGCTTCCAACGACTGTTCGACGTCAACTACCAGCTCATGGACCACTCGATCGCCGCGCCGATCGAGGAGGAGAACAAGGACCGCCGCGTGCAGACGCCCATGCTTATCATGGACGAGATGTCGTTTGAGAGCTTCAACAAGTTCGCGCAGGACGCGCAGCGCACGTTTGAGGGCTTCGTGGCTAGCCGCCACCGCATGCTCACGACGGACACGGCGCTCGGCTGGACGTGCTCGCACGTGGCGAAAGACAACTCGTTCGGCTACTACTTCGAGAAGAACTTTCGCCGTAGCTCGTACGTGAGCGCGTCCGAAGTGGCGCGCACGGCCTGGCAGACGCTCACGTCGCCCGAGCGGCACTCGAAGCTGTACGCGCCCGCGCTGCACACGCGCTTCCACATCATGCAGCAGTTCGACAACAACAGCTACGTGCTCTACCGCACGATGGAGAAGGAGGGCGAGGACTCGATCACCACGGCGCTCATCATCATGACCCGCATCCCACACCCGAACGACTCAGGCTGCCTCATCATCTGCAAGGGCCTGCGCCGCGAGGAGCACACGCTCCACGTCGAGTTCAGCGAGGCCATCGCGCTGCAGAAGAAGAAGGAGTGGCGGCAGTCCATGTACTGGATCAACATCGAGGAGGTGCCCGTCGACGACAACAACAACAGCGAGGAGGTGTCCGGCGAGGACGTGGAGAAGAAGCTCAAGGTCGTGCACGGCGGCATCATGAACAACATGGGCGACCGCAGCCGCTCCTTCTGGCTGTTCGAGAACCTCCAGATCGCGCTGCGCTGGGAGCAGAACCTCGGGCTGGGCGAGCCGCTAAGCTAGAGCAGCTAAGCGCAGGCCAACCGGAACTCACGCATCAAAGATGGCTCACGGTCACTGCATTGCATTGGCCCGGCCATCTGGATTGAGGCAGGGAGGACACGAAGCAGCGCCGCCGCGTCGAGCGCGCCCACGCACAGCACACAACAGAACTCGAACGGCGGCCTCGGAGGCGAGAGTGGAAGCAGCGCGCTTGCATTCAGCATGCGAGTCCGGCCGCCGCGGCCGCATCATCGCCCCGTCGAAAGTGGAGGCAGCGGAAATCGAGAGGTATTATTTTTGTAGGGCCCTTAGGCGACGGGTTGAACTATGTTTCAGTATACGAACTCCGATATTACAAATGCGACTCCGTATCTATTTACCGAGGTCACGCCAACGTTCAACCACCGACGTCGCCGAGCACGTCGCCCCGTGACAGATCTGCTGGCCGCCGTCGCTCGCACAAGTGGATTCCGCCAAGACGCAGCAATGGTGGCGACGACGACCTCGGCGCAGCTCTCGCCCGAGGAGCTGCAGCGGCGCGAGCGCAATCGCAGCAAAGTGCGCCGCAGTTACTACCGCAAAATCGTACGTTCCGTTAATATGCTACGCGCGCCAGTAATGTTCGTCTGCGCGTCTCGCGGCGGCGGCTGACACCTTCCGTTTGTTTTGTTAGTTCAATCTCAATGCGGCTGACACCTTCCGTTTGTTTTGTTAGTTCAATCTCAATGAGCTGCGGGCGCAAGTGGCGACGCTCGAGGACGAGTACGAGCGGCTGCTGCAGACGCAGGAGCAGCGAGCGGTTTTCCACGTGACGCAGGCGCTGACCGACACGCTGAACGAGAGCGACGCGCAGTCGCTGCTGGACGCGACGCTGGAGCCGCTGGAAGACCTCGAGGCGATCAGCGAGCTGGAGCCGATCGAGCCGCTCCCACTGGCTGAAGCCGGCCGAGAGAAGCGCCTGCTGCAGCTCGCGCGCGTTCGGAAGGCGCTGTACGAGGAGAACGAGACGCTCAGGGATCGGAAGATGACGTTCGCCAAGGCCTACGGAAGTCTGCAGCACCTGGTGGACGTCCACGCCGAGGACGAGGAGGAGGACGACGCGGTGTCCAAGCGCACGCAGCTCATGGTGTGGCGGAAGTTCAAGTTCGACGAGTGTCTCGAGATCAACCGCGTCGCCTACGGCCGCATCATGGCGGACTTGGAGAAGCACCGCCGCCATCCGCACAAGGGCATGACTCTTGGCTGGACGGACCGACGGCGGCTTGATAACGGAGTGATGAGTTATTGCTTTTCGAAGTTTTTCGCCAACCGTTCGGCGGCGGAGCTGGCCGAGAATACGTGGCAGCTCGGCTCCAACATGAAGCGCGCGAGCCGATTCTTCTCCGTCTTCCTGAACGTGGACGTGCACATTGTCCAGCACGTCGATATGAACAACATCGTGTGCTTGCGGACGGTGAACCAGGCGGACCACGACGTGGTGCTCAAGAGCCTGTATCTGCTGACCCGTTTCGAGACCGAGAAGGGCTTCATTATCCTCGTGCACGGACTGGACCCTGCGCGACTCGAGGACGATTTCACTACGCTCGCCATGGTGGGCAAGGCGGAGATTTGGCACGACGAGTTCCGTTGGTAGGTCTGCTGGTGGTTTCTGTACAGCACAGTAGTTGGCTCTAACCGTGGTGTTTCATGATGATAGGATTGTCCTTGAGAACGAAGATGGCGGATGCCGCATGTCGTACGGAGGCCACGTGCTGGTGGAGCACCCGTGGGAGCAGTTTTGGCTCTGCGAGGTGCTGTTGCTGACGCTGCGTTGGGAGAGTGCCGTCGTCGCTGCGCTATTTTCATTGCGATGCAACTAAACACTATTTTCCGAGCTATCAAGATAAAAATTGTCCGAAAACTTTGTCGCGGTCCGGAATCGTGTCAGTTGTATACTAGCCTATCTTCGCGCTCAGAAATCTAGGTCCGCGTCACATGCCAGCTATAGATTGATCTGATAGGTACAACATATCTAAATAGCGAGCTCTAACTCTTTCTAGAAGCTGAGGTATGGACAAAAACGTATCCGAAAGATTATGTCGCGCAGTGACACTGCTCACTCCCATCCAACTTAATATACTGTATACTGCGGCAGTGTACAGTATATCCCTTCTAGCCCCAGACCTTATTCTGTATCCTACAGAATAAGCATTAGACTTGATTAAAGTATACTTCAAAACCTGTCAAATATTTGCTGTTGGAAGCCCTTTCGCATCTTGCGGTCAAGCGCTGGGTACATTGTGCACAGAAAAGATACGAAAGTGAACAAAACATGCTCAATGTATCCGCCATATGCCGAAATGGCGAGCTTCTATTGGTCGTGGCGAGCTTAGAGCACGCTCAAAACCTGCTACATGGTAATACCTTGCAAGGCTGCTAAGGCAGCATACTTCGGCTCCAGCCACCCATCTTCGGCACGTCGCGATAAACGCGGAGGAAGAAATCGCCCTGTTCCTAACTGACGTAGTGAGGAGGAACTGGGCGAATTCTTCCTTGTGCTTGACATTAGCGCATCATTAGATTTCTTTAGCCCACCTAACAAGCTTGTTACGATTGTCTCTCTAACAACACCAGGGAGATTGCATGCTCAATAGCCCGTAATGACACGCACTACACACGGTTCCTCTTGTACGAAACAGGACAATATATGATATTCATGCCAACGTCTACTTCTTCCTTTACATGCGCACGCTCTTCAATGTTCGCGCCAGCCGTGGGTCATCTTCGCCATTTTGGCAGCCTCCGCTTTGCTCTGTAGCCTCCGGCACTGCCGCTCCATTCCTGCCGCTATCATCGGTAGCCTCCGTCGTAGCCTCTGTCCCTACTTCTGTAATCTCCGCTGTAACCTCATCACGCGGAGAGCTTCTTCTGTAGCATCTGTCGTAGCATCTACCGCTTCTTCTGTAGTCTCCGGTGTAGCCACACCATGAGGTGCGCTTCTTCTGTAGCCTCTTGAGTAGCCACTGCATCAGCTACAATACAGTGGTAGACCCGGCTGTAACCGGCTTCGTAGGAACCGATGAGGTTGTGCGTTGACTCCGCAATCGATCTGCCAATCGGGCCACACGCGAGAGCTCATAGCGTCTTCTAGGTCGGATCACCAGGTCTGGTAATCAACATCGCAACGTAGAATCAATATACCACTAGTACAATGTTACAGAGCAAAGTACACGCTCTCGCTTACCTGTAGATCACAATGGCGCTCATCATGATCGTCTTCGGCCATGGTCCTTGGCCAATTGGGCACGCTCGACGGGCCCCAACAAAGCTTGCATTGCGACGTCTTGAACAGCGCAGTTTCGGAATGAAGGAAAGTACGAGTGGCTGACACGCGGCGGTTTTAGGCTTCCACCCGAATTTTCAAACCTGTTGGTGGTTTATACTCGTCCGTCTATTACCGCGGAATAAACCCCGTTTATCTTCCCATCGCTAATCTAACAGGATGATGTGCACAATACCGGCTATACAAACATCCATATGCGAAGTTCGAAAGAGAGGACAAGTTTGCTGGATATTATGTCCTGTGACAATGCTTATTCTGTAGGATACAGAATACGGGGTTAGAGGGGATATTAAGTTGGACGGGAGTGAGCTCCTTCGTTGAACAGTCTTTGGCGACCTGTGTAGTAGTAAAGAGAAATTCAAACCCAACAAGCTTTTTTTACTAAAAGACAAACGCACTACAAGACGTATATTGAGCAAATAATTCATTCGTTGTCTGTGTCTTCAACAGGAAGTGTAGGCTAGGCCGTCCGCTACGCTGCACATCGATCAAACGGGTCCCATGCCCATCGAGGCGCGCAGGTTTTCGTAGACCATGAGCGAGATGATGGTGTGCGGGCCAAGGCGGAACCAGTTCGGCAGCCATCCCTTGAAGAAGCCGCGGACGCCTTCCGTACGGAGAACGGACATGAACGCGCGGCCAAGGACGTTGGAGCATCCGCTCTTGGCTTCGTTTTGGATCTGGGTCTTCATCACGTCCATCGGCGATGACGCCGTGGCCGCCATCAGACCGGCAAACATGCTCGAGATCATGTGGACCGTCACGCCTTCCTCCAGCGACGTCTGCGACAGCAGCGTGTGCTTCATGTGGTCATAACTCGGGAGCTGCGCTGCCGTGAGGGCCATCGCACGGTAAGTCGTAGCAGCAACACCACGGTAGAAACCCTCAACAAGCCCCTCCTGCTGGTAAATCTGACGGCACGCGAAGATGAAGCTGTTGTGGTAGCGAGCACCCGTGCGGTCGGCCTGCATGCGGACCTTGACGAGGTCCATGGGGTTCACGAGTGCGCTGCCGATGCCGCCAGACGTGGCTCCTGCCAGCAGCTTAATGTACAGCGGAGAGGTGGCGCGCTCGTCGGCCGAGATGTGGAACACCTTGTCCTCGAACGTCTCCTTGACCACGTCGTACGCACCGAACCGGATGCCCGAGTAGATGTACTCACGCAGCAGCGAGGCCTGCCAGCCCTTGGCCCAGCCCGCGAAGCCCTCTTCCTTCCAAATGGTCTTGAGACCGTGGCTGAAGCCCAAGTAACGCGTTTGTCCGCCCGCAGCACCCGTGGCGGGCTCCAGCGCCTGTAGCTGCAAGCGCACCTTGACCACGTCGATTGGGTTGGTGACGGCCGTCGCCAGAGTGTTGGCGAAGCCACCCAGCATGATTTTGACGCCGATGCTCTGCTGCCAGTCGATGTTGTGCTGCGCGGCGGCCACGGCCGACAACTGCGTGAGCTTGGCGCTTTCGTGGCGCTGCAGAGGCGCGTTCGTCGAGGCCATGGTCGGAGATGACTGGGGAGCTGCTGCCGGGTGCTACGGGCTTGGAGGCCGATCGGAGACTGACCACGCACCTCGCGCGCTGCGATCGTGAGGCCACAATCGTTCGCTTGTTTTCCAACGCATTGCGTCCGTCGGGCGTGACGAGGTCAGTTGACCTCCGACTCCTTTCATCCAACACGGGCGTGGCATGTCTCGCACTGGGTTTAGCGTTCCTGTTTGGATCGCATGACCTGAAGATAAGGAGCTCTGTCGCTGTTCACGGCGCATTTTTCTAGCCGCGGCGGAGGGAAGAGGTCGCTAAAGAGAAGGGATTGCGCGCTCGCGGCTAGCCGGGACTCTTGAACTGAATGCTGCTTGGTGTCCAGCCGTCACGCTCCAAGCACCACGATCGATTTGCCCTCTCTCAGCAGCGAGCAGGACCCCCCTGACCGAGGGGAATGCAGCGCGGTGGGAGGGCAACGCACGCGAGTGAATTGAGCGCTAGCTGATGATTCGTGCTCGCTTCGATCTGCGTGCTACAGTGTTTGGGACGTGAGCAAGTGCTTCAGATTTTTGACTCGCGGACCGCCGGTACAGCTTGAGTGCCTTGCCGGCGGTCGCCTTGGTGAGTCAGTGTGCATTTCTTGCGGCAGCCTGGAAACGCGTTGTGCGGTTTAACGCCGTGCTGTTAAACGCCAGCGTTGGTGAGTGAGTATTCATGCGGGGACGTTTGATTTCATAGTTATACTCATAGTAATACGCAACTGTCTGCTGATGCTAGCGCTCGCAGGTATCGCAACGGGCATATTTACACGGGGTTGATACCCATGGCGGCTCGCAGCTCCTCGTACGCCATGAGGGAGATGATCGTGTGCGGGCCGAGCCGGAACCAGTTGGCGAGCCAGCCCTTGAAGAAGCCCGGGATGCCCTCCGTCCGCAGCACGCGCATGAAGGCGCGGCCCATGACGTTCCTGCCGCCGAGCTTGGTCTCGTTCATGATCTGCGTCTTCATGACGTCCAGCGGGGACGACGCCGTGGCAGCCGTGAGGCCCGCGAACATGCTGCAGATCATGTGCACGGCGACGCCCTCCTGCAGCGGCGTGTGGTGCAGCAGCGTCTCCTTCATGTGGTCGTAGCTGGGCAGCTGCGCCGCAGTGAGGACCATGGCGCGGAAGGTGGTAGGCGCCACGCCGCGGTAGAACCCCTGCACGAGCCCCTCCTCCTGGTAGATCTTGCGGCAGGCGAAGGTGAAGCTGTTGAGGTAGCGCGTGCCCGTGCGGTCCGCCTGCATGCGCACCTTGACGAGGTCCATGGGGTTCACGAGCGCGCTGCCGATGCCCCCTGACGTGGCGCCGGACAGCAGCTTGATGTACAGCGGCGTGCGTCTGTGCTCTGCCGGGGACGTGTGGAAGACCTTGTCCTCGTAGAACTGCTTCACCTGGTCGTACATGCCGAAGCGGATGCCCGAGTACATGAACTCGCGCAGCAGCGAGGCCTGCCAGCCCTTGGTCAGGCCGTACCAGCCCTCCTCCTGCACGATGGTCTTGAGGCCGTGGCCGAAGCCAAGGTACCGCGTCGGCGCGACCGTGCCAGCCGCCGCCGCCGCCGCCGAGGACGTGACGGCCGTCAGCTCCAGCGCCTGCAGCTGCAGTCGCACTTTGACCACGTCGATGGGGTTGGTCGCCGCCGCGGAGAGGGTGTTGGCGATGCCGCCCAGCAGGATCTTGAGCCCCACGCTCTGCTGCAGCTCCGCGTGCCTCTGAGCCACCCCCACGGCGTGCAGGTGCGCCAGGTGGGCGTCGCTGTGGTGCTGCGGCGCGACGTTGGACGTGGACATGCTCAGAGGCTCGGCGACTGGGGGCTTCAGGGCAAAACGGAGACTGCGAGCGACTGGCGAGCTGTATGCTGCAAGCCAAGGAGAGCTGTCCTTATATTGACAATGGAGCTGCTGGTACAGACACCTGGGTTGAATGACCCATTGCACTGCAATCGCATGTCAACGACCGTTGCCCGTTGGCACACCGCCGTCGCTAAACCGAGGCAGGAGAGAACTTCAAGGTACGAGTTGAAGTTTGCGGAGCCGATGTGTATTCGAGTGAAGCGCAGGCCGTTTAACGGCTCGCTTCGTGCGTGGTGGTCAAGCGCGCGGGGCACGTCGTTGCAGTGGCATGTTGTTGCTCACCCTATTGCCCCAAAGTGCTCGCTTAGCTGCAAACCTGCGCTGGGGCTGGAGGTGTGGAGCGCCCTATAAATAGGGGTCAGAGTGGGGAGGAGGAGGCGCAGGTCCAGCGTGATTGAAGCCATGACTCACCTCCGAGTGCAGACCGAGTCGAAGGACTCGCCAGGCGGCGGCCAAGTCCTGCAAGAGGATGGCGAGCAGAGCTGCTGTATCAGCTGCTTCCGGTTGATCCCGTCATCTTCGGAGTCGCTGCAGCCCGAGCACTGCGAGTCCGACACAGCAACAGGACCTCCTCCTCATGAACCGGAGCTACTGTGCGCATCCTGCATCCATCACTTAGTCGGCAAGGGCAGCAGCAAATCGCCGGCGGCCCCGTCGGTCGGCGGAGTGCTGTCGCCCTTGCCCAAGCTGAGCCTCCTCGTCAAGGTGGAGGCCAAGTGCCAGGACCAGCTGCAGTTGCTACGGCGTCAGCAAGAGATTCTGAAGCAGCAGCGCGAGAGCCTTCAGGCGACCAAACGTGCCAAGGAAGAGGCTATCGCGGCCGAGCGAGAGCTCGCCCGACAGCGCCGGAAACACTTTTTGATGATCCAGGAGCGCCGCAAGCGCGAGGAAGAGCTCAAGTTCCAGCAGTTCCAAGTAGACGAGCATACCAGTCGCTCCGAACAGGAAGGGGGCGCTGATAAGCCCAAGAAGAAGAAGCCGAAGCCACCCAAGACGGCGGCGGAAACTGCGCTGCAGCGACGGAGGTCCGAGTCCGCTGCTGGGCTGGACACTGACGATGCATCTCTGCCTCATGTCGTGGAGCCGGCGTCCAAGCACACAGAGACCCCTCACTCGCGTACCAGCAATGATATTGACAATGGAAGTGCAGCAGAGACCCACTCGGCCAGTTTGTACGAGCGCCGACGGCAGATGATGGCTTGCTACTCGCAGGACCTCTCGCCGCTCATCGACGGCCGCAAACCGAGACGCTTGCCCTTCCCAAAACCCGTGGCTGCCACCAGCATGATGATGAAAAGAAGACAAACGCTTGACAACAATGCTCAGGTTACAGCGCTAGCAACCAACCACCGCAGCAAGAGCCAGCATAATGCACGTAAGCAAGGCAAGAACCCTGCTCCGAAGACGACAAAGCTTCGCCCTCTGGAGGAGCAGAAGCACTTCATAAAGACCAAACCGCATGCTAGCAACCAGTTCGAGGAATTCCATACTCGAGTGGACAATGACTCGGCTAATAGCAAACACGTATCTGCCTCGTCATCGTTGTCACCGCAGCCTCGCCGGCGCCTGGCAGACACATCGGCCCCGCTTACGGCGGAAATCAAGCCCGCGTCGTGGGCATACGAGCTGGCGAAAGACGTTCTGCCCCAGGACGACCCGCACCAAGAAGTTGGTGCCAAGGGATTCGCTGCACCGCTGTCCCCCCTTGCAGAAGAAAACGCGTTTACCTTGTTCCCGCTGCAGCGCCAGCTCCCGAGCCCCACGTTTCCACCTTCTCAGCACGAACCACAAGCCGAGGCAGTCACCAAGGCTCCGAGGTGGGAGTACTCGGCCGAGCGGCTCTCGAGTCTGCTGGAGAAGTACAACGTCTCCGTATCCGCCGTCACAACTGCAACACCCAAATGATTGGCAGTGACCGTGAGTTCAGCAGCTGGCGAACCGGCTAGTCAACTTCAACTTCGCTAGTCGACACGCTTGAAACGCAAGGGAATGCACCTTACTGATGATGTGGGTTAGCGTGACCAGAGGATACATTTCGATTCTGAACTACTTACACATCTACGGTCGAATACACACCACTTGACATTACTTTCTTTCTTACTGACTGACTGCCTGCCGCACTGCACTAGAGTCGCCCGCGTTATAATCTACTGCCCCGGGGCGCGTGGTCTGCGATTCATTCCTGCTCCTCCCAGTTGAGCGTGCGCTCCACGGCCTTGTTCCACTGGTGGATGAAGTGGCCGCGCTTCTCGGGCTCCATGTCCGGGTTCCACGTGGCGCTCACCTGCCAGTTTTCGCGCAGCTCCTCCACCGTTTTCCAGAAGCCCACGGCCAGACCAGCGGCGTAAGCGGCACCCAGCGCCGTCGTCTCGGCGACCACGGGGCGCACCACGGGCACGTTCAGCACGTCCGACTGGAACTGCATCAGCGTCTGGTTCACGACCATGCCGCCGTCAACCTTGAGCTTGGTCAGGTGCACGCCACTGTCGCCCTCCATGGCAGCCACCACCTCCTGCGTCTGGAACGCCGTGGCCTCGAGTGCAGCGCGGCAGATGTGCTCGCGAGTAGCGTACGAGGTCAGGCCGACCATGACACCACGCGCGTCGTCGCGCCAGCGAGGCGCGAACAGGCCGGAGAACGCCGGCACGAGGTACACGCCGCCGTTGTCCTTGACCTGCTTGGCGTACTCCTCGACCTCCGGCGCACTGTTGATCATCTTGAGGTTGTCACGCAGCCACTGGATGAGCGAGCCAGCGTACGAGATCGATCCCTCAAGCGCATACACGGCAGGCTGGTCGCCGATCTTGTAGCCCATCGTGGTGAGCAGACCCTTCGTGGAGGGCGTGGGCTTGGTGCCCGTGTTCATCATGAAGAAACAGCCCGTGCCGTACGTGTTCTTGGCCTCGCCGGGCGAAAAACATGTCTGGCCGAACAACGCAGCTTGCTGGTCTCCGAGGTCGCCCGAGATGGGGATGCCAGGCACGACGCTGTCCTTGTGGCCCGAAGCGTAGACTTCCGAGCTGGAGCGGATGCTCGGCAGCATCGCCTTGGGGATGTTGAGGCACTTGAGGATGTCGTCGTCCCACTGGAGGTTGTCTAGGCGCATGAGGTTCGTGCGCGAGGCGTTGGTCACGTCGGTCACGTGCACGCCGCCGTGCACGCCGCCGCTGAGCTTCCAGATGAGCCACGTGTCCATGTTTCCGAAGAGCGCGTCGCCCGCCTCGGCCTTGGCGCGCAGGCCGGGCACGTTCTCGAGCATCCACATGATCTTGACGGCCGAGAAGTAGGTGGCGATGGGCAGGCCCGTCACGGCGCGGAAGCGGTCCGCGCCCGTGCCCAGGAAGCCCTCGCCCTCGCCGTTCTTGAGGCGGTGCACGATCTCGGTCGTGCGCGTGTCGTGCCACACGATGGCGTTGTAGAGCGGCTTGCCCGTCGCGCGGTCCCAGATGAGCGCCGTCTCGCGCTGGTTGGTGATGCCGATGGCCTGCAGCTGCGAGAGCTCGATGCCGCCCTTGCTCAGCGCCTCGCGCACGCAGGTCTCGACGTTGCGCGTGATCTCGTCGGCGTCGTGCTCGCACCAGCCCGGCTGCTGGTAGATCTGCTTGTGCTCCAGCTGGTGCGTGGCCGCGATGTTGCCGCTGTGGTCGAACGCGATGAAGCGCGAGCTGGTGGTGCCCTGGTCGATGGCGCCCACGAACGACGTAGCCATGGTGGAGAGGGGGGCGGAGGAACGGAGGGAGGGAGCCGCTTGAGCCGCTCGAAGACACTTGCGAAGTGAGCGCTCGCGGAGCTGGAGCCGAGCGACGGCAGAGCGCGGAGCGAGGCGAGGCCACATGGCGACTGATGCCTGTCAAGGCGAGGGTCCACATTCCGAAACCAGCGAAAGTCGCGGCGGAAAGGTCCTATCTCCGATTTTCTTTGCGAATCGATGTCATACTGTATATCAAACATACAAACGCACGCTAACCTCTATCTAAACCTTGATATAATTTATCAGTACGTTGCAAATTACCGCTGCACAGTCAGAATGGGTGCAGTACGCAAGCCCGGTGATGACGCATCGGTGTGTTCTTGAAGGCGGAGGGGGATGGACAAACGCCCGAAGTTCAACTTGGATCGCCGCCGTGACCGCGGATCGCCGAAAATGCTGGCCAGAACGGAACGAGTCGCGCGTGGTGGGCCCCGCCTGGCACGGCCGTAGCTCGACGTGCAGGCGAGGCATTACTTCCTGGTACTTCCTGGTGCCAGCGGGGCCCGTGCCATGCGAGACCGCAGCGCGCTTGCAGGAGCGCTTGCCGGTCGACGAACTGCGCGCAAGAGCCCGGGCGAGCACGTCAGGTTTGCACGCGCCCTCGACGCGAGCTGCCACCACTCATCGACAATTGGGCCACCAGTTGACGCTCCGGCCTGCCCTGCTTCTGCCGCCTGCTTCAGTTGGTCAGGCCATCATTGCGAGCTCCGCCATCAGCTACACGGCGGCCGACTACACAGCGGCCGATTTCGCGCACGAGCCTCACTCCGCAATCTGCGACTTCGTGGACAATTCGCGATCAAGATGCATGTTCGGCGAGCAGCTCGTCGACCACTACATCGAGCTGCTCGATGTAGTGGTGAGATCGAAGGGACCACCGGTGTTTTAGGTCGAGGCTCTGTTGTTGGTGCTTGTCGGGAGAGCAAGACGCTCGGGTTCAAGTTGAAGTGGTCTCTCCGATCGATATCAGAGCTTCCCGGTCGACTCACCCACACCTTCTACGAGCCCTGGGGAGAGCCGGGCTCCTGGGCTCTTGGGTGAACCCAAAAAGTCGCGAGCTCGGGCTCCTGGGCTCTTGAGTTCAATATGTTAAGTGAAAGGAGCCCTCCAGAACTGTGAGCCCTCGTTAAGGGCGGGGAGCCAATGGGGAGCCCGAAGCAGGGCTCCTTGATCTCGTACTTACCATGTGGGAGCCCATTTTGTGCGACTTTTGGCTCTCGTTTTAGGGGGAGCCTACTTTTGAAGTAGACGGGCTCGGGCTCGTAGAAGGTGTGGACTCACCCACGAGTTCCATGTTCCACCGTGCGGTCCGCCCGACTGCATGCACGTACGGGCCTGGCACTGCCAGCCGTGCTTCGCCGTCGCTGCGATGTTCATCCGTAGTCAGGTCTGGGGAGCTGCCCCATGAGCCCTTCATTCTTTTACTCTGGCTTAGGTCTGTCCGGGCGCTGTCGGGATCTCCAAATTGATGCTGACATGAACATGTATCACCAGCATGATTCGAATGGCACCGGCATGATACCTAGGTCCTTGTCGGGAGACCACAGAAAACACTCAGCACAATGCCGCCCAGGTCGTGCAGTACAAGCTGGCAGTGGTGCTTGGACGACTGGTAAAGAGTGGCCTGGTCAAGCAGATCCAAACAATACGCATGTAGGGACTCCCTAGCCCCCTACTAGGGAACTACATGTATGACATACAATGTACGTGGTGTACGTACTCAGCAGCCTCCGCACCTTGCTATTAATACCGGTGGGCATGGACAAATTGCTCGTACGAACGCTGCATGGAGGGTGGCCAGTAGGGTGGGCCGTATTACTACTTCATGCACCATGAAGTCTTCGGAGGTTGTGGCAGTGCCTTATAAACAAACAAGGCAGCTTCGTCTACAGGATCGTTGACAACTTGTCGCGCGTGACGTCCAGCGAAACGGCCAAGCAGACACGTTGCGGATCCATGCGGAAAAATGCTCGTTGAAGTGCATGCATATCGTCGCGGGAAGCGCTCAACGAGCGTGAATGCCTCGAACGTTGCGATACTTCGCGCGCCCGCGGCGCGAACCCCCGGTCAAGGCGGACACTCTTCGAGAGCCACGGCAAGCCCCGGATAGCGCGGTCTACACTGTTGTACGGCGCCCGAAGACCTCTCGGTGGTCGCCGGCGATCCTGAAGCAAGCGACATAACGTGTTTTTGCGCTCGTGCGTTTCTTTTTGGCACGCTGCCGAGGTGCCCCGGTGATTGAGCTCTGAATGCGGTGGGGGAGCGCTAGCTACTTGTATTGCAGCAGTCTCTCGTTCTGCTAGCAAGGCAGCTCGCGCTGCTGTAGTTGGCTGTGGACACAACTCCAGGAGAAAGCCCCCCCCCCAGCCAAACCACCTGCGCTTGAAGTTCAACACCTGGCGGTGCCATACAAAGCGCAAGTGTCGAGACGGGTCCAAAAGTGGACATGGACGATCCGCATGTGCTTATTTTGGCTGAAATGGGCACCCCGTGATCGCCGCCCGCATCTTCGAGTCGCAGCGTTCGCGTTCACATTGCTTTCAAGGCACATCAAAACAGACAACGTTTAACGATATTAATATGCATGTCCGTACATATGCAATAAACCTCTTCATTCCTCGAGCCCCTGACCGGCTGGCACCTTCGATAGTCTTAACAGAAAACATGTTTTCACTAGACCTGTTTAGTGCAGTGCACGAAAGTCCCCACAAATGCACTAAAGTACTTTAGTGCACGCGCTAATGTCCAGCATCAGTTGTGTGCAGGTGCGCCAAAAGTGCACTAAAGTACTTTAGTGCATTTGTAGGGACTTTCGTGCACTGCACTAAACAGGTCTAGTTTTCACTTTTGTTTTTCGCGACTCGAGGTCAATGGTTTTGCTTAGCAAATTGCTATGCTTGGAAATTTACCGAGGTACTGCAGTACATGTAAGTGAGCAGTGCGAAGGCGTTCCGCCCTCGATCAGCAGTGCTGCTGAATCAGCACCCTACAAATTCGTAAGCGCCGGAAAAAAGCGACCACCGCGAGAGCTCATTTCGGGCGAAATTGGGCGCCGGCTGCATAGATGATGGGCCGACCTTCTAAAACCTCTGTAAATGGATGTTAAAGCATCCCGACGCCAATGATCGAATAGAAACACTTACGAATCAGTACTGTACAAACGCATACTGTGAATCCGCGCGCTTCTATCGGACCTTGCCGACCTGCGCTCGCGGCCACGAGCCATTCCCGAATTCAACGAGACCCAGCAAGTGAAGTACCCACCACTACCATCCACCACCACCACCACCATGGCCGACGGCGACGACGACAGCACGCGCAACCTGCTGCAGTTCGCCATCTTCGTGCTGCTGCTAGTCATCGGCGTGTCGCCCTTCCTGCTCATGCTCTGGAAGAACGCGGCCTACCGCGAGCGGCTGCGCGACACCTTCTGCTGCAAGGACTGCAGCGGCGTCTGCGCGCGGCGCGTGCACTACGACGAAGCGGATCTGCGCACGCTGCGGGAGCTGGAGGAGCCTCCGCAGCGCGAGAGCGTGGGCATCAACGGGGCCTACCGCATGTACCAGGCGCGGCGCTCCCGCTTGTCGCTGCGTCTGGCGTCGTGGCGCGAGGACGTCAAGCGCGGCGGCGGCGACGACGACCGACTGCACCACAAGCTCGCGCAGATCCAGGCGGCGCAATACCGGCGCCAGCAAACTCAGCAAGCGGCCTCCGCAGGCACCTCCACCAACAGCAGCAGCAGAAGAAGCGCGCCAGCCAACCAAGCCGCCGCGACGCCCGCTGTGCCGTTTGATATCCGCGTCGTGGAGATCAATGACCGCGTTGACGAATCCAGCAGCTCCGCTGCGGCTCCGTCCTCGAATGCGTCGGATAAGTTGAACGACTCGGACGAGGAGTCGGTGTACGAGCTGGTGCCGCCCACGCCGAAGGGCGAACTGCCTAACACCGTGCGAGTGGGCCGGCGATCAGCTGTCACCGCCGAGGAAGAGGAGGAGGAGAAGGAGGACGTGACCCCCCGCGACCATGAGATCGTGTAAGGCGACGCGGCTACAAATTTTGAACGAATGAAGTCATGAATACGCACCGGCAAGTGAGCGGACAAGCGCCACGGATTTTTAAAACGACGATGCGAGTCGAGACGGCGGGCACTATTTAAACGGACGTGTGCTGCCGTTGCCAATGCTGCTGCTGGCCAAGCGCGCGAGGCTACTATACCATACTTTAGACAGCGATAAGCGCATGCAAGGCGTCCGAGGCAGCATGTTGTTAATGCCACATATTTATTTGCAATTTTCAAGTGCAAGAACCCCGGTGCCCATCATCGACTTCTCGTCCAAAGTGTGCTTTACAGCCCCGCAACCTGCAGCAAAGCCAACAGGAGAGTTCAGTGCCGTGATCAGCACGCTGTTCGTTTCATTGAAGTCGGCACCGCGCGCTGACTTCATCGTAGCGGCATGAAAGGCTACAACAGTACCTACAGGCAGGAAAGCAGGATTGAAATGCGATTTTAGAAGATTGGGCTACCTCGCTCCACTACACAACAGCGGCGCCTGCTAAGCCTAGCTACAGACAAAGTCCTTCAGCGCGGCGGCGTCCGAGGCTCTGTAGATGCTCGTGTCAACGTACACCGGGAACGCTACGGCCGTGTTCATGCCCTCGGTCTTGGACGGCATCTTGGTTGCCATGAACTTGCGAAGCTGCGCCTCACTGACGGGGAAGTGCTCTTGCTTCGACAAGCACTCCACAAGCTCGGGCAGGTATGCCAAGTAGTCTTTGTTCTGGCCTTGCAGCTGCACAGCGTCGCCGTGGTCTTCGCCGTCCCAGAAGACCTGGTCCTTCGTGAAGCGAATCATCAGCGCGGTGGCGTTAACAGCAGCGTCGTAGCAGCTAGTGTCGCTCGCAATCTTGGCGGTGGCAACAGCCTGGTTGAAAATACATCCAAAGCTCGACTTCCACTCGGTCACCGGGCGATACCAAAAGCCAATGTTCCAGAGAGACGGTAGCACGTGCAGCAAGCGCTTCAGCACGAGCGCGTTGTTGAGTAGGGCTGGCGTCGTCGCGATATCGGTCTCCATGGTATCCATGGCGGCGAGGCCATTCGGAGGCAGCGAGCTCAAGCCCCCCGTGGCCACCCGCGTAAAGATATCGTCCATACCGACGAGCCATTGGGCGACGTTGTTAGGGCTCGAGGCGCTCGTGATAGCTGGCACCGCAGCAAACTGCCCGTTAACAATGTCGCTCGGATTCATGTCTGCAGGGATCGCGGCGGCGGAGGATACAACCAAGCAGACGGTGAAGAGGGATGCCAGGACGCGCAGCATCGTTCAGGCGGAGAAGTGAGAGCGCGTGGGGCTGGAATTTCGGGCACTGCGACGATGCGGGGGAAAGTGGAAATGAGCGCGCCCGTTCGGCTGGTAGTCTCCTCCTTGGTGATCTCCGCTGGTGCTGGCTGGGCAGGCGGAGCATGCCTAACGGATCGTTCTTGCCGTGAGCTGGCTACAGCGTTACTCGAGAGCATTACACAAGAACCTTTAGTCGTCGCTCGAGCCACCAAGGGGCTGCAGCTCAAAACAGCAACACGCTCATCGCGGGTTCCGCAGTTTCCAGCACGTTCTGCATGGTCGCTGGGCCAGGCGATATATGGCGCAAGGGTGGGCGGCGGCTTGCACAGCAAACAAGCGATCGACCGATGCCGTCGAGACAGCCTCACTCAACGAGCTCCACAAGTGCGTCACTTGTGCGCTTTCGCCGTGCAGCACTGTACACTTCGTCTGCCATATACACTCAGGCCTTCCGAATAAAAGATTGTACGGCAAATATTAGTACGAAATAATTTATTTTACGCGACCGTGAAAAAAGTGGAATAACTTACGGCTTGACTTTTTACAAAGTATTTTTTCAATCGTAAAAAGCATTGTTCAAATAAGTACGTTTTTCCAAGGTAATTCCTTTTTTTTGCGTTTCTGGGTCTCCGCTGCATTCACAAAGCGCTGGTTAGAACACCCTTACCATAGTTAACATACTAAAATCCCCAAGTTTGTCTCTTTCCTAGTGTCGTCAGAAGAGCAGAAGCTGCTAAGTCCATTTGCTGTGCGTGCTGCAGGTCGCGCCAGCGCTGACGCCGGTGAAGACGACAACTACCGCGCTGGGTTTGCTGATCGCGCACTGCGCGCCCGCAAGAAGCAGCGTGCAGCTGCGCAGGTGTACCGTGGAGTGCGCTTCATCCCGCCGACGTCTAATGCGGTGGAGCTGCTCTTCAGCAAGGCACGCCACGTTCTGTTGCTGCACCGCCACGTTCTGTCGCTGCACCGCCACCGCATTCGAGATGCTGTTGTTTCTGAAGATTAGTCGGCGTTTTTGGAAAGCCGCTACGGTGTCGAAGGTTGTGAACGCTTAGGTTAGTAGAGCCTTAACTACGTAATACAGGTTGTCATCTTGTGTTGGAATTGTTGCAATATACTGAATAATTTATTTCTCCGACCTCGGTATGTCCGCGGAATAACTTATTAGTGATGCAGCTTAAAAAGCTACGGCAACTGTATTTTCGGAAGGCCGGCATACACTGCAACAACTACAGTACGCGCAACATCCATGGTATCCCTTAGTTCGTTTCAAGAACGACGCTGTATTGTTCACGTTTAACGGAGTCAAGGCAACGAATCTACAGGTGGTGGTGGGGTAATTCCCTGCTGGGGAAACTTTTGACATTTTCAACCTTTTGCGACCAAACACGGAGTTGTGGGAAAACTTATTCCCAAGACCAGCCTATAGAATCGTAGAGGTGGCCTTCACTGCAGAAAACACCAGACTCAAGAGCCCACGTGCTGGTGCACGCCGCTCCGGACGCGCCGCTGGAGAAGACGCTGGCAGTCGCCGCCATCATGGACGGCACACCCTCCGGTGCCTTGCTGTCCACGACCGTGCTGCTGCAGTAGGAGGGCGTGGTGCGCTCGAACCTCGGCCCTGACACTGACACTGACACCAGGGACTCGCTGGACTCGCCAACCGTGGCCTCCCTGGGCGAGCTACTGGCCACCGATGGCTCGCTGCTGGCTACCAGCGCCCGACGACCGTGGGCGAGCTGCTGATCTCGCTGGACTCGCCGACCGTGGCCTCCCTGGGCGAGCTGCTGGCCACCAAGACGCTGGTGGCTGCAGGAGACAAAGGGCGTGGTGAAGACGACTTCCGTGGCCATTGTAGGCACGCTGGACACCGAAGGCGAGCTGCTGGAGACCAAGGACGTGCTGGACCCGAAGACCATGGCCCCCGTGGACGAGCTACCGAAGACCAAGGGCACGGTCAAGCTGCTGTACATCAAGCGCGTCTGAGGGTAGCTCGGGTTGTTTTCCCGGCGATGGAAGGTGTTGAAGGTGTGAACAGTGCAGGTGATACATCCTTCATATCGGTCGGCCAGTGGTTTGGTTCTCAACGTGCTTGTACCAAGGCAATTAAGTCTTTTGCCTCAAGTACAGGGAAATCTGTGCGTCTGGATCCAACTGCTGCTGGAGGAGCCTACCTTCGCTACCAGTGCAAAGGAGGTGACCTCTGTCGTTTTGAGGTTGCTGCGTGCCGTGACTGCTTCAAACTCGATTCCTTCCAGGTGCTACATGGATCTAGCGCGCAAGGCCCCATCGAACTTGTGCTGGACGAAGAACCAGCCGTTAACAAGGACGATCTGCCCCCGAATCTGAATCAGAATCCTGGTCGCAACAAGCAGCGACGGTATCCTAGCAGTGGAGATACGACGCAGAGCGTTGGCAGGGCGAAGCGAAAAATGACCTGCACCAAGTGTAACCGGCAAGGACACATCAAGCGCACATGCGGTAAGTAGGCGTAGGCCGTGCGAGGAATGCAAACAAATCGAGTTCTCGGATAATACATTGCATATCAATTAGCCGTCATAATGCATCTCGTATTACACCCAACTACCCATGTGCAGTGGCGACTCGGCCGTGCCATCGATGTACCACAACTCGGCCACGGGCGTCCCGCGCTTCACGCGCTTGATGTACAGCAGCTTGACCGTGCCCTTGGTCTTCGGTAGCTCGTCCACGGGGGCCATGGTCTTCGGGTCCAGCAGCTCGGCCACGGTCGTCGGGTCCTGCACGCCCTTGGTCTTCGGCAGCTCGTCCACGGGGGCCATGGTCTTCGGGTCCAGCACGTCCTTGGTCTCCAGCAGCTCGCCTTCGGTGTCCAGCGTGCCTACAATGGCCACGGAAGTCGTCTTCACCACGCCCTTTGTCTCCTGCAGCCACCAGCGTCTTGGTGGCCAGCAGCTCGCCCAGGGAGGCCACGGTCGGCGAGTCCAGCGAGATCAGCAGCTCGCCCACGGTCGTCGGGCGCTGGTAGCCAGCAGCGAGCCATCGGTGGCCAGTAGCTCGCCCAGGGAGGCCACGGTTGGCGAGTCCAGCGAGTCCCTGGTGTCAGTGTCAGTGTCAGGGCCGAGGTTCGAGCGCACCACGCCCTCCTACTGCAGCAGCACGGTCGTGGACAGCAAGGCACCGGAGGGTGTGCCGTCCATGATGGCGGCGACTGCCAGCGTCTTCTCCAGCGGCGCGTCCGGAGCGGCGTGCACCAGCACGTGGGCTCTTGAGTCTGGTGTTTTCTGCAGTGAAGGCCACCTCTACGATTCTATAGGCTGGTCTTGGGAATAAGTTTTCCCACAACTCCGTGTTTGGTCGCAAAAGGTTGAAAATGTCAAAAGTTTCCCCAGCACTCCGTATTTTGGGAATTACCCGGTGGTGGGCCTACTGTAGTTAGTCGAATGCAGTCGATGGTGCAGAGCATTTTTAGTACATGTAGTACGCAGTTATAATAGTCGATTGCAGTGGAAAACGCAGTGGCGGTGCAGGTGAGTTCTGCACGATAAAATTAGGTAAAATCCACATCGCAAAAAACTGATTTGTAGCTGTTGGTGTTTGCTCAGGCCACCGTCTCACACTCCTTTCACTCGTGAATCCGCGCTGCAAGGGAAGACCCGCGCCGTCCGTCCGATGAATGCCCAGCCGCCGCAGCAGCGCCGCCGTGGCGCCCGGAGGCTGGCGCGGCAGACCGCGGGCGTGGCGGTGGTGGTCGCTGGCTGCGCGACGGGCCTCGTGGCCATGAGTCGCCGCGTGCTGGCGGAGCCTGCGGGGGACGCCCGCGCTCTGGCCGAGGCCTCGTCCGACTCGGACTCGTGCGGCGATCTCGAGAGCTGGGAGACCAACGGCGGCATCGTGCTGTACATCATAGCGCTGGGCTATATCTTCGTGTCGCTCGCCATCATCTGCGACGACTACTTCGTGTCCGCGTTGGAGAAAATCTCGGGCGCGCTGGCACTGTCGCCCGACGTGGCTGGGGCCACGTTCATGGCTGCAGGCTCCTCCGCGCCCGAGCTCTTCGTGTCTCTGGCCGACAACGTGTTCAAAAAGCCGGCGGAGAGCTTGGGCGTCGGCACCATCGTGGGCTCGGCCATCTTCAACATCCTCATCATCATCTCGCTGTCCGGGCTGCTGGCAGGCCAAGTGCTCGAGCTCGACTGGCGCCCGATGCTGCGCGACTCGCTCTGGTACACGTGGTCCATTGCCGTGCTAGCCTTCGCCGTGTGGGACGGCACCATCGACGTGCTGGACTCGGTGATCATGGTCTGCTCGTACGCGAGCTACATCGGCTACATGGCGTTCAACGAGCGGGTGGTCAACTTGTGCTGCAAGCGACCGGAGATCGACACGCAAGAGAGCGAGGAGGCAAAACTTACAACGGCGACGGAATCGACGGCGGATACCGCGTCGACAGCGGAGGTGGTGGTGAGTACCGGGGACGTGCAAAAGTCCCTGGAAGAGGAGGGACGTTCGCACAGCCAACGTGGATTCCTCGGCGAGCAGGACAAACTGAACCCGATCCTGCGCTCCAAGTACCGCATGTTCCAGTCACACCAGTTGCTGCAGCACACAAACTCAACGGACGAACATGTCGACGTGGAGGCGCCTACTTCAGCTGACAAGGTTAATGCCAAGATAAGCGCACAGGAACCATCGAGCGACGTGACTGCAGCAGGAGACGGCGAGGAGCAGCTGCCAAAGTACTTCGACGATGTATTAGTTCCACCGGAAGGTGTTCTGGCCAAAATGTGGTTCGTGTTCACGTGGCCCATCGTGGCCTTGGCTCGTATCACGATCCCAGACTGCCGTTACCCTGCCTTCTCCGGACCCGTGGGCTACTCCGCGACGTTTGTGATCTCCATCGCCTGGATCGGCGTGCTCTCGCACTACACCGTCGCTTTTGGAACCAAGTTCGGGTGCATTACCGGAATTCCGTCGGCGCTCATGGGACTCACTATCATTGCTGCTGGCACGTCCATCCCGGACGCGCTGAGTTCCATCCTCGTGGCGCGCGATGGCCACGGTGATATGGCTGTGTCCAATGCTCTCGGCAGCAACGTGTTCGATATCCTGTTCGGCCTGGGGCTTCCCTTCCTCCTGTCAAACCTGGTGTACAGCGAGACCGTCCCCGTATCAGGAGACGACCTTGACGTCTCAATCGCCATCTTGTTTGCCGTTCTACTTTTCGTGGTGGCAGTGCTGGTTTCCTCGCGCTGGAGGCTGTACCCATTAGCTTGCGCGTTCCTGTTGATGCTTTACGCGGCGTATGTCGTATTTTCGTACCTGCGCGGTCTAGACATCATTTAAGAGAAATGGACGGACTCAAGCGTCGATTTGGTGGAATTTGTTTAAAGTAACCGTTTGGCTTTGCTGTCAGCGATTGGATCCTCAGTACGGTCTGCATGGTAGTTTTGTGGCTCACAAGCATTACGGTAGGAGTCCTGATGCATTGAAAAGTCCTGATTCAGGACACACTCAAGACCGAGAACGAATGAAGCCGCAACTGGCAAAAGAGAGCCATCATCCCCAGGCGCTGCAACGGATCCACAGAAAACATTACCGATCACGGTTCAATGCAAACTACAGCACAATCGAAGAAAATAACAGTGACGTTTTTTTGTACTTGTCTAGCTGGGATTTCAACCCACCACCCTTGAAAAGTCCAAGAGGTCATCAGACGACGGCGTTTGATGCACATCACTATAGCTCTTAGAATCTTCAGGACTCTATCTACCATAAGGTAACCTTACCCCCCCCCCCCCCCCGCAGAGGAGTTCACGCGCTACTGAAGCAACTGGGAGGCAGGAAACCTTAGCGGCTGGAGTCCAGCCGCCAGCCGCTGGACCAACCTCAAGCGTATGATTTGGTAACACAACTCAGCGCGTGAACATACTGTATCCCGTTGCGTTGCACTGGTGGCAATTTGCAAGCTTTTCTGCGTGATGATGCTAGATGGAATGAATACATGTATTATACAACAGCAATTCACACGTTGCCCTCCGCGTGATGATGCTAAGTAAAGTGTACAATGGCATGAGGCGCCCTTGCAGCTCGTTTTTGCACTATGGGCATAATCGCCGCGATTGCTGGCCACAAAATGCTGTTGCGCTCGTGGCTTCGGCATGTCTACCTCGCCTTCGTCGGGTCCATCTTGGTGTCTCGCTCGAGCTTGATCTGCCCAGTGTCACACACCTCGTCCACTGAGTCAACGCTATACATACATGTACGGTTTCGGTCCTCCCAATGCGCGTTTTTCCAGTTTCATTTGGCAGGTAGATTCGCTGTGAAATGTGGACAAACATCGACTAAGCATAACTTCGAGCAGCATGAGCAAGCTATGCTCGAGCCGCACCGGCTTGGTGTTCAATTTGCACTGTACATGCCCGATCACGTGGCTTTCGCACATGTCGCTGTTGAACATTTTTCCGATGGGAGTCGCCCCACAGAGTTAAGCTACATGTATTAATAAGCCGCAGGATTTCCCGTGTTAAGTGACTTAACACGGGAAATCCTGCGGCGTTTTGGACGAGAGCAGGCAAGGCGCGACAACAGAAGAGCGCAGCAGACGCCGATCCGGTTCCAGTAGCGTGCGCTCACAGAGATCCCGACGACGGAAAGACACAACCTCTCCTAGCTGCCATTTAGCTTCACCGCACCTCTTGATGCTCACTTACATACTCGGGTCTCACGCGAGGAGAGGTTCATTAGCAACAGCTGTGCTCTCGGACTGGGTTGCTGCCGGCGAGAGCGCGTCCGCGAAGGAAAAGAAACGCGGTTCCATAGGCGCCCTTGTCCGCCGGCGTTCTGCTAGGTGTGCACCAGCGATTTGAGCGGAGACTCCCCGGGTGCTGAACACGCCGCTTCATTATAGGATATAGCAGGTCACATGAAAGGGAACATGATAGCACCGTGTGATCCACGGTACGGATTATGCGGTTTCAGAAGGGTTTTTCAAATCGCTCCGCACGAAAGTATTTTTTTCAATCTCGTGTCGATGCTAGCGAAGAGAATCCAGCTCGAGCACTGGCAAGCGTGCAGAGCCCTGTCGGCTGGCAGTAAACGAATGCGCAGCTCTGCGTCGTCGCAAGTCGCCGCAGCGAGCACATGCGAAACGTCTTGCAGGAGCACTGGAGCTCAACGCGTCCTTTTCTTCCTCGGCCCGGTTGCATCTGGGCATGCTGACGCTGACACCACACCTGCGGCGGCGTAGCGTTGGTCATTCCACTACTTTCTCTGGTGAGCACCAAGCATGGCGAGCCAGCAGCCGAAAGCAGAAGCTAGTGCAGCTCCGGAGCTGGATGCCGCGGAAGTGGAGCGGCGACGCAAGCAGCGCGACCTCAAGCGAAAGTCCCGCGAGCGCAAAAAGGTGAGAGCAGGGTCGACAAGTGCAATGAATGGTGGTGCTTGGTGTTCGAGACTGACCGTGGACGTGTACGTTCTTGACCGCAGAGGAATCTCCTAGAACTACAGTCAACGGCGCAGGCGCTGGAGCTCGAGTACAAGCAGCTCTTCGCGGCCAAGCTGATGAGAGAGCAACAGAACCTGGAGCACGAGAAGAGCGTAGCTGTGAAGGCCGAGCCTAACGCGACGGAGATTGAACAGTCCCGACTGGTCGAGCTGCAGGAGAAATACAAGGCAGTGCGGCAGGAGATGCACGAGCTGCGCGAGCAGATGACCGGCTTCAAGCAGAAGCTGGAGGAGTATGAGCGCTTCATTGCGATGCTGGATGGACATCTCATGGGATTTCAAGACACGCAAATTCGGGAGGAAGAGCCGACCGGTTGAGGAAGCGAGCGATGCGTGATGCGATTTACAGCGGTGCGAGTGCGATTACAGCGGATGCAATGGATGCCCAGACAGTCAAAAGGTAGCAGAAAGGGCAGGCGGACAAGTACTGTAGTGAAGTGGAAGGCCGAGGGATAGTAGGTTGGTGAGAGGCAATTATCAATCAACGGGCGGAACTATTAGCGGAGCTCTCGAAGAAGGAAGGGGCTCCGCTCTTCCGCGGCATGAACGGTTAGTTAGCCATTTCACGACGTTTGATGGTGCAGCTGAGGTGGCAATGTGCAGAAGGGATAGGCAACGCCCCGACATCACACGAGATTCTGCAAGATGGACGTAAACATACCATATTGGTTGATAGGAAATTTAAAAAAGTATGCAATGCAATATAATGATGTACGTGTTCGCGTAGCCAAATTACACCTGCGCTAGTCTCAGTTCAGCTAGTCGGCGGCATAGTGTGGTGTCCGCATACGTCGAGTCTCCTTTGGCTGGCAGTGAATCAGCAATGGTAGTCATGAGGGCCTTCCATTTACGTCGGTCTTGGGCAAGCAGTCGAAGTCTCTCCAAGTCTGAGCTGGTGCGGAGGCGGTACCCACACCCACTAGCATCAAGGTCCTGATCAAGGACAAGAGGCAGTGTGGTACGGGGCCTACCTCTCCACTTGCTGCTGTCTGAGGAAGAGAAATACGCCTTCATCTGGATAAACGCCGTGATATCTTGTGGTCGCCGTAGAATGTGCCCGAGAAGCCCCCACCTCGCAGATGTGATCCGGTGACGGAGCGGCCGCTCGTCACACGTTGCGTAGAGATCAGCGTTGGAGATGTTGCACGGGTAACGCACATTGAGGACAGACCGTAGCTGGCGACGGTGGAAGCTTTCGAGTCGGTGAAGCTCCGTTGGTGTAAGCGCCCAGGTCCCGCAGTTGTAGAGTAGTATCGGCAGTACGTAGCAGTTGTAGAGGCGAATTCGTGTCGTGTCTGTGATACGGTGCGATCTCAGCCAGACCGTCCAGAGCCGCCGAAGAGCAGCCGCAGCGAGTATTTTCCGACGCGATACGTCATCGGCATCTCCGAGCAACGAGCCAAGCTTCCGCGTAGACCTCCATGCTTCTTCCTCTGCACGAGCGTGGGGGTCGTCACTGGCAGGTGTCAGGCAGCGGCGGAGAATTGTGTGCTCCGTCTTTGCCGCGTTCATTTGAAGCGACCAGCGCGCGAATACTTCCGGGGCATGGGTCTGGATGAGCTCGACGAGGGCGGGGTCCCGACAGATAAAGTCGGCATCGTCCGCATACACGATCATTTGCTGGAGCAGGTCCGGCGGCATTGCAGGGTGACTAGCTAGATCTCTAAGTGCTGCTTCTAGGTAGATAACAAATAATACTGGTGAGAGTGAGTCGCCCTGTGGCGTACCTGTGTTACTGCCGAATGGTTGCAGGATCTGGTGGCCGATGCGGAGTGAAAGCGTTGTGTCGGATAGTAAGAGTCGAATCAGTCGGATTTCGTCGTCGTGTAGAAACTGCTGTAGAACTTTGAGGAGTTTGGCACGATCGTGTCGAACGCGCGCGAGAAGTCGATACCCAGTACATGAACGATTTCGCGATACTTTTGTACCCGTGCGCACAGCCACTTGTGGGCCCACACCGCATCAGCCGTACTGCGGCTCTTGCGGAAGCCACTTTGGTGGCCTGACAGAACCTTGTCGACCGCGGGTGTGATGCGGCGGAGAACGATGAGTGACACCGCTTTGCGAATAGTGTTCAGGAGAACTATCGGGCGTAGGCTTGAGCACTGCCCTCGTGGCTTGTTCGGCTTCTGGAGACACAGCAGGATTCCTTGGCCCAGTGGGATGGGTTCACCGCGTTCGAAGCTGCGGTTTAGTAGATGTGCGAGTCGTGGAGCAACGTCAGCAGCGGCATACTTGAGTAGTTCACCAGGAATAGTATCGGGGCCAGCAGCATGACCGTTGTTCAGTCGAAGGAGGGCACCACAGACTTCGTCCGGCGTGATTGGGCAGTCGAGCTGTTGGGTCCGGCGATACTTGAGCTTGGTCTGGATTTAGAAACTGTTCTTGGAAGTGATCTCGGACAATTTTGTTAGCTGTGTTTCTGTGAAGTACATACTTACCTGATGAGTCTTGAATTAGAAGCTGCTGTGTCGGTTTGCGGGCGAGATCGCGAACGGCGACGAACATTTTGTGAGAGTCGCTTGAAGCCTCGATGCGTAAAACCTTTTCGTCGAGTAAAAAAGTATACATATATGAAATAGTAGTACTATTTTTTCCTATTTAGTACAATTTGAATACTAGTGTACCACATACAATTAAATTGTCAATATTGCATATCTACTATAACTGTAGTTTCAAAAACATTTACAGTTCTAGCACTGAGTAAAATGCATATTTACAAACTGGGTTGTAGACACCCAGTTCGTCAATGCCTCACTTATTGAGTGCGCCGAGGTATTTGTACAGCAGCCGCCCCAATGGGGGGGGGGGGTCGCACCGGCAAATCTTCAGTAGGCTACTCAAGATTTGTTTAGTTCGCAGTTCGTAAGAACTGTCGTTTGCGCCCCTGCGGATGTTTGAGATAATGCAACATAAGATTTTATGTTGCATTATCGGTTTAAGAGCCATTTGAAAGAACAGCAAATGACAGTTGTACAGCAATTATATTAGTGGGTCTCAGTTCTGGCAGCAGCAAGATAGCGCTCTTACAAATCTTAAAGGATATGAGCTGTGATTGGTTAAAAATCGGTTGCTATCTTGCTGCCGACCCCTTTCCATACTGCCACGATTTTGGTGCAGTATAGCGCCGGCAGCAGCAAGATGGATCCCACCTATTGCCGGACCGCCCCAGGAGCGACGACAGCGGGAGCCGACGTTCCTCCGACGTATATGAGTCCTCCACAGGTGCTTTCGTTAGATCCGATAGCATTGGGCTGCTGGGGTTGAGCGGATCGACCGCCGCGGGGTCAATCTGACCTCCACCGACCCCGTAGCAGTGAGTCCTCGCATCGAAAGCATGTGACAACTTGCCGCAGCACGCTGCTGGGCACCTATAACATGTATATGTATGAGAGCACTATGTAGTTGAGCAATAGGCTGAATGAGCAAGAAGACCACGCATGAGGCATCTTGCTGCTGCCGAACTGTAAAGGGGGTCTCAGTTCGTTCCGTCTCTGTCCAAATGTGACGCCTGGAACTTGATTTTGTAGAATTGCTATACTGATTTTCATGCCGTTTAGCTCTCCTCGCTTCGAAGTCGACGCGCAACAAACAGTCTGCACTCACTACCATTAATCAATTGCGATAATTTTGGTTTACTCACAGACGATTTATCGTTGCTGCTGCTGTGGCTTCCGACATACATTCAACATGAACCGAAGTTCAGCTTGGTAGCTTGAAGCTATGCAGTATGCAGCAAGAATAGTAGTAGTGTGCGTTCATGCAGATCCGCCACGGCAGATCGAGCAGCATAAGCGACCCAGCAAATGGATGCATGGCACTTCCCAGTACAAAAATAGGAGTATGTGCTAAAATTCAAGAACTTTTTCATGCAACGCTCTTCTACGGCACGCGTAGCGCTACTACATAGGACTACTAGTAGTAAATAAAGTTTTCTACCATGCAGGTTTTGGAATACAGTAAAAAAAAGTCTACCGAACTGCGAATACCGCGGGCCAAAGCCCGCAAACCAGTTTTCTCTCAAGATCGTCGTCAAAATGTTGAGATAGGTTCCCACTGGTAAACGCGACCTTTCGGATTGAGGTCTTCCGAAGCTGATGAACCCCCTCGGAGATGCATGCAAGAGATGAAGAAGCAACAGGGACCGCGGCATGGATAGTGGTGATAAACCCTTCATTTAATACTACCAGGTACTAGGATGGAAGCGGTGAAGCAGCAGGGGAGAATTTTCTTCATCCCCAAAACGTACCCAAAGTCCCCTAAAATCCCCCAAAACTTTTTGGGGACTTTCAATAAAAACTGTTTGTTACTCCCCAAAATCTCAATTAAACGTCCCCCAAACTGTCCCCCAAAAAAATAAATAAATCTTAGTATTGGGGTAACTAAATATTAGGCTAATTTTATTCCAGAGGCGCGATAGCGACCGACCAACGGAGGTGAGCGGTTGCGAGGAGCGTAGCCGCAGCAAACCCGCGCGGTATTTGCGGAGGCGGGCCCAGCGACTAGCATTCCAGCGAGCCGAACACTGCACTCGCCAGGTGAGAGAATCTTTTTATCGCGAGCGAAGCGAACAGCGGTGGGCGCCGAAGGGGCGCCCAGCCAAGCGCAGCGCGGCTGGTTACTCTAAGCTAGATATATAATGGGTCTTAGTAAAAGTTAGGTTCATGGTTCCTAAATATGAGGTTTTACGTTTGGGGATTTTTTGGGTTTTGGGGTGCGTTTTGGGGATGAAGAAATGGACGTCAGCAGCAGACCATCGCTGTGAGCGACTGCAGCACTCGTTGGTCCGCACCTACGTGAACCGCTGCACCAGCACCCGCGCGGCCAGCGGCGGCGCCGCACGCACCAGGAAACAGCAGTACCCGCATCTCAGCGCACGCGACGAACTTGCCGTAGACGTCGCCGTACTTCGTGCTCCGCAAAATGCAGCACCGTACTGGATGCGAAGGGGGGAATCTTCCTCTCTTTGTCTGCTTGGTCGAACGCGTGACGTATTCCTTCATATACGCGGCTTCGCTGCGATTGTTACAAAGCGCAAGCTCTCCTACCGTGTGTCATACCTTAGCGTGCCGCCATCATTCCGTTCTGATGGCGAGCAAGAGCGAGCTTGGGCTTCCTGTGCTGCCGCCGCAGCTCCGTCGTTATGGCCCACAAGCTTCTCCCCCTCGCCGATCTTGAGTTGCCTACTGAAGACTTTTGCAGTAGCAAAATCGCTACTGCAAATTCTCGGCTCGTCTGCCGTGTTCTTGAGTACACATGTATTGATTTAGGTTGGACTTTCTTGAGATCCTACTGAAGATTTACCGGTGCGAACCCCC